CTAACCCTAACCCTAACCCTAACCCTAACCCTAACCCTAACCCTAACTGCATCGCTACGAACCTGGTGCTGAACCTCGGGCAGTACAGAACGGTTGGACCGGCGCGAACGCATCGCCTGAAGTGCTCTCGAGCCCATCTTTTGAATTCTATCAGCTCTCGGCACTAGTGGTCGTGCCGGCAGCTGTAGCTTGGACATATGCATGATAAGAAGATGGTATTCGGGTCCTGCCTAATTCGTCCTGCTGAATCTTTTGCGGCTCTACTCTGATTGATCGGTTCCTGCCAACTTTTGTTTGGCTCCTTCGGATATCGGCACACCGGAAGAATTGCTGCATCCCAAATCTCGAAAGGATGAGCTCTTATCTCAGTCTCTGGCGGTGAAATGCCGGTGCGGAACCACGTACCATGGTTCATGGGGATACTTGGTATGTGGATGAAGTAGTGCACGACCAGCAAAATGCGTTCAGGAGCGTTGTCAATGGCGACAGGGCTGCCTACCCGGATATACGCGGGGCAAGAGACATGTGCAGCTGGGTGGCTGCCTGGTACTCCGTACCTAGTGTTGCGGTGAATGTTCGAGTGTGGTTTAGTGCCATGATGTACTCCCATACTTCTGAAACATCATCTCACCGAATTTCTGTTCAACTGTGCAACACCCTGTGAGTGCGGAGAATGCGTCGAGTGTCCATGGGGCGGCAGGATCTATCCCGAGAACTCCGGCAGGAATGGTCGCGATATTGAAGTCTCTGTTCATTTCCTGGCACTGGCGAAACCGTTGCTCAAAATTTCCTGCTGCCTAGAGGACGGAGTTGTGCGGCGTCAAGGCTTTGAGGCTTCGACAAATCAAGATGGCGTCGAAACCCGACATTGAGAACTCGAGAATTCGCCTAGGGTGGCCAAGACCGTTCATCGAGGAACCTGTCGGCTGTTTGGGCGTCGAATCCAAGGAACCATCACCACGGTGGCATGCGGTTTGTCTCTTCATTCTCTGCGCTGCCGGCTTTGTGACGCAACTTCTGGTGGCACTGTCTGTTCCATGGGCGTCTACCACCACCACCCTCTGGGCTCTCGGTGCGCTGTATGTGACAGGATGGCGACCAAGAACAGCCTCAGTCCTGCTTTTCGTGGATCTCCTGGTCATATTCATTGCTGGGGCATATCTCCTCGCCGTGGGCTTCTACAAAGACTTCAACGTCAGGAATGCAGTCCTTACTTTCGCGAGCACTACTCTGGCGGCCATTTCAATAGCCATGGTCGTCAGTATGCCTCTCCGGGACCCATCCTTGAGCCGAGCCGCAATCAGCCGTCCCTTCAGTGTTCCTTCTAGTGCCTTTCGGTCTCCCGAAGACGACTTGACGCTTCTGCAATGGATGACAGTCTCCTGGATCGCGCCCCTGATCAGGGTGGGCAACAAGCGCCAACTCAACGACGAAGATGTATGGCTCCTACCATACGAATTCCAACATCGCCAGCTTCATGATACTTTCCGCGAGCTCAAAGGAAGTGTTGTTAGACGGTTGTTGAAAGCCAACTGGATTGACTTGGTCCTGCTCACAATCCTAGCAATCATCGAGCTCGCTGCAAACTATTCCGCGCCCGTCATTCTACAGAAGCTCCTGCAAGCCATGGAGAGCATCGATATCGAGAAGCGTTCTGCCATCCAGTGGGCATTGCTCATCCTCGTTGTGCGACTCATTGCAGCTCAGAGCGCAGTCTTTAGTTTATGGTTTGGAAGAAGGTGCTATGAGCGTTCTCGGGGCGAAATGATCACGATGTTGTACGCAAAGACATTGAATCGGAAGATATTAGGCGGGATTCCGCAGGAGGCTGAAAGAAAGCTAGGGCCAGAGGGAGAAACCCCTCCTGATGCATGCGAGGCGGAAGAGACAGGAGCTCAGCCGGAAACCGAACAGCTTTTCACCGGGCAAGTCCAGCGACCGAAGAGTCTTGCCAGCCGAGCACAAGAAAGAATTCAAAAGGTGAAGTCGTTCTTTGTACTCAAGAGGCAGGTGGAGGTCGAGAGGAAACTGCCCGCCTCAATGGGGAAGATCCTGAATCTGTTTCGTAACGATGCTTACGAAGTTGCTCAACGTTTCTGGGAATTTCAGACTCTCATCAACAAGCCTCTTGGCCTGGTGCTCTCTGTCATCCTCATCTGGCAACTGCTTGGGTGGCCATCCTTTGTTGGCGTTGCAGTTGTCATAGTTGCTCAGTTTTTGAACTACCTCCTTGCCCGAGTCCTTCTCAGTTGGGAAAAGGAACGCCGCAAAGTCACAGACATCAAGCTGCAAAAGATCACTCAATATGTCGAGGCCATCAGACATCTGCGATGGTATGGATGGCATTTTGCATGGCTTGACGGCATCATGACGGCGCGGCAGAAGGAGCTCAACTTGAGAATCATTACCTTTCTGTTGAATGCGACGATCAAGACTTTGAACTCATTTGCAAGCGGCATACTTCCAGTAGCGACCTTCTATGCTTACACTGTCAGCGCGAGACAGCAGCTGCGGATCGATGTTGCCTTCCCGGCGTTGCAGCTCTTCTCGCTATTGCAGGCCAATATCCGCGAACTCCCGAGTCTCATCACAGTCTTATTGAACGCCTCCGTCGCAGTTGGGCGCATCTCAGACTTCATTGCAGAACCGGACAAGGTCGATGAGGCAGAATCCAGCCACTTACCCAGCGATCATGATCGCCTAGAGCTGGAAAACGCCTCCTTCTCATGGCCAGGCCTTTCTGGCATGGTGCTCCGCAATCTCAGCCTCCCCTTCCCATGCGGTTTGACCGTTGTGTTTGGTGAGGTGGCGGCGGGAAAGACCGCTCTCCTCCACGCTCTTCTCGGTGAGCTGGATTTGCGCGAAGGGCATCTGTACAAAACGCAAGCCGCGATTGGTTATTGTGCACAGACTCCTTGGCTTCAAAGCATGAGTATTCGAGAAAATATCCTCTTCAACTCGCCATACGAGGAATCCCGGTACAAGAAGACACTTGAAGCATGCGCTCTTCTTCCAGACCTAGCCAACTTCAGACACGGCGATCTGTCCGAGATTGGCGAAAACGGCATCGGCTTGTCAGGCGGACAAAAAGCGAGAGTAGCTCTTGCTCGAGCGGTGTACAGCCGAACGCCCGTCCTGCTTCTCGACGACCCTTTGAGTGCTCTAGATCAACAAACGGTCGAATGGATTGTCACAAAGTGTTTGTGTGGTAGCCTGATGGAGAACCGTATCGTGGTGCTGGTCACACACCGGACTGACCTTTGCCAGCATCTGGCGTCACAGCTCATTGAACTCATCGACGGCACAGCTGTGCTGCATCGAAGTGATGCGGATCTTTCCAAGGTAACCTCGGCCACTGCAGTGGACGAGGAGCTTTCCGCGGATAGCGGCAACGGCATCGATGAATCAGCTGCAATTCCTGACAAGTTTGTCGAAGACGAATACCGAGCCCATGGTGGGGTACAACTCCAGGTATACTGGCAGTACATCAAGGCCGGGACCATACGATGGTGGTTGATGGTTGTTCTGACAGCGGCGGTTTGTCGCGCAACGTATGTCGCAGAGAGTTGGTTCTTGAAGGAATGGGGCGAGGCATACAATAAAGCCAAAACCCAGGTTCTGGCCCTTCAGATCTTGGATGCAGACATCCACTTACTGCAGAGCTCAGTCTCCGGTCTCTTTGACAAATTCCCCGACCCGGCCATCAATGTTCGTCCATGGCTTTTCGGATTTCTTGTCATTGTGGCCTGTGAGACCGTGGGATTGGTTGCGTCGCAGATATCAATGTTGGTGGTCACGTACTCTGCCGCTCAGCGGATGTTCCGGGTTATAATGGAGCGTATCAGCAATGCGACCTTCCAGTTTTATGATGTGACGCCGGTGGGAAGATTGATGAATCGGTTGACCTCGGACATTGGTACCATCGACGGTGGAATCGCCGAACTGTTCCTGGTTGTGATCTGGTACGCTGTCGCTTGGGTCTCCTCCATGATTGTTATTGCCAGCATTACACCGGCGTTTCTGTTGTTCGCCATTGCGCTGACTCTGGCATTTGTTATGATCTTCTTGCGATTTCTGCCGACGTCACAAAGTCTGCGGAGGCTTGAAATGGTCTCGCTGACGCCTTTGATGTCAAATTTCGGAGCCTTGCTGAACGGTTTGATGACAGTCAGGGCGTTTAGTGCTCAGACGCAATTCCAGGAGAAGAACATCCAGGTCACCGACGCGTTCCAGAAGATGGACCACTTCTATTGGAGTTTGCAAGCTTGGTTGATGTACCGGTTCGATACTCTGTCGGCAGTATCGACCTTCCTCCTCACTCTTCTTGCCATCTTTTCCAACTTGTCGGCTGGCCTCACAGCGTTCGTGCTGATATCGGCCAACAAATTTGTTCAAGCGACCCACACAATCTGCAAGTCGTACGGCCAGCTCCAACTCAACTTCGTGTCAGTGGAGCGAGTAATCGAGCTGGCTCATGTTGAACAAGAACCGCCCAGTTCCATTGAGCCGCCTGCGGCATGGCCGAAGTATGGAAGTGATGTCGTATTCGAGAACGTCACGATCCGGTACCAGCCACATCTTGAGCCAGCGATCAAAGATGTTTCGGTTCGCTTCGAAGGCGGCTCGACAAATACAATCACCGGAAGGACTGGGTCCGGCAAGTCAACTTTAGCTCTGGCGCTATTAGCGACAGTCGCACCAGAGTCCGGTCGCATCTCGATCGATGGTATTGATATTGCCAAAGTCAATAAGCAGATATTGAGGAGCAGGGTAACCTTCTTAGCCCAAGAACCTATGCTCTTTCCGGGTTCCTTGCGCCACAATCTGGACCCGATGGTGGAACATTCTGACGTGGCTTGTGCAAGTGTGCTCTCGGGAGTCTGCGGGAAATACGGATGGACATTGGAAACACAGATTGATGATGGCGGGCGGAACTTGAGCCAAGGTCAGAGACAGCTTGTTGGGCTCGCTCGAGCGATATTGCGGAGAAGCGCAATTGTTATCATGGACGAAGCGACTGCTAGCATTGATCTAGAGACGTCAGCAGAGATCCAGCGCGTACTGAGAGAAGAGTTGAAAGAGAGCACGATCATCACCATTGCGCATCGTGCAGCCGCAATGGAGAATGCTGACTTCTGTGTTTCACTGGCCGCTGGCCGTGTTTTGCACCAAGGAAAATCCGCTGGGCCTGGGTCTTGATCTGAATGAACGGAAGTGGGCGTCTTTGGTGGCCATCCACAGTTGAACCGACGAAAGGAAATGTCGAAAATGTTCCCAGCTATATAGACGTAAACGTGAGTAAGATCCAGGAAGGAGACTGCGGGATTCCCGGCCGAAACTTGGGTCACTGAACAGATGGTGCATGCTGCGCAATCTATTCGAGATGTCGTGCCACCAGAAGAGAAGCAGTATCTGATACCCAGAATATCTGTGTGCAGATTTCAATTTGGAAGGCGGTATGGTCTATTGATGCCCAGCCTCTGCAGAAAGCAGAGTGCCATCAGAGAGACAAAACTTGCAACGCGAAGATAGATGTGGTCCATTGTGCCTTCTCTTGCAGGCGAAGTGTTCCACATCGCTCCAAAGCCAACTCTTGTACTCTGACGCGCTTGTAGCTGCAAGGACATAAGGGACGATAGAAAGCGAGGGAGGAGTACGAGTCGCCGTTGATTGCGCAGGTGTTGCAGGCCTGGAGAGGTGAGGTATTGGCTTACTGTAGCTTGCATTGCCGCCGTTGGCACTGGCGAGGCCAGACCCAGCGAACTGCTTTGAGTGTCAGCGTAAGATCATGAATATACTCTTGCGCACGGCCAGCTTCGACTAATCTGAGTGGCAGCTCGCGCGTGCGGGTAGATCCCAAGCACACCAACCTAACGAAGGAAGTGCGCCGTCACTACCATGCAGTGCATGCACGTGGGGCGCGATTTCTGTTTTTCCGGTTCTGCGCGCCTCAAGCAGTGCGTCGCCAATGGCCAATCGGATTGTCGGTTTTGAAGCACAGACACTGTTGCAGATGACGTCCAGAACCATCTAGCACTCACGTCCGTCAAACAACAACTTCAAACAAATTCATCTTCTGCTCACTTCATACCTAGGATTTGTCCAGTATTCAAAAGGTGCAATTTTCTACCGCAAGAGCCCTTGGCGTATGGGCAAGTCCCTCGTTCCACTCATCTGAGTAGCATACTCTGCCTTGGCACCGAAAAACTGCAGCTTCTGCCACGATGTCCGAAACTCCAAATTCTGCCACGGACGACAGCAGAGCCGCTCGCGTCGTTGCCGACCATCTTCCAGATGGATACACCGCCGATATAGACGGCGTACATGCTGGTGATGGCGGACCCAGAGGTCCAGGGGAGTCTGAGCCGGAGTCCTCGCTGAAACTCCAGGGTGGTGACATTCATCGTGATCTTTTCAAGATCCCACACAGAGCCAGACTGCATCAACGTGCGGCTACTTTCTCCCATCCGAATGAGATCTCCACCGACCTTGAAAATGAAACGACCGTGGCAGAGCAGCTCGCCCCTGGAGGATTCCGCCGAGAATTCGTCCGGCAGAAGTACGGCCGTTTCAATCCTGCTGCTATTCCAGTCACTCGGAACTTCGTCGAATTCTTGTCTCTCTACGGAAGTTTTGCTGGAGAAGATCTCGAGGACACTGACGACGATACGTCAACCCTTGATGACGAGGAAGGAAGGGCAGCTGGTGAGAGGAGGCCGCTGCTTGGCCGCCGGCGGACCACCATGGCAGCAAAGATGGGCGAGGCCGGAACAACCAAGACATTCTTCACCCTCTTGAAAGCCTTCATCGGTACAGGAATCATGTTTCTGCCCAAGGCATTCAACAACGGCGGCATCTTGTTCTCGTCGATGACACTGTTGACGGTCTCTGTTGTTACTACCTGGGCGTTCCACCTGCTGCTGCAGTGCCGGCAAGTCTACCAGAAGAGCGGCTACGGCGAACTTGGTCAAGCAATTGGAGGTCCGAGAATGAGATCCATCATCCTGGCGTCTGTCACCATCTCTCAGCTGGGTTTTGTCTGTGCTGGAACAGTCTTCGTCGCACAAAATCTTCACTCCTTCGAAGTTGCCGTTAGGGAAGGAAGCGCTCCGCTGTCGACCAATATATTGATCGCCCTCCAGTTACTTGCATTGATCCCGCTTGCGTTCATCCGCAACATTTCCAAGCTTGGTCCGGCGGCAATGCTGGCCGACGTTTTCATTCTCCTCGGTCTCGCCTACATATATTGGTACGACATCTCCAGTCTCGTCGAGGATGGTCTCAATCCGACGGTTCAGCTGTTCAATCCTCAGCACTACACACTCACCATCGGCTCTGCAATCTTCACATTCGAAGGAATCGGCCTCATTCTTCCAATCCAATCGTCCATGCAACATCCCGAAAAGTTCGAGCCTCTTCTCTGGGTCATCATGCTCATCAACACCATCATTTTCACCTCCATCGGGGCACTTTGCTATGCGACTTTTGGCGAGGCGACGAAAATCGAAGTTATTTCCAACTTTCCTCAAAGCAGCAGACTCGTCAACGCCGTGCAGTTTCTGTACGCCATCGCTGTTATGGCCGGTACACCCGTTCAGCTGTTCCCGGCTCTCCGCATCCTTGAGGGCAAGGTATTTGGTCGCCGCTCTGGGAAAAGAGACACATTTACCAAGTGGAAGAAGAACGGGTTCCGAACTGTCCTTGTCGTCATCTGTGCTTTGATCGCCATTCTTGGGTCCAGCAACCTCGACACCTTCGTGGCACTCATTGGTTCCATCTGTTGCGTACCACTAGTCTACATCTACCCTCCTCTTCTACATTACAAGGGGATCGCAAAAACAACTCGAGAAAAGGCCGCGGATGCTCTCTTGATGATTCTGGGCATCGCATGCATGATCTACACTGCTACCATCACCATCGTCACCAGTTTCTCCTAGTGGCGGGATGCGTGCATCAATTGACTGGTCCATGGTGTCTGTGAGCCGAGTATCGCTTACCTGTAAACTAGAACAGCACTTATTCAGTCGGTGGTTGGATCCTTTCATTCCGACAAGTCATCTGGATCGTCCCGATCACTTTGCATTGGAAGCCTCCACAGTCCACCAGCTCTTACATTTGTTGGCATCGCAGAGGTTGAGCCTAGGACTGCTACTGCATGTGGATTTTGGGTCGAGCGGCTGGAGTGGCTTCCACCAGTTCTATGCAGGAAATATCGAGATTTGCTTTGAACCAGCCGGAATGCAAGGCGAAAACACGCACCTCAGCATGCCTGATTCTCACCTTCGACCAGACGCGAGGTCTTGTAGAGAAGCGCTCAGGTTTATTCTCCGGGAATTGCTGTGATCTCGGTCAAGGCCGAATAATTGAGTTGACAGGACGCGAGGATACAGGCATATATCCGAGAGCAGCCACAGATTGTGGGCCATCATCTTACCTATCCAGTACGTAGTGCATCGCCTTGACCAGACTTTCACCGCCCAGACGCCAGCATGCCATTAGTTGCGAAGATCTCCGTTGTATAGCGGGGAGGAACGCGTCTTCGAGGGCTCTGTTGTGGCGATACAAGGCTCTGCCCGGGCCAGAAACTCTGTTCAGGATTCCGGTTCAGATTAAATGATGAAGAGGATGTGTCCCGAAACGCGTTGAGATACTCTTCATATCATATTGGTCGACCGTGGAATGCGACTGCAGCGCGCCAAGCAAAACAGACCCTCCAATCTCACCAGTCCCGGGGGCCATCTCTGATCTCTGGGGTATCCGACCTCATACAAGCACTCCGTGTCTCTCCATCCATTCCCAAAGAAATAACCATTCCCTTCAGCCTAGCAAATCATAGTCCTTCATCAAGTCAAGAATTGGCAATATCCAGTGTCAGGCGCGTCACATGTCGATTCAGTGGCGATCTGAGCAATACAGGTCTCGATCCAGTAACACAACATGATGGATGGGAGATTGCGACCTGGGTAATGCCAACCCTCAACTGCTCGAGGTTAGAAACACAGTTTGCTGGATGGCTACTTCGCCGAAACAAAGTTGAGATAGCCTGGCACATTGCAGACGTCGGACCATCTTGTTTGCCGATATCCATACACTTTTACCGACACCCGGCCTTGGCCAATCTCAACGTACTTTGAGTCAAACTCTCATCAACGGGCCTCCATGCAGATCTGTTGCGCCATTCCAGATAAGACTGGCGCAAGGCGACGATTGAAGTTGCAGAGTGTTTTCAGATACGACTGTCGCAGATGAGGTTGGCTGATGCCAATCTTCCTCTTCGTTGTGCGTACGGGAAGGGAAGTCCCTAGTCGTGGCTTGTGGCTGAAGATACAACAGTCTTGTCATTTCCCATCGAAGGTGAGGGTTATATATCTGTAGCAAAGGCGCGATCTCACAAGTCACCCTCTCTTCCTCACCAAGTCGCTCGCTCCCTTACCAAGTCACTCGCTTTCTTCACCAAGTCACTCGTTTGTATCGCTATTTAGCACTTGCTCTTGCACAATTCACCGTCTTTCAACATATATCCTTGCCGGCCACTGCCACCATGAAGTTCTCAAACATCTTGGTACCTCTTGCTCTCGCCTCAAGCGTCGCCGCCTTTCCCAACTGGAGGGACTGGCACGGCGCGGGCCCGGCATGGCACGGAAAGGGTTGCCTGACGCAGGCGGACGCTGACGACATTGTCGCCAAGTTCATCAGCATTCTCGATCACCCGGATGTCGACGCTGCCAATGCCACCGCTCAAGCCTTGATCGGCCCTGACTTCTTCGAGAAGTCCGACTCGATCAATATGCTTGCTGGACATCCCGTAAGATTGTGTCTCTGATGTGCTTCAAGCCCTTGCTAATGTGATGTAGGTCGGCGCAGTCACTTTCTCCGGCAAGGCCAAGTACATCCAAGGTGTTCTCCTCGCACCGTCAATCACCAACATCACAACATACAAGACTTTGGTCGCTGGCTGCACGAACGTCCTGTGGTACTGGAACATGGCCGGGATTGGAAGCAAGACAATCCCTGTGAATGGGTTTAACCTTTTCGAAATTACCGCCGACAAGCAAATCGCCGACATGTTTGTCGAGTTCAACAACGTTGGCTGGGGTATCGACACAGGCTTCACAGTCTTCAGCCGTAATGGAACTAAGCTGCCGTTGGCATGAGGGTTTTTCGAGTTGGCGTTAGCTGGAAGTTTTTAGAAATCTTCTCTTCTTGACGATGGATACGGTTCCCTTCGTGTTATGATACCAAACCTAGCAAGGAGACATTCAATTTTGAAGCAAGAAGTGTGGGCAGCCAAGTTCTGCAATTAAGTTCGCGGTGAAACGATTTCCGCATTCACCCACAGAAGTTCAGCGCCGTCCCTTGACACGCACAGCGAGCTGGCATCCGCTCCAAAGCGCTGTCAGCCTTCGTAGCCAGGGCGTCGTATAGCTTGCTCCGTCGGAGGACATGCGCTTGGTACTGCTGGGTCCATATGAAAAGAAGGCTAGCTTTTCGTATTTCTAGCTCATCGATTCCTTTCTGTCCCTTCTCCCACCGCAACTCTTAAGCTACATAACTCGTCCTCAAGCTGGGTGAACCACATAATCATCGGTGGCCGTGTTTCTATGGCTGTCAGTACGGGGTCCGCATTTCAGCAATACACGCTGTTGCCCTGTTCTCTCACGAATGAATCACTTCCTACCTCATTTCGAAAACAACGCAGCGCCAAACTTTGCAACAGGTCATTCCGCGCCTCAGTACCTGCATGTTTTGCTAGGTTTTCTGGCTCATTGAAGATGTTTTGAACTCGATGGTGACGAAGCGAGATGGTGGAGCTTGTGCGGCAGACCTTCCTTGAATCCACGAGAGGCACTGATGGGGTACGTACTTGGTTATCTCGATGCGTGGTTTGCAATCCTACCGGGTACAGCACCTCTCCCGTTCGAGTGCATCAGCAATGATCGTCTTGAAAGAGCGCGACGTGCACTTCTTGCTCTCCAACCTCTCAGCGACAGAATGCCACCGTCTCCTTAGCAGCCTACACGACGTTCTCCGTGCTTACTCCAGCTGCAAAGATGCTGCGTTGTCTGAACAAACTGTTCACCAACCGGAGCGGGAATCGATCGTCACCAGACTCGGTAATACTTCTCTCTTTATGCCATCTTCAATTACGACCTCTACAGGTATCAAAATCGTCACAATCAGTGCAAACGGGTTAAAAGGCTGTATCAACGTGTTCGCGCCGGAGGGAGACCTGCTTGGCCTATTAAATGCGGAAGAGGTCACTGCCTTTCGGACCGCGTTGGCCGTTATGATACCGTACGTGAGATGGCCCAAGTCCAAGAAGAATATCATTGTATTCGGTGCGGGACGACAGGCAGAATGGCACGTCAAGCTTGCTCTGCTGCTCAGTGACGTGGAGCGTATCACTGTTGTGAACAGGGGAACTGGTCGGCGAATGGAACAGCTATTCGCGGATCTGAGTCACCGGTACCCACAAGTCGTATTCGAGTTACTTCTGAGGACATCGGATGATTTCGATTCGCGAGTTCGCCCACTCCTTGCAGCTTCGGACGTCATTTTCTGCTGCACTCCAGCAACAACACCGCATTTTCCATCCAGCTATCTGGGCACGAAAGCACGATTCATCTCGCTGATAGGATCTTACAAGCCATCAATGCAGGAGGTTGACTCTGCAACGCTTCTGTCGGGTGACTGTGTATACGTTGACACGAGAGAAGGATGTCTCGCGGAAGCCGGGGAGCTGATCAATGCGAATGTCCATGGCGATCAGCTCATTGAGATAGGACAGCTCCAGGGAACCGACCCGTTTACAACCAACAGGAGCCTCATCTTCAAATGTGTCGGCATGGGAATCATGGATCTTGTCATGGCGGGCGAATTGCTCAAGATGGCCCAGGAGAAACGACAAGGGTTGGAGCTAAGTGACTTCTGAGTGTACCAAGATCTGTATGTTCTGTCGTCGTTCGTCTTTCCAACTCATGCCTGCCGCAGACGGGTCCAGTCACCTTGGCCAGCAACAGCCGAAAAGCTGCCGAATTGTGGTGGCCCAGATGCCATTGCCGAAGGTATGATCGTCTGCCCATCAAGTATCCCAAAGACGAGACTGTTTGACGAGTCGGAAATCTGTCCCCTGTCGAATTTCGTTATCGGGCTCGTAGTTGATCATCGAAGCATAGATCAGTCACACGTCAGTATACCGATGGACTCGATGGGCATATGGGTCATATAGCATACCTATGCATGGTGCAACACTACGTCACCGGCCTCTTAAGCCGTCAACAAGCCACGTCGATTCCATTGCTTTCCAAGCCTGATGGGCCATCTGCAAGAAAGCTACCGCTTATGATGTTTCGGTTGAAGGCATTTTTGACTTCCGCGTACGTTAAACTGGAAGCTTTTGCCGTTGCTGCGAAATCTCCTTCAACCTCCTCATCAAGAGTGTGCCCTTTTCGAGGTAGCACAATCCCCCGCCCTACCTGGAGATATCGGCCACGGGGATCCAGGCAGTCACTGCCATAATGCGGCTGGTGTGGATGAAGAAGCCGCCGGTGTGACCGAACTGTTCAATCGAAGATTCGAGCACGGATTGTGGCAAGGGGAACGGCCAACAGGAAGTTGCGTGGCGTACAGAGCAAGCCTTTTCATTTGCTCACGAGAAGCCAGCTGCATAGCCGCAGAGCCAGGAAAACGCGAATGCTGCGAGCATCATTGGAAAGTGCTAGCTTTGTGTGTGTCCTCAATGATCTGAACAACAGCTTCAGGAGCGTGGCTGGGAAAGAAGGCCCTTTCGACGCAGTCTGCTTCTGAGTGCGGCATTGCATTCGCGGCTATTGCTCCTAGCAGAACAGGCTCTGTTGGGCTCAAAATGCTAGCCGAAAGCTACCGGGCCATTGCCCACGCCTTCAATGGAGTCGAGCAGACTGACTGTGCCCGCGCGAATGGAATTGCACCGGCGGCGAGAGGCTTGTTGCGGTCGCAGCAGATCTTATTGGCTGTCCAAAAAGCTAGCACGACCTTTCTGATAGTTGCTGAGCAGAAGAACAGGCGGAGGACCCCCACCAACATTTTGGCTCGTTTTCACTTTTGCCATCGCTGCCATCAAGCCTTCCAGAAGCCGCCCCCTTTCCCCTTGGGGGCAGGCTTCCTAACCATCCCCAAGAAGGCATCACTCTCCCACTGGTCAGTGAGTGTCCCCTGAAGGTCGAAATCGGACAGATTAACATCGAGCTGGACCGTGACGATGACAATGCCAATCAAATCACCTTGCTGCCTTCGCGTTGAACAACAAGGGCTGGAACAGGTGCCCAGTGACTGCAACGGACGGCGATCGCTTGGGGGTGGTGGACCACACGTTGGACGATCTGAACCGCACGGGCTGGCCAGTTTCAGCCATACTTACAAAGCTGAAATGCTGCTTGACCAAGGATGCGGAAACCTAAACTGGGTAGATGAAGTGTTATTCTCGAGCTTTCCCTGTGTTCATTCCACGATCATAGCTTCGGCCATAAGAAGGTCTTCATCAGCAATGTCATCGTCAAACTCTTCTGGCCCCTGAGTATGACCATTGGTTCCATTACGCACAGGCATCCCGTTGACCTCGCTGTGCATGTAATCGTGCATCGTGGCATCTTCCCTTCCCATGTCTCCTTCACCGCGTCTCAGTCGCTGTTCTTTCTGGAAATTTTCCAACTCCGCCAGGTCCCAGCTATCTTTGCCTTTAGTTGAACCGTCTGCAAGCTTTTGGCCGGGTCGGAGCGGCTGAGCTATTGTCCTCAGAAACTTCTTGGCCATACCCACTGCAGCATCAGTGCTCAACCCAGTCTGGCCATCTGTGATTTCTTCTGCAATCCACCGAGGCAGTTGAGTCCGCTTTTTCTGAAACCGGCGGTCGGCGAGAACCATTATCCCATAGTCATCCTTTCCCCGCAGGACTCGTCCCAGGCATTGAGCTGCATGTCTCATGGCGTCAAACGACAAAAAGTCTTGTTCCTTGATTCTGTAGTTCTCCCGCAAGAACTCCAGGCGGGCTTTGAGGATTCTGGACTCAGTGTACTGGAAAGGGGCACCCAAACACAACACAGTGCGACCAAAATGGTGGTCGAAATCGATTCCCTCGGACACTTTTCCGCGAGCGACGCACAGTAGAATTGCGCCCTTTCCATTTTCACACGCAGTGCGGTAAGTCTCCAACGCAAGGCTGGTCTCTTGAGCATCAGGCGTTTCCACCAAGATCAACTTGTAGGTCCATATCTGATCCAGTATACCCATGCCCTGCCACATACTGATAATCATTTCCATGTATAGATAGGACGGGAAGAAGACCACGATACCATCCGGGGTGATCTTGGCAAATTCGAACAATAACGCACCGTAATTCCGCACCACTCCTGGATCAGACCGAGACTGAAAGCCCGATGTGATAGATTGCTGATCTGAACCTCGAGTTACAATCATGGGCAGGAATGATCGTCGGGCAAGTGACATGGGATATGATTCCTGCGTGACCGTGCTGAAGTTGAGCATCCTCGGATACATCTCTAGGGGAGAGATGGTGCCTGAGGTGATGATGACAGAGGAGAAACGTTCAAAAACTGGTTTGATTGCAATGGATGCGTCGAGGCAGGCGAAGTGCAGTATAGGATTTGGCACTGTCGCTTGCTCGGTCTCGAATGGCTCAAGGATCAAGAGGAAGCCGGTCTCGTAGGTTGCAACGAGTGTCGCAAAAGTGGCCACTTCCTGTAATGGTTGATAGTCTTCGATGTTCGTCAATTCTAGTGTGCGGACCAGAGAGGTCAGTCTCTCGGCACAGAAACGGAGGGGTTTGCGCTCGATAAAGGTCAACTCTTTTAGATGTGCTAGGAATGAAGGCGGTGTTTCTTGTATGACATATAAGACTTTCATGCGTGTCTTGAGATATTCGATGAAACGTTTGAGGAAAGCCACGAAATGCTCGGCTCGCCGAATGTTGCCTGGCACGGCTTCCTTTAGCAGATCGTCAGGTAGCGTCGGGTTGGACATAAAGGCGTCCTCTACTCTGGCTTCATCTGCTTCTCTCAATCCCTCCACGAGCTTCTGATATTCATTCTGGAGTTTCTGCTCGTCCGACGCCTTCATTTCCTCGATCTTGCGCTCGAGGTTGTTAGCGCCACGGGTGGCTTTCCTCAGGGAATCTTCTGTCAAGTCAATGGATAGCGACTCGATGCAAACGTTGTCGATATTGTGGGCTTCGTCGAAGACAACAATGCAATCCTTGGACAGCTCTTTCGAGACACGTTCCGCAATTTTAGGGTCGAGGAGATAGTGGTAAGAATAGATAATGACATTGCAGAAGGGCATCATCCGACGGGCGGAGAAGTAGGGGCACTGTTTGTGTGCTTCGCCATACTGCAACAACTCGTCCAGGGTGAATACCCCTGGAGGTATGAGGTTGTGGGGCTCGAGAAGATCCAGATTCTCGTGATAGACACACAGCTCAACGTCCTCTCCTCGCTCTTTCTTCTCCTTGACGAAACCAGCTGTGACACTTCGACATCTCGCGTCAACGACCGCGCCACTCTTCTCCCGCTTGATCGACGGATGTAGACAGAGATTCTTTCTGCTCGTCAGACCCAAACCTCGAAAGTCTTCTGTGAAGCCGAGTTCCTTGGAGCGATATTTCATGAGCGACCTCAACTCAGCCAAGGCCTTCTCGATCTCTGACATGGTCCGTGAACAATAGATGAGCTTGCGGTGCTCCGGATAGTGCTGCTGGTATGCAACGATTAAAGATAGCAATGAAACGGTCTTGCCGGTACCGGAAGGCATTTCCAGGACGCAGTGACCTCCGGCATCGAGGGTTCGTTTAAGATCGCACATGTAGGCATATTGTTCAGGGTAGACGCGGGGATAAGGAAAGAGAACGGGCAGATCACTACTCGAAGGTCAGCCAGATAGTCCGGGGCTCCCAAATGAGGCTTCGTACTCAATGAAAAACTTCATGTTGGGAGCATGGCCCTGATTGACCACCGCTCCCTGTATCCGTGGCCGAGGAGCTCCGCGATGGTCAGTCTCAAGAAATGTTTCCGGGGATCCAGGCGGCTCGAGATTCAGCCCTGGAGAGCAACAGGAAAACTGAAAATCTTGTAAGCACAGTGGAGGTGGTCGAGATGAATATGCAGTTTTTCTACCGCCGCGGTCGCACGCGTCCAGATCAGCCAGGCTGCAGGTGCCTTGTACTCCGTACCGCGAATGGCTTAACGAGGATTCAGGGTCGAACTTGTGTCACACGTCATTAGGTACCCATTACGTGACTTCCAAAATTTTGGCGTTCACCCCACAAGGCTTCCCCGCTAGATTTCGAAGAGTTGAAACCCATCTGTTGACAATCGCATGTTGGGGCAGCATGAGCAAGAAGTTCAAGTCACAAGCATCCGCTGCAAGCGCTCGTGCTGCTTCTGCCACCTTAGGGTCATTCTCTCCCGGTCCCAGCTTCGGGGCTCCCGCTCCTGTCGGGTTCCAAACCGCGCCGTCCCCGCTGTCCTACATCGCTGAACAACCCGACTTGAGTACCATCACGAATGCCAACCTCGTTGTCACACTACGGAACCTGGGGAAGAAAGACAGTACAACCAAAGCTAAGGCTCTTGAGGAATTTCAAGATTATGTGGGCTCTCTAGGCTCGGGTGAGGCCATCGAGGCTGGCTTACTAGATGCCTGGGTTTGTCGTATGCCTGATTCGCTTGTCGTCAACTAACTGCCACAAGATCAGCCTGTACCCTCGAACCTCGATCGATAACTCTCGCAGAGTTCGACAGCTCGCTCATACTTCGCAAGGCTCACTCACAACCCTTGCCGGAAAACGAATAGCTCCTCAGCTACCTAAAGTGATCGGAGCATGGCTCTCTGGCTTGTATGACAGTGACCGGCTGGTTGCTCGAACTGCACAAGACTCTGTTTCAACAGCTTTCAACACCGAGGACAAGAGACGAGCGTTATGGAAAGTCTATCGAGGTGCCCTAGTCGATTACGCCAACGATGCGATTCTTGTACAGACCCCTCAGACGCTGAGCGACGAACGCTCAACCACACCAGACGACGCAGAGTCCAAGTTCGTCCGCGTGGTGGGCAATGCGGTGCAACTGCTCAGCCAGGTCATCAAGGTCAATTACCCAGCGGCGCGTGCGGACAAATTTGACGGGCTAGACACCATCAAGATCATCCTCGAAGAGAAGAAGCTATGGGAATACTCATCACATCACGACCCAACCCTGCGGAGAGCTCTTTGTAGCTTAGCCAAAACATGCGCGGATACGATTGCCCAAGAACTGGATTGGAAGACCCTGAGTGCTTGCTTCATTGGTAAAGCCCTGCACAGCAACCAGCTTGGCTCATCCCGCCAGCTCTCAGAAGCTCTTCTCAGTCTCACATCGATCCGACCTGAGATATGGACGATAGACTACACTTCAAAAACGGCGGCGTCAAAATGCCTATTCCAGTTTCTGCGAAAAGGATCACAACGAGGTCCTGCCGAATTCTGGTCCGATGTTAAGGCGCTCATCAAGGGCATTCCTGTTGAAGCTTGGAGCACGAACACGAAAGACGGCAAGGTCCATTCAGAAGATGCCGCAGCTTTGCTAGAATCTCTGCGTGCTGGTGTGATGAGTAACGAAGAGCCACGTCAGAATCTCGAGGCTGCATGGTCGTCTTATGTTGAGATCTCTTTCTGGCTACTAGAGCGACTGGATGACGAGCAGTTAAAAGTGAAGTTACTGGAAGACAATGCCCTCCCTATGGTCACGGAATATGCTGCGCCGGACCCCAATCAAAGTCTGTGGGTAGTTCCGAGTACGTGCGATACCGAGGTAGCGGCATCAATTCTCGTCAGCATCCTTCGCCGGGGAATGCATTCCTCTTTTGAAACTACCTGGACAGGGTTGTGCCAGAGTCTTAGCGATCACATGAGATTATCACTGCCAGAGTCCTCGAAAGACTTCATCAAGTCACAGGATAAGGTCATTGCTCAAGCTCAACGTCTCTTCCGACTCAAGAGGATCATCCTGGAAGCTCAACACCTTGCATCATCGGAGAAAGCACACGTAGCTGACCTTATTCGGAGATCAGACGAGAGCTTAGTGGTTGTGGCGATTGAGCTCTTGAAGGCACGAAATGGAAAGCCATATGGTGCAGCTGGTGTCCTCGAATTCGTTGTCGCTCCTACAGATCCACTTCCCAGGTCGTTGGAACTTTTCCTGGATTCGGAGGCCCTGAAGCTGCTTGCTAGTCCATCAGCAGAGTACTTGGTATCATTATTGCTACGTGCACGCAAAGGCCTAGCACAAGTTTTTACGGCGTTGGTGTCTGGGTGCGAGAGACCCAGCGCCTCCGCCGCACTTGCTCGACTCGCTGCCGACCTCTCTGAAGAAGAATGTTTGCAAATCCCTGATTTCGAGCCCTTCATTTTGGAGCTGATACCATCACAACTTGATACCTTGACCACTCAGCAAGTGGTTAAGAGCGTACTTCAGAATCCCAAACTCACCTCATCTGCCGTCCACAAAAGAATCTGCCAGAAGTTAGTCGATCAGCTGTCTCCAGAATACGGGACAAGTACCCAGCAAGCCGTTCTTCGCTTTTTGCTCGGCCTTTTCAATTACCGCGTTGTCAAGTCCTCCCCTTTCTCCGGCGATGTAGGAAGACTGCTTCTCGCGAAGCTGCTCCTGCTCACCGATTCTGGCGACGAGGAAACATCCGAACTTGCGAGCTCATTGCTGGGAAAGCTGAAAAGCACGCCGACAGGGACGTCGTCCACAGCAGTCTCTTCTGCGGCCCTCATCGCAGACCAGCTCTCGCGAAGAGGTGATCCCCTCCCTATCTTCGTCCTCATCGACCTTGGCAAGGACACCCTGAAAGCATTGTCGGCACCAGATGGCAACATGCTCGGCTCACTTCTTCCCACCACAGCTCAGTGGGAAAACTCCCTCAAGGATCACATCACAAGACCGCCACCGCCATCAGTTTCTATCACCAGTCCCTTACGCGGCCTGATCTCCATGATCACGCCTGTGCATACAAGCACACTGACACTGACTAGAGACTCGGAGGGATATTCCTACCTATTCCGTCTGTTTCTATACGTGACCAAGATGATGAACGCCAATAACCTCTCCATGGTACAGTCCGAAGAACAGTTGATGACACTGTACACCTACTACCCTCTGGCCCTACAGCTTGTGAACGACAATTTGACCATAGAGCGTCCAGATGGCCTTTGGCATAACACCAATAACGAGGTTGTGGAAGAGGCTGCTGAAGCAGTCTCGCAAGGCACTTCATTGGTGCAGAAGTGGTTGCAGGATGACAAGTTAATCAGACTTTGGATAGAGGCAATCCGTTCAACGAATTCACTGGCTCCAAATGCGTACTATCACGGTTTGGCCTTTACCGACATCGCAGCGCGCTTTGTTGATGAGCATGGCTCCGCAACGTTCATATCAGCCTTCGAAGCAGAAATAAAGGACCTGTATCATGCAGACGAAGCCGTTCGGTCCGCAAGCTTGATTTCTGCTTGTCGGGATTACTTTATTAGCTCTCAACAAGGACGAAGACTGTTGAACGAGTTGGTTGCAGCTGTGACGGCCATAGACGTACCCTCCACATCGAATATGGCATTGAGGCCACTGATCCTCCTTGACATCCTACTAGGCGGGAGTTCCGAACCCGTAGAGGGTATACCTGGCCAACGCCAGAATTTCCTTATGCAGACTCTAGTACGCATTCTTTCCGATTCTTCAGCAGGATCAAACTCCCAAACATTGGCTATCAGACTTCTTGAGCCCATCGTTGTGGCTGTCAAAGATCTCTACGGAGAACATTGGGAAAGAATCTTACAAGGTCTCAACGCTATCCTGCAGAACAGAAGCAGCTTAAATGAGGATCTTCCCATCTTGCATGCGTCGCTCCGGCTCCTCGGGCGACTCAGATCTCTGGCCCAATCTGATGGAGCGAATGAGGATCTAGTGGAGACGTGGGAAGTCACAGAGCCGTCCCTAGAAGAGGGCTTGCTGGATTGTTTGCGTGGGTTTAACAACTCATTGAATGAGATCAATCAGCCTACCCGGATCACTGCAGAACTTCTGCGAAGGCAGCTGTCGCAGATCCCTGCCCGCCACGATGTGACCCTATATCCTTTTCTTTCCTCACCACTGGACTCCATCCAAGGAGCAGCCTACCACCTTCTGCATCGTTCTATCCCTGCAGAGCAAGAGCAGATATCGCTGGACGTGGCATTGGAACAGAAAGGCGCGCATCTGCCGACAGAACTCCTGGAACTGCTGCTCGACGTGCCACAAACCTCCGCGAGGACAGATGCACCGTTGTATCGAGGTTATCTGCTCTGCTGGAAGCTGGTATTCGATCACTTCCCAAAGGCCTCATACAAGCTTCAGGAAATGTACACCACGGATATCAAAGAGAAAGGTGTAGTGGGAGATCTCCTCGAACTGATTTGCGACGTTTGCCGGATCACGAGTACTCACCCGCTTGACGCCTCGAAAACCAATGTCAAAGACTTTGAAATTGGCACTGGCGAAACAGAAGAACAGGAAGAGCAGCGCTTGATACTGCATCTTTACTATTGCTGCCTATTGTTCCTTCCCGGGCTTACCCGGAGCTGGTTCATAGAACAAAAGAATCGTGTCAAGACACCACTCGAGAGCTGGACTCAGAAGTACTTTTCACCAGCCCTGATCTCGGCCGCGGCTGCTACAGTCACCAACTGGGTACAAAGTCAACCCCAAGATGAGGGCGATTCACCCGTAACGGTCAAAACATCACTCAGTGGGTCCGAGACAGTGGCGTCGATTGCTGTGGATCCCGAGTCACCGCCTATCTCTTTGGCCATCTCAATACCAAAGAGTTACCCTCTGGATTCCCCGAGTGTCTTTTCGCGCACCCGAGTGGGTGTTTCTGAGAAGAACTGGCAGTCATGGCTGCGGACTATTCAGATCATCATATTCAGCACCGGCAGCATCATTGAGGGCCTCATCGCATTCCGACGCAACGTGCAAGGCGTATTGAAAGGACAAAGCGAATGTGCCATCTGCTATTCTATCATCGGCACAGATATGCAAATTCCTAACAAGCGGTGCGGAACCTGCAGGAATACCTTCCATGGCGCTTGCCTATTCCGCTGGTTTAAGAGCTCCAACAGTTCGAGTTGTCCACTCTGTCGCAACAATTTCAACTACGCTTAACGGCAAACCGCTTAGCCTTCAGCAGGGTGAGGCTGGATTCGAGTCGCCCGCACTCTAGCCATAGACGCCGCAGAGAATATGGCGAACCTTGATGTTCATGTAACCTCTTCTGCGCTATTTCGACTCATACCTGCCAGTGCTGGCACGTGCTTCTTCGCGATGTTAGCTGTCCATGTCCACTGCTTAGCCGCATTTGTCACGGACACAAAGGCTGATGGATGATAGTCACATAATCGCTGAGCGCAGAGTGTGGTGTTGACATAAATTAACCCACTCGGAGAAATACTAAGATAGAGTAATATAGTTAGTTGCAGCTCCAACAATACTGCCTGGGTGATCATGGGTACAGCAACTGCGCTCCATATCGTCGTACGAGTACTCCGAACAGGAGGCACGAGGAGCACGAGGAGGCTGAAGGAGGAGCCCCTCGGCTTCACCCGTGCATACGTTCATCGCAGGGGAGTTCCAGCCGCCCGCCAATTTCCGCCTAACTCTGTCGCTCCACAAAATTTCTTAGTCGGAGAGGCCCTTCGCATTGGACGTAGTCTTCGCGCCTCGAAGCCCACACCCTGCTACTATATCTGCGTATGGTTCTCGGGCAGCAAAGGTATCTTCTAATACCAATAGCACTACGCAACATCTGTGATAATGTCCGCGCCGTCGATACCAAATTTGAATTCACTCCGGAGAGGAGCGCTTCGCGGGCGAGGAAAGAGTCACGCAGCCGATTCTCCCGATGTTTGTCGATCTGACTCACGCCGCAAACAAGTCAATTATGACGCGGTCATCCAGAGTACGGACGACGATGCTGCAACCTCTCGACAAAGTGCTGTCGACGCCGGCTATCTAGAGGATCCCTTTGCAGCTCTCTTACATACCAGCGGCCCCGTTTCGAGACGGTTACCACTGATGAATCGAGGTAGGACAGTGACGTGCACAACCGTTTTAAACTCTCGATTTATGATTGGCAGGTACCTATGTCAGAACCACCGGCATCGATCGCGTTGTAGACAAGTTCTTGTCATCTGCTCAAGGGGGCCGCAAACAGATTATCTCTCTGGGTGCAGGCAGCGACACAAGATTTTTTCGTTTGAAGCAAAAACGGCGCGATGTCGACCTCGTTTACCATGAACTTGACTTTGAGACAAACACCAGGAGGAAGATCGCTCAAATGCGCAGTCCTGCTTTTGCGGCTGCTGCGAAGGCGCAAGCGGGAGTTGATCTGCGTGCCGAATCTGCTGTTTCATCTCAGGACACGTCCGTCTTGGTCACCTCTGACTATCTCATTCACCCCCAAGATCTCCGCCTATTACCAAAAAAAGAGGGACCCCTTACGGGCATCGACGTAACGCTTCCGACTTTGATCATTTCGGAATGCTGTCTCGTGTATCTTCCGCCGGACGATGCCGACGCCGTATTGCGATACTTCTTGAACCTGTTCTCGGACACGGTGCCTCTCGCTATTGTCATCTACGAACCGATACGTCCGCATGATTCATTTGGCAAGACGATGATAAGCAATCTGGCAAGTCGAGGTTTGCAGTTACCGACTCTAGAGAGGTATCATGATCTCAAGGAACAGAGAGGAAGACTGCGCACATATGGGTTTGGTGACGAACCACCATGGTCCTGTGGTGGTGCGGAAGCGGCCGACATAGACTTCATCTGGCAGAAATGGATATCTGCAGAGGAGAAGGAACGGGTGGAAGGTCTAGAGTGGATGGATGAGGTCGAGGAGTTTGTCCTACTAGCGAAGCATTATTGCGTCTCTTGGGCTTGGAGAGGGTTTGCAGCGGAATCGCCTTGGAAAGACTTGCCTATCCCTCCTAGGTGAGAGCTACGGAGTCCAGGATTCAGTAAGAGAATCGAGGAGCTGCCGATATGAGGCTCACAAGACATACGGCCCAGCTTTCTGATTCCATGCTGAATGCGCAACCGTACGGAGTCTCGGGCACTCTGGTACGAGGTACAGTACGTGCGTCCACAACTCCAGCGGCGACGTGCTCTTCCACCACTAACAAAAGCAAACGGTACACAGTACGGAGTACGGGGTACGGCGTGGTGGACGCCACGTTTTGCCAAGACCCCAACGTAAAGCCGCGATGTGGAGTTTCAGTCACCGCTAAGCGAGGCTTCCTTTCTACTTACTGCACCTGCTTGCAACGTGCTCATAACCCGCACCGGCACCTCGCAGCTCATGGACGTGTTGTGAAAGGGCCGGCATCTGACAAACCATCACCAGAACCTCGCACTTCGATGGACGGAAGACCTGTGGTTGCGGCTTTGTGTGCCGAGCCTCGATTCTCAGGCGGCTGAGGGGCGCAAAATTTCCCGGCCCAGCTTTTAATTCCCGACCCTAGCAACCAGGGCGACCAACACAAAGGGGCAAACCGGGGGCTCATCAAACGTGGGCGCCAAACCTTTGGGCGAGCCATCGTAACAAAGTCGAACAGTGTCCACCACAGACATCACGATTCGGTTACTCTCCAGCGCCCTACACTGACTGACTCGAAGACGAAACAACTATGGATCGGTCTCGTCCATGAGCATGGACACACTCCAAAACTGGCCCATGAATGGAGGCTCGACAGTCCAGTGACGCGAGATTGGCCTGCCAACATTCCAAGTTTCATCAACACAGCAACAAAGCAGCACTTTTCGATCCCTCCATCACCATTCGATTCCGCACGAACATTGCTCGATCATGCTCAAGAATCAAGCTCTTGTCGGAGCTTTTGTGATTCGTGGTATGAGATTGTCACCCCACAAAGCGGACCGCGGCTTGACGCGATCGAGGTCGGCGTCCCTGACTTTACCCCATTGACAAAACAAATTACCCCATTCACAACACAAACAGTGCCACTGGTGGGTCATCCCCAAGCTAGGGGGGACCAGCAATGCGCCAGCCTTGCATGGCTCCAGACGGGCCGGTTCATCGTCACAGGCAATTTGCGCTCGAGAGCTTGATCGGCATCCTGCTTGACCGCTGCGCGCCGTCCACAACCTTTCTACTGCGTCTCGTCGATCTTGCTTCTCTGTTTCCAGTTTGTTGTCGCTGGAGTTGCTGTCGTTTTCGCTGTCGCGCGCTCTGCGAGCACCCACGTTCTTTACCAAACCAACTGACCCTAGTCGCTCTTTTACGAGTCCGCGCATTGTCCATTTCGAGCACAGTCCAGTGTCGCAAGGCGATGCTCAAATCTCAAGAGTTACAACATTGACAATCAGCAGCAGAAATGCGACAACGAACCATCACCTCAAGCGCAACCGCGCTCCTGCTCCTCATCGCGTCTGTCGTCAGCGCAAAACACGGGGGAATCCACGAACATCTCGAAGCTCTGCACAAACGACATCGCGCAAACCGTGAAGTTGCTGCCAGGTCGACTGTTGAGAATGGAGAACAAGGGGTAGAGATAAGAGGGGCCCCAGAAACCGAAACTTCGAATGTCAGCCTCGAGAAGCGACAAGGACAATGCGCTTTCCCGACCGACGCTGGCTTGGTCCCTGTCAACCCTGGCGGCCAGAACGGCGGGTGGGCCATGAGCCCAGATCAGCCATGTACACCTGGCAGCTATTGTCCATACGCGTGTCCGCCTGGTCAAGTCTCGATGCAATGGGATCCAAGTGCGACATCGTACTCATATCCGAAGTCCATGGTTAGCACTGTACCCCAATATCACGGCTCTTCCACTGACGAATCTAGAATGGTGGATTGTATTGCGACAGCAATGGAAATATCCAAAAGCCATTCTCCAACAAGCCATACTGCCAGCCGACCAGCAGTAATATTGGTGTTCAGAACAATGCTGGCGGTGTTGTTTCTTTCTGTCAGACTGTTCTGCCAGGCAATGAAGCCATGTTGATTCCCACATCCGTTACTAGCTATGCAAGTCTTGCTGTGCCAGATCCAAGCTATTGGTGCGAAACGGCCGCACACTATTACATCAATCCCCCGGGGATCAGCACCGATGAAGCATGCGTATGGGGCAGCAGCTCTAATCCATATGGCAACTGGTCCCCATACGTCGCCGGAGCCAATGCCGACGACTCTGGCAACACGTTCATCAAACTCGGATGGAATCCAATCTACCTTGAGCCAACCACTCCTTTCCGCAACCAGAAGCCGACCTGGGGTGTTAAGATTGATTGTCCAAATGGTGGGTGCAACGGTCTGCCCTGCTCGATCGACCCAAGTCAAAATGACGTGAATGAAATGAACGGCGGATCCAGCAAAGGGGCAGGTGGTGGTGCATTTTGCGTAGTCACTGTTTCGCGGGGTGCCACCGCCAACTTTGTGATCTTCAACGCTGGTGATTATCAGAGTGACGATAACAGCGGCAGCTCGAGTTGGGGCCACCCAGGCTCACCCGGTGCCACCAACAACAACAACAATGGCGGCCAGTTCTTTAGTCAGACCAGCAGCTCCTCCCCGTCAAGCGATTCTTTTTCTCAACCTACATCTAGCCAGGCTCCAGCTACGTCGTCAGCGTCTACTTCATCAGAAGACTCCTGGACGTCTTCATCGGCGCGAACCACGAGCTCGTACCCCGCCGCTCTAACCATGACTGCGCCAACCACGGCGGACTACGGTACCAGGCTGCCATCGGATTCCCCATACTATTCATTGTTCAACCACACGACTTACGCCGTCCCTACCTTGGGATCCAACGGAAATCCTACCGAGGCTACAGCGGTCCCTTCTGGGCCGAGCGCTTCATCTATCCCTTCGATGGCGCCTGGTACAGGGGCTGCCTCGATGGTGAAAAACTCAGCTGTCAATATCCTCTCAGCTCTGATCTTGTGCGCCATGGCCGCATTATGACACCTCAGTCTGGGGGACTCTAATTGAAGCAATCAGATCCAAGCAGGAAAAAGGTCCTTGGAATCTGTACCGCAGCTGGTTTGCAGACACACCCATCAGCCGGACGAGCTGACAAGACCGTTCACTTCTTCGCGCATTTTACTTGCTGTTTAAGCGAACATAATTTCCAATGTCCGAAATCATTCTGGTAATGCCGGCAAGGGGCACGCAGCTACGTCGACCATCGCACTCGCGCACGGGGAGATAACCGTGCACATGGAAGGCAGTTTTGGTAGCAGCGCACATACTCAGAATATCTAAGGATTGGAGACCTGCGTTCTAACGATATCCACGTCTGTTTTGTTGCGAGATCCTCATGTTTGGGGACCTGGGTACCAGGGTTGCAGAGGGGCCTTCGAGGGAAGTTGGCAGCTCCGAGACGAATTGTATCGCTGTGGAAATTGAGCGTTGGGCTTGTCAAACCTGTTTCAAAGTAAATAGTTGCTTATAATCAATCAGTTGATATTTTGGTTCTGGTTCTCTCTTGAGAAGTTGTATCTCGCATGCCCATCTTTGCGCGTCTCCATGCGAGCTTTGCCCCTCCATGTTATGTTTGGAGATCCTGCCAAATACTTCAACACCCCACCTCCATTTGTTCAGTCTAAGCTACGAAGCCACCCCAGGTAGCTAACGGACTATCAACAGCCCGTTACACATCTTGCCAGCATAGCTGTGTCCGGCGACCCTTTCCAATAAGTCTGCTTTCACGGCGACGAGTACAGAACTGCACATCGTATACACTTCTCCCTCTCAGGACGTGCTCGGCCTTGAACGAGAGGCCAACATCACCATCCGCTCACATCGGGTTCAAAATGCCAGCAGCATCTCCTCAGACGGTGAGCATCCCTCAAAACATGGACTTCCGTCCTCACATATCAGCGGAAACCACCCTGGGTGTTTCATCCCCAATCAATGGCACAGCACCTCACTCCGGCCGTTCCTCCTCCATCTGCTCCCCTTGAGACGCTCCGACAGCGCAACTGTTTCTGACGCTCGTCGCAGGTGAAACTGAAGTCTACTCTCCGCCTCCTGATCCCCCGTCTGCGCAATGCCCAGAAGAAAGACACCGCCCTTTCCGTCGGCGCCCGGCGCGAAATGGCCGAACTCCTCACCCAATCCCGCGAGGCGTCGGCGCGCATACGAGTCGAAAACATCATCCACACGGACATTACGGTGGAGCTGATGGAGATTCTAGAACTATATGCAGAGCTGTTACTTGCGAGAGCGGGTTTGCTCGACGTTCGGGACAAGAACATCAAAGACGGCACTGCGCAAGTAGGCGATGACACCGGCCTGGAAGAAGCGGCGGCGAGCATCATATACTCTGCCCCAAGACTGCCACGGGACGTCCGAGAATTGGGCATCGTGCGGAACATGCTGATCGACCGGTTTGGCAAGGACTTTGCGATTCGTGCAAACGAGAACCAAGATAACTGCGTACCAGCCCGGGTAGTGGACAAGTTGAAGGTTGACCCTCCAAGCGCGAAGCTTGTGCAGGCATATCTTGAAGAGATTGCACGGACATATAGTGTAGACTGGCCGCCGCACAAAGAGAGCGAACAAGTCGAGGCGTTGGGCGAGGAAGTGGACGGCGAGGACGATGATCTCGGAGGTGGGGCCAAGGAGGCGCCTATGCTTGCGGATGGAGCAGCACCAGCCACACCCTCGAGGCCGAACAAGATTGATATCGGAAATCTGCAGAATGCAACGCCTCCAACGAGTCTTGAGCCCGGGGGAGCAAAGAGTCCTGTCTCAGTGGCACCTCCCGGTGCGAGGTCAGACAATTTAAGCCCCAAGGTCAAGTTGCCTGGTGGAGGAGAGGTGGGCAAGAGTAATGGTAATGCGAAACCTGCAGCATCTACTGGGACGGTCAAGAGCAAGAGTCCCGCCTCAAGTGGAGGTGGGAATGCAGGAGCAGTTCCTGGCAAGGTGCCTACCGTAGACGACTTGACAAAAAGGTTCTCGGCGCTGAAGAGATAGATGATGCTCTTTGGGCCTATTGCGCTGGGTTGCAATGTGATACAATTTATCGTGCATCCATGATGAACGCCAACACCCATCGTTAGACCTCCACTCGTACGGCGGGGTCCTTACTACCAGACCAAGGCTCTCTTCTGCCAGATAACAGTGCTGGCACTTTTTCAGTGGCACTTTGCCCTTGTACAAGTCCTCTTCCGTGCGGGACTCAGTCGTCGCCTCCTCGTAAGGGGCTTCCCCCGCAGACCCTCCGAAGGTACCAATGACGCGCCCTGATTTCGGCCTCCGCGGTTAGGGCAGCATGGATATCGATCAATTGAAATAGCCGGATCCTCAATAACGAGGTATTCATCCCAGTCGAGAGCCGGACTCGGTGTTGCACATGCGATCGCCCTAGTTTCAGCATCACTCAGCAAGCGATGCACCTATTCCTCCCCTGGAACAGGTTGGAGTCCAGTCTTTCCAGGCCTAGAGACAGTGCCCTGATGTTGGCCGGTCAATCTTGGTCACCATCCGCCGTGAAATGGACTTGGGCCTATACCAAATATGCTTGTTGGAGGCAACTGGGTAGGCCTCTAGATAGGTACTTTGTCGAGGGCCTCCATTCCTCACTCCAGTTTATCCAGATGCTCGAGTCTTGTCAAGACGACTTGTTTGCTCGTCTCTTCAACCTCTCCTGCCAGAAAGACTTCATCAAGAATGGCGTAGACTTTGTAGAAGTTGAAAACAAGATCTAACTCGCAGACGTTGCCGAAAAACTGATCGAGGACTTCGACGAAGAAGTGTATTGCCTCCAGATAGGCAAGTTCGTTGTCATTGGCATCTACACAGACACAGAAGAACAGTCCGGCATACCTCCGATAGACGATCTTCGTAGAGGACAAGTTCTGGCGGACAAGGGGTTGAGAGTGAGATGTTGAGGTAGACGAAGAGGGTGCGGAGCGAAATTCGACAAAGTTGGATTGGTATTTTTGGTCGCGAGGCGCGATGAGGCGATGGACTTCGCCCTTCAGCTTGACTTTCTCTTCGTCTGTGTACGGCGCATACCTCCAGCATGGGCAAAGTTAGTGCTGCTTCTCATGCCATGGACATCTCGGCGGGATTGGGAGGTCTAACTCACCATTTGGCCAACCTTGTCTTTCCCTGCCGGTTCTGGACCAGAATGAATGAAAGGACCATGCCGAAAGACCTGCGCGCGATACCTGCAGAGTCGATGTCAGACGGCGAAGAAGGGACACTTCAACTTGTCGGCGCGCAGACGATGCCGATAGTATGGAGTAGACAGCAACGGCCCAGTGACTCTGCCTCGGGTGCTTGCATAAATTCAAAGGCAACACCAGTTGCAGGCTCAAACCACGCTAACCACAAGTGCCACACGTCCTACGACATCAGCGTGACAAAGCACTTACTACCCGTCGAGACAGAGAATGCTTCTCATGGTCAATGGGCAATCTTGTAGCCTGAGAAACATGCTAAGGATATGAAAGCAAACGCACAGATATATTCATATCTGCCAGCACGGCATTGGCAAGGGGTGTCATTTCGCAATTCCGAAACAGGGTCAGTTGAATATGTGAACGCCACCATCTCCGGGAGATGGACGGAGACCTGTGTGTTGTGTTCAAAGACGGCGTGAAAGGGCTCCTCCTCCTCCTGAGACCTCCAACGACTGCAGCCAGTATTGCGTGCTCCGGGCGTATGACATTTGTGAGTTCAACACTTGATCAATTGAAACATCTGAGCTGCTTACGAGCTCATTCAACTGTGTGGATACGTGAGCTTTCGGTACTCAAGCACAGACTGCCTTGGATCCCTCGAATCCGAGCCCAGCCAAAATGACTATGGAATCTGGGAGCCAGTAGTCTTAGGCTGTCTAGATTCAGCGTTTGACTCTCACAGCCTCTGCGCCTTCAATCGCTCTGTAGAGCCTGGATTTGAGTCCCATTCCAGATCATTTGCTCCACGCACGCCGACATCTTACCCTCTCCCGCCGTCTGGCGTGTACCTCAAACAGAAGGGGGTCTCAGTGCGACGACACCTAGTGGCCATAGGAGTGACACATGCGAACGAGCTTGATGTAGCGAGTCGACCGCTACCACCCGAACATCACTTGGCCACTAGGTGCCCACTTCCACAGTATTGTGATGTGGCGAGTCTCCGCTGGTGCGCGTTCGCAGACTTCGCTCTTATATTGCGCTCCTCAATCCGGAACACTGGGTGGTCACCAGAATTACCAGCCCTACCGGCAGTACCCAACAAACATCAAGCCCGATGCTCAAAGCCTCCATGCTCAGACCGCGCCCAGAAGGGACCTAATCAAAGCGCTTGGATCGTGTCCATGTCGCAGCAAGTCAGTCGCCATGAGACTCGCAAACCCAGCGCGGTCAAGCAGCCCATGCAGCGAGCTGACCTGAACAACGTCGAAACCTGGGTCCCCGTACAGCTCCGGCCAAGCGCTTTCCTCAACATCGAATACTACGCAGATACAAAGAGCTGGTCATGAGGTCCACCTGCGAGGTGGGATGCCTTTGGAAATAGTCGGATGGGAACGAGACGGATGTGAATGTAAGTGCTCCGTATTGTCATGTGAAAATGACATAGTACTTCTGCTAGCTCTAGATAGCCACATGCTCCCAGGAGAGTGCTATCGAGAAGCAGTAACCGGAGACGAGAGAGCGTGACACTGCATTAGCTGGGACTGTCGGAGTCTGCTGGACCATGACTCTATGCAACATCTCTCTTTGAAGGTATGAGCATTATACCCTCGTCAGGATGATAACTGAACCACCAGTATGCCAGAAGACTCACGGCCAAAGTCCATGATATACAGGATGCATACTGTACCCCATTAGTCACGTATTGGAAATCGGATGGCATTCAGCGACCCGAATGATTCTGGTGGAACCGAACGAGACCTGCAAAGAACATGACCTGATTCTTCCCTTGGTGTTTGCTTCACCCTCCATGGAATCTCTGTTCCGTCACGTTCGGTTCGTTGCGTGATCTTGCCACAGCTCGCGCGTTTGTTAAAGGATTATATCTTCCTCGCCTATTCCTAAATGCAACAGTAGGCATTCGTATCCATTCATTTCGCCGATCACAGTGGTATTTCCCGAACGACCTACATAATATACCAAGACCGGAAGAACACTGGGTGTACTTTACCAATTCAGCTCAAACACGAACCATGATCAAGTCCATTCATGCAGTCCTCCACGACATTCTAGAACTCGATGAGGTTCGATCGCCCGTCCACACAGGTTCCCACACAAGCGGCGTGGGTTCTGCTCGACTCCGCTCTGAAAACACAATCGCTATGGAATTCATCTCACCTTCAAGAGCTTCCACAACAAGAGGGCAACATGAGACCGAGGGGCATTTGCGATGTGGGCGGCGTATAGAGGGCTGGACTCGCGAGGAAGGATGGTGTAGATGCTGCGTCACCATGTGACACCAGGCTTCTCCGGATATTGGGGGAGTGTGGCTTCCTCAGACGCTGGTCACGCCGGAGAGCGGCATGAGGTCTTGTGTGGAAGTTGCTGATCTCCGCGCAGCAAGACTACTTTGACAAATCTGCCGGGCTTGAGCTGTTGACCTCTGAGGCTGACAGTCGCTCCAATACTATATCACCGGCAGCAGTGAGGACTGAGACTTTCGGAGTGCTTTTTCGAGCTTGAAAACAGAGCTGTGAGACCAAAGCCAGATGGACAAAAATGAATGATATTGCTGTTCGGTACCGCCGTGCTGGTATCTTTCTTCACAAACAGGAGATCGAGCCCGACGCCCCAATGCATTATTCTGTGCTTGACCTGGTAGAGAACCTCCTGTAGCACAAGCACTGCCCCACAAATGCATCCTGTGCCAGATCGTTCAGCCAAGGACGGAGTTCATTGCCTTGTGCGCCAGTTCCACGCCGACAAACGTCGCCGCATTCGCAGGGACGGCTCTCGCCAACGCGGGTCCAAATCCAGGGAAGAAAGCCTTGACACCCCCCGACCTGTACACTTGTGAAATAACACCGGAGATAGTTGGTCGTCCCTCGGCCGTCTGAATCCTGCTCTTGATGGTATCGACAGGGAACACAGGAATCCACATGGCCACACCAGCACAAGCACCAGCAGTCATGACAGCTGGCAGGCTCAATTCCCCTGTCGCATTACCCTCGGCGTCCTTCGGTGACAGACTGCGCTTGACGTACTCATACACAGCAAAGTACGCCGCCGAGCCAGGTCCATCTCTCGCCAGCGTCATGGCGCTCCCTCGGAACACAGAGCGGATTCCACCCTCCTTGTACAGCTGTCTTACGACATCAATTCCGCCAGCGTATTTCGGCTTCTCGCCCGGCGCGAGTTCTTTCTGGCCTTGAATCTGGAGAAGCACCTTCACACGCTCAAACGGTGCAGTAATAAGCGTCATGGGAATAGCCGAGAAGAACCCCGCCGCTGATATTTGTCCAATGCTATACTGTGGAGTGTTGTTCTTCACAGGCACCGTGGTGAACGTATCAACCAGCCGCTTTCCCATATCATACCCCCAGAAACTGACTGCAAACATGGGCGTCACGCCGACGAGCGGTGCAGAGACGCCTGCATAGAGACCCCGAGCAAGACCCTCTCGAGCGACTGTTTTCTTGACCACATCGATGGCACCCGAATAGACACCCTTTTCAGCCGTCTGTAGCCGTACTTTCACCAGGTCGAATGGATGACCGACTACGACGGCGCAAACACCTCCGACACCGCCAGCTGCAAGAGAGCGAAGGCCTGAGAAGGCGCCCTTTGCTTTTTCTTTGACTTGTTCCTTGACTTCTTCGGACGAAGGGAGCTCGTCTATCGAGGTTGGTATTGAAGACCTCTTAGGCGCCATTGTAGAGAGGTAGAAATGAGAGGCGGAGGGCAGCTCTGAGGTGAACGGAGGATGGTCTTCCACTCAAGACAAATGTACGTCTCTGTTTCTCTGTGGGCGTAGCTATCGGGTGACGACACGGGCAGATGGAGCGAAAGGGATCAACAGCGAGCCCAGAGGCTTGTCGGAGGGGCAGCTGCAAGTCGCGTAAAGGACGAGGCTACTCCGTTAGCTGGGTGATATCATGGTCCTCGGTTTTCACGTCAAGTTATAAGTCAAACCCTCCTTGTATCAGGACTGAGGAGAGGACGAGAAGGTTTTGGCTCTTCTTGACAGAAAAAAATATAGGCACGGCAAGCATCGCCTACAGCTAGAAACGCCGAGTTTCGCGAGCTTTCAAAGCTGCGTGTTCCTGGCAGCTCCAGATAATCTTCAGCCGAGGCATCGGGTTTTGGGGCTACCGTTAACCCGGGGAAACAACTGCGGCCAACCTCCATAGCCCGAGAAGTTTTCGTCCACTGCAGATTAGGGGCTGCGCTGGTTTGTACACAGTAGCTGGCTGGCTTGTGGTATCTTAAGAAAACTCTCAGTGCCTAAGCTTAGTGTATGGAAGGTACCTAGGTAGGGATTTCTTCACCAGTCCGCTTTATCTTCTGCACAACTCCAAAGTACTCAGACCTGATGCTATCCTATCCCTGCCATCCGACTCCACTGCAAATGCCAATTCCGTAGTATACACCACACCGATGCGCCGGAGTCGGCAATGAGGCCAGCCCGTAGGTTTGAGCCGAGGATGAGGTCAAACGTATGCAGCCATCACTGGCTAGCACCAGCAATTCCGTGCATCGTTTTCATCATGTGACCCAAGCTGTCACCGAACAAAAGATGAGCCTCAGCCACCAAGACAATGGTGACAAGCATCCAGCAGGCCATGAAGATCAAGACAACCTTGATCATAAGCTTCAGCAGCCGCATGCGGCTCGCCCATGGGAAACTCCTCCATGCCTCAACCAATCCAATCTTGCCTTGGCCGCCAACAATGGCTGGTGTAGTTTTTCCACCAAACGTGCGGTCAAATGGGACAATGGTTTCATCTTCTTCCGGCAGCATTGAGGCTGCAACACGGACGAGAGTGACTGTTGCTGGTATCTGAAGTAGGACAAACAAGAACACCATCAGCGAGAATCCGAGGACACCTTGACCGCCCACTGCGTATAGGTCCTTCCTGCCTGGCTCATACTCCGGGTCTCTCATACGGTTTAGCGAACCAAAGGATCCACAGACGAGCATCGGCAGGATGGACACAACCTGGTTTGTGGTTGCCCACAAGGCAACTGCAGGCGCAATCTTTGGCCAAGTTCGAATTGTAGGGATACGCTTGTACCATCTCTTTTGGCTAGGCTCGGAAATGATTATGTGCACCCAAGCCATGTGCCAGGTTGCAAGCGCCGTCTCGGCGACAATAGCAGCAAATGCAACTCCCAGTCGATTCCCGAGGAAGACGTTTGCAATAACTGAGATGAGGAAGCCGCAAAGCATGTTCCACGCAAGAAACATGGAAAGACCGCGGAAGCGAGACCAGAAACCAGCCCGAGCTCGGAGATGTTGGAGTGTTGCGCGGATGGAGGCTGTGAATGGTTTGTTGCGGACAAGGAGGATTTCGGCGTTGTCCTCCGGGTCAAGGTCAGGATCCTCAGGTAGTCCATTCGTAGGCTTGGGTGCAGGAGTAGTGGCAGAGTAGGCAGGGGGCTCCGTAGGCTCGAAAGTCCCGACAGGAACGTAGGCTTCAGTTGCAGGGCTTTCGACCATGCATAGTACAGGGAGAAGATGCCCGTAGGTGTAGCCAACCTACAGCTCAGTCAGTCATTCCCCTCACAAAGGCGCAGCAAAAGACTTACGGAGAACAAGACCAAAATTAACGCAAGGCCAGTGAGAAGAAATATCAAGGCGGCGATGGGCGAGACCTGGGTACTGTTGCCATCGTTTGGTTGCTGGATTTCAGTGGCTGCCAGCATGCCATTGTGAGCATACTCCATGCCTCGGCGAACGATATGGGTAGAGAGCGTCATTATAGGCGAGGTTCCGAGATAATGAACGCGGTGAGGCGGGAAGGAAGAAGAAATGGTTTGAAAGGGAGAGAAGAGCTGGCCTGGTAAGCAGGTCTTTATGCGGGAGTCGTCGATTGTGAAACAATCAATGGATCAAAGGATCCGCCGTCACCAAATCAGCCAGGCTGCCATCTTTCCAGCCTGCACTGCCACAAGTTTGCGAGCAGTCCAGAGCCTTGCCATCATCGTGGCGGAGCTGATTTGACTACACGGCCCACTCCACAGTCCTTGTGCGACTACGGAGCATTGTGTACACCGTCCTCCAGGCTATATAGTATATCTTTTGAACTTCTGACCGAGTTCTTGAAGTGCAAGTCCCAGATCCCTTCAGCAGATGTCCGAGGGTAGGAGCAGGAGACACCGAGTGAAACAACCACGATGTGAAACAGTTCGCTGACCGGTATCGATTACACCGCGTGAACGGAGCACATTTCCGACGCAGTCGTCTCGTATTCGAGCCACTGGCTATGGTGTTTCAACTCAACCTCGACTTGACCAGCTTTGTTCTGATACCCGTGCCCGCCAACCGCCCAACCGTTTGAGGTGCAGAGATACACGGCGTTTCTGTCAATGTCTGGCTCGCCCTATGCACAATACAGTCATCCATACCTAGATGATCTGGATCGGTCCACGGAACACAGCCAGATCTCCTCAAACTCGAGAATCTTGACATGCTCATGCGTAAGATGCTCGTGCCACCAACTCCGCGCTTTGCACCCATAGCTGAGCACGACTCCAACATAAGGTCCCGGTTCCTGTCCTGAAAACCCCACCGACCTACCAAGATGCGCCGTTCCGAGGCTTCCTTGCCGACGAAGCAAATGCTCTACAACGTTGTCATGATCGTCTGTATCCTCCCATTGTCCAGCAATTACTCGTCCCCGAGACTCTCCCTGACGAGTCGCTGGCATTTCCGCCGGAATCCCTTGGGATCTTCCCGCCACATTTTGGCTGCGTCCACATTTGCGGGAGACTCGTCGTTCGGTGAATTCAACATGCTGATCACTGATATCAATATGGTCTCGGGACTTTGGACTGGACTCCATCGTTCTGATGCCTTTTCATATCCATATTGATCGTCTTCCTGTCACGTTGTCAACTTCTACACACGTCAAGAGCAAGCGGAACTGCGTACTGGAGGATGTAGTATTGAGATGCAGACGTCTCCATTCGGGTATATATTGGGATGGAAAATAGGTGTTTCGAACTTCATCTTCGGTGGCATCAGTGGATACTCTGGCGGAAAAGACAGGCGGGCGCGAAAGAATCCTCCTAGATACCATTGTCAGTTGTCTATCCACCACTCTGGAAACAGTGCCATACCTCCATAATATTTGCAGTCGTCGTTCATCATGAGCATAACTTCCCACTGGAAAACATTGTTGTCCACTAGTCCACAGCTGATTCCCGGTAGGTCCTTGTCTGATTGCATCTGCTTTAACTGCCTGCCCAGCAACACTGCTGCCGACGAAGCCATAGGTCGCTGGGTGACCCTTGAGCCGACTTTAAGGTAGCAGGGGAGAAGGAATGTCGCGTGCCTCGTGGGACTCAGCCGCGGCAGGTGTTGGTCCTAATGGTAAATGCTTATCTGCTGCTTTGATTGGGCTCACATGCAAGACGGTAAATGGTGCTCTTTCACCAAATGTCAGTGCATGAGAGAAACAAGGAGGGAAGTTGGAGAACCGAACGAGTCCTGTTTCCTTGCGCATGGGTGCAGAAGGCAGTCATCACCCATAGCCCCTCAAACTCACGATTTGCCAGTATCTCCGCACTTCGGATCTTATATGGACGGGGTCTCGTTCCCTTGACGAACCATAGAATAAATTCTTTACAACGTAAGATGAAGCTTCTGCAAGCACCTGCCCTTAATGTCTATTCGCACTTCACGTGCTTGTAAAGTTTGAAATATATACAGGACGTGGTTCCGAGTCCAGTACATCGGCTTCGGCCTCTCTCGTCACCGTGCGGACGGTTGGGACATCTCTGAACCACTACCCATCTATTTCAAATCCCCAGAGGTGAATCTGAGGTACGGTTTGACCTCTTTGACATTTGTGAATTTCTTTTTCGCGTCCTCCGTTGATACACTTGGTGGCACGATCACATCCTGCCCAGCGTTCCAGTCAATAGGCGTTGTTACTCCTTTCTTGTCGCTAAGCTGGAGGGCATCGATAACCCGCAGGACTTCGGAGGAGTTTCGACCCGTCGAAGCAGGGTATAGCATGATCAACCGAATCTTCTTTGCTGGGTCAATGATGAAGACGGATCGAATGGTGAAAGCGATGCCCTTCTGGTCGATGTTCTCTAAATCTTGTTGATCTACCATATCGTAGAGGAAGGCCACTTTTCTATCAGCGTCCGCTATGATAGGAAATTGCAGGTTCGTTTTAGAGATCTCGTTGATATCTTTGATCCATTCGCCATGACTCTGAAGATCGTTGGCGCTGAGGCCGATCATCTTCACACCGCGCTTCTCAAATTCGTCCTTCAGCCTCGCGAAGGCGCCCAGTTCAGTCGTGCAAACAGGGGTGAAGTCGGCAGGATGACTGAATAAAATGGCCCAGCTGTTGTCGATGAATTTGTGGAAATCTATGTCACCACAGGTAGTTTTGGCTTGGAAATTTGGTGCCGTCACGCCTAGACGAAGGCGCGGCTGTTCTCTGGCGGCTGTAGCATATCTTCTCATCAATCGTGAGAACGAAGCCGGTCGCGTTCTCAACCCAGCAGTCAGTTGAGTCTTCGAAGCTGCCGTGAAGGAGCGTGAGACCATTCGAGCTGCCGAGGATGCCATTGCGTTGCTTTGAAGTCTGGGGTAGTGGACTGGTACCTAGACAGCAAGCGAGTAGAAGACGAATGCAAGCCAATGTACTGGCATGAGGTGCAATATGACCAACATTGAGAGGTTCGACGCATTTCTGGGCCATTTGCACTTTCCACAAATGTGGCGTCATTTTCACTCAACGGCGAGGACGGTGCACGCTACGTAATTACTCCCACCAACGAACGGGGCGAACATGAAGATGAGAATGTCGTTTGGATCTTAGCAGGTCCTTGTTGAAGCACTTAGGTCTTGCAATGAAGTACGAGCTTGTCTACCTCCGATTCTTAGCTGTCAGCCAACACTACAATCAGCAAACGACTCGTTTTTCATTTCCCAGGCTGCGTGGCAATGCCCAATGTGCCATACGCTATTCCAGAAATCTAATCGCAACCAGCCACCATTCGTGACACATCAAACACAAGGAAGGGCGGATTGCACACTGAAGTCCAGATCACCTGCCGTACCTCCAGCCACCCTGGAGACGCATGCGCTCACGTTGCTCCCGATCTGCCCTCACCTCCTCAAGGGTCAAACCATCTCCGCTGAGCGCCCAATTTGCACTGCTTGTCCGGTCTCGCAGTCGCTTCAACCTGTCCTTGTTGCCCTTGGAGAATATTTCCTCGATTTTCAATGGTGCAATCGGCCCAAACACAGCATCACCGTCCATGCCTTCTTGGCGGATCAGCTGTTCCGTTAGATGGCCGGGAGTAGCCCAGTCAGGAATTGCAAAACCATTCCCGTCTTCGTCTGAGTCCTCATCCTCCGAATCAGTAGGTATCTCCGGCAGATGGATGGACTCGCCATTCGGATATTGGGGCGAAGATTTAACCGTTTGAATGGTCTTCTGTTGCATAATTGAGACTGGTGTCTTCGCGTGGTTTGGTGGGTTGGATCCATCGGCAAATGGAATCTTGCCCCCAGTCGCATACTGCTGCATCTGTGGTGGCGCTACTCGAGAAGGTGGCTGAGGAAATTGTCCGGCGTGTGTGGACGGCTGTGTCTGTACATAACTAGGATGGGTGAGGAACGACGCTTTCTTCCCGAGCTGCGACTGTCTGATGGGAGCGCCTGAGACAACTGGGCGCGGGCCCGTCTCTATCAAGCCCCCTTCTTCGGTCTTCCGTCGCTTGGCGTCTTGAAGCATTCCGTTTCCATATTTGGAGTTCTGTGGACGAGACGGGTTGGCTTCCTCCTCCAGTGGCCTCTTTGCCGGCTTTGCAGGATTAGTAGGTAGCGGGTGGTTTAGCAGTGATCGGCCGGCATTCTGGGCAGCAACACGGGAAGGTGGTCTTGTCTGGGCAGCCTCGTTTACAGCTCGGTCGTGCCGCTGTTGTTCTGCCTTCCGGGCTGTTTCTTGACGTTTACGCTCAATGGCTTGCTGCTGAGCCTGTCGCTTGGCTTGTTCTGCAGCCACTCGGTCCCGTTCACGCTTCTCGGCTTCAAGTCGCTGTTTCTGTTCTTGCTTTCGCGCCTCTTCCTGCTGGACCACTCGCTTTCGTTCGAGCTCCCGCTTTTGCTCGAGTTTCCGTTGAGCTTCACGCTCGTCTTGCTCTTTCTTCCGCTCCGCCGCAAGAAGTGCTCTCGGTTTAGGAGGCGGACCAGCCACTGATGATTTCAAAACATTAGATGTTGTCGAGTGTAGTGAGGCTGAACTAGTTTTCTTACTCAAGCCGGGGCGCTTGGGCTCAGCGGCCAAGCTATCCTGGACGTTCGCGGCAGCGTTGACGGGCATTCGTTGTGAGAGTGTGCCGACGCGGATCGAGACAGGGGCCGGCTTAGCCTTGTTGACAGGATGCTCTCTGCCAAGGCGCACTGGTCGAGTTGGCTTTCCGCGAGGCTCGGATGGTCCATGTTGTGGCTCTTCGGCTTGTGGCTTGGGGCTCGATGACTGTGGCTGCTGGGCATCCTTCTTGGCCGTCCTCTCGCGTGCGAGCCTCTGCTCCTCAGCCTTCTTTCTTTCTTGAGCTCGGGCTTTCTCGAGCTGGGCATCCATGGCTTGCGTCAACTGAGCTTCTTTCTCTTTCCGCCTCTCCTCCTTGTCTCTTTCGGTCGAACTGCGAATCTTCCTCGTTTCTTTTGGCGGGCTTGAAGGCAAGGGCTTGTCTTCAATCATAGAGTAAAGACCGGGGTACAGCCCGGGCATCGCACTTGATGCAGCTTTAAGAGCATTGGGTGATAAAGTTTCCAACTTGGCGGCGGCAGAGACACTGGCGCTACTGGTGAAGAGGCCTTTGGCGGTCTTCATTATGGACTGTAACTTTGACCTTGAGGCGCTGAGGTCAAGATATCGCCTCGGCGAACCTCTGGGAGTGGTGGTGGCTTGAGCAGGGTTAGACACTGATACCGACTTGGCAGGACTTGCTGGAGGTGCCATTGCGGCCTTTGCGGGTGAGGCTAACGTGGTGGTGGAAGCAGACTTGGTGTGCCCGAAGCCAGGCATGATTTTACCAGGCCCTGGCGACATGCGGATGGGGGTTCTCATGCGCTCTTCGTGCGCAATCAGTTCTGGCGCACGACAGTCAAATTCGTCTTCGTCTGACTCTTCTAGATTTGTGGTCTTTGCAGGGGACGACTGAGCAGCATTAGGTGATGTCAGTGGTCGGATCCAGTCGTCTTCATCGTCTTGCATAGCTTGTATCTGTATCGCAGATTGTGTCACCTGGTCGTCGAGCTCGCCCGCTCGGGTCAATTCGGATAGGGAGACGGCTGAGGGTATCGACTTGGAAGGGCGAGGCGCTGCAGCCTTTCCAAGCAGATCGATCTTTTCATGTAATCTTTTCGTGGAAGCTTCAGAATGAGTCCTAATGGTCTCGCTCTCCACGTCTGAATCGTGGCCCAGGACCTGTACGTTCGAGTCGTCGTCTTCATCATCGACATGGTGCATTGGGATGTCTGCGTCAAGGCAATGGGATGGCTTTGGTACCGCTTGATGAGGATGTAGGGTTGGCCGCGCCCCGTGAACGATTGACCCATGTTGTCTTCCTTGATCGATATGGCTGGTGCGCGAGATTCTAGCCCCAATACTCGACTTCAATGGGTCTCGTGGGGGTAGAGAAGCAAACGTCAAGCTGCTCTTCCTGACTAATGGTCTATCGGGTGTGGATTCCTCGGAGGGCGAGCCGAGTTCGTCTAGGTCGTGGGGTTCCTGTGAATGCGCTGTATCCAGCGGCGCGCTGCGGGGGCTTTGCTGATTTGACTCTGATTCAATCCGCGCAGCATCTTCCAGCAAGACTGTGTCTGGACCTGTGATCTTTGCTGTCTGATCTTCCTTCGCAGAGTGGAATGATCCTTCAGTAGTACGCTGACCTTCGTCCGGGACGTCCTCGGTATCATGGCCAGATACCACATCCGTGTTTTCAGCAGGCGCTGCATTCACCGTTGGTGATGGTTGTACAAGTGGCACATGGGAGCAAGTATCCAGATCGACATCATCCTGACTTGCAGTGTGGTAGCCGGAGTCAGTAACTGATTTATATGTTTGGCGACCTTGATCGGCGGAGATGTGGAATCGAAGCTTGGTCGGACTGGGCTGTTTTTGAGGGCTGTGGCGTTGTAGAGGTTTGGAAGAAAATAGGTCGCTCAGCGGCTGCGAAGGGTACATTAGTACAGTCTGGCTTCGGAGTGAGATTGGATGGAGCTTACTATTCTTGCGTCTTGTGCGTTTCGTCTTCTGGCGGTGCGAGGAGTCTTGCCTCGCATCTTCCCAGGCGTCTTGAACACGTTTGCGACATCACTGTTCGGGTCAGCCCGCTTATAAATACAATGTTTCCGAGCTTCACGTACAGATGGCTTCTGCTGAAGACCTCAGCCATGTGCTCGTTCAGCCATTCTAGCTGATGCTGAGCAGGATATATCACTTCTTCTTTCTCATTCTGCAATAATTGAAAGGCATTTTCCTTCTCTGCGGCTATCCAGGAAGGCGTTCCGACCGCGGTAGTTCTAGCAGCCATTGTTGTAGATACGCAACTCAGGGACAGTATCGCATATAGTCCAGGTATGGAAGGTTCAAGACGCGTTTGGGTCTGCAGCAGTGGATTGGCGGAGGCGCATTGTTATGGCAGAAAGTCTACTGTTGAAGCTGCTCTTTAGAAGGTGAGGTAGGATTGAACCGTTCGCATGTTTTGGTTGTGGCTTAATTGAACTTAGCGCGAATGCGAGGTCACGTGGACGCGTCAATGGTCACGTCATGGCGTACCTACAAGAAACGCTTCATCCACAAACCCCAGCTCCAGCTTCCCGATCAACGAATATCAAGAGGCGAATGTTACCCTAGCATCTAGAGCTACTCTCATGTCATTGACCCCAGTTTCGTAGAAGGTAAAATTGCCATATAAACACAGCTGACGTTCGGCCCTGTTTTCGAGACGCCGTGTCTCGATACCTAGGTACTGGAACCACTGCTTGATATTCCGAGACGCTTGCGACTGGTGGACTCGGAACAATACGACCCACAAGTTGGAGAAGACAGCGATCTCGGAGACTCCCCGATCCTAGAGCGTTTCAGATATATTGTAGTTCGCCCACGCTTCGAGGTCAGCATATTCTCGTCATTATCGCCGTCTGTGCCCTCATCTCAACGCATTGCTTTGGAGCAACGGTGCTATGTTCTCCAAACCTTGTCTCTCCGTGCTCGAAGGCCGCCTCTCTCTCAAAGCGTGGAGAGGCATCCCATCTCGACCTCGGCTCTGTCCATTTCCATCCAGCATTCATGAGCGTAGACACTTTTCCGTAGCCCGCAAACTGAGGCTAATGGAGATGAGTGGCTTCACTGAAGAACAATTGACTGTGCGGAATGCTATTCAGAAGATCTGCGCTCAATTTCCAAATGAGTATTGGCGCCAGCATGATCAAAGCGAAACTGACCCAAAGGAGCTGCATGCCGCGCTCGCGGCTGATGGATGGCTTGGGATTGCTCTGCCGGAGGAGTTTGGAGGTGCGGGTTTGGGTATTTCTGAAGCGACCATGATGCTCCAGACCATATCGCAGTCCGGGGCAGGTATGGCTGGCGCTCAATCCATCCACGGCAATGTCTATGCGGTCAGCTCTAAATAAAATGCTGGTTACCAAACATGTGTCACTGACAATGATCAGACTCAACCGCTGGCTAAGTTCGGAAACAAAGAACAGCTGGAATCGACCATACCCAACATCATCAACGGCACATGGAGGATCTGCTTCGGGGTGACCGAGCCGAACACTGGTCTCGATACCTTGAGGCTGAAAACCACTGCCACTCGCAAGGGTGGTAAGTATGTTATTACTGGTGAGTCAGGACGAGGATCCCGTAACGAATTCGTGCTTATTGGAAAACACAGGCCAAAAGATATGGATAACATGCGCCCAGGTTGCGTCGAAGATGATCTTGCTCGCTCGGACGACACCATTGGAAGAGGTGAAGAAACCAAGCGAAGGTCTTTCTATGTTCTGCATAGACATTGACAGATCTAATCCCGCCCTCGAGCTCAAGAGAATCAAAAAGATGGGCGGCAGGGCTGTTGACGCCAATGAAGTATTTTTTGATCACTACGAAGTACCTGAGAGTACCTTGGTAGGGGAGGAAGGCCAAGGCTTCAAGATTATTCTGCACGGTATGAATGCAGAAAGGTGTCTACTCGCAGGAGAAGCACTCGGGCTGGGATATGCCGCAATCGAGAAGGCGGCTCAATATGCCAGAGAGAGAGTGGTTTTTGGCAGACCGATCGGAAAGAATCAAGCTATTGCACACCCTCTAGCGGATGCATACATGGGTTTGGAAGCAGCAAAGTTGGCAGCTTATCATGCCGCAAAGCTTTATGATCGAAGCAAAACAGATGCCAGCATCACTCAGCATGCGGTAGGAGTGGCATGCAACAGTGCCAAATATGTGGCGGCCGAAGCCGCATTCAAGGCGTGTGAGAGAGCAGTAATGTCCCACGGCGGAATGGGTTATGCAATGGAGTATGATGTCGAGCGGTATCTGAGAGAGTGTTTGGTACCGAGAATTGCGCCAGTCAGTCGCGAAATGATTTTGAACTTTGTGAGCGAAAAGGTGTTGGAACTCCCGAGGAGCTATTGATGGAAATACATGTCTTCAGCTGGCTCGATTACACTTGAGGATTGGCCGATGCAGATATTCGAAGTCAAGTCTGAAGAAGGGCATAGTTATCTATGTATGAAGGAGACGATAGAGGGTACAAGGCAGACCACGCGGACATGGATTTCTAGATTTTTTTACTCCGTACAAGTACCTCGTACGAGGGACTCCGTAGAATTTCCGCACTCACTTTCCCCGCACCCTAAGGTGTTCGAGTTTCAAGTGCGATTTCTTTCACCCACCCCAGCATCTCGCAAGACAGCGCCCATCAAGCCGACAGGTCCGTATTTCTATTCCACGATGGCGCGTATAGAAGAGCTCCCAGATGACTTCGACGAGAACATCAATCTCAACAATGCGCCGCAAGCGCCTTCGATTGAAGAGCTGTACAGCCAGCACATCTCAGGGTCCGGACCCAAACCAAACCAGATGTCCTCCAAAAGCTTTGAGGAAATAGTGCAGGACATGAGCAAGACACCACTTTTCATGAACAGTCTCGACGAAGCAACTGAGGGTACGCCATGAACCACGACTGCTCAGGTACTTTGCTGAGCAAGGGTGTGCAGAGGGAGAGAATATCATGCTTGAAGCAATCAAAGCCCTACAACACGAGGGTACCAAAGCGGAAGTTGCACAGGGTTTCAAAGAGCGTGGAAACGAAATGGTAGCCGAAAAGAAATGGAGCGACGCCAGAGAGTTCTACACCAAAGGGCTCGCAGTCCTAGCAGACAAAAGTGAGGACAAATGGGACAAGCCTGAAGATCAGACTGGCGAAGCAAATCAGCGGACTCTGCTTACCGAGCAGCTTCACATCAATCGAGCGCGGTGCAATTTGGAGCTGAGTATGCCAGATGGTTCATTCTGACAAGAGGTGTGCTGACCTTGTAGAAAACTACCGATCCACAACTTTGGACTGCGCAGCCGCACTACGCCTCAATCCGTCCAATATCAAGGCATACTATCGGTCGGCGTCCGCGCTTCTCGCATTGGACAAGGTGCTCGCTGCATTAGATGTGGCTTCACGAGGTAGCAAGCTCGACCCCGCGAACGTGGCGCTGAAGAAGCTGTTGGACCAGACCAGAGCAAGAGCGCAGGTGAAAGAAGCACAAGACCGCCGTCGCTTTGCAGAACTGAAGAGGAAACGACAAGAGATGCAGGTGTTGGAGGCGGCTCTCAAAGCGCGAAAGATCATCGTCCGTGGCTCAAAACAGCCTCCAAACCTAGAAGATGCCAGTATTCGACTTTCTCCTGATCCCTTGTCGCCGACCAGCTTGTTGGAATTTCCAGTGATGTTACTGTATCCCATGCATAATCAGACCGACTTGATCAAAGCCTGGGCGGAGAAAGATGCCATAATCCATCATCTCAGCTACATTCTGCCTCTGCCATGGGACACCAAGAACGAATACAAACAGTCAACCGTGGATTGCTACATGGATACGATTAGTGGAGGCCTGGTAAAAGTCGGCAAGAACCTGACATTGCTGCATGCACTGTCGAATGGCAAGACGGAGGTGGTGGACGGCCTCGTGAGGATATACGTGGTACCTTCTCTGCAAGCGCCTCAATGGCTAGATGAGGTGAAGAAGAAAAAAGGCAAATAACCCAAGTCTATAGAACAGAAGTACTCGTGGTGTTGATGGAATGTACCTTTGGGCCGTGTTGCAGCATGTACTGTGTACCGTGTGATCCAATCGCAGCTCTGCTCTGATCCCCAAGTCATGCAATAATTACCTGATCCATGGCCAGCACCGGCTGATTTCTCACTTTGCTCAACCATCTCACTGTCACACTCAAGCAATCCACTCGGCGGCATCCAGTCACCAGTGTGCATCCACCTCCTGTCATCTTTCGTTTCCAGCAATTGACCCCCTGCTAGCGCCCCTCTTTGCCACGAGCCGACCGATCGCTGGTGTCAAATTTTAGCTTTGTTTTGGCGCGAGGTTGGCGTCAGTTGGCGGACCGCTTCATGCACCAGCGCCACTCATCCTGGTCAAAACGCAGAACACCGCATCACCCCAAGTTTGCTTCAAGGCTACGCTACGCTTCCCATTTCACGAAAGCCCTTTAGCTGGCTTCAGTACCCAATCAGAAACCGTGGGCCCATTTCCAGAACAACCATGAACAACGCCGCCCCGCACATGTACGGTTCCCAGAACGCGGGTCCATACGTTTTCAGCGGTCCGCAACCGAGTACGATCGCTCCCGGAACAGCCTTTGACCATGCCCAGACTCCATTCCAGCCGGGCATGCTCCCGAATCATACCCAGAGGCCCATATCCCATCAGCAGCAACCCCAGCAATCCACCCTGCAGCATCTGTACCACAACCAGCAAGGCCAGGTAGGCGCAAGTTCACGTCCGCAAAGCAGATCCAGCTATAGCCCACAAGCTCAAGGTATGTCACCCTATATACCTGATTAACCATGTCGACGCTGTCCCCATCACAGCTTCACTGTAAAATTTGTTGGAGCCGTGCTCACCGTCTGGCAGGTCGTCCATCCAATGGGCCTACACCTGCTCCGCTAAGTCAAGGCACTCATCCAAGCTCCGGTCACAGCCAGCATCAGACTGCGCTCGCTTCAGCCCAGACGTTGGGGCCTATGTCGGCGCTATCAGAGATGAACATGGCAACCAATATGACGTTACAAGGGCAGCCAAATCCTACTTTGGCGCAACAGGCGCAGATACAGACTGCGGCACAAGCAACGCGAGCTGGCGTGCAACCTCAACAACCGACGCGACAAGCAGGAGCCAACGGCGCAGCCTCACCGCTATCGGCTGCGAGAGAAAAAGCGAGAGTGACTGTATTGCTTGAGATCAACACACATCTGCTACAGGAGGTGGTCTCATTACAAGCGCAGGGGAAGGCAGGCATTACACCCAGCCAAGGACAACAGTCACCGACGTCACCTACATCAGCAACAGATCCAGCGAACACGGTCACCAATAGCCCAGGAGACCCGCCAAAATCCGCGGGCGGGACACCTCAAACTACCAAGCCGCCGTCACAGGAGTATGCGGAATGCATGCGGCGGCTTCAAGCCAATTTGTCGTACTTGGCCGCAATCGCTGATGCAAAGAAGAAGGTCAATGGTGCTTTACCTGCAGGACCTGCGATAATGATACCACCCCCCCATCTCCCACAGGTGACCGAACTGTATAAAAAGTTGAATGCCTTATTCCCTGATGCTGCCCAGTCGAGCATAAACAAAGCTATGGCTCAAGCTCAAAGTCAAAATGCGACTTCAAAACCACCTCACACTCTTTCGATTCCAACTCCGACTCAGGGCTGAAGAGGGCGTACACTTAAATGCAACCCACGAGAAGCATTACAGTTCAGCGGGGTGAGACGCAGCGAGATTCTCATTCCAAGCAGCTTTGTCGAATGACTACCATAAAATCTGACCGAGAAATTGATACCTCGACCAGGTAACGTCAAGGCCCTGCAACCAAGGAGACCGCCACATATGACCTCCACCTGACATTAGGATGGCAACGCCTCAAACCTACACGTGGAGACGAAACAATAAACGCTGGCCAATTGCACAGCAGGCGGTCTATGCACAATCAGGAGTCTTACCGCAATGTTCCCATTCTGGACTGCTTCCAGCGAGCACCCTTTGAGGTGGAAGAGCCGGGGAATGTAAATGTTGTCACGCCCAGTCCGATCAAAGTTGTCCGCATATTGGACGACCGCAGGATCGGTAGGCTTGCAGGATCCCGTTGGTGCAGGAGATGTATTGAGTATGTGGTGGAGATTACGGTTCAGACATCGGCTGGATCATTAAGGTCGGAAGCCGTAGATTTAGAACCTCAGACTGGCCCTGTTTGTTCCGGGCGCAGCACTGAAGATTTATGGGCTGGACTCCGAGACTGTAAAGTAGAAGTCTGCCGTTTGCGACGGCGGCTACTTCGATGAAAGCACCGACCCATGCTTTAGATCGGTTACAAGTGCCTCAGCAGTCCATCAGCGAGAAAGCAGGAGGCGACCAAAAGTTGCAAGCGGAATATATGTCATATGCGTCGCAAGGCTGCCAAGAGATGAAGGCGAGGGGATGTACGGAGTGCTACTGCGCAGCCAATGCCTAAGACCTCTGCGCCTTTCAGCGAAGCGCAGTACAGCCTTGTCGACATCAGTTTTACGAGCAAAGGCGCGAGTGATTGTCGTCTCCGGTCACATTGGTCCTTTGTTGCGATTGTTGTTCTTTCTGGATGATACTCAGTATCTGGCCCAGATTCAATAGGGCATCTTCAACTTATACATATTCTTTTAATCGTTCAATTTTCGAACCGCCTCCTGGTTTCAGTTCCCTCCTACGCGCCCTTTGCGCAAGAGATTTCTCGAGACGGTCATTACTACTTGGTCGCTTTCAGCCTTTGCGCAGCGCGTCGGGACCTCTCAATACAGCTGCAAGCTTCCGATCTGCATCCTCCCTTCTGCACTATCGCTCCCATCTCGCCCCATTTAGCCCGCCCCGGCCTCGTGGCTTCTCGACCATTTCGTCTTCCACCATGTCGGCAAATGGTGAACTTCGGCTCAAGCGAAGAACAAGCCCAGGATCAGCTCTAGAGAGACCCAAGAAGCAGTTGAAACAAGAAAACGGTGTGCCTACGCCCGGCGACGCGACGCCCCAGAATGGGTCCGTGTACGACATTGAGGCCGACTCGAACTCGATTCCAATCATCAACACCGTACCCACTGCAGGAGACTCTCCCGAGTGGCAGGCTACCATCGAAAGAGTCATCAAGAGTGTTGTGTCGATCCACTTCTGCCAGACATGCTCGTTTGACACGGACCTCTCGCTGTCGTCTCAAGCTACTGGGTTTGTGGTGGATGCGGAGAATGGCTACATCATGACCAATCGCCACGTCGTCTGCGCAGGGCCATTCTGGGGTTACTGTGTGTTTGATAACCACGAGGAAGTGGGTTGCTCCCATTTGCAGGCCGTGTCGTTGTGACGTTTTGCTGACATTGATGCAGTGCGACGTCAGACCTGTCTACCGCGACCCTGTCCACGATTTTGGTATTCTGCAGTTCGATCCGAAAGCCATCAAGTACATGCAAGTTCAGGCATTGAAGCTGCAGCCGGAATCCGCAAGGGTTGGCGTGGAAGTCAGAGTAGTGGGCAACGATGCCGGAGAAAAGCTCAGTATCTTGTCAGGAGTGATCAGCCGACTGGACCGCAATGCCCCCGAGTACGGCGAAGGCTACAGTGATTTCAACACAAACTACATTCAAGCAGCAGCAGCAGCGACTGGTGGAAGCTCAGGAAGTCCTGTTGTCAACCTGAGTGGAAATGCGGTTGCTTTGCAGGCGGGAGGCCGTGTTGATGGCGCTGCTACTGACTATTTCCTCCCTCTTGACCGGCCATCACGTGCTTTACAATGTCTTCAACAGGGACGACCCATCACGCGAGGAACGATCCAGACTCAATGGATGTTGAAGCCTTTCGACGACTGCCGCAGGTTAGGCCTCACGCCTAATTGGGAGTCGGCTGTTCGAAAAGCCCATCCAAATGAGAACAGCATGCTTGTTGCCGAGATTGTGCTACCCGAAGGTCCTGCGGATGACAAGATTCAGGAAGGCGATGTTTTGATCAAGGTCAATGGGAAATTGTTGACGTCCTTCGTTGAGCTCGATGATATTCTTGACTCCAGCGTTGGTGGGAAAGTCGACCTGCTCTTCCAGCGTGGCGGAGAGGATCACGAGGTCACACTTAATGTGGGAGATTTGCATGCAATTACCCCGGATCGATTTGTCACCGTGGCTGGCGGTAGCTTTCACAACCTGTCCTATCAACAAGCTCGATTATATGCCATTGCCTGTAAAGGGCTGTACGTGTGCGAGGCTGCTGGTTCCTTCAAGATGGACAATGCTCTCTCAGGATGGATCATCGACACGGTCGACCAGAAGCCTACACCAGATCTCGATACCTTCATCGACGTCATGAAGACTATTCCCGACCGGTCACGTATTGTCATCTCCTATCGGCATATCAGAGATCTTCATACGCGAGCAACCACCATCGTCCACATCGATCGGCATTGGCATCCAAAGATGAGGTTGTCCACGAGGAATGACCAAACGGGGCTGTGGGACTTCACGAATCTTGGAAAGGCACTGCCCGCGGTTCCGCAGGTTGCAAAGTCCGCAGACTTTATCCAGCTTGATGGCGTCAATTTGCCAGCGGCGGCTGACATCGTCCGCTCGTTTGTTAAGGTCTCATGCTATATGCCTGTCAAGATTGATGGGTATCCTCAAGCTCGTAGGACGGGTTTTGGACTGGTGATTGATGCGGAAAAAGGCCTGGTGGTGGTTTCTCGAGCTACCGTGCCGTACGACCTTTGTGACATTACTGTGACTGTCGCCGATTCGATACAAACAGAGGGCAAGGTTGTATTCCTCCACCCACTGACGAATTACACAGTCATACAGTACGACCCGTCCTTGGTCCACGCACCAGTACAGACCGCCAAGTTGTCAACCGAGATGATCAAGCAAGGTGCAGACACGATTTTCGTGGGCTTTAACCAGAATCACCGGATTGTAGTAGCCAAGACCACGGTTACAGACATTACGGCGGTGGGCATACCTGCTAATGCAGCAGCGCCTCGTTATCGTGCTGTCAATCTCGATGCTATTACTGTTGACACAGGATTGTCTTCCCAATGTTCGTCAGGCGTCCTAATTGGTGCCGATGGCGTGGTGCAAGCTTTGTGGTTGACATACATGGGCGAGCGGAGCCAAGGCAGTCACCGGGATACTGAGTATCATCTGGGTCTTGCGACGAGCATGATAAAGCCGGTGGTGGACCAGATACGATCTGGTGCCATACCCAAACTTCGAATCTTGAACATGGAGTCGTATGTGGTACAGATGGCACAATGTCGGATTATGGCTGTCTCGGAAGAATGGATCTCGAAGGTGGCCAAGGCCAACCCAGCGCGGCACCAGTTGTTTATTGTCAGGAAAGTGGACTGTGGTCCTGCGAACGGACCAAGCGACGGACAACTGCTCCAGGAGGGTGATATTATCCTCACGCTGAATGACCAACTCATCACTCGAGTCAGTGACTTCGATATAATGTACGACAAGGCATGGCTCGATGCTCTGGTGGTCCGGCAGGGCGAAGAAATCCGACTCCGAGTTCCAACAGTACCCACAGAAGACCTGGAGACGTCAAGAGCTGTGGTCTTTTGCGGCGCTGTTTTACAGAAGCCTCACCACGCTGTCCGCCAGCAGATCAGCAAGCTCCATTCGGAGATTTATGTGAGTGCCAGAAGCCGAGGGTCCCCAGCCTACCAATATGGACTGGCGCCGACCAACTTCGTGACTCATGTCAATGGAATTAAAACCCTGGATTTGGATGCTTTTGTGAAGGAAGTGAGTAAGATCGAGGACAACACATACTTCCGCCTCCGAGCAATGACGTTTGATAACGTGCCCTGGGTGGTGACGATGAAGAAGAACGATCATTATGTAAGTCCCCGTGAAAGGAGGAGATAGATGTTTGCTGACACGGACAGTTCCCCATGTCTGAATACCTCAAAGACCCTTCCAAACCCAATGGCTGGAAGGTCATCTCCTATGGGTTGAAGGGCACAAAAACCAAAGGTCAAGAAGGAGCTCCCATAACTGCGGATGCGATGAGTGCTGAAGATGATGGCATGAGTGAAGGTGAAGAAGCTCCAGAGGATGTCAACATTAGATCAAGGCTCTGAAGGACTGTGGAGTACACAGTAGATGCAGAGGTCAGTAGAGACCGCTGAGTACTTGTAGAACGAAGGCGGCACAGATGTCGACATATCGAGTACGATAGTGACTCTACCTACTCACGTGGCGGAATGCAGGTTGAAGTGAGTGTGATATGCAACGTGTTCACCCAATCAGCGAGGCGGTGAATATGCGATGATGCAACACCGCCAGGGGCGGCTTCACTTTCACATGTCAGAAGGCGAATCATCAGCAGCAAGTAATCGTGATACCAGAACCAAGTCTTTCCCGAGAACAGTTGACTTCCCAGGTACTCGTACTCCGTGCTCATATATCTCTCAAAGTCCTGGCAATCCGAGAGATCATAGATCCATTCCGGGAAAGCAGCGACGTCGCTGGGAGATATGGCATTTGGTAGGGAAAAGAGGACAAAATGTCGGTACTGTGTGTAGAGGTTTCCGTCCTGTGATCATAGGGAGCACGCGAGCACTTTCTAGCAACCAAGGGCCAGGAAACAATTCTCCGTGAGAGATGAAGGTGAAAGGACCGCGCGAGGCGAGGTAATGGCGTCAGAGCCAAAGTATTGGGGCCCTTAACGTTTCCTTGTGGTTCCAGTGATGCAGTAAGGGGAGCAGCCGATCAATCAGAGGCGCCTAATGCCGGCTCCAAACAAGACCAGCTCCGCACGCGTAGCAGGTTTGAGATCACACAAAAGTGACGAGAGCCTGCACCGTCACCACCACCCAACGCACCTCGTCCTCTTCAAAATCCCATCGTGCCTGTGTCAAGACATCTACTCCCTCAAATAAATAACTCGTTCGTCTGTCCTCTCCTCACGTGTACACCTCCATCGAATTCGGCCATCCTCAAAACGTTGGTGCGTTTACTGTCACTCAGCCTGTCACTCCTTTTTCCCATTCCCAGTCATTTTCCCGTCCTCTCGTGCACAATCACACCACAAGTTTGGTTGCTGATCTCTACAAACCCTCCAATAGATACTGAAACCGAAATGTCTACATTCGCCCAAGACTCCGACTATGCTTCCCAGGGCGGGCTGAGTCCCGAGACAAAGCAAGCGAGTCAAACCAATGGCGTCGAGCCGACGACCTTGCAGCAGACCTTGGTCAATAGTGAGGTGAGCAAGACGAAATCGTCACTCTTTGCAGCTCCTCCAAAACCATGGCTAACAAAGACAAATAGAATTCAAGCTCCTTCTTCTTCTGCCTCCACTGACGAGTCCCAGACGCTTCTGCCGCCGCCCAGACGATTCAGCAGCATCCAATCACACAAAATCTCGTCAATGGGTATGGCTCCAATGATAAGAAAACAAAGCAGGTGCCGAGCTGACACTTCCACCCTACCAGCCCTGTCGCTCAATCAGCAAGAAGCGAAGCAGCTGCCACAAAGTCCGAGTTCAGCAATCTGGCCGGCTCTCGTTCAAAACCTGACTACACCGCTAGCAATGCAAGCCTCCCTGCCCTCCAAAAGATTGTCTTTGATGTCGAAGGTTACTGTTCTTTTGGTGCGCCTCGAGATAGGCTAACATCAGCACAGGATACCGAACTCACTCACTATCATTCATTGTGAGTACATCCCAATTTCTCATCGTCTCAACAGGACTTCTGTGCTAACTCTCCTCAGCTTCTACACCCTCCTTAGCGTATGAAACAACGTTATCACCCCACGTAGACACTCCTAACTGGCGATAGTGGAAAAACAAACGCGCCACTGGCATCACCTTCGCTTCCGCGATTGCCTTCATCTTCGCCGTCCGATACCTCCCCATCATCCGATATGTGATCAAGATTACCTGGATGAGTCTTGGTGGTAAGTGGAGAAAAATTTCTACAAGTTTCCTATCTAATACGTCTCCAGTTGTCACCATCGCGGAAGCCTCGAGCAAAGCTCTCATGGGCTCTAGCGTGGCCAGCTCGCTCCGACCCCGACGATACTACAAAATTCCAAAGGAAACTCTCGAGGCATCCCTCGATGATCTCGAGAACCTCATCAATTTCTTCGTCATTGAGATCCAGCGCATTGTGTTTGCAGAGAACATCCCGGTGACCGCAGTTGTAAGTGGACCCCGCTGACTTGCCTCAACGCCTTGCTGATAATTGTGCAGGCTTTCTTGACTGCATTCATAACCTACTACCTCATCAAGATTGTTCCTTTCTGGGGCATGGCCTTGATTTCCACTTCCTTCATCTTTCTCGCCCCATTGATCTATCTCGAGAACAAGGAGTTCATCGATGCCCAACTGGAGCATGCCGGCCACGTTATTGGTCAACAAACCAACCAGATCAAAGACCTTACTGCCCAGCACACAAGCAAGGGGCTTGAGTCTGTGAAGCAATACACGGGAACCGCTGCTGCAAAAGCTCAAGATTTGGTCGGAACCGCCCGTCAGAAGATCCCGTCTCCTACCACAGGCAACACTCCGGTCAAGGAGAATGACTTCCCGTCTGCGCCGCAGACCGATCTTCCTGACACCAACGCCGATGTTCTTCAGCGCGAGACCGATCCCGTCCCTGCGTCTTAAACGGCCAGCAGAAAATAGCTGCATGACGTTGTGATTGCCTCATGCTGTAAGTGATGGTTGGGGGAGCTTGCGAATGGCGAGAGACTGAGAAGATGAGCAGAAGCGAATGAGGGCCGAAATGGTGAACAACGAGCGCGGTCGGAGTTCCTACAACTTGGCGCTTATGTACTCTTACGAAACAACAGCTGGTAGCATCAGAAACTCCGACGACCAGCAATCCTTTCGGGGTTTATGGTAGGAGACCCTGTGCGCGCCCCAACCTATGGCCACAGGAATTGAACACGATTGGGCGTCTCAAGGCTTTTGGATCGTATGATAGAAGGCAGGTATGATATTGGACTCTTAGGCACAAATGAGCATGCTTTGCGGTTCGACGGTTTTCTTGATCACACTCGTAAAGATTTCTTCTTGTCGTTTTAGGCCTCCGTTAGCGGGGATGCCGGAACCGTCCCGAGCATGGACGAGACTATTTCTAGCCAGTGTGCCTGTGACACTTGCCTCCTCAGCTCAGCGAGGAGTTGTGCTATAGGACCCTGTCGTCCACGCTGACAACGATCCAGGGTGAATGCCTACGGAGGCTCAGGGGGTTAATACTACCAAGCGAGCTGAGAACCGCCGGCAAGACCGAGCCACTCTTCCAGCTTGAATATATTGTCTACTACGACATGGCATGGCTGAAGGCGAGCACATCACTGAGCCTTGCGAGTGATATCAGAGCTTGCTGGCGTCGATGCCAGATGGCTGGGGAACACTGATCAGGGCACTCGGGCTCAGTCTGTGATGCAGTAATTAACGTCTCCGTCGCCGCCATTTACAGTGTACCGAGGCTCCGCCCCGAACTCTACCGATACCGCGGGTAGCTTCGCCATCAGCGGATGAGTCTTGCCCTGCTTGCCCTTTCGATATGCTCGAACTCCCTTACGTTCCACGACTGCGTACCCAGGGACATGTAGGGTGCTCAACAACCCACTTGTGCATTTCAGCTCCATCTCTGCCCTGCTGTCGTGGCTTCTTCCTCTCCATACGGTAATTGGTTTTTTGATTCTTCTCTGCCCTGGATAGACGAGGTTGGTGGCGGGCGTTTACAGCCTCGCCCTCTCCCTGTCATTCGTGACAACAACGCCTTTCTTCCCACTCTTGGCCATATCCCTCAAGACTCGTCTCAAGATCTTGCCGCTTGGGGACTTGGGGATCTCTTCCACGAACTCAATCTCTGTAACCCACTTGTGCCTGACCTTCTTCTCCTGCACATACTTGATGAGTTTCTTCCCCATGGCTTGAGGGTCGTCCGAGCGTTTCGAAGGTTTCAGCACGACGTAGGCCTTGGGCCGTTCGCCGGAGTAGTCATCGAAGATGCCCAGTACGGCGACGTCCTCGACGTCCTCATGCCCTAACAGGAGATCTTCCAGCTCGGCGGGCGCCACACCGATACCCTTGACTTTGATCATTTCTTTCAGGCGGTCGGTGATGGTAATGAGGCCTTCTTCATCGATACTGCCGATGTCACCTGTGTGCAAAAATCCATCTTGATCGAAGGTCTCGCGCGTGGCTTTGGGGTTGTTCAGGTAGCCCATCACCACCTGTGGGCCACGTGCCCAGATCTCGCCGGGCTCGTTGAGTCCACATTCCCGTCCTGTGTCCGGATCGACGATCTTGACTTCCGTGGATGCGACGATGGTGCCGACACGGGAGGCGTATTTGTAGTCGTACTTGTTGGGCGGGTGAGCCGTGATGCAGGAGCATGACTCTGTCATGCCGTAACCCTGTTTGAAGCCCGTTCCCGGGAAGCGTTGCTTGAGAAGTTCGAGTATTTCGGCAGAGAGGGGTGCTGCGCCAGAGGAGAATCGCTTCACGGAAGATAAGTCGTACTTTGCGAGTGTCTTCTCGTCGCGAACCAGGCGGATCAAGATCGGAGGGACGAGGAGCATTTCCTCCAACTTATAGTCTTGAACGGTTTGCAGCATGCCATCCATAGTGAACGATGGGAGCATGTAGACATTGGCGTTAAGCAAGACTGGTAGATGCATCTGGTGGACGAGCCCGGTGATGTGGAACAGTGGCAGTACGGCCAGAATTCGTCGTAATGTGTCGGGCGAGATTTGTTGTACCTGGAGACATTGGGCGATGACATTCGAGTGTGCGATCATGACTGCTTTCGGCAGACCGGTCGTGCCGGAGCTGAACGAGAGAAACCCGCAGACATCCTTGTTCTTCTTGCCATGAGGGAGGCGGAACTGTTCGATTTGTCCGCTTGCCCCATGCTTCTTGCCCATCTCGAGCAACTGGCTCATTGTCGTGAACCCTTCCATTGTGCCCTCGAGCAGAAACACGTTACTTTGCGGTATTCCTGCATTCTTTGCCGCCGCTGCCGCAATCTGCATGCTACTTGGGACTGTGAAGAGGAATTTTGCCTCTGCGGTCTTCAACGCGTACGTCATTTCTTCTACGTTGTATGCTGGGCTTGCACCGCTGACCACGCCTCCGGCCCGTAGGATACCGAACATGGCGCAAGGATACCAGACTGTGTTCGGAGAGAAGAGGGCGACAGTCTGGCCCTGCCGGAGGCCGTAGTTCTTCACGAGCACGGTGGAAAGATGTGTCGTGTGCGTCTTCAGGTCGATGTAGCTCAGGTGCTCTTTGGTGACAGCGTTTGTGAAGCCCTTGATGTCTTCTGCCTTGTGATGTCTCATAGGACTGTACTCTGAATCGAAGAGCCATGTCCACACCGGGAGATGCCATGGCATCTCAATGGGTGGTTGCAGGGACTTGAAGACGGGCATTCTGATGGCCTTTTTCGCTTTGGAAGGCTCTACTAACTTGGGCAGGGGTAGGTGCAGAGGTGGAAGGGCGTTCGAGTGGGCGAGATAACAGAGAAAGATGTTCGGCTCAGCGCGACGAGTCAAACAGCCATGTCAACGGCACCAGCGTGCAGAGAAAATGTCAGAAACTCACGACTCGAGCTACGGGTTGCATCGCAGCACCGAAGCTCAGGAACAGCCTCGGTGGACCAGAACTGGACCAGGTCCTTTTCCATCTTCCAGCCAGAGGGAATCCTCGGCTATTGTCGTGGTGCGGAGAAGATTGAACATGAATGAGTGGGGCGGAATATGAGGCTGGAGGGCGGGGTGGCAGGTGGATGAGAAGAGCACGTGAGACGGCACGTGCTGGGCGAGCGCGAGCGGCTCTACTTTGTAGATCCCGACCTCCGAATTCGGCGTACAGTCACCTAACAGTAGATGCGAGCCCCCAGCCAAGTCCTGCCAAACTCAGAGGTGAAAAGACGAAAGAACCAAAGAAAGATTTCTTGGAAGTGTTTAGTGACATTGGATGATTGGAACTCTCTAGCAATTGTCGCTTGCCTTCAAAAGTGATTGAGCCTGGTACACCTGGCTGCACCTGTCGCCGTACGTCCCCTCACTTACGAATGGACTGGGGTATTGTGGAAAGGTGTTTTGGGTAGAGGTGGCAGTCCTCCTGCTGGGCCGCAATCACCTCCTGCTCCTCCTCTCTTCATCTCTCTTCTGTCTCTTTCGAGCCTCGCTGGCGATCATATCTGACAAATCTTCCTGGAAATCCCAGTTCGGATTCTGCTCCGCCTTCCGACTTTGATCGTAAGCGCGTCTCAAATCATCCTTGTCCAGACCGTCACGCGCGGCTAGCGCGTCTGGGTCCATCGAAACGTCCACATCGCCCGGCTTCTTGCGTTTGCGGGAATCTTCCTGTCCTAGAACCGGCAGATTGCCTGCATTTTGCTGTTGGGCGGCCTTGATGTCGTAGACACGATCGCCACCAAAGAATCCCTCGACGCGTGTTTGGCGTTCCGGAATAACTTGGTATGCCGATCTAGGATGTGATGGTTCTTCCGCCTCTGTGCCGCGGCGCTTTCTCAGGTCGAATTCAGACACAGGCTCCGTACTGCCGATCTCCGTTGGCACAGCCGAAGTCATGCCACTAGGCGTCTCCAGACCAGCTGAGGTTTCAATGCCAGTTCCACCATCTTCTTCGTCCTCCTCCTCGTCTTCTTCCTCGTCTTCCTCTTCAGACTCGTCTTGTTGTTGCAGCTCACCCCAAAGTTCCTTTTCGATCGGCTCTCCCTGCTGTGCGTTCTGTTGTTGCTGGAGCACACCGAAGATATCGCCACCGTATAGCGGTCTATTGGTCGCTTCTTCAACCGGCGGCTTACCCCACTGTCCTGGTGCGAAACCCCAACTTGCACCTGGCGGAGGAGGAGCATTCACACCCGGTACTTTCAAAGCTGGATAGGAGGGTGGTGGTCCGTATCTCTGCATGTTGATTAGCCACGGAGGCGGCGCGCCTGGAGGCATGTTCAAAGCTTCCTTCAACTCATCCGATAACTCGCCGGGTCTTAGGTGCCGTAGATTAGTTTCAAACTCTTTACCTTCATAGTAGACCTCGCCGTATCTCGTCAATTCGGGCTTCGTCTGGAATTTGAAGAACGCATCGTAGAGTTTCTGATAATCAATATCAAGCTTGCCCGTCTTGCCCTGGACTCTCTCTCGTTGCCTTTGCTTCAGGGTGGCCTCGGCTTGCTTCTCCAACACAGCATCGCGCATTTCCGCAATGCCAGTCTCTTGTATGAACTTCGGAAGTGCAAAAGGCGGCTTCTCAATACCCCGCTTGGACGACAGGTATTCCCTTTTGAGCGACCAATGAGTCGGCACAGGTACAACGTTGCGGTATGACTTCATATGGACGAGGAGCCTCGGGTCTGGTGCAGATGTGTCTGTCCACTCGACCATTTCCGGCCTCTTCACAATTGCCTTCAACTCGGCGACGGATAATTTGGTCATCTCTTTCCGCTTCTTCTTGGAGATTTTGGGCGCTGAATTCTCTTCGTCCTCGTCTGGGATATCGTCATCATCGTCGTAGTACACTTCCGGTTTCTCTGGTGGTTTCAGGGTAGGATCTTCCTTATCCGCTTCCTCGAATCTGCCCATGATATCCTTGTACATGTCGTATAGCGGATTATCCTCGTCGGCAACGAGAGGATCCGCGAGAGGGGCGCCATTGAGTTCGTCATTTTCTGACTTGATTCTTTGACCATTTGTTTTCGCAGGCGAATGTCGAGCCGTCTCTGGATCTGGTGCAGGGATCTCGTCTTTGGCAGAGGCATCGGCGGACGCTGCGGCGAATCCCTGGACGCGATCAGTGCTGGACAAAGTTGTTGCTGAAGGCGATCGCACCTTGCCTTTCTGTTGCTTCTCAGCCTTCTTCTTCGCTCGCCTCTGCTGGTTCTTGCTCGGCTTCACAGCGGCAGCCATAGCTGAATGATATGTACTAAACGGGACAATTCCTCGCCAACAAGTGCGCACTCAGGAAGCAAAGGGATATTTGTACAGTGGCGGTAACCTGGCGAAGGGGATAAAACTGTAGCGACGCCAGAGAATCAACGATGTGAAATTGTTGTATGGCGAACTGGGCGGCCTTGAACAAACGCAAGCTGCAGCCTCGTCGTCTGTAGCGCGAAACCTCGGCAGGGATTTTCCGGCGAGGCTTGTGTGAGATTAGACCCTGTCGGCTGTCTTGCCGCAATTAGAAACGCTAACCTTGTCGGCGCATGTGGTGCATGCAGCCCTCTGGTTAAAGACTCGTTACCGGATTCTCTGATCGATTTACGCATTTGCGCTGGACGCAGCACCTCTTCTGTCGCACTACTGCCTACACCGCGTTATGCCAAACGAGTTTGAGCCTCTGAGACGAGACGGGACTGTGTCGCTGCCATTCTGATTACGCTAGAACATCCAATCAACAGGCTTTCTGTTGATAGACGGGTAATGTGCAATTACGGGAGATGACCTTGCTCTCATCATTACGCGAAACATTTTGGTCAAAGCAGCGCCCTCCTCGAGCCGTTGGGTTATGCCTCGACGATTTAGCACGCCAGTCCCAGGCATGGCTTTTATCGTGTCTCGATGTGTCTGTCAATGATGCAAGCCACAAACAACCTGGGGTAGCGGATGAGCTTCCAACTGACGTCTGATGCTCAAGGCACGTGGTCCTCGTTAGAGGAAACAAAGCACTCAGAACAGAAGTACCGTCCCATTCAACACTGTAGTCCGCGAATCCGAAGCCCGGGTTTGAACGTCATGTCTCGAATGATACCGGGGCATCTTGAGGCAGGATGCATCCGTTCGACTGGATCTCGATCAAGCTGTTGGCCTGCTCAACCAGGCCTCCACCAACTCCTCATCAACACATTCATTCCTTTTACTAACAATTCCTCTGTCCCATTCCAACCACTCTCCCGCCATGATATTACCAAACCTCGACCTCAAAACGCCAACACTGACATCAATGATATACGGCCTCTCAAAGCTCTGATAGTACATGGTTGCACCACAGACAATGCAGAAGCTTCTTAGCACGAACTCCGAAGACTGGTAATGTTTCAGCTTCTCGATTTGGGTTGTTTCTCTGGCCTTCGGACCAAATACTATCGGTTCGTCGTTGACTGTGTAGATCTGGGATGGAGGTATATATGTCCATGGTTGCAGTGTGAACCCCAGCGTTAGCCGGCATGAGCGGCAGCCGCAGAATCTCGCGTAGTATTTGTTGTGGTCGCCCTTAGGGACGTACCATCCATTGCTCCACACCTCGTACGGCGGTGGTGCAATGTGCAGTTGACAGGATCCACAGTGGCAGGATGCTTCGATTGCCTCACCTCTGTCTCTTGTTTCCGAGGCTGGTTGATGCAGCAATGTCTCTCGCAGTTGCTGGAGCTCGCGTTTCTTTAAAACCTCGGCGCCGTCCTCCCCCGGCATGGTGTTGTAACAAGGCACATCACGATCACCAAGCTTCGTGAGAAATGGTGCAATACCACCGTCTTTCCCGTCTCCGACGTAAATGTGGGATAAGACCCTTGATATGTTCTTTTGCACGCTCAGTCGCCCAGTCATCCCTTCGGTCTGCTCCATTTCCACGACCCCTGAGCAAGCGGCCCAGCTGCCATCCCGGTCAGACCTCAGAAAAGCATTGCACCCGCATTTCTTACAAAAGAAGCGGGTATACTTCTCGGACGTCTTGTAAGCGATAGCGTTGCTCAGGGATTCCTCACTCGGTGAGCCAGTAAGGCTCACATACCATGCACCCAAAGAGCCCGTAGTGTAGCGGCAGGTGTTGCAGTGGCAGATGTCGTTCTCGACCGGAAGTGTCTGGCTGGTGAGGAGCGTACCCGCTTCTTTAATGGAACCGCACAGGCAAGTCAGATGGGATGCCGTTGCCATGGTCGTCCACTCTAATTCACAGAGGAAAACCAATCCACTGGTGTCCTTCCTGCCAGTGCGTTATGGGAGAGTGCTTTATTGAACAGAAAAGCTACAAAGTCAAGCTGGAAGAAAGTCATGCGAATTGGTGACAAGTGCGAGAAAAGAGATACTTTAGAACCTTGGTTACCAATCAAGGTTAGCTATACGCCTCCAATCGTCACCTCCACGAGTGCGTCGAAAGTCCAAGAGTCGACGGGGCCAGGTCGGTTCACCCCATGTTATGAAGGAGAGGAGAACTGCCTTCGGAAGGAGCGAGGACTAATGATGATGATTGGATGTGGCGTATATCTCCCATGGCTTGGCGATATACTGCAACGACGTTGACATAACGCCCGCACAACCGACCAGGGCAGGCTTCTAGAGGACGAGCAGCGGAAATAAAACGATGGTTCTTCCTAGTACCTTTTGCTTGAGTATGGCAATCTGCTCTATCATTACAGAAATGGCTTCTGCATTCCCTTCCCTTCCCTAATTTGATTTTGTATGGGTATCGTTCTCCGCAACCAACGCCAATGCTATGTGGAGTTAGGCAAAAGTAATGCCTGTGACGAAAAGGCAAGAAATCAGCAATAACATAACCGTAGAAGCACTGAAGCCACCCTTCCTGTCCTCTCCATGAACTTATCAAGTGAAGTGCACTTCCGCGTCTTCTCGTGGAGGAGATCGTCGCGTGTTGGTAAAAAGGGCACCAGGTCGATCAGTCCTTTCGGACGTTGGATCCATGAGTCTAAAGCCCGGTGTGGACCCGTCACCCTTTTGATCATACTAAGCGCCAGGGAGATTTTTCTCATCGCCGAAGCCTTTATCCTGCTTGCCAAGCCAGCTCGGTTCGATGAGGTCTTTCCTCTTGAGATACAGGTGCTTGTAGGCGTGCTTGATTGTGGCATCGCTGACGCTTGCAACTTCACTGATCTGCTTGGTGGATTTCCCGAGACCGACGAGGTGACTAGCGAAATAGACACAAGCGGCGGCATTAGACAAAGGGCTTCGGCCAGCGAGCTCTTTGATCTCCGGGATCTTCTGGGCAAGCTCCGCCGCAATCTTCCCCACCCTAAAGGGACCTCCTAGCATGTTGTTGTACCGTTCGCAGAGTTGTTCAGGCTTCGTCGACTCGGTTGCATTGTAGGCGATAGACTGGTTGGCGATGCCACCGCTCTCCTCAATGGCCTGGATGCTGTCGTTGGACCATTTCATCAAGAATTTCTCCAGGTGTTTGTAGACTCGGCCGATATCTTTTTTCGGGACTGATGTCAAGCCGAAGATTTCACTGAAAGATCGAGGTGCCTTTTGTTGACGGCATGCAATGAAGAGACAGCCGGCGAGAATGACGTCGACCGGCTTCCCGCGGAGGGCGTTCGCTTCGTAAACACGCTTGTAATAGCCTTTGGCGCTGTTCTTGATGGGAAAAGTAAGCTGGGCTCTTTCCCCCCAAGCCTCAATTTGGGCATAGGCTGTCTGCAAAACCTTGTCGGCCTTGTTCTCTTGTTGCAGTGCCTGAGCCTTTTTGAGCTTCCGCGTCTCCTTTGACACATTGGCCCCTCCACCACCAATCATTGTGCCCGTATTGCTGGCGTTGAGGAGATCGTTATCAGCTTCGCCAACTCGATTGGGGTCATCGCCTTTGCCCTCGTCAGAGTTGAATGTACGCCACTCGGACTCGTAACTGACGAGACGCTCAGCCAGGACCATTCCACAGTTGGCGCAGATGGTGTCGGCGTTCTCCTCGATGAGATCCGGCGGGTACTGGTTGCACTCAGGGCAGATGAGATGAGTATTGAGATTCTCGCGCCAGGCTGGGGCGTCTGGGGGTTGGTTCTCAGCTCCCACAGTGGTCATGTTGGGTTTCTTAGGTGCCAGTGACCTTGACTTCGTCTTGGTAACTCGACCGCTTAGTGTCCCCTGCAGTCGCTGGGTCTGACGTCTCTTGATCCCTTTGTAGGTTGTCCGAAGGTTATGATTGTTTGCGAAAGTTTTGACGAACAATGGAGAATACAGTTTGGCGGTATTTTGAGACAAAGGTCTGCAGGCTCTTGCGTTCGCGGCAGAAGCTATGAGGCTTCGCCTGGCCAGTGCGTCACACGCAAGTGAAATTGAGGCAATCTGAGGAATCGAAGACAATGAGTGTATAGATCGTATTGAGATTGAGCGTGTTAAGGGCTTGGGAGTGTAGACGTAGACTTTGACGGTCGTGAATCGTCGTACACTGTAGCAAGGCAAGTGTCAGTCAGGTCATCAGCAAGTGAATGAGACAACCCAAAAGATGGTGTCGAACGACGCCCGAGTCAACTATCTAATGTCCAGTACCTTTTTCTCGCGGAAGTGATAGCGAGAAGAGGCGACCGCAGCCTTGCAAGTGAAGCGCAGGCGCGAACGAGCTGAGGGCCCTGACTGCGACCGTTCAACCAGTGAAGGTCTCGTGAGTCAAAGAAAAGTCGAAGTTTTCTGAACACGATATGTCGTCGTCAGCGGCGCTGTTCGAGATTGCGCAAGGGCGTCAGGAAAGCCTTCGCAGGAAGAGAAGAAGGCAGAGAGAAGTTCTTGACGAGTGCTGCGATTATGTGATGGCGAGATGGTGGAGAGAAGGCGATGGAAAGGAAGTTCGGATGAGCAAGGCGGAAAGTGTTCGGCTGAGCCGTCTGCACGTGACTGCCGCATTTGATCTAGCCCTCGAGCTGCATTTCACCTCCAACTCACTTGCAGGACCTCATTTTGAGCTCTGCGACAGACGGAAACGAACCGTTGTACCATCCTCTCCACGATCAGAATGGCGCAGACACTCAGAGCCAGTGTAAGTTCCTCATTTGGAGGGACACGCAACCACTGACACGAACTCAAGGGCCGTCTCCTTGCTCGGGTAAGCTCCAGAACGCTTCCACCCTCACGTCGAAGCTTTGCAGCTGCGTCAATCTCAAGGGGTAAGTCACCAGTGGAATAAGTCAAACCCCGCAACTCACATGAGGCAGCGGACTTGATTCAAGACCTTTACCTGAAAGAACTACGAGCATACAAGCCTCCACCACAGAAGGCCTCCGACGCAGAGGGCCAAGTTCAGAAATTCACGCCGCCTGCCGCGCCCAAGTCGCCAGAAGAGACAAATCTAGCTAGCGAGATGAAGGAGTACGAGGAGCAGTCTGTGGAGATCGAAGGGACTTCTCAACCTGGAGAGACACAACCCGAGGAGAACTTTTTCGAAGACCTCGATGCGATTGACGCCGAAGACAAGGAAACTGCCCACCATTGAACTCAATAAACTCTCCTGTACAATCAATCGAACATGGGATAAGTCCCTTTTGCAGCCATGCAGTGTGCGATCCAGTCTACTGCAGCCGGAATTCAAGCGCGACCTTGTCAGATACCTATTCCATTTCGGGGCTTCTACTGAAAGCACTTTGGGTGATGTCCATACCGCGTCGAAATCTCATTGTGACCTATCATCGCAGCTCGCTGACGTCGACTTTAGCGTTTGGAGCTCGTTTACGTTTCACCCAGCATTTGCTGTCTTTAACCACCATCTACACGGATATAGGATGCTGTCGACAGCACGATTCCCCCTGCTACTCAGGAATTTTGTCAAGATACAAGTGCTGTGTAGTAAGAACCTCCCGCCCATCATGCATGCCAATGTGCGCAGCGCAAAGGTCAAGCGACGAACTACGTGTCTCATGACCGTCTTCTTTCCTGCCGCAGTATCCTCGCCCGTATCTCATTATGTCCGCGGACTACGTCCTCAGGCACTCATACTGAATGCAGCCCAAAGGATTTGACGGTTCAGCGGCAAGACGAGTCAGAGCAGACAAAGACTGCAGTAGTGGGCGGAGTATACTTAGTGTCGACGTAAGTACTCCGAGGTGACGAGGCCTTCAGCAAAAACCCCAGAGAGGGCTGCATTGATCAGCGCGCAATGTAAGCATTCTGGCAAGATCTCAACCAATCGGTAAGCAATATTTGTGCAGAGTCGGAGGAAAACTCTCGAGGTACTGTAACCGATTCTTGTAAGAGGTACTCGTACGTGACAGCGACGACGATTCTTTTGACAGCAAGCCGTGAAGGTCCGGACTTGATGCATCATAGAGTACGAGGTTCAACCTGTGGTATACCTAATATGGGATCTTCGAACATCAGTGGGTAACCCTGAGACAAAAGCAAAGATATCAAAACCAAACAGTGGCTCCAATGGGATTATGCGATATGCACTATCTACACAGTATGGGCACCCCCGGAGAGACATCCTGGTGTGTCAGTTTCGCGTGCAGCTTCTCAGAAACAAGCGAGAACCAACCTTGCACACAAGCAAGAGGTGAGTGGCCCTGTCCAGGCCCGTCGGTGTTTAGTGATGCCGATGTCTCTGTCTGGGCACCTCCGTAGCCGCCAACATCCACTCAAGGCACCCGTGGCACCCCGTCCATCAATCCTGCATCCTGCAACGTGCGTCGTGCGGGCTCAACTTGCTGCAATCGGCAACTCTCATTTCCACGCAGCTAGACTGAGATAATGCTTCCAGCACTGTTTTCCTGCTTGCTTCGTTGTCAATAGTTGTCCGTCCACGCTGATTATTCTTCGGTCCTTCGTTATTGTTCATTCTAGGGTTTACCTTCTGCACATCTTCTGTCGTTAACGTGAGATTTGGTACTTTCCTGACTCAATCACCGGATACGACGCCCTTTCCTCTCACCCTTACTGATTTGCAGCCTGTCCAACTGCGTCGACCAGTCCACGTACGCGGGCCAGGCTGAGTCCTCCATTTAGCGTCCTTGCACGTCGAATGTTTGTCTTCTGCTGCACATTGCCCTAATGGAGAGGACTAAAGAGAGGTCGATAACTCCTGCATTGGTGTAATCGCAGCGACACCCGGGACGGTTGTCTCTCCTAGTTCATGCTCTTCCATCCAACCCCACATCAGCATCATGGCGTTGACTGCACAGGTGGAAGGGCAAATGCCCGCCTTGCCCGTCCATGCTCTGAGTCCGTTATCCATTCACCCATCTGCTACGGTCGCTTCTTCAGACGCGTTTGACCCTGCTTCGACAGGTCTGGTCCGGTCCGCGAGCTTCACCTACCAACCTTCCGCGCACCCGGACCCGTCCACGATCAAACGTACCTTTTCCGAACATGTCATCTCCCTGCCCTCCGAGACTAAGGTCAAAGTCAACGAGAGTGTCCACTCGGCAAACATGGAGCTCTTCCGACGGGTCTCAAGGAAAGCGAAGAGGAAGATGCTGGCAAGTGCCCGCTTTTCGTTATCAGCCGAGGATGACGAACCACAACCAAAAGAGGTGAACAACACGGGAGGTGAGAAGGACGAGCAAACAAGAAGTTTGAGCCGCTCTGTCGCGGGCACACTTCGTACCCTCGCCCGGAAATCATGGGCTCCCTCGTCGAGGTCGACCTCTCCAAGCCGGAAAGACCGTGAAACTGCAGAAAGAAAGCGGAGTTGGTCGCCCAGCAAGAGGAAGCTTGCCGTCGCTGCAAACTCTGTCGCTGTTCCTGAGCCTGCAGCCTCCAGTCCCCCTTTGCGGGCATCCCCTGAGGAAAATGACCTGCTGCTGGAGGCTCCAGCACACCCTATACGCTCAGAGCAGCGACGTTCCACCACTCCCACACCAGTTCAAAGACCGTTCTCAGTCCTTCTCACCAAGAACAAGAGTGACGTCAACCTGAGGCGAATGTCGAGAAATTCCAGTGCGACTTCTCTCCGGAGTTTCGTGTCCACCGACCGATCACAGTCAGGACTCTCGCTCAACAAGGTGCCTCCGCTGCCTTCCTCACTTTCATCTGATCGACTCGCGGCTCTCAATGTTGAAGGCCCTAGAAGAAAAGATCCGCTGTGGGCTGCATTTCGTAACCTTGATGGAGAGTACAGTGGCTTCCAGTCAAAGACTAGCCTCCAGAAAGCCAAGGTGCTGCGAGCGACACTGATTCCTTTCCTGGTCAAGCACGAAAATCATACGTCTAACAAGTCTCTTCGAGCCGAGGATTTGGACCGACGAATTGTGATCTTGAATAAATGGTGGACAGCATTGCTGGAGATTCTGCATGGAGCAAACAATCAGTCGATATCGGGTACGGACAGACCCGCATTCCTCGAAGCCATAAATCGGATCATGAGTCGACCAGAATGGAGAATGCCTGGCTTCTCTTCAACTCCAGGGGAAAGCCCACAGCGTCCTTCACTTCCGAAGTCGAAGTCGACCAATTCCCTTGAATCGGAGGAGGCAGATTTCTTGATCGATTCCGTCTATCAGAATGTGCGTAACACTTTCGTCCAAAACCTCCTCTCACAAATGGAGTTTGTCACTGGTGTATTGTCAACGAGGACTGCACCTCAAAGCCTAGTCACATTTGCTGGAAAGGCTTGTGCTTACGCTTTCTTCTTCTGTCCCGGAGTGGCCGACATGCTCATCAGGTTGTGGTGTCTCCCAACCGCTGTACTCAGACGAATGCTCAGACAGTTTGGCGTTGAGAATGGTGAAAAGTTGGACCTCATCTCCAGTGCTCTAGGGAGAAATTTCCCCCCACCCGTTCGAAGTCTCTGTGTCGGATCTCAAGCAACCTTTATGCGTCATCTTCAACAGCGAGGTCCCTTACCACCAGGATCAGAGAAGATCGATTGGTATCAACCCTGGGTGGCGAGATGGTCTGGCCACAACAGTGATTTGTTCTTCGTCTTTACGAAGCAGTACCACCTCCTAGTGTCAGAATTCCTCGCCGAGGATATTTCGCTGAAAGATCGCACGGGTATCCCCGGTATGGTACCAATCTGCGCTCAGATGCTGGTCATTCTGGAGACAACCATCTATCGACAAGCTGGCCAATCTGGAGGCGAGAGCTACGCTACCAGCACCGGGTCCAATTTGGACAACCCAGACGCTTTAGCTCCTCTGCCCATGACAATTGCTAACGCAACTCGTTCGATTGCTGAGAATCGACTGATCATGATGTTGCGAGACATCATGGGCGACCTGGACCCGGATCGCGCCAATTTCAGAAGGCTCTTCTCAGTTTCCTTTGACAGTGTTACCAAGGCGGCGACCGTCAAAGTTTCCTTGTACAACAACGACGCATGTTTTGTGATTTGTGATTTTATGGAGGAAGTTCTTCCCATCATGTTCCGACACCACCAGACCTACATTGAAACCCCAGTGCTTGACTGGCCGTTTTGGCTTGAAGTCTGCAAGCAGATGCTGCGAAGTCAGACCACTCTTACCCAGATACGAGTGATCACATTCTTGTATACTAATTGGTCTATCTTAATACATAATGAGGGACAGAAGCGTCGGCTGGTTCTAGAGTGGCTGTTGGATGCCGACGTCTTCGAGAAGCAGTTTTGTCACTGGTCGCCCATGGTGCGACATTACTTCTACCGTCTGCTGTGCTGGAAAGTTGCGCGATACGACGGTGAGGTTTCGGACTTGGATATGTAAGTTGGAGGCACTTGATCTTCTGAGTGGTTACTTACACGTCTACAGAGAGATCTTGCAGTCATTGGCTGCTCGGTTGAACAAATGCTGGGCAAATTACCAGTATTTGAGTGCGGAAGCCGAAATGCGAGGTCTCGTACCACCATCGTCGGCGCCTTGCTCACCTGCACCCAGCCGTGTCCTCGTTATTGTCCGGACTGACAGTCAACCGATTATGACGGCCTCCAAGACACATTTCGAAAAGTATCTTCCAACCTCAATCGTCACCCAACATTCGCCGTTTCCGAACCATTCTTCCATCCTGAACACTATCCCATCTGCCGACTTGCCGAACAACAGCAACAAGAAGCGATGGAGCCTATTCCGTGGCCTCAACGTGTTCGGTACGCCAGGTAACCATCGACCAGGAGAGGTAACACCACCTGGAAGTCCAGAGGACAAAGCCGTGTTGGCCTCCAACGATGCTCCTGATCCGAACAGCGCGATTACCGCGCCAAAGAGGCCGGCTACACCACCGCACCAGGCATTTTCGTTTAAGTTCTCTCTCGAATATTTCTCGTCCCGACCACACCTGGAAAACAAAAATCGTCCGGTGGTAGCGCCACTACTTCCTCCTAATGCCCAGGCCATACTCAGATCGCGGCAGAGCTCAGACAGTGGTGTGAGTGGAGGCAGTGCTAGTGGTCTCAGCCAATCCAGCAACAGTGGTGGGAGCGGTGTGAGTGGTAGTAGCATTTCCCGCGGGAAAGGTAGAGCGAAAGAAGTGAAGCCGCTCAAGCCTAAGGATCATGAGATGGGCACAGCACGGTACAGCGGGCGATCCCTGACTGAATGGGCCCAGGTGTTGCACGAATGTCGCAGTTTTTACAGCAGGCGCAAGCAGGAAGGTGTTCCACGGGATAGCCTTATTGAGACACCGACAATGGGTGTGGAGAGTTTCCGGCTGATGGGTGGTTAAGGGCCTTTTCGTTGGACACGGACTTTCTTGCACAGACATACGATGATGCACGAGAGAGCAACGTTCTATTGAGATGTTGATGGAATCGTGGGACAAATACGGAGTACGCATATAGACATACCATGGGTGGGGACGTTGCTGGTTGTTGACGGCGTTGATCACTTGATCGTCCACCTGCTGGAGAGATAGCTGGTTTGTCTGTACAGTGCTTGGATATGGATGGAGCGCGCACACAGTCAAAATTGTTCATACAACATGCAACAAATACAGTACTTTCAGCATCAAGCGTAACTTCCTCCCGCACGGTGTCCCCTCGGCACGAAACTCGCATGTCTTCATTCTAATGGGACGTGTTGAGTACTACGTCCTCTGAATTGGTAGGTATGGAGATGGCAGTATTGCACCACTAATGTAGGAATATCATGCATCAAAGTCTGTGTACGCAGCTTTATATTGAAGCGGCCTGCAGGAAACAGATTGTTGTTTCTCAAGCCGTTGAGCTGCCAATCGGGAGGAGTGAAGAGGGCAACTACGAGCGGTCGGAAATCCAGCATACGCGACCAACCAGTTCAGAGCCATCTTGCCCTAGGCTACAGGCTTATCAGGTAAGCTAGACTCGATCATTTGAACAGCCTACCCCTCGTGGTGCTTGGTCTTGTATGTTCTAGTTTCAGGTCGACTTGCGCCTGTTGACTGCTGTTTGAAGTCGCAACGTACCCTGGCGGCCGGGAGACGTAAAGTAGACGAATAACTTGGAAGGGAGGTATAAACCAGATCCTAATTGCTGGCAGTAGCCTGATGTTTCTCGGCACTGACATTGCCAGAAAGCAATAATACCGTCCAGGCACTGATGGTAGCGTAGATGGAAGAAATGTCCGAGTCCTATGCAAATAGGCGTGTTCTGCCAAGCCTGCAGCCTCGCCTGCGACGAGGCTTTAGGACCTGACCCCAAAAAATCACAGCACCTCGAACCTTTGTCAACAGAATATGTGAAGAATACAGTGTCTTCATTGCGCTTCCACAATGGTGAACGGGTTCGTATTTATGAGATCAGAAGAGGCTTCATGCATGGCACTGAATTAATGCCCTGATCGTCTCCACACTGACGCGCCTTCATGGATCGCTATCGGGGGTAATGCCCTCCGCTATAAGGATTGGATTCGTTTCAAAGAACTGACATACAGCAGTTCTCGACGATCGCCTGCGCCTCGAGACAGACATACTCGTGATCCCGACGTCTTCGCTATCGGGTCCGGTGAAAGCTACAGACCCGGAGGCGAGAATTCGTACAGACCTACACCTCGCGAACGAGACCGTTTCGGTGCAGACTCATGGACGGCGGACAGAAGAGATGGACGACGGGATGATCGAAGAGACGAAAGAAGAGATGACATCGACTCCTATGTTCCACTCACAAGCTCACGAGCAGCACGCCCGCGAAGCCGCTCCCCAGCCTTTCGTCGACGATCACGGACCCCCCCAAGTAGAAGAGAGGACTTGTTCGCCACCAGAAGATCACCACCACGTCGCTACTCTCCAAGAAGGTCCTCACCTAGAAGGTGGTCTAGATCCCCTCCTGGCAATAGGGCTCGCAGTCCGCCTGATTCTAAGAGATTTCGAGACTTCTCACCTGAGCCTAGCCGACGCTCGCCGAAGCGCGAACGACGATTCTCTCCTAACCGGAGCCGGGACCCACGTGACAGATCGCCTTTGGGAGAATCGGCAAGAGCAGGGGAAAGCTACAGACCAAGCTCTAGAACTCCGCCGCGAAGGAGACCGCAAAATGACACCTGGGTGAGAAGGTCTCCTTCACCAAGAGACTCCGGTGCAGCATCGCACGATACCTCCCGACGATCATCTCCTCCCATGCACCCGGACAGAGCGAGCTTGGCAGGTTCCGTAACAAGATCACCTGCACCACTAGTCAACCGGAGCCAATATGATAGGGCTGAATCAGCCACTGGCAGCTATCGTGACCGATCTCCCCTACCACCCGCACCTGCGGACCTTCTACGGGACCGAGATGTGAGCATGCCACGCGAGGATGTCAACATGAATGGCACCAACGAGCCACGGCGGCCCCCATCGGGTCCCAGCGGTTTCCGGAATGGCAGTTACGATAGACCACCGCCGTCAGGCCCGTCACGAAATTTCAGCCAGCCGATTCAATCACCGCCAACTGGTCCCGCAGCATCAATGTCAATGTCCGCTCATAACAGGGGTGGCGGCGCGTCCACGCTGAGAGCTCCTTCGGGACCTCGCGGCTCAGTTGGTAGATTCGACGGTCCACCGCCTCGAGATTTCCCAGGTCCACGTGGTCGAGGTGGCTTGCCCTATCGAGGCCCAGCGCCTCATGGACCAAGAGGTGGAGGCTATGGGCGTGGCGACTTCGGCGGATCCAGTGGTCGAGGGGACTACGGAGGGAACACCTACCGTGGTGGCGGCTTCGGACGTGGTGGCAGCCCTGTGGGCGGCGGTGAGCCGTCGTTCCCATATCGCACCAACAACAGCTCGAGCACGACTTATCCTCGCACACAGCGCTTCAACACCATTCAACAGCATCTGGCCACGAACGAGAAGATCGTCCCCGGCGGCAAGTTACTCCCCTCGGGTCTCCCTCCTGACCAGGAAAAACGGATCAAGATGCTCGAAGCAGAGAGCGAGCGCATGCGGGCTGAGATTTCCGAGAAACAAAAGCTGAAGAGAGAAGTCCTAAATGAATGGGAAGTTAGGGAAAGAGAGAGGGAGAGGGAGGCCCTGCGGAGTGAGCTTGCTGAGCAGCATCTACAGCAATTGATGGAGAGCGAGGATGGAATCGGAAGAGCTGCGTTCTAGTATAGGCTCCTTGGACTGGGTGATTTGCCCTTCTTCTTACAATGAAATCTCGCCAACACAAAGGATAAGATTCGAGATGCGACTGGCTGATTGAGCGATCCGTGGCACCCAGTTCTCTTCTCGCCTTGGCCCTTGGGACGGCAGGTGCGTCCAAATCGGAGTGCAGTGAGGGCTGCAAGCAGTTGAACCCAATCAAGCCGTGAGTCCACAGCTGGCTGGACGCAAGACTTCACATGAGGCCAAAATGAGGCATCAAACATTCCGCTCAACTATTCTGCTGCCATGGCGAGTCCCGGTCAGAAGCATAGGAACGACAGGTTCAGGTGAAAAGGGCCAAGGGCTTGGATCGAAAAGAAACAGAAATTTCACCATTGTTGGCATCGTCACGTACGCACGACTGCACTGGGACTGGTTGGGCATAGCAAGCGAGCACTGATTTGAGCAGCACACTTCACTTTACGCACTGTGAATGAAAGGAGCCAATCGAACACGAGCCATTTTCTCTCCCTTTGTCGACGCGAACAGACCTGAGAAAGTGTGGACACTGGAGCACGTGTCAGAAGTGCTGTTTGATATTCGACTTCTGGATATCGGACAGCCTGATACCGCCCGGTCCCAGCGTGCCATCTAGACGACGTTGTCTCTTTTTCTCCCCGGAATATATTCACCTTCTAACCTATATGCATCTCTACGAGCCGACTGCTCGTCCGCCGTCAACCTCCAAATTCACTCCGGTAACAAACTTTCCCTCGTCACTCGCCAGGAAAGCCGCCACATTAGCCACATCCTTTGGATCCGTCAGTCTCCCAAGCGGCACATTGAACAGGAACTTCTTCATGTTTTCTTCGGTGTAGGGCACACCGACGAAGCTCTCGAAGAGACCGGTACCGGAGAGAAGGGGGCAAAGTGCGTTGATGCGGATTTGGTCTTTGCCGAATTCGGCGGCAAGGCCTTTGGTTGCCTGTTGACCAGCTGTCAGTACGCTTGTGCTTGGACAGCGGGGCAGTTAAGCTGGAGGGACCGAACATTCGCAACAGCGCCTTTACTCGCATTATACCACACCAGGCCGGGCCTTGGCCTCATGGCACCGATACTTGCAACGTTGATGATGGCACCACCACCCCGGTTCTTCAACGCCGGAATGGCAGCTGCCACGCTTAAGAAGATACTCTTGACATTGACCGCGAAGACCCGGTCGTACTCGTCCTCTGTGACTTCCAACGTGGGCTTGTTTTTGTAGCTTGTCCCGGCGTTGTTGACCAGTATATCCAGGCCCCCAAACTTTGTGACTGCCAGGTCGACCATCTTCTGCCAGTCGTCGCTAGATGTGACATTCGCCGTGACCAGCGCGACGTGAGTGTCTGCGGAGTCAGTGTAGGCTTTTTGTAGACCCTGCTCGTTCAGGTCCGCCGCAACGACCTTGGCTCCTTCTTCGATGAATTTGCGGACCGTGGCAAGGCCGAAGCCTGAGGCGGCTCCTGTGAAGGCACTGTCAGCGAAAAGCTATCCGTAACGAGGGGTACTTGTCTAGTAGCAGCAGTTGAGCCGTGGCTATGTGCTACGAAATCACACGCATGTGCCCTGGGGTTCCTGGGTCCGATTGAAGCATTGGACATTCTGTTCCCAATCGAACTCAAAAGACCGGAATCCTACCTGTCACTATGGCCACCTTGTTGGCCAACCTGCCAGTGCCCGTCTGTACTTCGTGGAGGCCTGACATGGTGAGTATCCAATTTGATCACGGCCAATTTCGAGGAGACGTAACGAAATGAGGATGGATCGGCACACTACGGATGGATCACAAGCATGCAGCAAAGCTAGAGTAGATTGCTTTTTCGTGGACAAAGTCCGAAGGGAAATATAAGGTGCTGGGACGCCTTCCTTCCCCGCAGCGATTACCCTATTCCAGCAGTAAACACGGCCATGATGTATGCTTGCGGACTCGGAAATCCACAGAGGGGTAAAGGTTCATGTGAGGGCGAGGCCAGTTCGGAAGAAGCTTGCGGGGAAAATGTTGCAGCATGAACGAGAGTGATGCGGAGATCGCGTCTTCGAGAGCGAATGGAAGGAAACTGTACCAGCCGGCTCGTTTTCGAGATGCCGGGCATCGCCCGTCGCAGCCAGAATGGGTACACAGGCAGTCTGCAATACCCCCGAGGCCGTCTGCAATTGTTCAAGCGTGCGTGCGAGACTGAATAACCTGGTTTTCGACTCCCGACCAATGCTGATTCGGTCGTCGGTGGAAGGGAGTGTTGTAGTAAGACTGTGCCTGGAGAGAATCGTAGCATTGTGCAAGCTTGAAGTGACCCAGATTTCAGTAAGCTTCGGCGCATGCGACCAAGCCCTTTGAAAGCGACTCGCCAGGCCGAACGCCTGTGTCTGAGCCGGCAATGAAAATCGAAATGTTGGACTAATGTATCAACCAAGCTACTCATGGATATCTGAGGGTGCTGTGCCGCGATTCGAAGCCGCCCCGAGTCTTCATCACTTCCGTTTCTTGTTCGCCCGACTTTCTGTAGACATGGTCAGTATTCTGGTCCGCCTCGACACTAGATAGAGCGTACCGGCTGCCGTTCTCTTTTTCTTGGGCGCGCCCTTTCCTCTCAACTTGGCGAATGCCACGTTTTCTAACCTGTCATCCTCCTCTTCATTGAAGCCTTCAAGGTCGAATCTCTTAAACTCTTTCAGAACGTCCTCAACGGTTGCTGATCGTCTGGGATAATAGGCGGCCAGCGCAGGGCCTCTTAATCGCTGGCGCAGAACCTTGTTGCCTAGCCGTTGCTGCATGGGATTGAACGTCGTCGAGAAGATAGAGCATTGGAGCTATATGATGAGAAAACAATCAGCACGCTGCAGAAGAATAGGCGAAGAGGTTCATCGGTCCGCGATCCATGAAATCGAATGGCGCATCCGGGATAGGAAAGTAGTCTGACGAGGGCTGCCTCACCTTCGTGAGCTGTAATAGCCGGCCTCTTGACGGAGAAGCCATTGCAATGCTTGTCCCAAGGGGAATGGGGTTGAGTTTGGATTGATGGGAAAGTGCAAGTCAAAGGAAGTTCCAGAGATGGAAGCGACCAAGTGCTCAGTCGCGTCAGTCTGCGATCGGCTGCTTTTCGGGGGATTCGAAGTTTTCTCTTGTCGACGCCTGACTGAAAGGCAATTTCGTATACATCGGCGGGCCCTTTTTATCTAAGACAAGACAGCACCGCTTCATGATCCTTGTCAAGACCGCTGCCTTACCGTGTTCGCCCTCACCAATATGGCCGGATCTGATAAAAAACGGAAGCACGGAGATTTTCATCCTCAGTCCGCCAAAAAGGTCCACAGAGACGACCCTTACTCGCGAAAACATCATAGGAGCGAAGGACCTGTGAGCGATGGACTTCCGCATCTCCCCAGTATCAGTGAAGAATACTGGAACATTGTCTTCACTCACCCCAGCCAGGCGCCTCAGGACCCACAGGCCAGCTATGACAGACTTGAATTCCTTGGTGACGCCTACCTCGAACTCTACGCCACACAGTTGATATTCAATCGCTTCCCCGATTTCGAAGTTGGAAAAATGTCTCAACTCCGGGAGACACTGGTCAGAAATGAGACCATCGGTCAGTACGCCAGCCTTTACGGCCTCGACAAGCAGCTCAAAAACTACAAGCAATTCCAAAACAGCCCAGGCCACGTCTGGCTAAAGATCAAAGGCGACGTCTTCGAAGCTTATGTCGCAGCTGTGGTCCTATCCAGCCCAGACGGCGCAGATACAGCCAAAAGGTGGCTCCATGAGCTGTGGGAACCAAAAGTCCAAGCCGTCGCTACCAGCACTACTCCTAAGCCAAAGAAGACCAAGGAAGAGCTTGCCAAGAAGATCCTGATGAAGGGTACCAAAATCAACTACGTCGACGAAAAGGCTCCCGTGGTCCACTACGGTCAAGGCCGGGAAGAATACTTCGTTGGGGTGTATTTCAATGGTTTTGCCTGGGAGAATCAGTACTTGGGAAGTGGCCGAGGGTCAAGTAGAGTCGAGGCTGGCTTGTTTGCTGCAGCAGAAGCACTCAAGAACCCGCTGGTGGACCAGATCGCCAGAGAAAAGACGAAGGCTCTGGCGCGGCGTGAGAAATATGCTGAAGCTGTCAAAGACAAAGGAGTACAGAAAGAACACGACTTCGGTCGTGCCAATGCCGAGGTGGTAGAGCCGGCATCAGTAACGGAATCGAGGGAGTCGCAGGCTTCTGCAGAGGCCCCGCCAGCCAAGCAACTTCAGGGGTCCCATGTGGTAGTATGAGAAGTGTGATGGCGAGTCGATTTCTCAACGGATGGTCCCTGTTACCAAGGGAGCACTCTCGCCGTTTCAGTTCAAAAGGATGTCAGTCTGCAGCCGCCGCTTGGCAGGAGACGAGGACATCCTGCCATTCCGCGGGGTCCGCGGCTCATTACTGTAGGTGCATTGTAGGCATGTGGTTGGGTGGAGTCTATCGACGACCAAATATGTGTACAGGTAGGTCGGTAGGCATCACCCTCTGCTTCGTCATACTACAGCGGCAGCCGTCCTGGCCTGTTCTCTTAAATTGCCCTTTTGTTCGTCCAACTGGTTTCTGCAGGCGCCATTGTTGTGCTTCTCGCTTCTCTCGGTCTTGGCCAAGGGCATCAACGTGCTTGCTGAGTCCGGTTTCTCGAGCTACCTGGCACAACAGTTATCAACAAAGCCGCATTGTCTTCCCATATTGCGCCTCAACAATGGTCATGTTTGAGCTCGACAAAGCAGAGACAATGACACCACACTCAAGAACAAACAGGCTTTCATTCACAGGCACACTAGTAAAGAAAGATCATTGACTTGCCCTTGGCCATGGGTAAATAATGCTAATCTCCTCCACCAGCGCCCGCGGCAGCACCACAAGGCTCGACTATCAGTCACACCACCAGCATCCACATCCTTGCATCACGCAGTACCCTACTTCACCGCACGACTCCTTCAAACATACACGCCACGCAATGAAGATCGGGATGATCTCCTTGATAAGTCTCTCCCTTTTGGCGCTTGCCGCCGCCATGCTCCATCCTCATCCCGATCCTCAACCTTTGATTATATACACCTCTCCCGGACAATGTACCTCAGCAGGCCAATTTATCTGTCTCTCAGCCACCACATTTGTCATATGCGACGCCAGTATGACCGGCGCAGTCCAGCACTTAGCACTGGGTGACTCGTGATGCGGCAGGCCGGGGCCAGGCCAGTCCGCCTCAGCATCTCATCCGCCGGCGTCTTCAGCCACAAAACCCGGCGTCAGCACACATACCAACTTCGTGACAGTCGCGGCGACACCACCACGAGCTCCACCAGTGCCAACGCCTCCCCCCATTACCAGCACGAAGATCGTGACTGTTGGGAAGAGTGCAAGTCGCACCTTCGCAGGCACCTTGACTGTGGCTGGGATAAGCGTCGTTCCTACGAGTATTGTGAGCGCGAGCGGATCGCCGCCCCCGAAGAAGACTTAAGTGAACGTACTGCAGAGGTATGGGCCTGAAATTGATGGATGGTAAATCTATTGAAAACGACACCACTGATGATGGGCACTCATCTTGCGCTGTATTTATTGTCGAAATGAATGTGTGGGGCTAAAGCTTGACCACGCAGCATAGGTCTGTTCACTCCAACACGTATCCAATCTGTAACTGCTATAGACAATTCAACACGATTCGAAAGTATTACTGAGTTGAGTCGGCATGACCTGCGACCACTCAGCCCCACGATTAGTACTGTATTCTGTCTTTCCATATCCAGACCATGTTCAAGGCTTCTTCAACCGCTGCATGCTCAAATCCATCGCCACATCACACATGCCGCCGTCGACAAAGTCATCCATCAGAACCAGCAGTTGATCTCCCGGGAGCTTTCCGAGCGCCTTGTCCCTAACCCAAGGCATCGTCTTACTGTCACATATGGCTTTTGTAGCAAGCAACCACGAATTCGACGCCGTCGCGGCGATGGCCGAGAACCAGATCTCCAGCCCGAGATTCGTAGCGGTGGCTTGACACTGGATGGTTGTAAACGCCTTGCCTTCCTGTTTGAAAGTGGCGATATTATTGAACTGCGCGATAATGGAGTCTCCATTCAGTGTGGCATTAGCCTGGTCGGAGTAGATGTTATAGTTGTCCACGTTCTGCATCACAAGCAGTCGCTTCCGCTCTTTTCGTAGATCGTCGATTGTGTGTGAGGTCATTTCTTGGAGGTGGCCGATTTCAAGAGCGCCCTGAGCTGCCTTCCGAGCTTCACTCAGGTGGCGGTTGAGGTCGTCGGGCGTAGGACGGGCGCACTCGGCAGGGACGCCATCCCAGCGGACGTGGACCACCACGATCTCCCCTGGGTTGCGCACGAGGAAGGCGATGCAGTCGTCAAGGAAGTCGTCATACCCCATCCCTGGAATTGGCCCATGCATGAAGAACAATTTGTCCTTCATATCCTGAAGCTGTGGCAGTCCACGAAACGCTTGGTGGAGGTAAGCTGGTCTGAATTCGAAATAGCGCGCGCCGATGATTAGCATCGACGATAGCTCGTCCTTTTGCGTGATCGAAGAGCTCTGAATCACGTTGGGTATCAAAGGTCCTTTGAGAATGTCTGCTATTTGCAGGTCCTTGGACGCGGGCGCGATCGAGTCGACCACCTGCAGGGTGAAATCAGCCGCGTGCTTGCGCGTACAGGATGAACGAGTGCCACCCACCTTTGCGAACGCTCCCCCGACTCTCTGAAGTATTATATCTGAAGTGAGCAAACTGTTCATGCCGACGTCGTGTGCGGCAGGCAAGACAAGACGCCGAAAGGGCTTTGATGCAGCTACGGATCCCAATGGTGCAAGCGTGGACATCCATGCCGAGTTGTTGGGACTGACCGTGACATAGAACTGATCCCAGAATGGGAGGCCAGCAATGTTGCCCTTGTGAGGCGCATCGTAGAAACAATGCGTCACGCAGATTTCGTTGCTTATCAGCGACGTCTGGTCGACCAGGGTCTTCATCGTTCCCTGCCTCAGCGTCCCGGTGATGGCATTGATCTCGAGCCATTTGTTGAAGACTTCACGGCCGTCTAGTAGAACCCGACAACGGAAGATCCCATTGAAATGGGGCGGAGTCGTGTCCTTGCGCTCGAGCTCGAGGTGGTCGACTGTGAACTGCTTCAGTTCCGATTTGATAAGTGGCAGTTTTCCAGGGACAGAGAGCTCGATCGAGCATCCAGAGACACAATTGTAGATATAGCATTGGATGCCCTTTGTAGGGTTCAGAAAGTCAATGTCCGATAGCCTCAACTGCGAGACATCCGACCGGACCATGGCTTCCTCTTTATCGTGCAACTCGGCAGAAGCAGAAACTTGGGAGCGTTGGTAGATCACTGTAGGTTCGAGCGCAGGTCCTCCCTAGAGTAGAGAAACACCCTTTGTTGTAGCTATGCTCACCAAGAAACCGATAGGCCCGCATCGGCCTTCGTCGTTGGGCCAATGCATCCTGCTCGAGGCCAATAATCAAGTCGGCTCTGGTCGCGCAGGGCATTGCATGACTACCGCGAGGGTGAGTCTTGTCAGGAACCGAGCTGAGTCGGAGCTCGGACGACAACCTATGTGGCGACAACGACTAGATGACAAGGAAGCATTCCACGCACCGTCCGACCGGAACTGGTCAAGACTTTGGTCAAGACAGCCTGTAGCAATGAGCCACGTCAAGGGCTGAATATCCAGAAGTATGGCGCCGCGAGGAACCAAGCAATCTAGAGACCCAAAGGGCGGAAAGCGAGTTGAAGCCGACGCCGAAGCCGCCGGCTCGAAATGGTCCAGCGAATCCTCTGCCTGAGATCTCTGGCCCTCTTCCTTGCATTGACTGATTCGTTTGTCGCACGCGCATTCTGTGCTGTACTCCGCTTCCAAGTGAGTCCAAGGCCAGATCCAATCGCAAATAGACAACTACGAGATAGGATGCCGAAACTTAGTTGGACAAGGATCGAAGCAGGTATTGTAGGAGAAGTGATTGTATCAATTCCAAAGTGCCTCAGCCTATTCCAACAACACAGCGCTCTTGTTCTAATGCCTCCGTACGAATGTTTGTCACCCGAACAGTTGGTGATAACTGTACTTTTGCATGAAACTCTCCGGTAGCAGTTTGTACTCGTCTGCTAAGCTTGCCCACCAGAACTTCGGCCCGGCTTCAACCCTTCTGCTTCCTCTTCATCATGACAGCCTTGAATGGATTCTTCGCCTTGAACCTCAAGAAAGTACATATGTAGACAACAGCATAGTTGAACATGATGAAAGCAATGAAGATGCCGAAGTCCCGCCAGATATGGGAGTAGAAGACGGAAAACCCACGTCCGAACTGGTCGCCCGTCGCGTATTGGCAGAATTCGCACAGTCCCCCAGATCCCACCTGGACATAGCCTCCGGCTTGGCTAATGTACTGTTGCGTGTACGATTGACAGGTCTGGCCTGGGGGTGCGCGGAACCGGGCAAATTCCCCTTGATTGCATCGAACGGGTTTGTTATGGATTATGGCTGCAAGCATTGCTTCGAGGAGGTAGTGGAACGGCGTAAGCCAATACATCCAACTCCGCCAGAAATACGGCAACTGTGCGGGAGGGACGACCACTCCGCAGAAGCTGACAACGAAAAGGAAGAACAGCGGCACCAATAAACTGGCGAGGAGTTCGTTGGGCGAGAGGGAGGCGATAGCCTGTCCGAAGCTGACATAATACAGCTCGAAGAGCAGGATGTTCAGCAACAGGAAGCCAGACGTGAAGCCAGAGGTCGACGACCGGTACCCGGCGATGCCCCACCACCAGCAACAGTAGAAGATACCTCCAGCGAGCAAGGAGTACGGGATCTCGACTAAGACGGAGCCGGTGGTCCACGCAAACCAACTGTAGATCTTGGCGTTGTTCTCTCGCGACTCGAAGATGTTCCGAGACTTGAGGAAGACCGGCTGTAACTGTTGAATGAGGGGCGGAGAGATGGTGAGCACCAGGAAAACTGCAAATAGGCGGGATTGCATATCGATCGAGGCGAACCCAAGGTGGTAGAAGGTGAAGCAGATGAAAAGTCCGGTCATGATGTGGAGCATGAACTTGCCAACGATATAGTTAGGGGTGCGCTGCACGATGTCAGCTTCAAAACACACACCAAAGTCGAAGAGCAGGAAAGCTGAGACTCACCCAATACGCCACAAATGATCTCTTCACCACGGCCAGAGTCTGTGTCGTAAGTGGCATGGCGTACTCTCGGTCGTCTGTCACGTTCTTGCTATGCTCGACATGCTTTCGGCGTTCAATCATTTCGATGATCTCGTTGGATCGTTCTTCATGGTTCCTGCTCTGCTCCCAAACATCGCCCCAATCTTTGCCTTTATAGTTGGGATCGCCAGCACCTATCGCCTCCAGCATGTACTCTGCTGGGTTTGCATCCGCTGGACACTTGGGTCCACCGTTCTCTTCGAAGTAGTGTATGAGGTCATGCGAATCATGGCCAAGCGGGCCATGATAGACGACTCGACCACCTGCTTTGAGTAAGATGAGCTCATCAAAATGCTCGAACAAGACGGCCGATGGCTGGTGAATAGTGCAGAGAATAGCCTGGCCAGCATCGGCCAATTTCCGAAGAAAGCGAACAATGTTGAAGGCTGCCCCAGAATCGAGGCCAGAAGTCGGCTCATCTAGGAACATGAGCAGCTCCGGCTTACTGGCCAGCTCGACACCGATGGTTAACCGCTTCCTCTGTTCTTGATTCAGTCCCTCGCCAATCTGTCCGATGGTGGCGCCCGCAATGTCCCGCATTTCCAGCAGGTCGATGATAGTCTCGCAGTAGCTGTATTTCTCCTCAACTGACACCTCTTTAGGCTGACGCAGCAGTGCCGAGAACTGCAAAGCTTCCCTGACCGTTGAGGTGGGCTCATGAATATCCATCTGCTCGGCAAATCCGGTAGCTCGCTGAAATGACCTGGGCAACTGTCGCCCGTCCACAAGAAACTCGCCCGTCACCGTGCCAAAATTGAGGCGCTGGGCCAATGCATTGAGGAGAGTTGTCTTCCCTGCACCACTCGCGCCCATCAACGCAGTGAGTTTCCCAGGACGGACATAGCCTTGCACGTTCTGCAGAAGCTGCCTTTCGCCCTTCTCGTATGGAATCACGTAATTGATATTCCGAAAGGTGTAAACAGTCTCGTTCTTCGCCACTTGATCAACTGGGCCGCCATCCTGCTTTGTGTTTGGCGACTCCTTGTTTTCATCCTCCGGACTCATCATCTTTTCCACCGTAGTTTCTTGTGTAGAGCTGCGAGATTCTTCGTCACCTTCTGTCTTTTTCTCTCTTCCGCCAGTCTCAATCGATTCTTCCATCCTCTTTGGCACTTGACCACGTTTGAAGACGGTAATTGCGCCACCTCCAGCGTTTGGCTTCATGATTTCCATCCCGAAGGCGGTGACTGCGAGGAAAAACGCGAAGAAGGCCCAAAGAATGCCAAAATTGCGCCACAGATGCGAGCGGCTGTACCCAAAGGCTTGTTGAATATAACGGGCACCATCAACAGAGGTCCGCCCAGGCTGGCTACCAGCCAATGTGCACGACTGATACTGAGGTGAGGCATTTGGGCCTTGTGGCACGAGGCTCGGCGGTACGCAGTCCATAATGAGGCCGGTGAACTCGTTCGACATGAGACACTCGAAGCCATACTGTATCCAGTTGATCCTTCGAAGCCAGCTGAACCAGACGCGCATTTGTTCAGGTGGGATAAGATAGCCAGTATATACTACCAAAATCTGAATCGAGACACCAGTAAACCGTGTCGCGTCGTCGAGGGTTTTGCACAGAGCGGAAATGGCGCGGAAAAAGGCGTAGGTGACCATCGTGACGATCCAAATGATAAGGCAGGATATAAAGAATTGAGAAGCGGAGGCAGCAAGACCACCCATCCAGTATATGATGATATTGAATAGCAGGACTTGAATGGCGACCAGCGGAACATCGACCACCGTTTGCGCGAGAGCATAGGCTGCGGGGCGGTAGAAGGAGAATGACTTGTGCTTCAGCAAGATCGGTTTTGATGTGAACGCGGCTGTCATTTCTGCCAGGGCCAAAAGGGCATTGAAGAGGAGGACAAGAAAGATAGCGCCACCTCTTGGAAAGGCACCAGCAGTCGTCTTTGGCATCTGAAAGAACAAGCTGCCGACGATGAGTCCCTGTGGATATGTCAGTCGCACGTCGGATGTAGTAGGGAATGCAAGCTCATACCTGGAAAACAATGCCACCCCATTTGCCCACCAGCGATGCGCGATCGCCCAGCATGACAAGGAATTGTCGATGGGTGCATGCGAGCACCTGCTTGTGGAAGGGGATCGCATAATTCTTCTTCTTGTTTTTCTTGGACCTGTTTTCGTGACGGACAGTTCGTTGTTCCTCCAGGTGAGCCTCGAAATCTCGGATGTCTTCTAGATTGCGTTGGTAGGCATCGGAATTCCGGTATAAAGACGCAAATTCGTTTGCGTTTCGAGGAATCCGGTTTTCCCATCCTTTCCTGACAGCTCTTTCGTGAACATCAGTCACTGAAGTGAGGAAGTCGGCAGTCGTCCACCGCGGCTTGCACTCGAAACCAAGGTCCATGAAGTATTGCTTCGCACGATCTGCTGGTCCAAAGTACAAACATTTCCCTTCGTGAATCAGCAATACTTTGTCGACCAATTCGTATAGAGATTCCCCGGCTTGGTAAAGAGAAACTGCTGTCGATGTGCTTGCCATATTCGTGAGAGCTCGAATAGACTGAACATATTCCAAAGCAGTACTGGCGTCGAGGCCCCGACTTGAATTGTCCCAACCCTGAACCGAGGCCCTCGTAATCATGGCTGCAGCGGTGTCAGCAACTTATGACCCTCTTAGACGTATAGCCTACCTTCTGCTATGCTCACACGCTTCTTTTCTCCGCCAGATACTCCTCGCACGAATTGATCACCAACTTTGGTGCCGAGGGTGTGCTCGATCCAAAACAACTTGGTCACAACCCTCAAGAATTCTTTCATGTAGTCTGCCCGAGACTCACCTTCCAATCTCGATTCTTTACCTGGTGTCCGGGTCTGAAGAGCAAACATCAACGTACGCTTGACCGTCAGAGTAGGATAGTGCAGATCGTCTTCTGGATTGTAGATGACTTCTCCCCGGAAGTCCTTCCTCATGGTCTTGGCATCAGTACCACCGTAAGTAACTTCTCCTTCAACTGCTTCGTAACCTTCACGCTGATTACAGAATGTCTTGAGGAATGTCGAACAACCAGATCCAGGTCTACCAAGAACCAACAGCATCTCGCCCGGTCTGACGCAGCCATTGAAATGGCTGAGAAGTTCGCGGACTGGTGGCTTGCCGCCCGCAGCTTTGGCACCTTTGGTGAAAAGGGTCCTCAGCGCCCGAGGGAGGCCAAGGAATATGTCGCCAACTGTTGGTTGTAGACTGGCACCGAGCCCGACACCCTTGACTGTCAGATCACGAAAGATGACACCACTGTGACGGGTCTTCTCTTCTTCGCTATGTTCTTGTCGGGCTTTGCCAAACATGCGAGACATGAGTCGCTCTATTTCATCATTCTCTTCTTGGAGCTCGCCCTGGGATTTGCCTGAAGCACTGGTCCGCCGGCGTGACAAGGCGGTGAACAGGTCATCCTCGGTCTGTATGCTCTTCCGCTGATGAAGACCTGGGCGCTGTTCTCTAGCCGACGGTGTTGACTTTAGAGGCTCGAATCTGGACTCGCTTCTTTCTATCGGAGAATCATCCGAGGTGCCTGTCGAGAACGAGCTCGAGGACAATGGGCGGGCATGGGAATTGTTGTTGGCCTGCCGCGAAGTATTGCTTGAAGAGGTGACGGCCGTGGCGTCTTTGCTGAATGAAGGTGTCCCTGTGTCTTGGATCTCGCTCGATGAAGTCACGGCAGAATAAAATTGTGGTAGGAGCTGAGGTGAATTCCCTGATGCTGTGGAGCCATTTGACGTGTCTTCGACCGAACCTTTCGCAGGGTCTTGGTGAGCACGTCGTTGGTCTGGAGCAGATGGCTGACCCGTAGTGGACTCCATAGGTGCTGGTAGCGAGCCACCAGGGTTGCTCCTATCTGTTGGAGTCGGTCGGTCCATTGAGGATCAACACCGCAAAAGTATAAGTCGCTATGCGTTTGTGAATACAGCGACCCAATCTCAGCTGAGGTCAGTTTGAGCCGCAAGACGCCATCACGAGAGCTTGCAGAAACTGACGGCTATTGCAGGATAAATACTGCAGGATAAGATGCGAGTCCGTAGGAATGAAGCTCACAGCTCGGGGATACGGTGATACCCTACCTGAGAAGAAGCCTTTCAAACAGAAAGAAAAGGCATCAAGAGATCAGAGTTGTCACTGCCATATGCTGCGTGCTTGCATGGTCGACGTAAGGACGAGTACGAATGCTCCAGGTGGAGACCCGGAGCGGCTGGGGAAAGCGCAGCCCACGACCGCCGGATCTGTTTGATCCATTCAGAGGATCAGAGCATAACTGGTCCGAGCGGATGAAGTAGACGCGATAGACTGGCGAGATGGTTGGATGAACTGCTTGATTGTTATGGCCAAGGCGTGTCTATGACGAGATCTTCGTGTCGCTCGGATCTCCAACATCCCGATTCCGGCGCATCTGCCAAGGCTGCGACCTGCTGGTGACGACTCGATATGCTGCTGTGGGCTTCGGAGGTGTTCGGTAAAAATACCCGCGCATCTTAGTCTCCAGAATTTCAGCCGGCCCGTCGCACATCCAGCTGTACACACTACCTACTTAGGTAGGTAGCTCGTGTGGGATGCGAATACGGTGTCCAGGCACGCTAGAGCCGCAAAGAGAGCGCTTGCCGAGGACAAAGTGGTCTTTCTCTACCTCAAGCGACTTTGGCGGCAGGCTTCTTCGCAAAGAAGGCACTCATCTTCTTCATCCCAGAGACATCGACTTTCTTCAACGCGCGGACACCGTTGGATTCTCCCAACCTCTTCCGTTTGTCCTCTTCCTCCTGTTTCCTCTTCTTCTCGGCTCTCAGCTCAGCAGTCTCGTCATCTTCCAAACCCCTCTTCCGGCTGAAGTCGCTGATAGACCGTGACAACAACGCTTCGGCTCGGAGTGCTGCTAGCGAACTGAGGTGACCATCGAGAGGAGTGAAATTGATTGGCGAACCTTTGGCAGCAAGTCGGGCTCTTAGCTTATCCCCTATCGCGTCTGGCACGTAGGATTCAATGAGGAAGTCTAAGACCGTCCGTTTCTTTTGCAGCTCAAGTAGCTCCGGAGATATCGTTTCGGGGACTAATGTGCTCACGGAGGTCGTGGTAGAGACCTCTGAAAATACCGAAGATGGTGCTATACTCGCAGCAGATGACTGAGAATCAAACACCTCAGAGGCATTTTCGTCGTCGTTCTCTTCGTCTGGCGCTGTTGCATTTGACTTCGTTTTAATTGCGGATATGGTTGTGTCTTCTCGCTTGACGCTTAGTATAGGTGCTTCCAAGGCTCTGGTCACGAACTTCTCTTCCAAGGTAAAGGGCAAGCCCCGTGTCATGGCAGCGTCGCCTTTCTGTATCAGCATCCGCAATATTTTGTCCTCACTGGTTCTGAACATTTGCTCATCTCCTGCTTGTATCGTGTCGCAAAACCGGGACATTGCCTCCTCGACCATATGTCTGCCATGTTCGAACAAGTATTTCAGGTGTTTGTTTTCACGCATGTGCTCCTCGAGCAAGTCGTCTATCGGCTGGAACAGGTTTCTGGACATAACGAGAGGCAGAAGGATGAAAGCAAGGTCAAACGGGGTTGCCACGAAGAATTCGGCGGTCTTGCTGACATAGCCATCCTGATTAGATAGACTCGCTTCACTCGGAGCTTCAGACTGATCTGTGTCATCTGCTGCGTGGCTCTCGGCGCGTTCAGGTTCGAGCGGTGTGAATAGAAGACTTCGGGGTCCGGTTGATGGTGGGCTGACTTTTGTGAACTGATATAGCCCCTTCTCTGAGCAAAACAAGAACCGCTGGATGTTCGAGTCGCGAGGATGTCGCAAGAGGAGGAAGCGGGATCGGACGGATATGTCTTTCGGGAGGATGAAATGCTTTAACGGATCTTGTTGTGGGCTTTCAGAGTTCGTCTTGGAAGAGGATTTCTTGACTGGGCTCTTGGAGCCTGAGCGTGTTGTGATTGCCATGATGACTGTAAGACGTCCTCTGTGCGCAGTAATAGAATCGTGGTACTCAGTACTTCCTAGGATGCAGAGACTCGCTCGGTGAACGGGTGACGGTCGACGTTTCACCCCTCGCAGCCTCGCGACACGCGTGCTCAGCGCGTCACCACGAGCCAATCGGAGTCCAGCCTTCTCCGCAAACCATCGTTGTGTTCACCTGAAACCGTCCATTGAAGACCGCCGGAGTGTTGAGTAGGTGTATGAGTACGAGCGCATGGCTGTCGTAGAGCCGTAGCGGATCTCTTATTACTTCAGAAAGAGACGAATCCTCTCTAGCGAGGGCCTTATTCACCTGAACAAATATCATACAATTTGAACCCTGACACGACAAAAGATGTCTGCTGGAGGGCCGTGGCCTCCGGTCTCACCTCAAGCTGCGCTGTTGAGTTCCCCAAGTGGTCGCAGGAAGTACGAAGCCTATAAGAATGGTATGTCGCCAATGCAGCGATCAGCAACCACACCGAGCCTGGTGGACAGACTGCGAGCGGCACGGTCGAACAATGATTTCCCCCCACAACACGATAGTCCTGAGGATGAGGAAGATGAGGAGACGCTACAACTGAAGCTAGCGGCGATTGAGGCGAAGTTGAAGTTGAAAAAACTGCAAAAAGACAAAGCTCGCACTGCCACACCAGGGAGGGACTCCTCCAGGCCCAGTTCAGCCCATCGACCGCCTGCTCCTCCTCAAGTTGAGGTCAGAGCCTCACCCAACAAACGAATACAGGCCACACTTCCAAAGTCGCCATCCCGTGTCTTGCTGGGTATTGATAAGGGGATACGTGGCGCCGACATTTCGCTCAAAAGAGCCAGTACCGTTGCAGGAAGCCGTTCCAGGATCAACTCATCGGATCCCCACGCCGATCGACCTACCTCCCGGTCGTCAGCATTTGACTCGGCTCGCTCCGCGACTTCCTCCAGGACAGCTACCAGCACCGCAAGCAGAAAGACATTCAGTGAACGTATGACCGAAGCTCGAGAACGGGAAACCACCATCGAACAACGCCGTGCGACAACAATCCAAAACCGCCGTAGAGGTTTCGTTTTGGATCAGGATGAGCTCGACAGCTATCGGACAGCAGCAGCAGAAACCCGTGGGCAGGGAGCCTCCAAATCACCCACGCGACAATACTTCGAGTACAGCCGCGATCAAGTTCTCACCGCTGCAGCAGAAGCCCACATTGGCACGCGACATCTTAAAAAGAGTCGGACCATGCCTGACCTTCGAGCTTCTCCTACAAAGGACACGGGGCAGCCCCCAAGATACGGAGGAGACCCCAACCTGTACGAAGACTTCTCCGGCTTTCACCTGACCTCACGAGTCCTTCCGCATTCTTTCCTCAAACGTACCCTTCCCACCGAGACATTCACTATCTACCGTATCCCCGACCTCCTGAAGAACGTGAAATCTCCCGACTACGAACTTCCCGAAACGGTATGCGACTACGTGGTTTTCGCCGTCATTGCCTCCAAGTCCTCCCCGATGGACCACAAGAAGATGCCCAACCAACGAGATCCCGACAAATCCACCGTAGGCACAAAGGACTGGGAGAAACAATGGGATGACGGCTCGCACAACAGCCGTCGCTTCATGGCCATCACCCTCACAGATTTGATCTGGACAATTGACCTGTACTTGTTCGGCACGGCGCTACCCCGGTACCACCGCCTCAATCCTGGGACGGTTGTGGCGATCCTCAACCCGGGCATAATGCCTCCTAAGCCGGGCAAATCCGACAGTGGGGCATTCTCCCTGACTCTGTCCGACGACAGCGACACGGTTCTCGAGATCGGACACGCGCGAGACCTAGGCTACTGCAAAACGCTGAAGAAGGACGGCAAAGAATGCGGCAGCTGGGTCAATGCCGCCAAGACGGACATCTGTGAGTGGCACCTGAATGCCGAGATCCAGCGAACCAAGGCCGCGAGGATGGGCGTCAACACGGGGTCCAACGGGTTCGAAAGGCGGGAGCATCAGCCCATGACAAGAAATGAGGACCGTGCCCACAGGGGCTTGCTGAATAGGGATGGGAGAAAGTACGACCGCGAATCAGGCGCGCATTACTATATCGCCAGTACAGGGCCGAAGGGTGGCGGCGGTGCGACACGTGGAACTGGTGGTGCCGCTGGTCCAGACGACCCGTTTATTCAGGCTGTCGAGGGAGACTTATCCCGGCCGAGCGAACGAGATGCACGACTGCGCAAACACCTGGCCGCGCAGGCCAAAGAGAGGGAGATTGCCGAGAAGCTAGGCTCGAGAGAACATGGTGGCTTCGGATTCGACAGTGCTGGCGCCGAGTATTTGCGTCGCAAGGCAAAAGCCAGGGAAGACAAAACCAAAGGGGTCGGCGGCAGTCTGGACGATGCCTCAAGCAAAGGCTCTGCTGCGATCTCAAAGGCCATTCTCTCCAGTGGGAGTACTACGAATGAGAATCGCAAGCGCACGGCAGCAGATGTCCGTCTGTCACCAGTCAAGAAAACACGTTTCGTCACGGCCAAGGGCATCAGGGAGGCTGGGAGGGAAAGTCTGGGCGCACCCGGCCACCCAATGGCTCACGGTAGTGACAGTGAGGACGAGTTGGAGATTGTTTGAATGTGCCTAAATCCCACTTGGTGTATGAAATCACGAATTTGTTATCCTGTCAGCACGTTCACGGGCGCATTTGCCGCCTGATTATCCACTACGATGAGCATCGTGATGCTTGCGCTTTTCTCCCCGAAGCGATTGGACTATTTGGTGTCGAACATTTCGAGTTTTCATATTCCTTCTTCGGCTCGATCTTCTTTCAGGGTGTGGTTTCATTGGAGCCGGAGATAGTCTCTGTGGCTCTGATCGAGTCATGCCAGGACGCCAAATCCCACTCACCAAATTTATCTGCGAACTCGCATCAGGAATTATGCCATCCGAGCCGTTATCGCCGGCGACATCATCTATAGCCGTGTCGTTTATACCCAAGTTTGAAACGGTTGATATACTCGGGCGGCTGTCCCGAGCTCGTGAAGTCCTCAAGCATCGCGAAGTGGCTGTTGGCTCGCGGGGCGCCTTCAACTTCTTGGGAAGTCCTTCACGTTTGGTCAAGGACTCGGCAGATACGTCCACGCATTTGGTCAAAGTCGTGTCATCCAGTGCCATGACTGTCTCTGGCATTAACATTCTCGGTATTAATTAACGGTTCAACGGCCATGAAAACGTGCCAAGCCCAAACATTGAGGCGTCAGAAAGCCGGGGTTGTTGGCTGTTTAGACTCGCTCAAGGTTAGAGAATTTCTCGATCACTGTTGTGACTAATTCCAACACAGAGATATCTAGCACACTGTCTTCCAGGTCCTCTTCCACCATGGCCAGGTCTTTTGGACCCTGCGCTCTTCCTCCAGGATCTGCTGAAGATTCTCGACCTCTCTTCGACCGCTCGTGATATCAATCTCCCCAGCCCTCCTGATCTTCGTCCTGTACCACAACTTGTATCCGATGTACATGGCAAGGACGATTGGAGCAGCAAGGTAAACCTCAAAGAACCCCTTGACAAGTTCCGAGGCAGACATTTCAGCATAGCCGACTGGAGCGAAACCGGTCCAAAACTGCGCAACAAGGATCAGGCAGTTCATGATCAGGCCGATCCAGGAGCCATAGACGGTAGCTTGTGATTTGAAAGGGAGTTCGTCCAGGGTGTGGCCGGCCATTCGCCAGGCCCTCCGGAAGCGAATGTGGCATAAGCAGATAGTGCCCCACGTGAAGATGGCGGCCAGACCACTGATTGCAATCATCCAATTGAAGGCTTCGCCGGTGGTGTCCGGTCCAGCTGCAACGATGTAACACAGAAATCCAAGAAGTGACGAGACAATGATAGCGACCAGAGGACGCCCCTCACGGTCGACATAGCCTAGAATCTTTGGGGCTTGACCCATATCGGCCAGCGCAGCTAGCGTACGGCTTGCACCGTAGACCGATGAGTTTCCGACTGAAAGGACAGCGATCAGGATGACGACATTCATGATCGATGGAACAGCATCGATGCCAGCATTGCGTACCGCGATGACGAATGGGGAAGCATTGGCATCGGCCGAAGAGTTGCCGTTGAGCAACATTGGGTCGTTGTAGGGGACGAGAACGCCGACGATGGTGAGGGACACCATGTAGAAGAGGGCAATTCGCCAGAAGACCTGCTTTACCGCGGTAGGCAGCGCAAGGCGCGGGTTCTCCGTCTCAGCAGCGGCAAGGCCGACCAATTCGGTCCCACTGAATGAGAATGCGGCAGTCACAAAGACTGAGCAGAGGCCTTTGAACCCATGATTCTGGGGATACTGTCAGCGGCCGGCAGAATACCCAGTAGTCTGCGAGAACTCACAAAGGCACCTGGTTCGTACCAGTAACGTGTCCCAATATATCCTTGGCTCCCAACTCCACCTGTGTTGATGATAATTCCGAGAATGATGAAGCCAATCACAGCGAGAACCTTGATGATCGAGAAGATGAACTCGGCCTCGCCATAGCCTCTGACGCCGAAGAAGTTGATGAGGATGATAGCAACCAGAAAAATCGTGACCCAAGCGGCTCCGTTAGTGCCTCGACTGCCAGGCCAGAATTCGAGCGTGAGCGACGCGGCAACGATTTCAAGCGGGAGCGTCACGAGCCACTGAAGCGCGTAACTGAAAGAAATATTGTTAGTCTCCAACATGTCGATTGAAGACTCTGACACTCACTTCCAGCCCATGGCAAATCCCCAAGCCTCGTCCACGAACCGACTGGCATAGACAGAGAACGCCCCAGCAACAGGATACTGCACTGCAAGTTCGCCGAGAGCATGAGTGGTGCAGTACAAGGTCAAGCCGATGAGACCATATGCGAGGACCAGGGATGCAGGGCCACCGCTGGCGAGGGCAGAGCCAGAGCCAACGAATAAACCCGTTCCGATGGAACCGCCAATGGCAATCATTTGCAAATGTCGTTGTTTCAACTTCATAGCCAGGGCTGGCTCGGCCGGGGGTTGATCTTTGAGGATTCGGCCATTGGCGTCGATGGCTTGAGCAGTGACACGAGCATTGGGGTTCCGTTTGAAGCCGTCCAGGAAGCGACCGACAGCGGTAGAAGCTCGAGGATATTCAACCTTGCCCTCAGACACGTTGGAGCTGCCAACAGGGCTACCTGCCCTCGCTTCAAGGTCCTTCTCCATCAGAGAGTTTTTCCGGGGCGCGTATAGAAACTGGCTACTAGGGCAATAAATCTACGGGATATAGCCAAGTACGCATCAGCAGGGGATGCATAGGTCTGAAATAGGTGTCGAGCAGAAGGGTTTCGCGTGGGTGTCGGAAAGATGCGACGATCGCTGACGCCGAGCGACAAATGAGAGCCATGTTAGTGATCAATTGCAGCGGAGTCCGTGAAAAAAAAATTCCTGTGGGTTGGTAGGAGTAAAAAGCGCATAGGGAAATACTGCAGGTCCAGCTGCAAGGCTACCTCCTCTCACTGGTACTGCTACGTCGAGGGCACCCATCCTTAGATAAGCTCAAAATGAGCGTGTGGATGGCGTTCCGGAAGGCTATTTGGCTGTGGCAAATGCAACTCAAGCGGTGGAAGCCGTGTCTGCCGTCAGCCTCGTAGCGAGCTCGCCGAGGTGGAGCGGTAGATTGTTGGCAAAGGGTCGTGAGGTTGTAACGGATCGCTTTGACGTTCACCCTCGTTGGCCGTGTACGTAAGTTACGTCGTAAGCACATGCTGGCAAACATTCCAACAAGTTCGATAAACACGAAATGAGATTCTTGTAGAGCTGTGTACAACGAAGCGCCGGATTACCAAAATCTCGTCATAAACTGAGCGAATTTCGGGGCTGCTGAGGAGATTTTTTGAAATGCGTCCGCCGAGGCGAGGCATGGCGAGGCTGCATCGGAAAAGGCACCGGCCTCCGGAATGGAAAATCAAATCTCCTAGTATGCAATTTCTCGTGCCCACGCTCGAGCTGCCTGCGAGGCGATGGGCCTACCGTCGAGACGCAGAGATGCCGTGCTTGATGCTATGCTGGATGGTATGTCGTACATGGCTAGAACATTTCAGGAATAGACGCGACCATCTCAATTACAGCAGATGAATGGTCTGCCCACATGTATCTTTCTTGTCGCGCACGGTTTGATCTTCCGGCCCAGCGAAAAAGGGCATGTGCTTTCTCCATCGGCTCAGTGGCTATGTCTCATCCTATCTTTCCCCTCGAGGTATTGGGACGGAGAACCTTCTGTGCTCGTTTTCGCTGCCAGATACCACCAGACTGCAATGAAGGACAGAACGCTATCGGCCGGCGCCAGGCAGAGCAGGCAGCAACAGGATCTTGACCAATCAACGCCGAGAAGGCTTGCAACGAAAGGAGGTTTAGCATCGTATCGCATACGAAGCGTTCATGAAGCGTAAACAGTCGTGCTTGGCTTCACAACTCCAACGCTACAAATTGCTCACATTTCCCTATGTCTGTTGTCGAGCTGCGCTTCGTTATTGCTCACTTGGCACTGCTTCCGGGGTCTGAGACACTGTAAGCTCAACATGGCCGAAACCTGGAATCCGCCAAAGGACGGCACCCCATGCTGGATCAATGTCCTGGCAACCGATGTCCAACGAGGTAAGCATCCGCGCCAAATGCCAAACTTACTTATGACAGAACTAATGATCGCCTTCTGCTTGTAGCCAAGGCTTTTTATAGCACTGTGTTCGACTGGCGCTTTCACAGGGCTTCGACAGCCGATGGGCACACCCTCGATCCAACGGAGATCGCCATGTTCGAAGTACCCGGCCAGGCATGCCCTGGTGGTGGAATAACCCGAGTCAGCGAATCTGAGTGGACTGGCTCGCACGGTAAAGGAGGAGTAGTTCTGTATCTGTATGTGGATGACATCAACGCGTATGGAAAGGTAAATCGTCGTCCATCTGCGTAAGAGTGGTGATGTTGCTGCTGATTGACGTGGGGTGACAGAAAGTCGTGGAAGCAGGTGGCAAAAAGATGACAGAAATCATGCCAGAAGGTGACAGGGCCGTGATGCAGCACTTTGAGGACACAGAGGGCAATTACCTTGGGATTTATAGCATGAAGAAGTAGGAGAAATAGAGAGGTGTCACTGAAGGAAGACAATACAGTACCTCGCCATCCTGAGCTTAGGATATTGTTCAGTGCCTGTTGAAATAATGTCGCACAAAGCGCCCGTCAGAGACCTTTCTTGACCTGAAATGAATTGCTCCAGTTGGAATATTGGAGCACCTTGACGCGGCATTGCAGCTTGGCCTATTTACAGTGTTTCCTCGACAGTGTAGTGCTGGCGCGATGAGACGGCCATAGAGAGGTACTTTAATCGACGATGCACCAGATGTGTAACCGTTATTAAGTAAGACCGTTTCTTAGCACTGTACGACATTGCAGTTATCCAGGATGAGCACGCTCGCATGTATTGTCTTGCTCGAGGCAGCGGCATTTCTTGTCTTCCTGGTTAAGACTTGTGCTCTGCCTATCGAGTGGCATGAGTATTGTCCCTCATTTGCTCCAAAAGTCTTTCAGGGATCTGGGTGATTCTATTCTAGGATGTCAGGCGAGGGGCGCGGTGCAGCAGTTGATGTGACTGCGGCAAGGGTTGTGGCCATCCAGTAAATAGCGATGGACAAGTGCGGGAGTCGGGCTTCGGATGGGACGACACATCCCGACCTATGTACTCCGTGCATATGAAAGCGCCGGGTCGTTGTCAAGAAGCAAAGGAATCCTTTCCCCGACCTAGTGACAGCTGCCAGACCTCTGGCGATGGTACGCTTGGACTTGCGCCATTGGCCGAGATTGGCCAGAACCAGGAACAGACCTAAAGTGAGAGGCAGGACGGCGAGCTGGCCTCGATTGGAGGAGGGACGTCCGGCGCAGGCGGGCCGCGGGGCAAAAAGATGCCAAACTCTTCCTAAGTTCATAGCCGGAGTCGGAGTTGCGAACGTCAGACTAGCGCAGAGGATGAGTGCTCCGTATCGTGCTACTGTGGTAGGGAGAGAATGGCAATGACAGCCTCATCACAACATCACTGATGCCCACGGAACCCGTTCTTCGTGCTGTGCTTGTACGAGCACCGAGTACCCCGTAATATTGGCGACTAATCTGCGCTGTCACCTTGATCTCGCTTTCAGGACGATCCCATCCGCCTTCGCCTCACGTCGTCACCCTACTGACTCGGCACCACAGGCAATTTCTTCTGAGACTCGGTAAGCGAGGCAACAGTGCTCGTAAGTCCGGCACAAACTTCGCACTTGGCTCTTAGCTGCAGGTCCCGACGGAATGGGTGAATTCGCAGCTCCCGCACCTATCATGGCGGTCCGTTGGCTCCATTGAGGTGATCCTCCCTCTCGCGTGGCAGCTGAACCTTCCGCACAATAAGCTGCCCTAGAGGCGTTCTATGCTCAAAGCAGGTGAAATAGGTGGTGACTGTGGCCTGGAAGGCACCAACCACGTCGCCGCTCTCCATTGCTTTCCTTTCGCTGCTCTCTCACGCCCACACCAAAGTACGTGGTACCCAAGTCCACTCACTTTTTCGAACCGATACCACCATTCCGCTCCTTCTGCGCTCCCACACTCTCTAGACGTCCCCATCGTCGTTCCCTCATCGCGAAAACCTTTCGAGTCCTTCGTCGCATAACGAAATCTGGCAGCTGTTAGGCGAAGAAGCTCCCGAAAGTATCAACACAACCAGCATCTGTCGCGTCGCAACCTAGTCAACCCGCACGTAGTCGAGTCGACACTGCTCGCGGAGCACCGCTATCTACCGTCACACCACACCGCAGCCGACTTCCCTTGATGGCGGTTAATGCCATGAACACATCCTCTTTCAGCAGCGAACCGACCATTTTTCTTGGGTCCAACCGCACATGACCATGGTTCTCGATAGCAGACGTCGATATCCCCGCTGATGCTATGGCAGCTGCTATGGTCGCATCAGAATCTTCACTCAGCAGTCGCGTTTCCCTGATTTCTCTTGACCCGGCCATTGCCAGTCAGATCACCGGTACAACTCGAACAACAACCGACCCTTCCGCCTCACAGTATGGCTCCAGCCCGAGAAAAAGCACAAAAACGCCCGATACCGAGGTGTCGCGCAAGCATATTAGGAACAAATCTGCTCCGAGCGTCTCGGATAAGAGGGGACAGACGTCGCTACGGCGCGTGAAGGATAGTACGGAGGTCCTGAGACAGCGCTCTACAAAGTCCTCGAGCAGGAAAGCAAAGCAGAGTCTGGAGCCTGTGCCCGACAACGTCCATGGGCGTAATTTCACCGTCGGCAATGTCGGGACCGGAGGTGTCCTTTATCTGACTCCTTCAATGCGTCAGAAAGCTAACGCGAGTCCCTCCTCCATTGCCTCGCCGCCGCAATTGCCATCGACTGCACCGGCTCTGCTTAACAATGGCGAAACACGTGTTCGGCCAAAAGAAAGGTCCTCCACCGGCAGGTCAGAGTCTTCTTCTCAATCTCGACGGTCAGCTTCGAAGCGATCAGTCAGGCCTTCGCGGAGACCTGCAGTCGTTCTCAACCATGGTCGGTCGCAGTCGTTCTCCACAGTCGAGGAGCACCGGCAGTCTCTGCTTGGGCCCCAGGCCCGAACCGTGAGAATCGTCATCAATCGCCCAGAAACAGCGAGACCGAGCACGTCGCAAGATTCCACAAAGGAGCCTGCGCCGGAGCTGCTTCCAACTCTAGAAGTTCCTATCCCACATTACCGTATCGGTACTTTCCGTCTGAGTTCCAACGGAACGCCCATGCTGCGGGGTTCCTCCTACACACGGGCCTCTGCCACACCATCCGATGTTACGCCTACTACGGCAATCATGCAGGCTGAAGGTTATTTTGGCGGGCCGCCGCCTGCCAGCTTCAAAGCATTCGCCAGTCTCGAAGCGAAGGAGACGGGCGCTATGGATGCTGCCTCCCTCCGACCACCGATGCGATTCCTGCCCCAGGTAACGTCTGCATCGACTTCCAGTTTGCCCAGTATGGTCAAACCGGAAGTATTTGACGACCTGACTCAGATCTATGATGATCCCTCCGTTGTCCGGTATTGCCAGAACGTGAGAGAGATCACAGCAGCTACTCCCGCCCGCATCATTGCTCAGATTTCGTCCGACTCGTTCATGGACTACGACCTCGTCTCAGACTTCTTCCTCACCTTCAGGTCCTACATGTCCACCTATCAGGTGCTCGATCTGCTGCTGGCGCGGCTGAGGTGGGCTATTAGTCGACTGGAAGACGATGGGCGGATCATCCGAGTCCGCACGTTCGCTGCTCTTCGACATTGGATCCTCAACTACTTCATGGACGACTTCTTTTTCGATCGCCGCCTGAGGACGCGTTTCTGTAAAGAGGTCAACAAATTGCATCTCGACGTCAAGGCAAGCCCGAAGCATGGGTTTAGTGATCTCAAGCTGTTGCGCGACTTAAAGCGATGTTGGAATGGACGTTGTTCATTGTGCTGGGACCCCGAGGACTTCGATCTGGACGGCGATCAGGACGACGAGATCCACCCCGGAGGAGATGCCGAAGATGAACATACGCCGAAGTTACAAACTACTTTACAGCCTCCGCACATAAGAACCGAGTCGCCTCAAACACCCGTGCTAAGGGGGCCGACTCACAGCTGGTTCGATCCAGACGCTGTCGTTAGACCCAGCCACGAACGCCAGGAGTCCGCAAATTCGGGCCTCTTGAGTGACGGCAGTGTTCAAGCTAGTTCCTGCTTTGTCCCTAGGAAGATTCTCCGCCCTGGTGCCGATGACGAAGCTGTGCGGTCCAGAGCTCGGCATCCAGTTTCAGTACAACTGAGGCGCAAAAACGCTCCAGCGAATCTGCAAGTCATCACCCAACCGACAGCGAAATCGAAGTCGATCGGGCATAGAAAAGGAGCAAGTTCAATCGATAGTAACAGAGAACCGACCCCACGCAAAGCCCAAGCTGACCCGCTGGTATCCACGATAGATGCCGGCAGCATCATTCGGGGGCTCCTGTACAGTCCTAGCGCCCCATTCGTGCAGATTGCTTCCTCCCACTCAACCCACTCGCTCGACAGGAGTGACACATTACGAGCCGGGTCTAGAAGAGAGCCCGGTGGTACACAGCCGGCTGCACAACCTCCTGGAAGGAATATCTTCGGGTCATTGCGGAAAGTGCTAGGAAACAAGCATGGCCAGCTTGATGTGACGCTTCTAACGGTTTCACAATCCGCCCAAGAAGTGCCCATCCGAGGTCAAACATCACAGCTACCGCTCAACATGTCCAAGTCCCACGATGAACTCCGGAACAAGACCACAGGAGGTATGCAAAGAAAAGGCGAAGTCCGTATTGACCTTCTGTCAGCAGCCGTTTGCCAGAATTACGAGACAAAGTTCCCTTCCACGCATCGAATAACCTACGGAGCACTCTTCGCCACGAATCCTGCTCTACGACCAGCTACGTCGAGCGAAGAAAGTCTTAGGCCGCAGCGAGCGGCCAGTCATGCTACTCGTCAAAGTGGTTCGATTTTGATTGTGGATGACACGCGTCTCGATCTCCCGTCAATGTCTGGTGCACTCGCCATGGCAAATAAGGAGCTCGACTTTATACCCGCCCCCGTGCTTGCTAGTCCTCCTGGCGCTGCTCTGGACAACCGCAAAGAGAGTTTTGACGCAGTCGCAACACGAAGAAGCTCAAATGCTCTACCGGATGACCTAGACATGCCGCCCACACAAGGCAGCAACGATACGCTTGAGCAGGTGATGGCGGATTTGGGTGTTCCCGTAAGAACGTCGGAAGACAACGGTTCGATCTCTCCTATGGTCGAAAGAACACATTCTCCCACCACAGCCAGTTCCACAACCGTGAAGGAAGACCTCAATCACGCCAACACGCCTGCAGTCGAGACTGAACTCACAACCGTTCGAAAAAGCACAGAAGGTCAAGATACGGAAGAAGAGGAATCTGAGTCGGAGCTGAAATTGCCAACTCAGACTCTGAGGCGGCGACCAGGAGGAGACTTGCGGGGCGTGGAAAATGTGCAAGAGCTGGACCATATGGTGCATCACACTTCTCTCGATACTGCCAGCGCAATGTCCGATTCCCCCCATGAGTCCTTGCTTATCATGAAGACAGAGACTGTCAAGCATGCTCCTCCAGTGGATGGTCCGCCAGTTAACAAACCTATTTCCCTGATCAACACTCACTCTTCTCAGCACCTTCGCCCTTCCTTCGAGGCAGCAGTTGCCGGTTTCTCTGATATTCCCGACGATGATGATGGTGGGCTCGAGGCTACTCTAATGAAACTTGAGGGTCGTTATGAAAAGAGGTCACCTCCCATGGAGCAGCATCCCTTGGACGGGAATTCGAGGCGTCGATCATTACCAGAGCTTAGCCGTATGTCACAGTCGCGACTTCAAGAGCATCCGGTCAATGTTGAAGGCCCAATTGCCGGTCCTTCTGTGCATGTCCGTACGACGGTAGACGAAATCGCCTCTGAAGAGTCGAACGATGAACCTCTTACTCCGGAACCAGTGTTAGCCGAAGTCAGGCCAGCAGGCTCGCGGAGGTCTTCGATCTTTGGCCTGCCGACCGAATCGATTGCAGATTCTGAAGATTCGTATGGTTCTCTGCCGCTCTTGCAGCGCGACGAAGGCCATGAGAGTTCTCCGGAGCTGCCCCCTCCGAAATCCCCCACAGATTTACCACTGGTTGCTCCAGGATATTTCCCACAGGACCCGCCGCAGTTGTTTCACCTACCGAAAGGACCTCCGCCAAGTGGTAACAAGCACAGGAACAGCGTTCCTCGCCCAGGCACGGCTAATGAGAGCGCGCACTCGTTCCTTCTCGACGAGGACGAGAATCTATCGGATTTGTCCTCGGAGATTTCGGTCGACATCATCAACTATTCAGAGGTTGTGGACCGCTCGATCTCGCCCATGCTTGCAGCTCCGGGTACTGCTATCTCGGGGCTAGAGATACCGGCGCACCCTTTGACCTATGCTTCAGTCGTGGATCTAAGAATACCCACGCCACCAGCACAGGCCTCGGTTCCAGTTCCGCAGGTCAAGAAACCAGAAACAATGAAGTCTGCAAGCACAGAACAGCCACCTAAACAACACAACTCTCTGTCCACTAATGCCTTGGCACGTCTGCCCGCTGGTCCCGCGCACATGCCCTTTATCCTCGCCTGTGACTCACAAATCCTCGCCCAACAGATGACACTGGTCGAAAAGTCGGCATTATGTGAAGTCGAGTGGTCAGATCTGGTGGACATGCGGTGGGATACCAAGAATGCCGAGGTGGTTGACTGGGTTGAGTGTCTCTCAAGTGGAAATATCCGTGGGATCGACCTGGTCAGCACGCGTTTTAACCTGGTTGTGAAATGGGCGCTGTCGGAAATTGTCCTGACCCAGGACATCCAGGAACGGGCTCGGGTCATCACCAAGTATATCCACGTGGCAGCACATGCACGTAGGTTGCACAACTATGCCACAATGCTGCAGCTCACACTTGCCCTCACCTCTACCGATTGTACTCGTCTATCGAAGACATGGGCTTTAGTGTCGAGCCCAGACAAGTCTCTACTCAAGCACATGGAAACTCTGGCACAGCCCCTGCGCAATTTTCACGACTTGCGAACGGAAATGGAATCGGCCGACCTCAATGACGGCTGCGTTCCTTTTCTAGGTAAGCGAGTTGAGCCTGGTTCATATGCGCAGCTGCTAATTCCTTCTCAGGGCTCTATATTCGCGACTTGACATATAATGCACAGAAGCCCAGTCACCTCCCTGGTGCGCCTAACAACGAGTCTCTGGTCAACTTCGAGCGTTATCGAAGTACGGCTGTGATTGTCAAAGGTCTGCTTCGACTTATCGATGCCAGTTCCAAATACAACTTCGAACCTGTCCCAGGGATTATCGAGCGATGTCTCTGGCTGGCCGCGCTGAGCGACGATCGAATACGTAGTGCAAGCCAAGCTCTGGAGGAGTAGGATGAGGTTGTGGAAGCTGATAGTGACAGCGTAGTGGCCCGGTGCCGTCAGCTGTCACGGTCTTCATTGTTAGTTTCTGAGCGCTTCAGCAGGCGTGTTTGTCTTTGTATTTGTTGTTGCAGTCTTGCATTTAGAAACCGGGCCGACCTTTCGAGTACTGGATAAGAGGAGGATGGGTTGACAGCTGTATGCGTTCGGAGGAAATGACAGGGTTATAGGCGTAGAAGGGAAGAGCACGAGTCTGAAGCGATTCAGCATCCCACGCTGGTGGTATTCGTAGAAAGAATGTTGGATCGCCGGGTAGAGACACGCCTTGACCGTCGACTGTTAATCAAATCATGTTGTCGAACGGAAGAATTGTCACAGATACATACAGTACTATCGTTCTGGGCTTTGAGCGACAGTCGGTAACTGTCGTTGGAATCTTGACCGTCACGCTTCAATCACTATCAGCGTGCCTGACCGTAACTATGTCTTCCATTCTACACAGCGTCCACCGACAGACGGCAATAGCTAAGGCTGCATGACACAGGGGTCCCTCAGTGGATCCAAGCAGCATTGGCAGCAACTGTAAGGATGAGCGTAGCCAGATAACGGATCCATTGGTCGTCTTTGAACAATCCACGCTCCATTCACCTGCGTCCCATTGCCTGCAGAGCAAACTTGCCATGGCGAGGTATGTCGATCGGCGGAGAGCTGTGGACATACGAACCCCCTTTCTCGCTGGTCCTACATACTACAGCCAAAATCCTTTCTGAGCGGCCGAGTGCCGCATTTGGCTTCCCATTTTCAAGCATCAAGGCATCGTAGCCGAGGGCCCCCCGAGCAAAGTCCTGCAAAAACAATAACATCGTTCGCTCGTGTCATGGTACAGTACCGGGCATTGATGGCGACATCTGAGTATAGATGGCATCATGTTGACACGCTCCCACATCCAATGGGATATACCGATACCACCAACATCTCCGCATCAACCTCGGAGATCCCCTACCCTGCAGTCAGGAATGGTAGCCGATAGGGTGGCTTCCGATGGTTCCAAGCCGTATAAAATGCCATGACCAGTTCAGGGGGGAGCCCAGCATTCCGGGACCAGTACGCCACCACACTCAAGCTTTAGCTGGGCAGCATGGCTGAGAAACAGCGTACCACGGTTGATAAAAGACGTTCGAGTCTACCGGTCGTCACAGAAACGCAAGACGACACCACTGTCCATGTTGTCCGTCGTGGTGAAGAAATCGAAGATGATACGTCGCTGGAGAGCGAGATTGTCGGATACGATGCTGAGCGGATGAAGGCTCGGAGCCTGTTGAGCGAGGCTGAGGAGAAGAAGCTCATGCGGAGGGTCGACTGGCATCTTATGCCATTCTGTAGTATCATGTTCTTGCTCAAAAATATGGACTACCAAAACGTGCGGAGCATTGAACCTTCGGACTGGGGTGTATCGCGTGCTAATGCTCGAGTAACAGGCGGCCAATGCCAGAATCATGAACAAGGCAACCCCCCAGAACATTCTTACACAGCTTCACGTGAGCTCGAACGACTACAACTGGATTTCGACGATCTATTACGTGAGTCTACACTCTGCCCACCGCGATGCCACCAGATCTGACCTCGACAGGTCCCATATATCGTATTTGAGGCTCCCTCCAATCTGTTCATAAAGAAGATACTCCCTTCGAGATGGCAATCTCGCATAGTGGTCTGAGCCGTGCCTCCGTGTAACACATTGCCAGGCTAAAACATCGCACGCAGGTCTCGTGGGGCATTGCCATCGCATGCCATGCCGCTGTCACCAGCAAGAGTGGTCTTTACACTGCACGCTTCTTCCTAGGCATGTGCGAAGCAGGTGTAAGTTGCCATCCCTCTCGATCCTTGTATCGATACAACTGCACAACTCCAAAAACGAAGGCATTGTCCGAGCATGCCCTTTTTCCATGACTGTTATCACCCAGCTCCTGCTTGATTCAAGGCAGACTTTGACACGTCTGCAGATGTTCCCTGGCGTGCTGCTGCAGATGGTGTACTGGTATCGGCCGGACGAGATGAGCATTCGGCTGCTCTATTTCTATGCCCTTGGCAACTTCTCGCAAGTCATCAGCGGTGTCTTGGCATATGCTTTCGATACGATATCTGGACGGAGCGGTCTTTCTGGATGGCAGTGGTGTGCTCTATCTGACCTCGTCGCGGAGGTGCTCCGGCTGATGTCGTTATAGGTTGTTTCTTGTTGAAGGAGTCATCACGATCGCTTTCGGGATTGCACTCTTCTTCATCCTGCCGGACTGTGAGTAACATCGAGGTCTGGTGGCTACCCCAGCTGACATCAGTAGTCCCAAAACAAGCGAAATGGCTCACCGAGAAAGAAAAAGCATTCATCCAAGCACGCTTGCCGGGCAATGCCCCTCGAGCTGAAGAACTCAACTTCAACTTCCGCGAAATCCTTACCGCACTGAAAGACAAAAGAACGTGGCTGTTCACGCTTGTTTGGGCGACAATGACAGTCGGGACCACGGGTCTGACGTTCTACCAGCCTACGGTCATTGCAAATCTGGGTTTCACGTCAGTATCTTGCCGAGATGGAATAAATCTCTCATTGACCACTGTCTTCTAGCTCAATCGCTAAGAGCCAGCTTCTCAACATCCCGACGTCATGCCTCTCGATCCTCATCATCGCCACGTCCGGATACTTTGCAGATAGTGCATGGCTGCCTCGACCCATTCTTCCGCTCGGTTTCCTCGTTGCCATCCTAGCATGTTACAGTGTTCTGTATACCTTTCCCAGCAATGGCGGAGTCTACGCCGCGACTGTCATTGCGAATTCCTTCGCGCAGTCTTGGTATCCCATGATGTGGCCGTGGCGCGTGCAAACGACATCGAGGGCAACCGGCTCAGCATTCGCGATTGGATTCGTGAACAGCTACGGACAGATTGGTGGCGCCGTGGGACCGCAGATCTTCCAGTCGAAGTACGCGCCTCATTACACCACTTCATTTGCAGTTGCCATGGCTGTTCTTGGTGCTTGCATCTTGGTCACTTGTGTGACATGGTGGGTGACGCGGGAGACCGAGCGGCAGACGAGAAGGATTAAGAAGCTGAGAATGAAAGCTGCCAAGAGTGGAGCCGCAGTACTTGACGATGTCAACTTCAATGCAGACATGAAGCACAGAGAGGACACTCGCAACGCGGCTTAGACAGGAGGTCACCCAAGGCACCTGGTTTGAGAGTGCCTTGAGGGACTGCAGGCCTTCTGATAGTAGGTAACAGGGCTGCTGCCAACAACGAGGACGTGTAGGAGGGAGCCCGTTTGTGGCCGTGACCAGGCTCAGCGGGAGGTCTTCCATACACAAAAGAAAGTCCTCACAACGAAGAAAGCCTTAAAACAGGGGCTCAGGCCGTCCCCATCTCCTGCGGCCGTTGATTTACCCCGTGCGGGATCAGGCTTTTGCGCCAGGGCGGAGTTATGCATGTACGATGCGAATTGCCTGTCTGTTACCTCGTAGTCATTTCTCGGCCTGGAATGTTTCGTGACTAGCTTCCACATTAGATCCCATTGTCGCACTATTTTGGCCTGCCTTGCAGTGGCCTTGCGGTATCGCAATGATGACTATGATCATTGATGCTGTATTGTGAACACAGAACCCATGTCCCAGCACCAAGGAGTTGCCGTCTGGAAGACGACAAATTTATGGCCCCGGGCTGCCAAGCGTGACTGTCGCTAGCTATAGTGTACAAGCATCCGTAGTGTTTCCGGGTCCTAGACGTGGATACAAGAGTGGTGATATATTTTTGGAGTAGAAATTTGACTTGAAATCAGCACAGAGGGGTTGTAACTCAGGGGTAGAGTGCCTGCTTTGCATGTACGCTTAACTGCAGGAAGGCCGGGGTTCAAATCCCCGCAGCTCCAACTTGCTTTTTTTTTTCGCTTTTGCTTCTTTTGTTTTGAGCTTGTGGATGGATCATCGCCGTTCGGTCTGGACCGAAATGTACAGAGTAGCCGTGCTATTTTCATGCTGCTAGAAGGCGCGACGGAGCTATCGGCGAACTTGCCGAAGACGGGCCCACGAGGCTGAGTGTTTAGGTACTCCACCCGATCGTGCCAATCAAAAAGCGCTTGGGATGCGAATTTATTTTTGTCGTATAGAGCCTTGTATGGCTTCGACTTTCGACTTTTCCACTGCATAACTCGACCGCATCAACATGACAACCGCAAACGGCGCAAAGCCGTCAGTGGCCGACATGGCCAGCATGTCTACTGAAGAAAGAATGGCAGGCATGGAGCACTCCGAAGTCCGCTATTTCACCTCCTACGAGTGAGTTCCTCCTCTGTCGCCGAGATGGCCTGCTGACCGATCTTGAGCCACCACGGAATTCACGAGGAGATGTTGGTAAGGACAACATCCAAACCCTCGCTGGTATCAATCTGACCTCGATTCCAGAAGGACGAAGTCCGCACTCGATCATACCGAGATGCCATCTACCAGAACCAACACATCTTCAAAGACAAGGTGGTCCTTGACGTGGGATGCGGCACCGGGATTCTCAGCATGTTTGCAGCAAGAGCAGGCGCCAGACATGTTATCGGCGTGGACATGTCCAGCATCATCAACAAAGCCAAACTGATTGTGGAAGCCAATGGCCTCACCAAAAAGATCACATTGCTACAAGGCAAAATGGAAGAGGTTGAGTTACCAGCTCAACATTTGAACAACGGGAAAGTCGACATCATTATATCCGAGTGGATGGGGTATTTCCTGCTGTACGAAAGCATGCTTGACACAGTTCTCTATGCACGGGACAAGTACCTCAGGCCGGCTGGATTGATCTTCCCCGATAAAGCCACAATATACATGGCGGGCATCGAGGATGGCGAGTACAAGGAGGACAAGATTGGATGTGAGTGCACTGGACAAGATGCCGCACCCTAGCTGACATTGCTTAGTCTGGGATAACGTCTATGGATTCAACTACTCACCCATGAAGGAAAGCGCATTGAGTGAGCCTCTCGTCGACACGGTCGAACTCAAGGCACTGGTCACCGATCCATGCCCAGTCTTCACCATTGATCTCAACACAGTCACAACTAGCCAATTAGCATTTTCGGAGCCATTCCAGCTCCGAGTCCAGCGCAACGACTTCATCCATGCGCTCATCGCTTGGTTTGACATTGACTTCACGGCATGCCACAAGCCCATCCGATTCTCCACCGGTCCGCATACCAAATACACGCATTGGAAACAGACGGTTTTCTACCTCCGGGAGGTTCTCACCGTAGAAGAAGGCGAGACTGTGCGAGGTTTCCTTTCAAACAAGCCAAACAGCAAGAACCGCAGGGATCTTGACATCAAAATCGACTACGAGCTTGAAACGGACGATCGCACGCGCTCTGCTCGGGGCACATGCGAGTACCGAATGTACGTCTTCATCCCTCGACATGATAAATCGTACTAATCATCTCCAGGTGTTAATTCGGGATACTGATGGTATCTTTCGCATCTTTCCTTGCGTGGCTTACCCTGTCTCTTTCATAGGACCAAGAGACTGCATTGCCGGATATTGTTTGCTGCACCTCTGCATTGATGAAGGAAACGGCACCTCCATCCACGATAAATGACCGAGATGACTTTTGAGCAGAGTCAAGCTCCTCGTTATGACTAAGATACCCCACGAGTTGATGCTGATCTTGATAATGAAGTCCATAATGAAAAAGCTTAAAAGTTATCGCGCATACATCGACTTGTGCGCCGAGCCTGGACTGACACTCGTGTTGATTACTCTCAATAGCCGGCTACTTACGGAGTCCAGGCCTGTAGTTGCGAAATGCCTCGGCTCGCGGCTCCCCACACTTGTCTTCCGAAAGCACATAGCCCGCTTGTTCTGCTCTCGCTTTCTGTCCACAACAACTCGAGCTCTTGAGTTTGTGCTGAAGCTCAGTGTCGATAGAGAAACCATGTCTGGTCCGGGAGTCGGCTTCGAGTATCCTCCAACCGAGGTGTCTTGGTTGAAGCGAGATGTGCTTCTGTTCGCAGTGAGCATCGGTTGCACTGTGGACGAACTGCACTTCATCTACGTGAGTGTGAGGAGCAGACATTGACAGATCTGGCTCTGATCAAGTCTTTGCAGGAACTCCATCCGAAATTCGCCGTGTTCCCTACGTATGCGATCATCCTGCGTTAGTTCTGTGTGCTCCGACTCGTCCGGTCGAAATTGACTTGCAACAGCGTTCAAGAAGACGACCCAAGAAGTCATTGACTTCTATGCCTCTCAGGAGAGCAATCCAATTCCCGGGATTCCCAAGCTCGACGCCAGACGTGTTGTCGACGGCCAGCGCATGATCCAGTTCCTGAAACCACTCCCTACGACCTCAGAAGGAAGAAAATTCGAGCTGCGGTCGAAGGTCATCGGAGTGTATGACAAAGGCAAACCTGGCACAGTGGTTGAGACTGAGCAGACCATTGTGGATAAAGAGAGCGGCGAAGTATACACGCGAGCCGTGGGCTCCGGCTTTTTTGTTGGCCAAGGAGGATGGGGCGGACCCAAGGGGCCTGCGACGATCAACTACCCACCGCCCAAGGGTAGAGAAAACAGCCCAGATAAGATCAGCGAAAAGCAGCTGACTGCCGAAAGTGCGCATCTGTACAGGTGAGGAGCTCGCGCCGCAGGCTTGATCAGCACTAACATTGTCCTGCAGACTGAATGGTGACTACAACCCTCTGCACGCGACGCCTGAGCCCGGCCAGAAGATGGGTTTCGGCGGCGCCATCATGCACGGCCTGTCAACCTGGAACTTTGCCGCGCATGCGATTTTGAAGGAGCTGGGTGGAAGTGACCCGGCCAACATCAAGGAGTATCAGGCCCGGTTTGCTGCGCCTGTGAAGCCCGGCCAGAAGCTCGTCACGAAGATCTGGAGGACTGGCGATGTCAAGAATGGCTGGGAAGAGATCAGATTCTTGACCGAGGCCGATGGAAAGGTCGTCCTCAGCAACGGGCGAGCACTGATAAAGGTGGTCGATGGAAAGAGCAAGTTGTGAAAACATCGGAGCGGCGTAAGTGCAAATGGGCGGCCACGGTCTTTCAGCCATCGAGACCCCAACTTTGGTCCCGGATCTCCGACGCGGCTGTTAACTTTTATAGATGAGGTGTGTTCAGGATCAAGATATACACCGTACTCAACCCATCAAGACTTTCGTGCTGTTCTCCTCAGTTCTGGTGGAACATCGACTGCTAGACGGATGCTGCGTACATCGAGTCATGCCATGCTCTCTTTCAGGCGACCTTGAGTCAGGGTGTCGGTCTGCCCTGTCCGAGTATGGAAGTCGCTACCTCGTATAGCGAAAATAAATCCATGATTCTAGATTGTGGAACGCGGAGCCAAAAGATTTCGATGAAAAATCCGCCGGTGTACAGCGGCTCGCGCACCGACGGCCCAGGCTTCGTGAATCACCATCATCGTCCACCGCGGCCTGAGCCTCGGAGGAAACGTTCGCCATATCGGCTTGACACGGCGTCGAAGGCTCTATGTTGGGAAGCACCCTTTGCTGAGCCAGCGGACGCAGGTCCGCGATTTGCGGTGCCTCACACGGCAGAACTGGAGAGATTATGCAGAGCAATACTGGGGCCGAGAGGGTTCGAGTCTGGATTGCCGTGTCGGCGTTTGATACAACAAATCAGTGGCTTAGAGACGGCCTGCGGTTTGCTACCGCCGCCATCAATGCGTCCGATTTTGGCAGCTGTTTCCGCTCCGTCTTGCCCCGGCTTTGCCCTCGACGTCGATGTGGCTTTCCTTTTCCGCGTCAGTTGCTACACGCGACGGAAGTGACTTCTTCCGACGGAGATGATCACTGGCCACAGGCCACACAATGCACGAGTGCCTCTGTCACCCTCAGCGCCCCGATTACTGTATACTGTCGCATGACGGCCGCTATTCTTGGCAGCCAAGTAGGATCGACAAATCCTTGAGCTTTCCGATCTCCAAGTTACCAGCTAAACAGATGTGCTGTTACATTCGAGCTGACAGCCAACTTCGCTGGTAGGCTGGCCGCCATCCTACCCGTCAATGCCCAGACTTTTATTATGCAAAGATCCGGTCATGGCGCACCCGATCCCCGCAGACTCAACGAGCCTTCCTGCAGGACGAGAACCCAGCAGCTTGGCTTTCTCTGCGAAATGGCTGTAGACGGTAAGGAGTAGGCGCGCCACGGCCGTCACACAAAGGGCTTGACGGCCTCCAAGCTTCATGAAGCAACCCAAGCCATTCCTTGTCCCGTCGGGCGAAGAAAGAGGTCCTTGAGTAACCGAACCTGGCTATTTAAGATCGCGACGGGACCTCCTATGTCTTAGCACAGCTTGCAAGGTAAGGGTGAGAGCACACTCTAACCAGGATAGTAGTTCTGCCTACCTCTTTGGACTTTCTTTTCCCGACTTCATCTCCTTGACATTGCAAACATGGGTGGCGGCGGCGGCAAGCCTTTGAACATCTTCCGCATGGGAAGCTCCCTCGCGGATGAACCCAAAGAAGTGCTCAATTGGAGACTATGGTTTGCTGTGTTCTCGTTTGGGATCATGGGAGCAGCCCGAGGTGTTGATGAGGGGTTGATAAGCGGTAAGGAACATGCTTCGTCAGGACTCATATTGATGCTCATACGTTCCAAGGCACTTTCAACACCGAACATTTCCAGAAGCTCCTTGGGTTTGACGAACTCGCCGACGATGAATATGCTGATGTCAAAGGCAACGTCTCTGCCATGGTGCAGATCGGAAGCGTTGGCGGTGCTCTTTTGGCTTTCGTCCTCGCAGATCGCATCGGTCGTCTTTGGGCCACCCGTCAACTGTATGTTGTATACCCACACCCCCTACTTGAGGCGTTCTGCTCACCTCTCCTAGCTGTATCCTCTGGATCTTGGGGATCGTGATTTTCCTCACGAACAATGGCCGACTGGGCCAAGTGTATGCAGGGAGGTTCATCGCAGGCCTGGGAGTCAGTATAGCGTTGACCGAGTACGAGAGGAGTCGCTAACCGGGGATAGATTGGTCAAACCACTGTGATCGCCCCGATCTACCTGTCTGAGATCTCCCCTAAGGCTGTCAGAGGGCTTTGCACTTGCGTCTTCTCAGGGTCTGTGTATATTGGCATCATGCTTGCGTATTTTGCCAGCTGGGGTAGCAGTCTTCACATCGACAAAAACAGCTACAACTCCTGGGTCGTGCCCACATCCATCCATCTCATGTTCGCCGGCATCATCTTCATTCTGTCCTGGTTTAACAACGAATCCCCACGCTTTCTCATCAAGAAGGGCAGCGACGGTCAGGCTGTCGCCAACCTTGCTCGACTGCGAGGTCTCGATCCCGACGATGAGTACATCACCGCTGAGATCAACGGCATCAAGCATCAATTGGCCGAGGAGGAGGAGGCGACCTTGGGCCAGGGATTCTTTGGCTGTAAGTCATCATTCTCTCAGGCTATAGCGAAACCCCTGAGCCGATCCAATGAGTACACTTTTAACATTAGCACAGATTTCCGTGAAATGTTCTTGATGCCCAACAACTTCTATCGCATCTACCTTGGCCTGGGAACACAGCTGCTCGGTCAATGGTCGGGCGCCCAGAGCATCACTATCGTACGTACCAGCATCCCTGTCATAGGCTTGCCCATGGACCGAACACTGACATCCATGGATAGTATGCTCCGGACATGTTCGCCTTGCTTGGCACCAAGGGCCAGAACGAAAAGCTCTATGCAACTGCCATCTTCGGCGTCGTCAAATTCGCCGCATCCATCATTTGTGCCCTGTTCCTTGTCGACGTGATCGGACGAAAACGATCTCTATCTATCGGCATCGCCCTGCAAGCCATATCCATGTGCTACATCGCAGCATTCTTAACGGCAGTTCCGGACATTGATGAAGACACCGTCTTCACGCCTTCTCAAAAGCATGCATCGACAGGCGGCATCGTCATGATCTATATCTCGGGTTTCGGATGGGCGTAGGTTCTTTTGTTCTCTGAGAATACGGGCTCGGCAGCTAACACAGACTTTCAGAATGGGTTGGAACAGCATCCAATACTTGCTGAACGCGGAGATATACCCTCTGCGGATTCGTGCGATCAGCAGCTCCCTAGTAATGTGCTTCCACTTCGGTAGGTCAATTCGTGAGCTGAGCGTCTCATATCACTTGCTGATATCGTGTCCGAACAGTCAATCAATACGGTAACTCGCGTGCCGTGCCTAACATGCTCCTACCTACGTCGAACGGCGGCCTTTCCCCCAATGTAAGTTCCAGCCGCCCTGAACTGGCCGTGGTCCATACTGACGCACACAGGGGACGTTCTGGTTCTTTACGGCGATCACCATTCTTGGCGGTATCTGGGCATGGTTCTTCATCCCCGAGACATCCGGTCGCAGTCTCGAAGGCATGGACGCACTGTTCAAGCTGCCCTGGTACAAGATCGGCCGGTACGGACAGAGGGAGGCCGAGGTTAGTGATCAATTTGCGAGGGAGCGTGTCTTGGAGGAGAAATCTGGTGCTGGGGGAAGCGCTGCCCAGGTGGAGGTTGTGCGCCAGGAGAAGGTGTGAAGGAAAACAGCACGCGACAGGAGATTCGTTTCCACGTTCGATGGGGAGTGTGTGGGTATTATTGAGGCGAGTCTTGTGCTTCTGGACCTCTCGGAGGCAGAAGCGATGCGAGCAGACAAGAAAACTCTATGATGTTACCGTTTCACAAAACGGGTTCGTGGCTGTTTGATAGAATGTACCCCGTAACTAGCCCATTTCTACGGCGCCCGAAAGACGGCGACTATAAAGTCGGGCTGAAAGGCGAGGCATGGTTGCGGCTCCTCTGACTGGCTCCACGTCGTTGATGCCGCCGGCTAACATGAGTGCTCAGGAGGTAAAGTTCAGCGACCGTGTAGGACTTGAGCCTTCCGTGGCCAGTCATTAGGGAGGCGTGGCAGGTTCGTCACCTAACTAGGCACCTCGGAGCTCAGAAAATGGGCGCCCGCGGCTCCCCACCAGCCCCCGTGGCTTTGACTTTACCGTTGCACCAGACTGACTCACATTCTTTGTTTCTCGGTCACAGCTGACAGGCGATGAGTGATACCGTCAGCCCACCAACAATAGGGTTCTTCCACTCAAACATTTCTCAATACAATGTGATCTGCTCGCTGGAGGCGGCGTCCTTCTATTTGTCCTGCCCCTCGAATTCTATGCGAGCACATTCAGGCCGCCAAGATACGCGAAACCTACCACATGCTCAATGAATCCCCCAGCAAAGGAAAATGCACAAGGGTCTCTTCCGCGAGTGGGGGGCGATCAAAATCTCAGTGGGACTTCGGCTGTACCTCAGCTGAAACCGTTAATTAACGCAGGTACCCGAAGACGCCCGTCCTCAGGTGGTAACGCGGGTGCCACAGCCTGCATGGTACCAAATCACTCCTGCCATCGAGGCTCTTGTCGGCGTTCTGTGGCAGAGCTGAGAAGAGACATGGAAGCATCATAGTTTCAGGGGTCCGGCGTCGTCCTCCCTAGAAGGTCTATGACCGAGTCTCCGTTTATCAGTGGCCAACTACTGCATGCGGGAACAGATCTGGACAGCAAACATACTGGATAATGAGATTGTCTCTGCTCGGCGGGCAGTGACCATCTGGTGTGGTATTAAGTTGTGCTACGGCTGAGATCAGCCCTTCAAGCTGGCACCGAAAGTATTTCGCCGCACGAAATCGACCATGTCGAAGGACTTGTGTGGGATGTCTCAGCGACCTCCATCAGGAAAGGGCTTATGATCCCAGACCTCCGGCGCACCGATAACGCGGAAGATAAGGACGATTAGCTCCCGAAGTTAAACTGCATCTGGCACGGACACACACATGCCACGCTTTCCTATCCCTGAGTCTGGGTCTCCCGAGGCTCGACGCGTCTCGTCTCGACATAACCAGAAGCGATGCACATGCGAGCTGCAGGACGCAATCTCCGCCCAAAGGAAAGGCGTTCATCTATCCAAAGTCTAAACAAGTTGCCCATGTCACGTTCTACTGGGAGACCGAAGACCACAAAATTAGACCATGATCACCCAATGGTCCGTCCACCCCTGCCACTCAGATGCTTCCCCCGAGTCCCTCATCAGCTAAGCGTAGAATCTTGTGTACCCACCGATACACGATAGACGCCTCCGAATTTCAGGGGACTCCGTCATCACCAGTGGGCTGAAATGAAGGCCGAATCGATATCACCTAAATGGCTCGTGGCAACCTAGGTTTTCCCCCTCATTGCGACCAAAAGCCGTCGTCCAACTGCCCGTCTTCCTGCTTCCACCGACACAATCAGAGCGGAGGACGAGGTACGAGATGGGTGTGCTACCAATCCTCGACAGATTTCCTGCCCCGGCGAGGATACAGCGACTGAGCGTGTTTGCCTTGAGTACAATCCTGATCGTCCTTCTCCTTGAAAACACATTCTTTCCAGAAGCTTCAGTCGCCATTCTTCACAGAAGGGTTTGTCGCCACCCAGATCACACTTCATCGCATTAACAAGTGATAGGGCGACCGGTCACAGTCCCAACACTACCAACAATGGGGTGCCTTCGAGCCGATGCTAATATCCGGATATGTCAATACGGGACTGCCTGGGAAGAGATCGTGCGATACTCTGAAATACAATGCCACCGTCGGTGTGCAGCAGAGTTTCCATCTCAATGACGATATCCATCAAATCGCCGTAGCCCTTGATCAGCACCCGGTCGTCGACTACCCCGATGAAATGATGAACGACCCCGAGATGGATATGAGAGATATCGTCGAGAAGACCTGGACGCGCCTTGCAGGATCCAGTGTGTGGCTCCCCGGGCAGAAAGTGTACTTGTCCGTGACCCGGGTCGTCTTCTCGCCGTCCAGAACCCGGACGGTGCCCAAGATGAGTTTTCTCAGGGCTCAACTTTTCAACGAAGATTGGGAACACTTGACCAATCATACGATCTCTTGGAGCGGCAAGCAGTTCACGTTTCCGATGGTTTTCGACATACCAGCACAGGGGGAGGATGATGGGGCCATGTTCGGACCTGAAGACCCTCGTGTCATCTTGGAGGAGGGTGTGGAGGATGCGGAGCCAGTCATTATCTTTAACATGGTCAGTAGGAAGTCCGACTGGAAGCGAGCAATGCACCTTTTCCGCCCGTTCTCGAAGACCTCCACAATCCTCACCATCAAGGACACCGAACGAGCATATAATGAGAACAGCTGGGCACCATTCTTCATACCCGAACAAGAGCAGCAGACCTTGCTTGGCAAGATCCCGTTACCGGTGCCGGGAGTCGTCCGCAAACCCAACGAATATCTCCACTTTGTCTACAGCTTCAGGCCTTTGCGTGTCTTGAAGTGCCATATGCGTTGCGGCGACTGTGAATTTGTATACGAGCAAGACGTCCCAGACAAGGTCTACAACAAACACCACGACGAAGCCGGCGGTGTGCGTGGTGGTACAAACTTTGTCCCGGTCCCGATCCCGTCAAGCATGGACATCGACTCCAGGGTGCGAGTGTACGCAGCGTTTCCTCAAACGAATATCGCGAAGTTTTGTGACGGGAACTTCTATCGACCAGAGTTTGCCGTCATGGTCAACATTGGCAATCAATTCCAACTTGCATTTGCTTCCGAGTCACTTGACTTTGGAGATTCCATTCTGGAGTTGGGTCCGGATGATGATCGGTGTGAGAAATCGCGCATTCTTACCCCTAATACCGTGGTTCGGTGGGACACAGCTAGTGGTCAGGATGTGATGACTGTAACCTTCAGTGTCAACGAGGAGACCACTCAGATTTCTCGCATTCGCGGCCTACTGAGTTTCGTCCGCAACCTACCGCAGTTCAAAACGTTGCTGAAAAGAGATGGTCTCCTGAAAGGTGCTGATGCCGACCTGGTGAGCATTCTGGCCTCCTGGGTTGGTGACAATGTGCGTGGCTGTCTCATCCAGTCTGCGGCAAACTACACTGGCATCACAATGGAGAATTCGGACTCCCGAGATGAGGAGCAAGAGATGGATCTGTCCAGGGAATTGATGCTCCGACTCAAACAGATCAAAGCAGAAGAGTCTAAACGTAACCGGGAGAAGGAGGCCAATCGCGAGACTGACTCTGGCAACGAACCAGCCGCCCCAATCCTGGAACATCCCCCAGAAGGAGAGGAAGATGTTATCTTCCACCCAGAGCTCTTGGGAGAGTTTGAAGATGTCGAAGGTCTCGCTGTTGAGGGCTTGGAAGAGGAGGGTACAAAGGAAGACGAACTGCCAAAAGACGAAAAAGTGCAGGAAGACGACACCAGCGGGCAGGAAAACGAAGAAGTGGACGAAAAGGACGAAGCTCTGAAACCAGAAGGACTCGGCCGACTGGTATATGCAGGGGACAGGGAGGACAAGAAGCAGCAGGAGAAAGAACCTCTGCATCTGCCTCTGCATCCGCCCCAGGCAGCGCACAAGCATAACGGCCACCACCGGTACCACAAACAGCACAATCATCGTCGCGCTTGGCCTTGACTCTACGACTGAGACGACACGCCCAGCAAATACACTGCTGTGGCAAGAACAAAAGAAGCAGCCTCGTCACCATCAAGTCGCGTCCATGGAACGGCATTCGCTCACACGAATACCTGATGTCGATGTGAAGACCCTGCCCGACACGGTATGTTCCCGCCTCGTTCCCGCACGCGTGGCTCTATCTGGACCTGCCACTTGGAGCGAACTGTTGGAGGGACTACCATCCTCGGACATGCCTGCGGCTATGGCTCTGCGGCGTGTTCTTCGAGCTGACGCGTGCAAGCATTGGTATGTTGTATATAGCGACGACTATTTCTCATGATCTATAGACTGCGATGACATAGAGAGCAAAGGAGGGAGGGGAGGAGAGAAACAGACAGGAACAACACCATCCAGGATTTGGCCAGGTCAAAGAGACGACCCAGGTGGTTCGAGGGTTAGACTTTTTCTTATCAGCGAGGAGTTGTCGGGTTTCCAAGGGATCATGACACCAGAGACTGCTGGACTACGGAGTACCGAGAAGTGGGGATAGACGGATAGAAGGCTAAGCGCTGGATCCGGGGCCCCGTGGACAACGAGGAACGCGAGGAGCTTAGGGAGGGAAGTAGACTCCTGACGAACGAGAAGTCCGTAATCCCTGATCAAGAGGGATACCCAGTACGAGTGAGCATTGTCCTCATGTGACATTCGGATGTTGCCCTCCTCGGCGTATTGCTGCCGTTGCAGGTGCCATGCATGTGGGCAAGATCCCGCGTGAACAGCCGTCGCTTTGCTAAGCCTAACTCTGGCACGACTCTCTGCTCGGTAATGCCGACTCCTGCCCCGGTCTGGGACTTCCGGATGAAGCACTCCTCTAACCGATTTCTGATTCGTCGTTGCGTGCGCTCGACATTGACATTGTGGATTGGCTTCTGGATAGTAGCTGGTAGCCGAGCAAGAGCTTCTTCAAACGTTAATCGAGATGATTCTCCTGTTGCTTCATTCCGGACCGAGGCCATACGACAAAATATCCAGTGATGTGCCACTGGGCCACCAGTGACGCGGGGGTTTCACGGCCAAGAAATCATCCCCGCAGACTTGTTGCTTCCCGACTTCAAGGCCCGCGCAAACGTGGCTGCGACGGTGAGTCTGGGCAGCGCTAGGACACTGCTTGACATGGACGCGAGAGATGGGAGCCAGCCGATTGCGGTAGCCTTCCGAAGCCATGTGAACCCAAGTGCTGGATGCAGTGTGTAATTTCCTACGACCCTGGATAGACCTTTGCGTGCTGTCTGTTCGAGCCTAGTCAGCGAGAATCGCGCCAGGACAGGCGACCAAGACAAGGAATGGCCCCCACAAAGTACAGGCGGACATATCTGTCCTAATCACAACAGATCTGTATGGTGGACAATCGACCATGAGTCAGGCCAAAAGTTCAACCGCAGCTGCGCCGGTCACCTGAACTGTTCTGTGCTGCCCTTGTTTCCGAACCAATCGACACTGGTGCAGCCAATCTCGATGCGCTGACTGCAATCCACCAACTCACGCACCAGCACGCGAGACCGAACATCCCGTTACCATGGCCCGGTTTGGCGTCCCCAGACGCCTCCAGGCCCTGACTTCCGGTTTCCAGAGCCTCGTCTCCGCTTGACATGGTACACATCCGGGGATACCACTGTAGCCAAGCCGCTACTGTCACTCATCGCTGAACAGTGCATCACTATCGCGGAACAGCGTATCACTATCGCTGCGGCTGTCTTCCTCGAGGCAACACGACCGAGCAAGACGGTCCTGTCGATCACCGAGGCTCCATGGCCCTACTGTGGTAGCACCAGACTACTTAGATCGAGCGAGCCCCTCTCTCCTTGACAGATTTGTGTCAGCATCTCTCACAGAGCAACTCACTTGGCTCACATCTTGCCCTCATCCTGCTCAAGATGGCTTCCAGGGATCACAATGTCGAGGAGCGTCAAGTGAACGCCACCGTTCGACAGTCGCTTCAGGATGAGGTGGCCGCCGAAAAACAAGCGGCAATGCATACTGAGAACTTTCATGAAGCGGCTGAGCGAGGCCACGTCGCCACCGACAAGTTGGTCAAGTGAAGACACTGCCGTTGGGAAGACTGCTAACGTATCCATCAGATACGGCCACTCTCTCGTCACCTTCGATCCAGAGGCCGAACGGAAGCTTCGGTGGAAGATCGACCTCTACATTGTCCCCACGTGAGTCTTCGCGCAAGATCCTGTGGCTACCCGACCAGGATTTTATTGTTCGGTCGTCCAACGCAGCTCTTAAATGCTGACTTTCAGAGCAGTGTCGCCCTGTTATACCTCTTTTGCTTCATTGACCGGGCCAACATTGGTGAGTCTTCCAGACCAAGCATTCCGATCTTACGAGCAAACAATAACATGCTGTGCGACAGGCAACGCAAGACTCGCCGGCCTAGAGAAAGATCTCAACCTCAAAGGCTACGATTACAACACGCTGCTCTCCGTCTTCTACGTCAGCTATATCATCTTCGAGCTGCCCTGCAATATGGCGTGCAAATGGATGGGCCCTGGCTGGTTCATCCCAGCCACTTCACTCGCATTCGGCGTCTTTTCAGTGTGTACGGCCTTTGTACACCATCTGGGGGCAGCCTGCGGTGTCCGGTTTCTGCTGTAAGGACACTTCTGAGCAGACATCAATACCCACGATCTTCTTCGCTAATACTGCTCTAGAGGACTGGCCGAAGCCGGTATGCTCCCGGGAATCGCTTACTACATGTCACGATGGTACCGTCGCAGCGAGTTGGCCTTCAGATTGTCGCTTTACATTGTCATGGCGCCCCTCGCAGGCGCATTCGGAGGTCTTCTGGCTTCCGCCATCCTCAAGCTTGACCACTTCGGCGGTCTGCACCAATGGCGAATGATCTTCGCCATCGAAGGCATCATAACCTGCGGGCTGGCGGTGATCAGCTTTTTCACGTTGACTGACCGCCCAGAAACCGCTCGCTGGCTCTCCCAAGAAGAGAAAGACCTTGCAATCGCACGAGTCAAGTCGGAGCGTGTCGCTACCTCGGAGGTAATTGACAAGATTGACACCCCTAAAGTCGTCCGCGGCATATTCAGTCCTGTCACACTCTCGACATCGTTCATCTTCCTGCTCGACAACATCACCGTGCAAGGCCTTGCCTTCTTCGCACCAACAATCGTCAAGACCATCTATCCGAACAACTCTGTCGTGTCACAACAACTGCACACTGTGCCGCCCTATATCGTCGGAGCATTCTTTGTGCTCCTCCTGCCCTTCCTCTCGTGGCGCTTCGATAGACGCATCATCTTCTTCATCCTGTCCACGCCTATGATGATGGTGGGCTACATCATGTTCTTGGCATCCTCGAACTCACGCGTCCGCTATGGCGCCACGTTCCTGATCGCGTCGGGTGCGTTTCCCTACGGTGCGCTCTGCAATGCACAAGTCTCGGCCAACGTTGTCAGCGACACCGCACGATCCGCCGCGATTGGCGTGAATGTCATGTTTGGGAACATCGGCGGCCTGATCTCGACCTGGAGTTTCTTGCCTTTCGACGGGCCGGATTACCACATCGGCAATGGCTTGAATTTGGCCACCAGCTCGACGATCTTGATCTGTTCTTTCCTGCTGTTGTTCTGGATGATGGCCGACAACAAGCGCAGGGATGGCAAGGATATTGACAGCGAGCTGGATGGGTTGTCGTTGAAGCAAGTGCAGGATCTGGACTGGAAACGTGAGTTATTCCCTGCCGCAATGAATACCCGCGGCCCTCACCATTATTCGTTGTTTATATGTTCGTCAACCTTCGTGCTGACTGAGATACGCAGATCCTGGATTCAGGTGGAAGCCGTAAACGAAAACGGGGCGGTAGAAGCACGAAAGAGAGTAAAGCAGGCTGAACCAAATTTGAAAAAGCATTGCTGTTGCATCAAGAGAAAAGGGGAAAGCGACAAGAGCATAACTACCCGTCTCCGGATCCAGCTCCATCTAGCAGACTTAGCGGAAGTAGTCTGGCTTGCCACCAACCAGACTCGTGTTTGCACCTGTACTGTTATGGCTGGCTTTCTACTGGACCTTCTCCCCCAGCTTGAGCTGTTCCTCTGGCAATGACCCCTTCATCGTTGGGCATTTCTTCAAGAAATTCTTCCGTGGAAATTTACTGCTATGGAGCTGTAATGCCTTGGTTTGGGTGCCGTTCCGCTCAAACTCGTCTTCACACAAACTGTTTCAAAAACGAACTCTCTCGCTCTTGGCTTAGTAGTCTCGCTTCCGCGATAATGGTTCGCCCTAATGATGGGATTCATGCCGCTGCTTCTGAGGACTCAGGCACCGGGGAAAAGGACTTGCTTATGTATAATTGTTGACAGCACACACGAGGATTGTGCAAGGAGAAAGCAGATCACCCACCTCCAGTCATGGCTCTGACCAATCGCCATGCAGATGTGGCGATCCTCAATGCTTCATCGCAACCCTGCCATCGTGAAGCCCCAAAAATGCTGTCCTCTTGCTTGTGTGTCTATTATCTAGTCGTGCCTGGTGTGCCGGATACTAGGAACATGATATTGAGGTTCTGACTGTACCGTGGAAAAGCCAACATGTCAAGATCCAGCATGCTGGCAGAAAGACGGTTCAGCCTTGCCAGGCAGACGTGTTACTCTCAATGGAGTCGGTATATATGCGCACGACGACATGGTTGATGTTCTCGTACATAGCTGCCATCTGCTACCACAAGAAGTTGAAGAAGCGCGAGCTATTTTAGGACTGACAACGAAAAATGCAGGTTGCTACGGACTATCGGTTCCTGCAACAAGTTCTATCCTCACTTTCTCCTGCGTGGTTTGAAAAACACAACGACGAGCCTTCAACACCTGCTTCATCCGGAGACCTCGACAACAGTGGTGGAAATGTACAGAACCACGCCCGAATAACCCTCACCTCCCTACCACCAGAGCTCCACCACATGATCGCATCCCATCTGACTTACCCGGACCTCTTGTCGCTGAAGCTCACGGACAAATACTTCTCCCACCTGGTCACTCCCAAGCTCCACGTCAGGACGCGCGTCCGCTGGGTCCAGAGCCGACACGCACAATGTCTCCCCGTGCCTATGAGCACGAAGCTGTCCTTCATATCGGACGCCATGTTCGTCGCGAACGACGAAGTCAAGACAATCCTTAGGCGCAGAAGGCAGCACTTGGAGTGCCTAGACTACGACTGGGACGGGGATGGGCATGGGCAGACGGCGTTCAAGAACCCCGTCATAGCCTTAGAGGTGGACGGCAGCGGGGCCATGCAGCACGTCCAAGTCAGGAGGCGGATCCGCCCTTCGTGGAGCAAAGCCTGCCTGGTCACTGGGGCAGAGGTTTGTCCTCGGGTGAGGGAGATGGAACTGGCAAAGAAGCGGTATGACCGCAGTTTTATGGGGAAGGTGTGCTCGAATGGGCGAAAACTCGCGTGGTGTGCAAGAGTAGCTTGGTGGTGGTTGGAAGGATGGTGGCAGACGTACATTGAATCTCTGAGACGGCGACGTCGGGAAACTTGAGGTGATGTCAGCATTCAGCAATAATCACACTGACAAAATGCGTGGCCATATAATGATTGAGAATGCACTCGGTAATTCATAGCGAGAATGGACTCATTGACAGTTGAGCTACAGGTGAAGAGAGCAGAATCCGAACCTGATCTTATCGCCACTCTGGTCCCTGGTTGCCTGGGGCAATCAATGCCGTGTCAACAGTCGGTAAATTGAAACGCCGAGGCAAGTGACAAGTCGTCGTGCTGCAAGACGCAGTGACATGGGTGCATTTTAAAGCGCCTGCGACGCGTTTATTCAGGTGCAAGGTTTATATTCGGCTCCTGCATGCTTGGTGCCCTATAGATGTCAGCATGGCCTTCCTGTTCGGCGGTCGAGGGCGACAGAAACAGCCTGCGGAGATCGCCAGGTCGTTAAAGGATCTCCTGGTCAAACTGCACGAGCCCAATCCAAGCCTAAAGGTGAGGACGAGACTGAGACAGGCGCGCAGGACCCGAGACTGACGTGCCCGTCCAGATCGAGGAAGATGTCGCGAAACACATGTCGCAGATGAAGTTGATTGTGCAGGGAACACCAGGTCAGGAACCACCCTTTGTCGTGCGACAGACACTAATGGCACGGGTTCAGAAGTCGAATGCAGCCCCGAACAGGTGCACCAGCTCGTGCAGTGCATCATCCAAGAAGACATCCTCTTTGAACTGGTGCGGTCGATTCGGTTGCTGCCCTTCGAAGCGCGCAAAGACGCCCAGATCATCTTCTCGCATATCCTTCGCTACAAGACCTCCTCGACCCCATCCTCACCGCAGTCTGGCGGCCAGGAACCGTCAGCAGTCACATACCTGGTGTCTCAGAGACCAGAGATCATCGTCGAGCTATGTCGTGGTTACGAGTACCCCCAGTCTGCAATGCCCTGCGGGACGATCCTACGGCAAGCACTGGCACATGAGACAATCGCCGCAGTCATCCTGTACGACGAGTCACAGCCCGGAGAAAAGGCGGTCCAGCTTAAAGATGTGGACGTGAGCCGAATACAGTCAGGCAAAGGCGTGTTCTGGAGCTTCTTCGACTGGATCAACAAGGGCAGTTTTGAAGTCAGCGCCGACGCCTTTACGACGTTCAGGGTATGTCTAGCACTCTTCCACCAGGGGCATGGCCCACACTCACACGCAGTGCAGGAGATCCTCACCAAACACAAACAGCTAGTCTCGCAGTATCTGACGACAAACTACACCCTCTTCTTCACCCAACACTATAATCCGACGCTGCTCCTCTCTCCGTCCTACGTCACAAAGCGCCAGTCGATCAAACTCCTCGGCGAGTTGCTCCTCCATCGATCGAATTACACCATCATGACCCAGTTCGTGTCCTCTGCCGATCACCTCAAACTCACCATGACATTACTCAAGGACGACCGGAAGATGGTCCAGTACGAAGCCTTCCACGTGTTCAAGGTCTTTGTCGCGAACCCCAACAAGAGCGATGAAGTCAAGCGCATCTTGGTCCGGAACCGCGCGAGGCTGTTGAAATTCTTACCCACCTTCCTGGAGGGCCGTACCGATGATGACCAGTTTCTGGACGAAAAGAGTTTCCTGGTCAGGCAGATCGAGAACTTGCCTGACGAGGAGGGCTTGCTGAGGGAACAGCAGGACAGCAACAGTCAGGTCAGAGTCGGTGCATAGGATGCAGGTGCATTGCGCTGGTGGAGGTGACGTGACGGGACCGCCTTGATGATGGATGAATTAGAGCCCGCGACGCCCTCTCATGGTGTCTGCTCATTGGGATGGTGGTTGGCAGCGCTCTCACACGGTGGCTGGCCATTGGGAGGGTGGTTACAATGGGGTGGTGGGATCCTTCAGACTCTCGTGTCTGGATGGTGCATTGCTCTCGAAGTGATCGAAGTGGTGGAGCACAAGAGCTTTACTGTACTTGAACTGCAGCGTACTTGGGGCAGGCAGGTCGGGTCCTATTGTCACGAAGCATTGATTGAACTGATACACGAAGCACTCGCATGTACACTACTATGCCTGCCTATGTTCTCTTCCTCTGCCTGTGCTTGCTGAGACAGCACGGCAAGATGGGACGGTGATGGGTACGAACGATCCAATCACATACGAAACAACATGATGAAGTCAAACTCTTATCGAGTAGGTACTATAGGCTTGTCCCATGGTACTAGTATGTACTGCAGCCATGCCAGTGCGCACTCCTGCAGCCTGCTCAGTACTCGGCACTCGGGTCCGACGTAATGAGAGCCTGCAGCATTGATTGAGAGTGGAGGCGGGAGTAGGTGGCATTCTTGGAGCGCTGCATTCATCAATGTCATAAACATGCAAAAGAGCATGTACCGTGTCCAACTCTGTACGCCAAAATTGTCATCGACCCAACCAAGCACATTGGCGCTTGGACAAAAGGACGCCAGGCTCAAAACACGTCTTCTTTCTTTGCCGACCCTTCCTGGGCCTCCAGCGTCATATTATCCAACTCATCGCCCAACAGCTCTACCTCGACCTCCTCGCCTACCCAGCCCTCAAACTCCTCCAGGCCTTTCTGCACGTGGACCTTGAATCGAATCACATCCTCCAGAAGCCGCTCGATGCCGCCGTGCAGCTCCTCCCGCACCCGGGCACTCTCCTCCCGCATATACTCGTATGCAATGTGGACCTCCATCTCGCGCTGCTCGAGCTCTACGACGCCCCTAGCCAGACCTTCTCTCATGCGACTGAGTTCTTTCTCTAGCTTCTCAATCGCGCTGGTCTGCTGCGTGTGCTGCGTCGTCCCGTTCTCCTTGAGCACGCCATACAACCTCCCAGCCTCGTTGACGCGGTAGTTCAAATTGTCAATCTCGGTGTTCTTTTCATGGAGAGCTTCGGAGATATTGTCCAAGAAGTCACGCGCGTTGAGGTCTGACTCCGACAGGGCTTTTCTACGCTCGTTGATTTCCTTGCGCAGAGATATGAACGCGTTGCGAACCGTGCCTCGAAGGTCCAGGTTCAGGAGATGCGAGGGAGAATAGCCCGTATTGGTGTCGGCGAGGAGGCGATCGGATTCAACGGGCGATGCGCGACTGCGGCGACGTTGGGAAGTCGAAGATGAGAAATTGTCCGACGAGAGATTCAAGCTGAGTTCGTAGTCTTGGTCTTTTGCGTTGACCGCTGTCGATGGGATCACCGACATTTGATAGCCCAGGCTGTTGTAGCGTTTGATGGTTGCCTCGAGGTCTTCGAGTTTGCGGGCTGTTTCGGCTTCCTTTTCTAGGACTCTTTTGTTCACCTCGTCGAGAGTAGCGAGTGCGTCTTCGTGTGATTTTGCAAGCCGTTCGCGTTCGGTGTTCATCCGGTCGATGTCTTGTATGTTCAATCCCTGACGGTCCACGCTGTGTTGCAGCGCCTGGCGTTCTTGCTCGACGGCGGCCAAGTCTGCTTCGACTTTCTGGATTTCCGCGTCAAGGATTTTTATGCGTGAGTCGTACTTTTCAATCTTGGCTTGCACGTTTGCATTATACTCTTCGAACTTCTTTTTGTCGTCTTCGAGAATCTTGAAGTGCTTGTCCAATTTTGCAATGTCCGGTGCATTTCGCTCGAATTCGTCGACTTGTGCTTTCAAGGCTTCATGTTCTGCTTCGAAAAGTCTCAACTCTTCGGCATGCTTGGCATTGGCACGTTCAAACTCTTCGTTTAGAGCTTGAATATGCGGTTGCAGCGCGGCCTCCTCGCTTTCCTCATCGTCCTCGGGTCCCATCTGGAGCCAGTCTTGATAGGCGCCGAACAGGAAGCGGAATACTATGCGATCGCTGGCCACGTCAACGCCGGCCTCAGCACATGCATCATCGTATGCGCCCCGCGTGAAATTGTCCAGCATCTGAGCGAGCTGCATCATCCAATGCAGCAGGCCTAGAAAGCGGGGCCAGTTCTGTCCTCCTACAGCGACCAGATGAGACTTCGTAATGTCTCGTTCGTAGGGATATCTGAGCTGTTTCATGATGGGCGGGACCTCGACATCAATGCTTTTCTGAAATTTGTAGCCTGGGTCAATCCGTCTGTACAGCCACTGGAACATGAACGTGAAATCTTTCTGTGTTGGTGATTTGACTGAATTCTGGGTCAACGAGTGCTTCATTTCGAGCTCGAAATTGTTCTGGGTCAGGTAGTCAAGAAGTTCTTGACTGATGCGCGCTCTATACGAGCCGTCTCGGAGAGGTCGCGGGTCTTTCGGGGCGCCAGCAGCGGGCGGCGGTTGTGAGAAGAAGGACTGGTGCACGGCTGGCGCATGGCCAGGAGGACGAGAGAATATGCTGCTTCTCCTCTGGAGGCTTTGAGTCGCCGGCGTCTGTGAGCCAAACAGTTGGTTCGGCGCAAGACTTTGCCGGCCAGTATGTTGATTAGCGAATATGTTGACTGATGTAGATCTCCGTGCTGTTGACATGCCCATATCTGCCAAGTTCCCTCCAGAGGATGATCGCTGGAACACAGGTTGCGCAGGGCGCTGGATGCTGTGGTTGATTGAGGTTGATCGGACATGCTGCGCTGTGTGAAAGTCGGCGCTTGAAGAAGCCCGCTTGACAGTGGAAGCTGGTTGAGGGATGGCTGAGAGATTCGTGATATTACCCAGAGTCTCGCGCGGGCGACGAACACTGAAGAGACCAGGAGGCTGCGACATGACGGCTGGGAGGCGATGGTGGTGGTGTCAGGATTCTGCAGTCAGCTGTAGTCCTTGGTCGAGGTTGAGGGTGAGGGCGCGGTCTTTGCGAAGCCAAACAAAGCCATCGCGAAAGCCGTAACCACGGCAGCTGAAACTACGGTAGATCAAAAGCCTGTTAAGCGTATTTCGTCTAAGCCCATCTGGGACTGGTGGGCCATACTGCCAAACGAGCGCACTCGAAACGCAGACCGAGGCTCGACTCAATTGACAAATGGATGGCTGGTCTCTTCTATCAACCACTTCCAGCAGCCATTTCCGTTCCTCATCAACTCCCTCTTCCGTTCTGCAGGGCAGGACAGAAGTTAGAATGGGCGCTGAGTAAATCCGGTTTCTCGACTGACTTGCACCAACATGTCACCGCGCGAAGACTTGGTCTCCTCGGCCGTAGTGTTCCTGCAGGACCCGTCCGTCGCTTCAGCTCCCGTCGAGAAGCGAATCGAATTCCTCAAATCCAAGAATCTCACACAAGAAGAGATCGATCTCTCCTTGGCCCGAGCAGCAGGGGATGCGGGCCAGCAGGTTCCATCCCCGCAAAATGCATCCTACTATCCTCCTGCTCGAGGGCCTCCAGGCCCGCGCTATTCATACCCATACAACCCCTACGGAGAATGGCAGCAACCTCCGCCGCCGGAACCGCCTCGACGGGATTGGCGAGACTGGTTCATTATGGCGACTGTAGTTGGAGGAGCCAGCTACGGATTGTACACCCTGGCCCAGAGATACATCAAACCGCTAATAGCGCCGCCAACACCACCACAGCTGGAACAAGATAAAGCCGCGATCGACGAGCAGTTCAACAAAGCGTTCGCCTTGCTGGACACGCTGTCCTCGGATACCACTGCTCTGAAAGAAGCCGAAGAAGCCCGCACCCAGCGCCTCGACAACGCAATCACCGACATTGAAACCATTGTCGCGGAATTGAAAGCCGCCAATATGCGCCGTGAAGACGACGCCCGCAGAATGGAAACGGAGATAAGAACCATGAAGGACAGCCTCCCTCGATCCATTGACAGTGTCAGAGAGGCAAGCGAAAGACAGCTCAAAGAGCTGAGCACTGAATTGGGCAGTTTAAAAGCGCTTATGGGTAATCGTCTCGGAAGCACCTCTTTTAGTCCTGCAGGACAGGGAATTCCGAGGACTCAGCCAGGTACTTTCCCAGGATCGGGTGCGTCAGCTTCAACAAGCGCAGCCGCGACACCGAGTACGGAGAATGCCACAGGAAGCAGTGCTGCCAACCCGTCCAGACCGACGCCGAGCTACACCACCTCAGCATCAGCAGTCCCTACGTCTTCTTCAGTGTCCACTTCCAGACCAACATCAACCACTTCATTCAGCGCCTCAAGCAACAAAGCAGCCATTCCGGCATGGCAGATGGCAGCCGCAAACAAGGCCAAGGATATCAACGGGCCCAGTCCTGCAGCTGCGAGCCATAACTCCAATGTTCCGGTCACGAATGGGGCTTCTCAGCAGGCGGATGGTGCTGAAGCTGTCGCAGCACTTAATGCGAGCTAGTTCGATATCTGTTTATATATATGTTGTTAATGAAAAGCTGCTTCCAATCTCGTCATTCATCTCTGTTGTCGCCGCCGCCTCCAAACCGCTGCCGTGCAATCTCCCGGAACAGACTCATGGTCTTCTCCTCCCGCTCCTTCGCAGCCTGCAACCGGGCCTCCATCTCCGCGCGTCTTGCCCGCAGAATCTCCTCCTTCCTCAATTCCCGCTCGTTTTTCTTCCTCTGATTCTCCATCTTCATCCTCTTCAATTCACCGAGACTATCCTCGTCGCCCATGACGTCTGCGTCCCGTAGTTCCACTTTACCGGCTGCTTCTTTACCTGCGGCGAACGCACGGATGGAGTCGGCCTTTTCGCGCTTCTTTTCGAGTTGCCGTTCGCGTGTGCCAGCTTCGGCCCGTGGTACCAGCTCGTCCAACCTCTCCTTCTGCTGTTTCCTGTCGATACGGCGATCTTCGCGGATACCTTCTATGTACCTCTTCTTCGCTGAGGCAGCCTCCTCGAGGGAATGTTCGTCTCGGTCGCGAAGGTCTGTCAGCGAAGGGGTCATGGGACCAGGCGCTCTTGACAGCGTGTTGGAATGATCCTGAGCTCCACCTTGATCGTTGTACGATGCAATGGATGCGGATGTCGGTAGAAAAGGTCCGTATTCGTCATCTGACGCAGGATTGTCGGCGCCATCGTAGTCTTCTCGAGGGTGTAGCTTCCGGCCCGACGATGTCGTATCCGGCCGGTTTACCCTCGTCTGCGCCTCAGGGTCGCTCTGCGCAGATACATTTGCCTTCTCCAGTGTCTTTGGATCATACCATCCTTCAGCCAATTCTCCACGATTCCTGCCATGTTAGCCACCTCCGAGAACCTCGATTTGATTAGAAGGAAATGTACGTGGTACCTACCATTTCCCAACAAAGCTTTTCCACCGTCCTCTGATTTCTTTGTCTTCCAAGTTTTCGAGGATGATGTCTTTCTGGATATCAAGATATAGTGCGAATAGGGGAGTGTAGGTTGTCAGGTCGTGCAGGGAGAGGGAGCGGGCGTTATAAGGAAGAGGCCTTGACCGCGGGGAGGTGGGTGCGGGTGACCGGGTGCGCTTGTGGTGGTGGTGGGGAGAATAGCGCGAGCGATGGCGATGATGGTGGTGTTTGTCCGGGTGGACATCGCGGTAGGGTGAGCGCGAACGGGAGCGACTTCTATGGTGCTTGTCTGCCATTGTTCTTGAGAGGGGTGGCGTACCTCGTGAATGAAAACAGCCTGGAGCATAATATCATTCCTCGGGGACCGTTGCACCGAATCCTGGATGTGATCCGATTTCAGCCTTGGGCGAATACTGTAATGCCGCCGCTCTACGCATAGGACGATCGTGGACGATGCGAAATATACCGAGTACCCCATGTGCCGCTCTGCCCTCAAGGTTCGAAGTACTTTTGACGTTCTCTTCAGACGCTTCAGAGCGATAGTACAGTAGACCCTTCCCGCGCTACCATAAATATCGCGAATTCTGCAATTTCCCTGGCTTTGTGTCGAGCAATGACTGAGTTGCAAGTAGGCTCATACTGTAGTAACTTCTACGCTCTTGAGTAGAGCAGCGACATCCGCGCCAAGCTTCCTGATGTACCGATCTCGAGAAGTTTTCCTTGCACCGCCTTAGTCCTCATAATCTCGTTCTGTATAGACGTCTTTCTGCTCCTGTTCCCATAGACTTAGAACACTCCCCTCAGCATGCATGTTCTTGTAGGTGTCCCCAAGTGGATCGACAGAATCATACGCTCACTTGACCCAGGTTGTGAACGATGACGGCCCTCCGTCGAATCAATCATCACCATATGTTCATTCGCTGGTTTCGACGCTTCAAGATGCCGGCCATGTCGTCTCTGTCGTCTTGCCTCACGTTCAAAGATCCTGGATTGGGAAGGCTCATATAGTCGGTCAGACCCTGACTCCGACCTACTTTCGCCCTGGCAGCATCCTGAAGGATGACGGCATCACCTCGGATCGTCCCTTTGATGATGGAGGGGAAGAATGGATTCTGATAGACGGCACCCCAGCTTCATGCGCTCAGATTGGTCTGCATCACGTCTTCAAGGATAGAGGTCTGATCGACGTTGTAGTGAGCGGACCCAACTACGGACGCAATACCACTGCTGTGTTTGCCCTCTCCAGTGGTACCATTGGTGGTGCAATGGAAGCTGCGATGAACGGCGTCAAGGGCATCGCCTTGTCCTACGCCTTTGATTCAAGGGAGCACGATCTCGAAGTCATTTCCGAGGCATCAAAGCTGAGCACTCGACTTATAGAGAAACTGGTGAAACAGTGGCCGGATGATGTACATCTGTACAGTATCAATGTTCCTCTTCACAAAGGAGTTACGAACAACAAGATCGTTTACACCGAGATGATACAAAACCGTTGGACTGGTGGCAGCTCATTTACAGAATTGCCCGAAGAGGCTGACGACAATAACCCTAATGAGGAAGAACGAATCATCCGCGAGACCGGCGCGGTCAACGGGAACGGTGCCAAGGTTACGCGGAGAGCACATCGCAAGTTCAAATGGTCGCCGAACTTCACAGGCGTCCGGAAATCTGTCCTCGACGCTGGCAAGGGTGATGGATGGGAAGTACTACAAGGGAACGTCACGTAAGTCCCTAACCACGGATGGAAATACTACAAGTATACGTACTGATGAGCATAGTGTGACCCCGCTGGTTGCAAATTTCTGGCATCTGCCCCATTACACTGGAGAAATCAAGCTGTGAGTAAGTTGACCATGGACGTTCCCGGCCGCCTCGACTATGTAGATGGACTGAGTTGACCGTTCTTCAGAGACGATATCACTGCGAACCCGATAGACCATGCAGAGAATGCTACTGCAGCTTCCATCTATGCACTGGTTGACTATCCAGATGCATATGTACAACCTCTGATCCTGGCCTCCCTGAGTCAATTAAGGCCTACCACTGTCAAGCTTTTGTCTTCTATCAGTCATTTACCGCATCCCCAAGACCCCGTCTTGCAGTTCACTGCATATGAAGCAATAGACTTCGAGCATGCGATGCACCATCCTCAGACCTCGCTCGTATGCGCATATGTCATCCGTAAGGCGTTCGTTCGCAAGCATTTTCTGTCCAACACAGTTTCAACTTGGCTAGTCAAGCACCCTGAAAGCATCTTGGCAAAGCATTTCAAGCCCTCTGCTCATTTCGAATTGGACTATGCAGAGTTCCTGGACGAAGCGTTGGTGGATGCATGGGACTTGAATGAGAGTTTGGCGGAGAACGAGCAGAAGGATTCTACTCAACAAAAGCAGTGGTGGATCCTGAAGCCCGGCATGAGTGACGGTGGCAACGGCATCCGGCTCTTCTCGAGTCTAGAAGAACTCCAAGCAATTTTCGAGGAGTGGGAAGAGGGCGCGCCCGATGACGACCACGACACCGATGAGCCAGCCGATGGTGACCTATCCGATTCCCCCTCCACGAGCAAACGAGGCAGTATCACTAAAGGTAACGCAATGACGTCTCAGCTCAGACACTTCATTGCTCAACCTTACATCGACCTGCCTTTGCTTTTGGAATCGTATGGGAATCGGAAATTCCACATTCGAGCATATGTTCTGGCGGTTGGGGCACTGAAGGTTTATGTCTACAGGGAGATGCTTGCCTTGTTTGCCGCCAAGGAGTATCAAACGCCTGCGTCTACTACAGGCCCGGACATGCTTGACCTTGCACAACATCTGACAAATACCTGCTTCCAAGATGAAGCGACCAAGGAGTCTTCTGTCTACCGGTACTGGGATCTGAACTCGAGTGGAGTGCGGCCCAACTGGGGGGAGGACGTCTTCCGCCAGATATGCGACATAACCGGTGAGGTGTTTGAGGCTGCAGCTCGTGAACAGATGATACACTTTCAAACACTTCCGAATGCATTCGAGATTTTCGGCGTGGACTTCCTGGTGGACAGTGATTATAATGCTTGGCTTCTGGAACTCAATGCGTATCCCGACTTCAAGCAGACGGGTCGGCATTTGCAGGATGCCGTGGTCGGTGGCCTTTTCAAAGAGGTCACGAAGAATGCCGTTGCGCCATTCTTCGGGCTGGCCTCCTCCGGAAGTATGCAGATGCCGCTTGTTCGGTCTGTCAATCTAGGCCGGGGATGACTGGCAGTGGCAATGAGATCAAGCGTCCCGCTTCACCTCTCGTTTGGCATCCACACTCTGATCGACAAGGCCACCCGCTGGCCCTTGGACGATGTTGTGTCACCTGAGTTAGAGCTACATTCTGCAAGCACTTCACCATGACCCTATGACTGTGGATACAGCGCGGCAACAGTCTTCCTGCAGCACACTCTCTCCGGCTTATTTGATCCGTTGTTCCTCGCAATCACCATAAGCCCAATTTGCCAGCGGCCTATTGCAACGCGCAACACGTTCTTTGGATTGTGCCGATGTCCCTTGCGCCGCGTCACGCGACGCTGAATGAACGAGACTCGAAGGGCATAATATCAGCATTCCAACTAGACGACGCAAGTGGATAGCGGGCCGGCCTGAACTTCTGCGGCATGGGGACGAGGAGTTTGAGCGACTGCAGAAGCCGACGTCGCACAGTGGTGCTGTCAATGGTAATCTGACACCAACCCACGACCAGTGCCGGGTAACTTCTTCGAGTGTCTCTCTCTCGGTGTAATTCATTCTTGCGGCTTGTAAAATCCGTCTTCGAACGAACGTCCGACTGACGGTTGGGAGACATAGCTTCCCTCATTTTGCATACTCGAGCTAATGCAAGGCTGAGATGTGCTTGAAGCTGAAGCAACAGAGCAAACAGCAAGCAGCGAGCTGTGTTTCTTGTGCCATCAGCATGGGATGCACCATTTCAACATGCTGTCACGCTCCATTCGAGTATGGCTTTCGGGGCCGGTCGCGCCTGCCTCCTGCATGATGTGTAGGGAGCCTGCCCCTCCATCGTTCCCTGGCTCGGTGAAGCCCTGCAATGGCTGGGCCAACAATGATACGCGATGAGAAGCGATTGCTTGCAGACTTCACTCCTCACTCATCAAAAAGACAGCGAGTGGCTCTAGTTGTTGTCCCACACCACTCTTGTGTCTTCTACAATCAGTATTTCTCACTGAGCCAATTTGTATGATTCGACAGAAGGCCTTCCACGACTCGCTGCTCATCGCTGCCTTCTAGGCAGACATTGCCTTCTCAAAAACAAGCCTCGACAATTTACTGTCGATCGACTTCACAATCCCCTATCAAATCATCTAGCTCTCAGCGGACCACGGACGGCAGCATGATACCCGACAATACTTCTGAAACGATTGTGCTTTCGAGAGTATTCCAGATCCTGACCGTCGGTGCCTCAGCCCTTTTCTTCGCTATCGCTAGCATCTATTCCTCGGTTTTGGCGCTGCCGTCGACAAAAGTAGGAGGTGGAAGACTGCGCAAGGCTCAGCTCTCGCTTACCCTTTTCGCTGGTGTAATCTCAACGGTGGAAGCTGTTATCGACCTCAAGAAGTCGGACCGATCAAAGATCTCAGACCCAAATGCCGTCTACATGCTCTTCCTCACCCTGGTCTATGTCATTCTCTCCATTGGACTTGTTGACGACAACGCTGTTGCATCATATCCTCACCATGGAGCCTGGGCTATCCTACTCATCGGCCAAGGCACCATCCTCATCCTCTCTATCCCTGGTGCATCCTCAAAAGACGACCTCCTTTTTGCGCACGGACTCCTCCAAGGTCTTCAGCTCGCCGTCACGCTGATCCTCCTGGCCAGTAGCTTGTTCATCAGGAATTTGCAACGCAAGAGAAACACAGGTACTGAGGACGAAACACGCCCTCTCCTTGCTGATGAGGCTTCTCCGGCTGGGCCAACTGTCAATAATGAAGTGAAAGAGCCAGATGATGACGAGGTCGACAGACTGCGCATTCGGAGTCGCCCATTTTGGCAATACGTCTCTTCGTTCAAGGTCTTCGTGCCGTACATGTACCCAAAATCACCCAACTTACAGCTCTACTTCTTCGGGATGTGTATCTGCAGCGCCTGGTCAAGAGTGGTGATAGTTGCTCTACCTCTCACCCTTGGGGCTCTCGTCGACCGCTCGGGAGACTTGGTTCCGTGGAAACAGATCACTATCTTTGTGCTGCTTAAATTCCTGACATCCTCTGCCGGTGTGCCGCTGATTGAGACTTGGCTATCCTGCCGGCTGAACATCGATCTGACACTCGGGCTGCAGCGACACTGCTACGACCACATCATGAATCTTTCGGCAGATTTCCATGACAATAAGAAATCACCAGTCATCTGGCAGGTCATGAATCAAGGTCAAGATGTGATAGACCTGTTCCACGATATGCTGTTCGAGTTTGTGCCTCAGCTGGTAGACCTGGTATCTGCAGCCGTGGTTCTATCTTACCTTTTCGGCCCGTACATGACGTTCATTGTGGCCACAACGGCCATCCTGTTCTACTGGCTGACCTTCAAAGCACTGATTACCAAGCGATCTTTACGACGATCCTGGCTCGATGCATACCACGACCAGTACTACCAGATGAGCGAGTCAACCTTGAATTGGTCAACTGTTTGTTACTTTGGCCGCATCCCATACGAACTGCGGCAATACCGGGAGAAGGGCGACGTCACTCGCAGCACGATGCTGATGTGGTGGTCGTGGGAGTTCTGGACCAGGGGGTTGCGCAATATAGTCCCTTGCGCCACCTTCGCTGCTGCATGCGCCGTGGCAGCATTGCAGATTGCACATGGTCAGCTCAACATCGGTGATTTTGTGATTCTGATCACATACTGGTCGCAATTGGCCAGCCCCTTGTCTTCAATAGCGGGTGAACTTTCGAGGCTGACGGAAATGCTGGTCAACGCTGAGAAATTGGTGGTCATACTGGAAAAGACGCCCCAAGTCCAGGATCAACCCGTTGCTCGACCCTTCACGTTCTTGGAGGGCGCTGTGGAATTTGAGAAGGTGTCATTCTCGTATGATGGCAAGCGTCAAGTGACGAAGGGTATCACTTTCCGCGCCTCGCCCGGCACAACTATTGCACTGGTCGGACAAACCGGAGGAGGGAAAAGTACGATCTTGAGACTGCTGTTTCGATTCTACGACGTTGATCAGGGCCGAATCCTGGTTGACGGCCAAGACATCCGACACGTCAAGATGGAGAGTTATCGTAAACATATCGCCATGGTGCCACAGAGTCCCGTCGTCTTTAACATGTCAATTTTGGACAATGTCAGATACCCTGACATCGACTGTACGGACGAGGAAGCGATTGATGCTTGCAAAGCAGCGGCTTTACACGACAAGATTATGTCCTTCACTAAAGGCTATCAAGAGAAGGTTGGCGAGCGTGGCACGAAGCTTTCCGGTGGCGAGTTGCAGCGGCTCGCGATCGCAAGGGCAATTCTGAAGAAGGCTGACTTCCTGCTCTTGGATGAAGCCACTAGCGCCGTTGACAGCATCACCGAGAAGAATATACAGGCGAGCATCCGTCAACTCTGTGCAGGCAAAACGGCGTTCATAATCGCGCACCGGCTTTCGACAATCTTACACGCCGATCATATACTTGTCATCCGTGATGGTCAGATTGTTGAGGCTGGTTCCCACGAGACTTTGATCAAACACGATGGCGCATACAACGAGCTGTGGCGGAGTCAGCTTCGGCTCCAGGCCGATGAGCGAACTTGTTCACGATCGAGGTCCCCACCAAAGTCAAAGAGCAAAGTCCTCATCAACGATCTGAACAGCAGTGGGGAAGAGACTCAAACACTTGTAAAGAGCCTTAGTAGAAGCAGCAAAGATGGGAGACCTTCCGGCGGAGGCGATAGTGAAACTTCGAGCACTTATGAGAAGGATACAAAAGCCTGCGATGAGTCACATGTCAATGCTGACGGACGAGGTAGAAAGCTCTCCCAGAGACTTGCCGGGGCCCTGAACAAGAGCATGTCACGGTCGAAATCGCCGAAAAAAGGGCAATCATCGGATTCTGGCTTGAACCCCGATGCTCCGACTTTCAGACTGTCACCATCAAAGTCGCCGAAGAAGGCTGGATCCTCAGAGCCTGCACTGAAACCAGACGTCCGCACATTCAAGCCCCGACGATACCAAGACGGACACAACAGCACAAGTTTGTCGGAGGAGGCGCCCAGCATGCCTGAAGGTTCTCTCGAATGTGCAGTAGGCGACCCGCCCGAACGAATGGGATCCACAACAGCCGCGAACAACGAGAATAACTTCAACCCATGTCTAGTACAGGCAGTGTTTCCCCTGAAGCGAAAGTGGACTGGCCATGGTCGCGGGACCCTCGACAGCAATGGAGGTTCAGAAATTTACGGCGTAACGGACGTTCCACCGGACGCCGATGATGCTCAGTCCGACAGCCTCGAAGCGCTTGTCGATCGAATCGACAAAAAGCAGATCAAGTCAGCCCCCGGACACATTCGGCGACGCCAAACTGCAAGCGAGCCTTTTCCAGAAAGTGTCAATGAAGAGGATGACTCAGAAGGCTCATCAAGAGACGGAAATACCATTCACTCGGCGAAGTATTCGAGACTGCAGCAGATGCTGCAAGGCCGAGCTGTGTCGGCTGTAGAAAGGAAGCCTGTCCAGGCGCAGGGAAGCGGGAAGAAGTCAGCGGATGAGAACGAGCCTCGAGCACCCGTGAATACTGCAGCAACCAGTCCAGGCGTCCTTACACCCAAATCGAACCAGAAATTCTCTGGCAACATGCTCGCCTGAGCCAGCCCGCCGATTCATGTATATGGCACAGAGTATGGCTCTTGAGTATCTCGCCTCAAATGCATCTCTTTACTCGCCTCAATATCATCAAAGCCGGCGATCCCGCACAGGCAAGGTACCATCGCACGAGCTGCTAGGCTAGACGTGACCATAGAGTTGAACAGCATGATACTCACTATAGCTTCAAGCGCCCGATCGCTGGATCATGACCAGCAGCAAGATTCTGTCGGGAGCGCAATACATAGTATGATCCAGAGACCAGAAACGAGCAGTTTTGAAGCCGAGTCTGCGCCTTGGCGCCGATGCATTCACATTGTAGCTTACAATGTGTTTCTTCCGTCCACTCTACGTTCGCAGTCATGAGATCAGCGTCTAAGCTGGTACTTGGCAAAGTAATCACCGTGGAAAGCCTTGTATAACCATATTACCTGCTCCGGAGACGGTACAAGTCACAGGGCGTGGCTGGAGGGCAAGGGACCGCCATGGGTGTCGGCTCTTTTCTCCACATCTTTCAAGTCATGATACCGTCCGTCACTTGATTCTCCGCAATGTCTCTTCGTCGATGATAACAACCGAATGAGTGCTGCACAGGACGTCGAGCTCGTCGAGCCCAGACGGATTGCAGTCCACGACTCCCGTGATCCGTTGGAGGAGCGAGGCGAAGTAAGCCCACCACAAGATGCTGTCTCGGTGGAAGACGTGCCTCCCAACGGCGGCTATGGCTGGGTGTGCACGGCATGTGTCTTCATGCTCAACGCCCACAGCTGGGGCCTCAACAGCGTAAGCCAGTTCAAGGCCGGCGGGCTGCTCGCGGCGCTGACCCGTTGCAGGCTTGGGGCATTTTCCTAGCCCATTACCTCGCCAATTCCACCTTCAAGAACGCGTCCCGACTCGAATACGCGCTAATCGGAGGCTTGTCAATCTCTCAATCCCTCCTGAGCGCGCCGGCCGTCAACATTTCCGAGAGATGTTTTGGCATGCGGGGCACCCTGCTCATAGGTACCGTCTTGCTGTTTGTCGCCCTGTTCGGGGCATCGTATTCGACCCAGATATGGCATCTTTTCTTGACTCAAGGTGTCTGTTTCGGCTGGGGTCTGGGCTTCACTTACATTCCTGCGACAGCCACGCTTCCTCAATGGTTCTCTACCCGCCGCAGCCTCGCCATGGGCATTGCATCCTCTGGTGCAGGCCTTGGTGGCCTGGCCTACAACCTGGCAGCGGGTGCTATTGTCCAGAAGATGGGCGTCAACTGGGCTTATCGCATCCTGGCATTCTGCGGCCTCGCGGTCAACACCGTCTGCTCGTTACTCCTCAAAGATCGCAACAAGGCAGTCCAGCCTTTGCAAAATGCGTTCAACTACCGCGAGTACGGCCGAGTGGAGGTGATGCTGGTCGTGGCCTGGGGCGTGTTGACCGAGCTGGGCTACATTGTCCTGCTGTATTCCCTGCCGAACTACGCGACCTCAATCGGCCTCACGGCGTCTCAAGGCTCAGTCGTTGGGGCTGTTCTCAACCTCGGACTTGGGGTTGGCCGGCCTGTAATTGGGTACTACTCAGATGCATTTGGTCGCATCAACATGGCGGCACTGATGACAGCACTATGCGGAGTCCTCTGCCTCGCACTGTGGGTACCGGCGAAATCCTATGGTGTCCTCATCGCCTTTGCCTTGACGGCGGGCTGCGTGTGCGGTGTGTTTTGGAACACCGTCACCCCGGTATTGGCGGAAGTCGTAGGGCTCAAGAGACTGCCTTCCTCGTTCGGTGTCATTTGTTTGGCCCTGGTCGTCCCCACCACATTTGCAGAGCCAATCGCGCTTGAGATGGTCACTGCTTCCGGCTACCTCAGCGCCCAGATCTTTGTGGGCTTTATGTTCTTGCTCGCTGGAGTGAGCACCTGGGTTTTGAGGTCGTGGAAGATCAATGAAGTCGAGCTAAAGGCTGCAAGGGAGCAACACCAGCTCGATCACGGTGGAAATGAAGGCGATGCAGACGATGCAGAGGACCATGGCTTCTGGTTAACTCCCAGGATGTTTCTTCGGCTAGGCAGGGTCTGATACCTTGTCCGATGTTGCCTTTGAGATGTGTTTCATCCTCGTTTCTGGATTGTAGCCAACGTCTCCATGAACAACAATGAATTCCACAATGTCTCTTGGCATCGCCCTTGTTTCTGCTGGAGGCTTTGTTGTTTGTGCAGGGGTCTTCTCTGCCAGACGCCTAACCAGTCCAGAACGTCTCTGACACACAAACGCCCAATATCTCAAATGACAATGCCATCTAAGACAATTAGGTCATCCGCGTCACGATGGGCATTCATGTCGCAAGCTGGAGGAAGACCACAAATGAACTGTGCGAAAAAAGCCTTGCTTGCCTGAGTCCATGGTATCGGGACTGGGAACAAGTGTCGGTCCTCCGTCGCCTAAATCAGGGCTATACTTACCCAGATGTGAGCCGTCAACAAACCTTCTCACTTTGCCACATTCCATAAGTGACAAAAGACTGGCACTCCACCTGAAGCCAATATCGAGCATGATGCCACGCCGACCGAAAGGTAACTCCTACCGACGCCTCCTCTCCCTTTGCGCAATCTTGAGTATCTGGTGTTCAGCTGCACTGGTCTGCCTTCACAATGTCGACCTAGCGACATTGTCGATGCCACAATATCTTCTTGTCTCCGATGTTTTACACGGAGCATCTGGGACAGGCAAGTCCACGAGATTGCTCTTCCTGCTCACCGCATCTCTCGAATTTGGGTTCTGGATCTGCAAAGAAGACAACCGCAACACCAGGTTCTGGACCAGTGGCCTTGCAATCCTACCGGGGGCAGTATCTGTGTTATGGCTTTTCTTCTCCATGGATCTGTTTGTGGACTGTACGTCAAGTGCAGCAAGTATCCTTCGATCACTCACGGCCGTTCGGGAGACGACGCTCAAGCTTTGGGCAGCCATTTGGCGCCCTGAAGAACTCATAGGGGGATGCTTCATGCTCTTCCTAATCTTCAACCTTGCTCAGCGGATCGCGGACGAGCTACTCACCAAGTCTCCTAGCATCCAACCCGTCGTCGATGGGACGTCCAACCCCGACGAACACAACCAGCCTATACCTCCCATGCCTGGCGCATATCCGACCCTTACTGACGAACCTCACTCCGAGAGACGAGGCGCTATGGACGAATCCTTCGTGGACCTTCCTCTTGAGCACGAGCAATTTTGCTGCAAGGAGGATACGGATAACAACAAGAACAAGGCAGGATTGAACGATGGTGAAGGAGACGGCGGACAGGGGAGACTCGGAGCCACCGCCACGGCCAAGGACTATGATGAGGGTATAGGAGACAGAGAATGCAATAATCTTCTCTTACCCACCCAAGATGCCTCCGAATATGATGCTGACAATGAGTCTTCCTCCTCGGACGACTCTGACCACAGCTTCACCAGAATACTCAGAGAAATTTCACTCAATTCAGGGGCCGTTAAGGCATTCAGAAGCCCATTCCAATCAAACAACGGAGAATTTGTCGGAGCCGGGGCTGATGCCAACGAGACTACAGACACCCATGTCCAACTCATGCACGATCAAACCCAAGCTTTCTCTTTTTGGGGTGCCGCCTGCAACGGACAATGTAAACCTTCCAGCAGATCCACACCTCTGGACTCGCCACCCGCCTCAGCAGGAACCTTCAGTCCCCATAAAGCCGTGCATGAAAGAATCTGGGTCTGGGGAGAGCGACAGCGTCAGCAAGATGTTGAAGGGAACAAGACGGACAGAGAACAGCAGCCATCTGGGGACTCAATAGAGAAGCGAGCACACCGCTGGAACGGGGAACGGATGGAATGGCTCGACAGGGAAGTAAGGTCTACCTTCCAATTCCCAACCAACCTTCCTGTGGCCGACATACTGGCCAACATCATCCCTGGATTGGACGACATCGGCAACAACACCATCAGGCGAGTTCCTAGCTGCATGGATCGACTGACTTCGGTGTCAACCACCCATCCTACCACTTCCCAATCCCAAGACAATCAAGCGGGTGCGATCATCGGCGACAAAGAGTTTCGCTTTCGACCCATGGAAGAACAGGGCCGTCGCAGTGCGTATGACTGGACCAACACGCCTGCTCTATCAGATACACGTCGTCTGCCAGCACAGAGTACGAGGTCTTCGGCAAACACCAGCTCTCCACCTTCTCCGAGGTACTGTTTTCGATCATTACCTAGCACGCGGCTCTTCTTGCCGAGCCCATCCCGCAGCTCCCGTTTGAGTTCAGCCAAATACTATTTCCGACCAACAGACACATTGGCACCAACGGCTGCGACATGCTCATCAAACTCCCAGAGCCGCGGCTTGAACAGACCAACAACCCGCTCCGAGCTCTCTTCATCTTACACCGAAAGACCAATGCGTTTCAGACGTGAAATTAGAGAGCCATCTGGAAGACGAGGACGTTCGACGATCAACCCGAATTCGCCAGCGTCGCAGTCATTCAGTCCACGTGATCTCCTGTCAGACAATTCGTCTTAAATGCCAAAGTCGCCCTTGAAACTCTCCTTGGGAGACGGATTTGGACACTTCACGCGAAGGGTGAAGAGCTGCAAGCGCCTGTCAGGGAGGCGAGAATGTGAGAACGATACGTACGATGAAACGGGTTCTCCCTCGGGTTCTTGGAGGTCGACTTGAAGAGGTCGTTGGTACTCCGTAGGCTGCGCGGGCATGGGGTCTATTTTCCAGGATGGCCGAACAGTGAGGACTCCGGCTGGACTTTGTCCTGGGCGGTGGTTTTCTGACCTGTTTGGGTTTCGATCTCACGATATCAAGACCTGGGGCACCAAAGGGGAGCATCGGGATAGTAAGGGGGACTGAGGATAGGGATTGGGGACTTGGGATTGGACATGGAAAGGGAAGCAAAGCGGCATACTCAGTACATGGCACATACTGTACACGCCCCATGTACAGAGTACTGTGCTTGTCCTTTTCCCAGGTGAACTGATTCTTGCATTCCTCAGCTTCATCCTGGACATGGACTGAAAAATGAAATTTCGTGGGTAGCCATGAATCAACCACCTACAGTAGCACAAGTAGGTACTTACACGTTGCACGCACAGCAATTAGTAGTAATTCCCCCAAAAGATACAGTAATCAATTCTTCACACTTCAGTCAAACATCACACTCAGCTTTCCCTTTCCGTACATGCTTGGACAAAGTCACCTCAATTGAAGCAAGCTCGAAGTCGCGTATACATATCACTCCCGTCTCATCTCATCTCATCTCACCTCTTCTCGTATCAAGTCTCGGGTACTCTGCATATCCCCCCTCTCTCTTATCTCTTCGTCTCCTCTCTGTCTCGGGTGCGCGTATTCTGGTGGACTCTCTCCTCCTTCCTGCGGAGATAGAAAGAGCCCCTATGCTGGTGCGGGGTTGTATGAATGTGCGTGAGTCGTCGCTCATGTAATGCAGGGTCCATGAAATCGTAAAGACGTGCCGTGCGGTACCGTGCCGAAGGACGTACGCGTGAAGAGAAAAATCGCCGGGAAAGGGAAAGGAAATTCGTTGATCTGGTCGTTATATCTTGGTCTTAAAATCGCTGCTGGGAGGTGCAGATCTGGGTTGGTTTGGTTTGTTATGGTATGGTAGGATTTGGCTTGGTTTCCGTCTCGTAGTGTATTGTGTGTCTGTGGCGAGTCCTCTCGGTTAAGATGTCTCGGAGGACATATCGGACCAGGTTATGTCGTAAAGATGATGTTGGCTGCTGGTGGAAAGAGGCTTCGTTTCGAATCTGGGGCTCCACGCGTGTGACAAGAGTGCTCGGAATCGGTCGGACTTTGCTTGGTTGGTCTGGGTCCTGCCCACTTGTGCCGCCCCCCAACTGAATGCGTCAAAGAAGACTTCGTGACACAGTGTATCGATCTCCTTCCGGTCGCATCCCTTCCTTGCATGGCTACGTCTCCCACGGCAGCTCATCCTCCTCGCATCTCACGCAGGTCAGATACCCCAACCCACCACCTCCGCCATCAGCGAGGCTCCTCAGATCCAGCTCCAGACAGTTTCTGATTAGCGGCTTGACCATATCCCTTGCAACGTTCTTGATCTCGTCCACCTTGCGTTCGAACCGGCGGAAGTTGTCGCGGGTGTACAGAGACTGACTGGAGGAAGGTGGAATAAGCTTGAGGAAGCGCTTGAGCTCGTCGTGGGGCAGGAAGATGTCCGGGTTAGTGGAGGCGATGAGGCGGAAGATACGACCCGTGGCTATGGCGCTGGACTGATGCGTGTGGACGAGGGGAGGTGGATGAGGCTGATAGGGTGGCGGAGGTGGCATGTTGCGTTCTACGCTGGGGCGAGGGACCGGCAGACGGGCAGGCGCCGCGTTGCTATTCCCGCTACCTGGACGGGAGTTGGCGGGGTTCTTCAGGATGCCCCGGACTTCGGGCGTGGTGTTTTCGGCGAGCCATTGCCGCCACAGCGACATTGCTAGCCAGCCGAGATAGTCGTTCGCCGGGTTGACTCTTTCGCCGCGGCTGGTCGTTAGTGTTAACCTAAATAGTTTCATCTCGATGCGTTGTTTTAATTCTTCCAGCTCATCGACCTTGTCCTCAATGAGGTCGATGACGGACTGCGGAACTTCGTAGCCTCCGCCGGAATGGTCGGGTGGTTTGATGTAGGGAAGGGCGGCGGGCCATTGGCCCACGACGTGTGTCAGTGCTTCTGAAAAGATGATTCGACTTCGGGCAAGATAGCCAAGTTTGAGATATGATGGCGGGTACTTGGCAATTTGCTTGAACAAGCGGGATGAAAACCGCAGTAAATGGTGGTCGATTCGAGGGCCCACCACGGGCAGAGCGTCGTACATGTCTGCCAGAGACAGAAGCGCTTTGCATTCCGAATAGGCTGAAGCAATATTCGTCGAGTTCAGGACGGGTGGGTAGTTGTAGAAGATGCGGAAAAGGTTGTCGTAGTCTCTAAGCAGTGGGTTCGTGAGAGACGGGTCTGGTGCCGTCACGGCCAATTCGGCTGAAGACTGTGACGCCGGTCCACGGTGGGAGAGGGCCAGATTAGCCATGGAGCGGAAAAAGGACGATGAATGCGCCCGCTCTGTTCTTGGACGATCCGGCTGTGGCGGAGCTGGTGCTGGTGCGAACGAGTTGTTTTCCGGCGTCTTCTGGATAAGGATGGGCTCCTCGTCCTCTTCCAGGTTCTCCCAGTCCAACTCGAACCTCCATCTTTGCCTTTGTGGTGCAGAGGGGTGTGCCGGTGGCTGTGGGCCAACAGCAGAAGGACCGGCCGTGGAACTGACCTGCGACGACTCTTCCCCAATGACACTCAATGCCTGGCCAGCTCTCGACGGGGCGGCATCGGTCGGACGGCTCTGCGACCGAGCTCTTGTGGTCTCCTCGGCAAAGAAGCCTGCGAACTGGGCCAAAGTAAAGCTGTGCAGGAGATATCTCTTCTCTTGTCCATCGCAGGCAATCACGATCTCCACATCACCAGTGTGTGAGAAGAATGGGAATTCGTTCTGCGGCACGTGGGACGTCCCTCCATAGTGCGATCGTCCCCGCTGGTGATTGTGTCTTGAGCGAGTGGTTCTCGAGACGATGGAGGGAGCGCCTCGAGACTGGGAGACGGAGCGAGAGCGAGGTTGATGATGATCTGCGACTTCGGCGCGTGAAACCATCGGGACGGATGTTTGCTGGTGGGATGGTGCAGGCTGTTGATTCATGTGATCTCATCCACTCTCGCACGCTCGAAAGCTCTTTGCGCGCGAGCTGCATTCATCAACGCAGTGCGTGTAAGCAGTCGGGTGCCCGGTCGACCTCCTCCTCCTCCCTTGTGCGCCTGATTGTTTCTCCAGGCTGCCTGCCGTTCTTTGTGCATACACGTCGGGCGTTGTGACTGAAGGCGCCGGCAGTGAGCCCGCCGGAAGAATGCTGCGATTCGAACTGATCGACGCTCTCACGTGGGTTGCGCGATGCTTTCCGTCCTGCGTGGCGGACCCGGTCACCAGGTCAGGCGACGCTTTCGGCTGTGGTGTCTCCCAAGCGCCATACTGCGGAGGCGCAGGGAACGTCGCTCTGGATGAGGCTGCCGTGGGACACGAAGGGTGGCGATGGAGGTGCAGAGCGACAGCCCGAACAGGCGTAGCTTCAGCTGCAGGTCCAGGCGAGTTTGGCGCCTGCTGGCCAGTGGTAGACGAAGCTGGACCAAGGCACAAGCACCACCAGGCCATGGTCGCATTTTCATTTGTGGCAGGTCGAGGCGCTAATTAACATGTCAGCTCGACAAAGGCCAACGAAAAGATTGCAGAGGCGAGCGTCTGTTTGACTTGCCAGTCTCCATTCGAGCTCGGTTGTGGCAGCGACTGTTTAACAAGTCTGACACTCGTCGACAGGTCACAGAGCCAGCGCCGGAGATGTGTACACCCCGTCTACATCTACTGTACCACATGCTACCTTCGACGACCCCAAGAGCCAACTGTCGATGCTCTTTTTTCCCTTTTCCAGATCGCCATGCTGTTCACATCCTCAAGACCAATGCTATGCTAGTAAATTTCTGTGCAATGAAGCGAACGACCAACCACGGTGCCACGGCCCTGTTCTCCCTCGCGGCCCGTCTAGAAGACTGCGGTCAGTCCACTCTTCGACTGCCGCTTGCTGAAGCGTTTCCTCCCTTTAAGAGACTCCGCGTCGGCCGAGTGCTGCTTGTGCAGTATTCCACGTCCCGAATGTGACTGATTCGCTGAATGGGGACTCAAGTCGATGGGCTGATCGATGGTGCTGGCATGACTCGACAGTGCTGAAGACGAGATATTCAGTGAGTCGTTAATAGAGTAGTTGTTGTTCTGCTGCATCGCGTACTCTTTGGCTCGTCCCAACACGTCAAGCCACTCGTGTGCTGCTTTGGCTGTCGCCATCGGGTCGTTTGACGGAGGCTTCACGTCCTCGAAGACATAGTGGCGGTCCTTCTGCTCATCTTGTCAGTACTGTATTTGACCTCGACATCACACTAAAACTCACAGTGTCAACTATCCACTGAGTCACTCCCGTCGCATCGGTCGCGCTTGAATACTCGGTCCCAGGCGAGAGCAAAGAAATTTCCGATTTGGACTTCTTTTCCTCTCCACCCGCAGCAGCAATTATGATTCTCGCACTCGAGGTCACCATCACCAGCCTCTGCCGTTTCTTGGTATTACTGCCTCCAAACCACTTCGACAACTTGCCGCCACCCTCATGGTTGTGAGGACTGTGGGGATTTGGAGAAGAGATTACGCAGAGATTGCCTAGTTTGAGGATTCTCTCATTGTTGCGGGTAAGAACGGGAGACCATTCGATGTCTAGTTGACTGGGTGGCGGGAGTTCTGTGATCACCCTTGGTTGCGGCCGCTGATTGCTGGGAGGGAGCATGGTTGAATGAGTGCTGTGACCAGGACCAATGTCAGGTGGAAAGCTGTCTTGGGCACTGCTTCCGTTAAGCTTGATCGGTGGCTGTGTGGGGGGCATAAACGATTTTAATCGTGGTGCCTTCTGCTCCCAGAGCCCCCGACCCCACTGGATGCCGGTGAAGAAGGGGTGATTTTTGGCATGTTCCAGAGATAGTCGCCTTTGCGGGTCGAGGACTAATAACCGCTCGACCAGATCTCGGGCGACTTCTGGGAACCCTCGGGGAAACTCATAGTCGAGACCCACAATCTTTTGGAATGTCTGATAGTCGTTGACTGCTTTGAAAGGTGGCCGACCTGCCAGAAGCTGGTATACGATGCAGCCAAATGCCCACATGTCACTTGCTTTGCATGCGTTCTTGTCGGTCAGCAGTTCCGGGCTCACGTACTCGGCGGTGCCCACAAATGAACTTGCGCGGTTCTCGGTTGAGGTGGAATCGGGTTCGAAATCGGCGCGGCCCTCACTGTTCCGCCTTTCGGGAAGGAGTTTAGCTGTTCCAAAGTCCGTGACCTTAATGTGCCTGTTCCCGTCCAGCAGGAGGTTCTCCGGCTTCAGGTCGCGATGAATGACTCCCCGGCTGTGCATGTACTCGATTGTATCGAGTATCTGCGCCCCATAGAATCGCGTGCATTCCTCGTCAAAGGTGGACATGCGCTTCAGGACACCAAGCAACTCGCCGCCCTGACATAGGTCCAGCACAAAGTATAGCGACCGCTCATCTTGGAAGGTGTAATAAAGTCTCACCACGCCAGGGTGGTCCGTCAACCGATTTAGAGTGTCTTTCTCAATGTTTACGTATTTCACCTTCTTCTCTTTGATGATATGTCTCTTATCCAACACCTTGATGGCGTACTCCCTTCCGTTGCTCCGATCGGTCGCGGCGAGGACTGTACTGTAGGAGCCTTCACCGAGAGTCTGGCCAAAGTTGAAGTCCTTAACACCCTTTTTGACGGGCCTAGTGGTAACTGTGCCATCTGGCGCAACTTCTCTTCTCACGCCGACGGCAGCTCCACGATCCTGCCAGTCCTCCGCACTGGTAAGCGGCCGCTCTTCGAGGTTGTACGGCGAGCTCGACAAGGGTGTCTGTACGGACCTGGGCGTGGTAGAAAGAGGGGTGTTGCCGGTTGTAGTGCTGCCTGCAAGCGTTGGTGGCACACCCCGAGAGGTTCTTCGCGGAGGTAAAGGTCCATTGCCTGGAGTGTATTGACCTTGCCCGTAGGATCTTTCTGTGTGGTTGGCGTCTCCCGAAGGCACCCCAGCCACATCACCAAGCCCCGCCCGCTTGGAGGATGTCCGTTGAGGAAAGCCCGATGAGGCGGAACCATCACTCCGAACTCTATATGAACCTTGACGAGAGACTCCATTTGTAGCGGAGCCGTTGACCGGCACCTGGGTGTAGTAGGCTGAACCAGGACGTGAAGCGTTCGACCGAGGGTCGTGTAGGTTCTGGGGCATCATGGTAGGGTACTGAGGAAACTGCGCTTGTTGCTGGTCTTGATATGAATAGGGGATATTCTGCCGTTGGGAGATTCGGTCAGACGACACATTCCTTTGTGAATAGGTAGGCTGTGAAGGTGTGGACGCGGACTCGGAAGATGAAGCTATGGCGAGCGAAGGAAGATCTTCGGCGGCGGGCGTGGCCACGGCGCCGGAGTCCATCGGGGACACAGGGCTGTGAGAACGTTGAGACGTCGCGGAAAGATAGTCTGTCCTCCCATCTGGGTCGATCAGCGGAGATACTCGTGGGAATTGAGGTTCAGGCGGATGACTCTGCATGGGCGTGTCGGGCGATGCATCATCGGGATTCGCGATCCGCAGCGGACCAAGCGAGAGGTCAGCCATTCTCGTCGTATGTCCGACTCAGACTCGTGGGCCGGAGTGGCTTGTAGATGAGATTCCCAAGCCCAATGACGGGTCGGTGGTTTCTAGCCGGCACGTTTCAGTCACAATCGCTGTAGGATTCCTGAGGCCTTCATCGCTGCGGCATCCGTGCCAGCAGCTGTGGTTTTTCCCTCCCAGGCCGAGAGCGACGAGGTTAGGGGCGGATGTCGACTCGGTTTCAGATTGCGAATCGAGGATCCTGGGATCCGATCTCAGTCCCCGCTAGTGTTCCGGCGGCAGAGATGGTGCGATCGAAATTGTGGTAGCGAACGTGTGTATGAGGGAGTGTCGGAATGAAGGACGTGTGCGACAAGGATGGATAGAGGTTGCTAGACAGATGAGCCAAAGATGAGCCAAAGATGAGCCCAAGTTGAGCCCGGGATGAGCCTGGGATGAGCCTGAGATGGTGCTCGTCTTTGCGGTTCGAGGTTCCTCGCAGGGTCAAAGCGTCGGCAGCCAATCAGCGGCCCGTGCGTAGATTAGTTCCACGCTCTGCGTCGGTGAATCTGTCGTCGTTGGGGATTTATCGAATACATCATTCACAGTACGCAAGACAACAATACACGCCTCTCTCACAGATCTTTGTCGGCACAGCAGTTGACTGCAGATTGCGGTGGAGTTCATGTGACCGCTGGGAGGCTAAGCGGTAGGTTCACGCATCCACATGCGTAAAACGTCCAGATCCATCACGGGCCGTTAGGGGAGTTCAAGGTTGACTTCCACCTGATCCCAGTCTATGCAGTACGGAGTACGGAGAACACACCATGGAAGGTCTGCGCCTGCCGAATCATAGTCTGGTGATACCGCAGTCATGTCTATGAGCGGCGATTGGGGACCGTACGCAGCTGATCCAACCATCCATGTCAGCCTCCAGATGTCTTCTTTGAATAAGTGTTGCTATAAATGTCCAAGCACAAATGGTGGAGAGTAATGGTTTTCCTAAATTGAATGTATCGCGCCTGCCTGATGATGTTGTTGTTGTTGTTGCAATGTGAGGAAGTTACCACTGATGATGTCGCTGCAATTACAAGGAAGTCGCTGCCTGATGATGTTGTTACAACGTGAGGAAGACACGGCTGCTGGCTGAAGCTGCTCACAGCAAACACAAGCAACAATTGCGTGTCTTCTGCCTGATGGATATATGGATCTAAAACCAATCAAGTGGGGTCTCTGACTGGGAACACTACTCGTTGGCACACAGGCCCAGCATGATTCGCTTGCCTGCTACCAGCATCTCCCTCTCGGAGCGAGACATTGATTTCCACCTTCGCCAAGCAGAGCTCTACCATGGCCTCCGCAAGCAGGGTTTCAAGAAGGACGATGTTGTCCGCTACCTGAGAGACTATCGCGAAGCCGCGGCACAAACGGCAGGCCAACATACAGACGGCTTCAATCTGTCCGCCCCCAGCACTGTTGAGCTGTCCATCGGTCGTCCTCACCCATCATCCCCATCAAACGGCGATCTACCACTACCGTCCAAGCAAGGCTCGGACCATTCTTCTTCGACCGCGCCCACGAGTTCCTCATCCATCCCCTTTCCGGACTTTCCTTCCGATTTCACTGAACCCGAGTCGGAAGCCGAGCAGCTCATCAACCACAAGATCCAAAATGTCGATGATGATCGGAAAGCCTCTCCTACCCCCATGCCACCATCTCTTAACCCCAATCAGCATGCTCCTCGGCAAAGTTCTCTGCTGCGTTTCGCCCAAGCCGCTTCTCCAGAACGGCTCGCTGTTGACACCGAGGACGGAACAACCGGGCCTACTGTAGTGTTTACCCCCAAAGCCAAGAAGTACCGACGTCGGAGTACCACCCACCCGTACCAATCCTCTGAACGAGAGTCTGCGGGCGAGACATACGCATTTGGCCAGGTCTTGGACCGCATGAGCCGAATGTCGTTAGGGGAAGATGACCACAATGATAAGCTGGAGAGCTCGTCTTTCACTCTGCCACCAACATACTCGGCCAGCGTTGAGACTTCTTCAGCCTCTGATCTCCAGTTCGCAAGCCCACTGAGTGAAGATGGATCTGAGGACTCCTCAAGTGTCACTTTCGTGCGCATGCCCATTAAGCATCGTCGAAGCAGCAGTCTGCTAGGACGAGGATACTCTATTGCAGATGTCCCCAGCTCTCCTCCTCTCCCGACAACTCCTGCCAGAGAATTCACCAGACAAGCCCGCGCGTCTTCTGACTCCTCTCAATTGCCAACCACACCGACTCCCATTCGCAATGCTAGTAGTGTCCCACAGATCGAGCCAAGACCTTACAGACAACAGCTTGATGGGCACTCTTTCTCCGTGTATAACGACTCGCTTCCTGCATCAACTCAACCTGGAACACCTGCCGACCTGTCGAGACAACCATTGATCACTGAGCATGATGCGGCTTATACCGCACCTCCTGCAATGATCCGTTCAGGCCATCACGGTCATCGCGCTTGGGAGCGCGACATTGGTGAACAGAGCCCGACCGCAAGAGCTATGACATTGCGTAGCAGGAGAAACAGGGAGTTGACGCGGAGTGTCATCGCTGAAGGAGTGAGATTGAACAGGCTCATGATGAGGGATGAGGCTATGTTCACACAGCGAAGAATTCGAGCTGCCGCTGCGGCGAATGAGGACGCTGAGGTGGAGGCGTTGCCACAGATCCCCGACGACGTATGGAGGGATAATCTCGATGCGGACCGCGTTGGGGAAGAGAACTTCGACGCGGGGCTTGATGTTGGTGGAAGGCGAGTGATGAGGGCCGTCAGTGGCAATGCCAGGTTCGATACTTAAGATGGTAGGCTGGACGGACCATCTTTGACCGGCTGCATTTGCCAATGTGTTCCACTGGGAACCATCGAGGGCGACAACATTATCGTTTAGCACAGCGACCGTCACTAGTCGCACCAGATCAACAACATGAGATCAGAAGGGCACGAGATATCAATGGAGCCGTGAGTGGGCATAATAGCTTTATAGCTTACTGATTCTACACTGAAGCCGCATGTGGCTTTGTCTCTGAGTCCTGAGGACTGTGTATTCATACTGTTACTGGGTAATGGCATGATTCCCGGTCCCGTCGCCGGCCTGATCCATCATGCGCCCCCCTGAATGCTGACGCACCCATCCCATCGGTCTCCCGTACCCTGTTCATGCCGCTTTCATCCTTTCCGAGGCTGTCAGTTGCTCAAGGCTTGGTGCCTGATATCAGGTACAGCGTACGAAACGCCAGCATGACGAGAAGCCGGCCGGCCTCGCTCGCTGTGCAAGCTCAGCCGAAGCAAGCTTCCCATTCACAGTTGGCAATATGAATGCCCTGCCTTAATTTTGGTGCATCTGTCACCTCACCTCACCTCATGCGTCCACCCGTCCACCACCCGTCCCTTCCATGCGCAATTCGCCGCTTCGGCCAAAGTCCGCCTCGCCTTGCCGTGCGTGGCCTGTCTGCCCTAACAGTTCCGGTGCCAGTGCCGGTGACCGCGACCATGGTGTCCCGTCTTATCTTGTCTTGTCATTTCTTGTCTTTTCCTGCCACGTCTTTCGTCGTCATCAATCCCCATGAAAGCACGGACACGGCTCCGCTATTCGCCGCTTTGTTCGTACATGCATGGTACTGCGTAATTCCAGGAAGAGAAAGGCTACCGCTCAGTACTGAGGTAAGTAGTGAATACCGTTTCGAGCACCACTTTCCTATCTCAGCGCAACCCCCCATGCCTACACGGGACGTACTCCGTCCGGACGGCACCACTTTGACAGGAGCTTCTTGTTTCGAGACAAGACATTAACCGGCCTATCCGATATTTCGAGCGTTCCCGTCACTACGTACTCACTGGTTAGATTGGTGGGGATCTCGATTCTCGGTTCTCGATTTTGAGTTCTCGGTTCTCGAGTCTCGAGTCTCGACTCTCGAAGGCCGGAGACATTGCGCGGGCTCTGTCAAAGCGCTACACGTCTCGTCACTGCAAGTCCTGATCTAGCTTGAGGCCGGAGGTCCCGCTGCTTCAATGTATTGCGGAATGTGTCCGACGTGAATGTCTATGCTCGAGAGGACGAGGAAGATGCAATTTGCTCCCGTTTTGTACACGAAGCTGTATGAAGCGCTGCTTGGCCGAGGTGGAAGCACCCCATCATAATCTTTTCACCCTCTTCAGTCGATGTATACAGAGTATTCAGGCGAGATGCTACGTGACAACTCGCTCCTACTCTTCACGGTGGGATGGCATGGTTTGACGTCTCAACTTTATGGTTACCTAAACAGTCGTTGATGTAGTACTGGGAAGTTCAGCTATCAACTACTACGCGCCTTCCTGTTCTTCGTCTCTGTTCTTCAGCCCTGTTTCATCTTAGCGGACGATTCCTGTGGACATCAGTGACTCGACCGGTGGCTGGCTGACATGCCCCACATACCAAGTTCGGGGGATACGTGCTGCCTCTTGGGTACTCTGAATGTTAGCACCAGCAGCCTGTGCAAAATCGGGTTGCTGCGTACAGACCATTTTCTGGTTGAAGTCGCATTTTGCCAAGAGAGGAGCTCGAGCCAAAGCCTCTTTGCTGTATACTACTGTCGCTCCCAGCAAGCTTCCGGTACGTTTCCTTGCACAGGGAAAGACCCTGTACCACCAACAGTCGGAACAAGCGAAGCAAAGTTGGTGCTTCCAGTAGTTGTGCCGCTATAACGTCTAGCCAAGCCTGCCGGCTTATGTATCCGATGGTTGAACAACTGGGGGTTGCATTGGAATTGTGCTCCTGTCGCGACGTGATGATGTGCTCCGGATTCCTTCCGCGCGGAATGTCCCCACAGGTTGAGCCTGAAAGGTATAAGGATGTGCCAGCACAATCTCCGGAATACAATAGATGATGCAGATGCAGCCTGCACGACACAGCGCCAGAGCACGGACGCCGTCCTGGCTGCTCGCGGGGAGTCATGTGGAGAATGGCAGCATACCCTTCTTGGAAGCCCCTTCTCGTATATGTACGAGTGACGTGCAGTACTCCGTACTGATCCCCTGAGAGTTCCCAGATCTCATCAACCCTCATCAGATCGACGGTACATGAGATCGGAACAGGGTTGATGATGTGCATTAGCTCAATGAATGCTGCTTGCCGTTGCATGGGATTCTGCTCAAGGGTGTTTCCGATCTGCCATGCATTGGTGGTGCGGTAAGTCCCGGCGAACCGTCCCAATGAAGTGCCATACACTCGGGGGTTCTGTTGCATCAACCTTGCTCTCAAACATGTTCGTCCTCATTGCGGGCGCGTTGGCTTTCATTGGAATCTGGTTCTGTCGCCTAGATGCACAACATAAGAAGCGAAGGTAAGTCCAATTCCCTGCCGGATGAAGCTGGAAAGCTCTGCAACCTCACTGCCCCCCGTCCGGTAGCACCCATTTGCGTGCGTATAGGTGGTCGTCGTGATGCTCTGCGGGCCGAAGCATGTAATGCCCATTCCCATGATGGGCAAAATGCGAACTGTACAGTACTGCGAAAAGCAGAAGCCATACATCAGGACACCTTCCGACGCAATGGCCTCGACCATCCAGATAGCTCCAAGACGGACCTCTGGTTCGGGATTGCGACAACGCCGTCATCGTCCACGTTTCACAACCAGTTAGGCGGCTCAACCTGGAACGCACTCGCCCCAGACTCCACCGAGGGTCAGGGATGCGCCACACGTGACTGCACTTATCAGCGTATTCCAGTGAAAGACTTCTGTGGGTTTCGCTGCGACGGTGACTGCCGACGGTATGGGGGCAGATTCGTACAATGTGGTGTAGTAGAGAGCTGGAAACACCATTGACGAATATCTGGCCATCTATAGCGCTAGCATGACAAACCGATTAGTTCTCGGCTTGATGTCTGGAACATTGGACCAGAGTCTCAATCGCGAGAAGTAGACTCCTTGCGTGAATGGGGTTCTAGGTGTAGCTATTGGACGCTTGAGGGTGTCGACGTAGATGACATAGGTGTTTCGCGGTGGCAGAGGGTTTCTGGCAGGCAGAGGAAAGCACGCATCAGCATAACGGCGTCCACCATGGCTGGAAGTTTGACAATCCATCCCATCCACAGTACTGGCCGAGAAGCTCACCAAACCCGAAGCCAGACAGCTTCCGTTGGCCATGGTTACGGTAAAAGCCGATCGCTCGGCCACGTTGTTGATAGAAAAACAAGTCATTAACTGTTCCTGCGCGCAGCGCAAAAGCCACAAGGGAAGCCCCATTGAGGACTCGTGCTGCGACAGGCTGGCCACAGGATTGTGTGTACGCACAGTCGAACGCTGAGATAGAATCAAGAAACATCACTGCTCAACAAACAGGCTAATGGCCATATTTATTTGGGAGAGGAATCCAAATCCAAGGAGCAATCCCATTCAGTGCTATACATCCGGTTCTTGCTGCGTACTGGATATTGTTGTCGGCAATATGTCGTTGAGATAAGACTCACATCCGATACGAGACGGTAACCTTGCTGATCCCAAGCTCTTGGACCAGCAGCACCAAGGCGGGGTTGGTTGCAGCGGTGTTGAGCTCGCCGATTGTGACAAGTAGAGCCGTCTGAGCCAGAATGATAATCTGTCGATGATTAACAGCCGCCCTGGATGTCATCATACAGGTTATGGGACGACCGTGCACCCAAAAAGGCTTGTTCAGGGCATCTTGGAGATCTTCGGATGGCTTGGTGTCCACAAACTCGTGACCTGTAGCTTGATTTTCAATGGTTTCCTACTCTTCCACCAAGGTCACCGTAGTTTCAAACTGTCGTTGCCGGCTCTGCTATCGTGTGTACCCGGGTCGACAGGACAGCAGCATGTGTTGGCAATGACATACTGCCCAGTCACATCTGTGTACTTTCTAAGCACCCAAAACGCATGCTTTGACAACAGACAGGTTCATCAGCACCAGCACCCTTTCAGGACTGCGCTAGGGCGCCACGCCATGCATGCAGGCATGCATCGACACGCCCCTGTTGAGGGAAGTGGTCTTGAGGGACCGGTGGCAGGCTGGCGAGACCCAGTCGGCTTGAGGAGGACCATTCCGTTTCTGCAGGACAGACTTCAAAAGGGGAGGGCTAAGGAGAATGTGGGCATCGTGGGCTGGTAACGATTGGAGGTGGAAGGAATCAGGTACAGGCGTGGCGGGGATCAGTTGGAGACGAAGGCGAAGGGCTGGACTTCGACGAGCTTCCCCAACTCAGGACCCAGAAAGGCGGTAGAGTGATCAGTGATCAGTATTGTAAGTGGGCCTTCATGCCCCTGTTAGCCTGGTTAAAGTCAGAGGCATGAAAGCTAGCCACAAAGAGGTAGGTAAGCATGTGTGTGTGTGTGTCACAAAAGGATACAAAGGGGTTGAACGTGTACTCGTACCGGCCAAGCTCGAATGAAATGATATCACGCTGTTGATAGTGCAGCCGTCGCTACCTCATGTGAAGGGCGGGGATCATGCGGACTGTCCAAACTTCATGTGATATTGAATTCACTGCATGCTCACCTTGCTGGCAACACGCTGGTTGGGCGCCGAGACACAGCCTGAGGGAAAGAGAGATTGGCTCACTTTGCCCTCACTGCACCTCTTGCCTGGAGAGGGTGTGCACGTTCGCATGCTACTGTAGCTTTCTCAGCTGATACGGCAGATACACGATTCTCTAACAATCTGCCACCCAGTTTGAAACTCTCGACTCAGCAGGCTGAAAGCACAAGAGCTGAAAGCACAAGACCAGGCAGTACTTATGTACTGTACGTGGAATCTCTTGTCGGCGGTCAACGCGGCTGGCCAGTGTTTGACTAAGACTGGCACCTGACCGATCACTTTCCGGAGGCTCAGCAGATAGCTACTCGAACTGGGCAGGCTAGTCGATGCGCACCTGGACTGTACCGATGACGAGGTGCCCTGTGTACTGGGTATGCCCTGTTCAGCTGTACGACGGGGACGTTGAGAAGAGTCGCCCTCCATTTCCACGGTTTGGGGTTGAGCTGCAACATCGATTCCCGAATGTCGTCGAGGTTGACTTTTGAGGTCAAAGGAGGGTCCTCGTCGGAGATTCCCTTGCTCTGCTCAAAATGGCCGATCTTCGAAGATTCTCGTCTGGCTTCTGGTTACTCCGTAGTGCTAAGTCGCCTGAAGCAGCCCCATGGACCTGGAACAATGACACAAACGGCATAACACGGAGCATGGGCTGCTGGGCATGGAAGTGGGATTTTTCCCTTGTCGGTCAGCGGCACAGGAGCAGGGATTTCGATCCGCTGAAGTGACCTGCGGTGCACGACGTGTTGGGTCTTTCCTGCTTCGAGGGCTCGAGATGCATCAAATTGCAGGAAGACCGCCACGGAACCCTACTCCTGGACAAGGGCTAAGACTTGATGGACCGCCGCAGGTATAAGACCTTGATCGCGGCGGGTAAGTACGAAAACGCTACACCAGTATTCATGGGGTCTCCCTTCCTTTGTCAGGAACGAGCATGTTGCTGAAGCTCCATGCCTGGTAAGAAGAGATAGGAAATTTCTGTCTCAATTCTACCTAAGGCGGCTAATTTACATTGGAGCATTTGGGTCACAGCTCTTAGATTCCCTCCTGGCGTCAAAATCGGCGCCTTCAGTTGATCGAGCCACTGGACCACAGAGTTTGGTTGCGAAGAGCTGTTCGCTGTCCACGACTTCGATGTCAACAATGGCCTCCGAGAAAGAAAAAACAAGCGGGCAAAGCGGGATCCTACAGATACTTGGGAAAACTGGAGAACAGGATCTTTGATTTCACCCACTGCTCCGACTCCAGGCATTCTCGCAAGCCGACTGAGACAGACGTCATTAAGCAAGAACAACGCATCTGTCGCTTGAATCAATCACCAGGGTTTGGATACTTCGACAGTCTTTGCTTGCCACAATTGCAGATTTGGGAATAGGCACATATCTTTCGACTGAGGGCCGGGAGTCACCGCCCTTTCCGTCTGCACAATGCACTTTGACTCGAGTCTCCCTACATGCATGGAGGGGTGATCCAGGCTGTTGTGGCCTGTCGAATGACTAAGGAGAGCTGGAGCCTTGACAGCGTAGTCCCTGGATCAAGCCCGGACAATATCTTCGAGCGGATGTCGGCCGTCGCTCATTCAACAGTTTGTGTGGCTCTCCTGCTTTTGTGTGAAGGGCCCTGCCTCGGAACTGACCTTCTTGCTTAGGACCCCATGTTCGTTCGCAGACAAAGAGGTCACAGCCTCACAGGTGCTCCCGTGAGGGAACGACTCTGCAAACGACGCGACGGGCAAGATGCACTAGGGCACACCTCTTGCAGCCTGGTTGCATCGAATGCGTCGAGCGCACCAAATTTAGAGACAATCCTCCGTCTACGCAATCGACCTCGATTCGGTGCCTTCTCCACGCAAAGACGGTTCGGCGCGTCTGTCAACTCCTAGACTCTTCTGGGATTGTGGAGCATTCGGAGGGTGCAATGAGATAATGCAGCAGCAAACAAGCTCGAACCTTGGATGATGTCGTCGAAGGGTCCTGTGAGGGCCAAGGGTAGGTATTTTTAGTGTCGGATATCAGCGCCGTCACTGGAATCTCCTCCTGCGGATTAGTCATGCCAGTGCTTGAAATGAAGAACCGATGCTGCTTGGGCTGCAGATTTTGGCTGATAGTTCTGCCCGCGGCCTGAAAGAGACTGCGGTCGACGGAACGATAGAACGAAACTGGATGTTCCTGTTGTGGTGCAGTTGACGACTCAATCTCCGAATGTGCTAGTCAGAGCTGGTAGGCCCGAACGCCGACCGGGGTTCTCCAAGGCATGGACCGATCTGATGGGGAACACGCGTGTCGGACCTCTTTACCGCATCGATCATGGCCCTGAATGGCAGATGTCGCAGCTCAATCGTTGGTACGTTAGCCCCCTGATGGCAGCACGAAGGTGGAACATCAGATATCTGGGTCTCATGGACATGGAACAAGCCGGAGGCACATAGTGCTTATATTGAAGAGAGTGCTGACCGATGCTATACTTTGGGTATAGGGAAAATCTCGATTGGCTCGCGCGCCGTATTCGTTCCAGCGCAAGGAAAGTAGTTTAGAGGATCGCCATGCGGTTCCGCAAGGACGTGAAGCGGCGTCAAAAGAACCGGTAGCGAATATTCCAAGTGTGTCATCGAAGCAGATGTGGACAAGCCCAAATGGAACTCCAAGCGATTCCATGCAGGACGCATGCAGGGGTTCCATTGGAACGAGGGGTGCAGCTACGGGAATGCATGGAGACTTCCAATGAATACCAACGAATACCTAATACCCAGGACGCTGAGCATAAGGCTAGGTATACGATGGTGTGAGAGGTCGAGGGATTGGGTTTCCGTCGGTTGAAGGTCATATCGACTAACCTAAAGCGTATTTTTGCTCTGCCGACTGACCGACTGTCCGTGGTGTGAAGGCCATCAAAACAACCGGTGAAAGTTCGGTAGGTGAGTTAAGATGACAATGCGATGCGCAAGGAATTGTCTACAGGGTCCGAAATACAACATTTGAACTCAGAGACGGTGACGGTGATAACGACAGCGTGTGCTCTTAGTTATGATGAGTTGTAGTACGGAGTATGCTTGGTGAATGCCGGCGAGCCTACTACTGTACTCAGGCATACAGTAGAGACATGCCGCCGCTGTTGCTCCCGATACCCCGTCCGGCCAAGGCCGTGCAAGGCGACCAGGCAGTAGCGATCTTGATGCCGGCTGCTGCCTGATTGGGCGAAAGCCTGCTGGCCAGTCACGCACCACCTGCCCCTTCGCGATCTAGTCGCTGCCAGAGTGCGCTAGACATCGGTTCTCGGTAAGCAGCGTGTCCAAGTGAGCGCGCTGCTATATGCACTCGTCCGTCATAGCCTATAACCTACCGTCCACCTCATACCGCCTACCAGTTGGAGTCTCTTATTTCCCACCGCTCCTCGTTCTCGAACTGTCTGTTATGGCCTCTCATAGCTTCTCGTTGCGTCTTGCTCCAGATATCCAAGATAGGTAGATTAATTAGTATGGGTTGGCAGGTCGACCTGCTCAAGTGCTTGCGCGCTCTCGCGCTCTGATTCGAAGCGACGCCTTGCCACTAATGCACATAATGTCATGGCAGCCGGTCTTTCCCCTGTTCTAGCGGCAATAGTCCTGGTTATCCCCGTGAGTAAGCCCGCTCTGGTACCGCTCGATCTTACAGCAGCGTGGTCGATACCGTGATCCGGATTTTCTCGAAATCGTCCTTTTACTGCTGGTGCACGCTTGCGAGACGGCTCACCCTTCGATCTGATCCTGATCGACCAAAGTCCTCCGTTGGGCTGCCCTGGTCAGAGACTTGCGTACTGTTTGTGGCGTAGACTCTGCCAGTTATTACCCAAGCATCTTCTGCCCTCTCGTGCTCGAGCACTGGAGACGTCGTCATCCCACCACCAGCTCGAAGTCAGACTAAGGTGCCCCCTTGTTAATCTTAGTGTTCTCGAGACGTGGCATACGAGGTCTGCCATTCCAGAAAGGAAGTAACTCAGTCTTTGATGGGTTCTTTCCTTTCCCAGTCGTGTCCCGTCTGGTCCATGCTGGCGCCAACTGCTCATCCGTGATCCCACTGCGGAGACCCCTGCTATCCACGCAGCTTTTGCATGGAGCCCGTCAATCGCCTTCGCATGACGCTAGAACCAGGTATGCGTGCGTCCCAACCGCGTGCAGTCTGAGAAAATTACCCTGCTATACCTCGTCGACCTGACTGTGGCAGGGGTGGCACATCGCTGACATACTAGTCCTGCTCTCCAACTCGGATCGTCTCGTGAGGAGAAATCCATTCATAGTCGGCTCACTGCCCTACGAGGCTCTGGCCATGACTTCAACTCGACTCGCGATCACGACTCTCGATACAGCCTGTGAAGGAACGACCTTCGTCTCCCTCGAAAATGCCCGCCGAAGTCCAAGAGAAGCCCAAATCCAAACATCGCAAATCGACGTGTGCTGGTTGTCGCAGACGAAAGGTACCGACTGACCCCGCTGTCTTGATGGGTCGCGAGATCGTGGTCCATCGAGGGTCCGTGCACACAGTGGCTAATGAGGCGACAGTCAAAATGCGATGGCAAGACCCCCAAATGCACTACGTAGGTATGCCCTGTATCACCGGGAAGAGAACCACAGCTTAAGCGCTCTGCAGGTGCATGGCGTACAAAGACGACTGTCACTACGATAAACCACCGTCGCTGGCCTACGTGCGATCTTTAGAGGAAGAGATCCAGGAGCTGAAGTCGCAACTGCGCCAGGCCAAGACCCAAGTTTGGCTCTCAAAGGTATGCAAGGCTTCGTCCTGTGCCGCCAAGCGTTGCTCATGACTCGGCAGGCCGTCTCGCACGATGAAAAGAAACCACCGTCAGCATCACCAGCTAGCGAAACGGCAGCTTCGCAGAGTTCGAGCCAAGCTCTTGCATATCGGAATCGCCATTTGAAATGGGAAGCCGACATCAGTGTGGACGACAGCGGAGGTGTAACATTCCACAATTCAACTTCGCCCATTCATGAATTTCCTTCAAGTCAACGACATCAGCCGCCCATAACTGCGCATCTTGACTATTTCGTCAACGCCCAGGAGGATCAGCGTGTCAAGCGCGACCTCGTCTTGAACGCCACCCACCAAAGGCAGATTGAGCCTTTCGCAATAGCAAACGGCGCTGCAAAGGCAAATGTTCCAAAAGAGATCTCCCATGAATTACTAAAGTACCATTGGTGTTGGCTGCACCCTCTGTTCTTGTTTGTGTACAGGCCTGCATTCACTAGAGGCATGGCCATGGTCGATTTGAATACCCCTGGAGCGCAGGACCCGCCCTACTTTTCCGAGACTTTACTGAAGGTTAGCGCATACCGAGACAGAAGATCGCATAGGGCTCACTAACCACGCAATTCCTAGGTGATGCATGCGCACAGCTCAAGATTTCTGAACCACGACGTATACCAGGATCAATATCAAAGTGTTTTGAGCCAACACAGCCCTATGGGGAGCTCGATGAACCCGGGCGAGTTTATGCAAAAGATGACGGGTGAGGCACGATTTGGGCTCGGCATGGACATCTTGCGGAACAGTTCGATTCCCACAATCCAAGCCCTTCTGCAACAGTCTGCCCGCGAGGTTGTCTTTGGACGATCCTCACAAGCATGGACGTTCTCGGGAATCGCGTTCCGTATGGCATTAGACTTGGGAATCCACCTGCCCAGCGACAAGCTGCAGGCTTTCGTGAAAAGCCTCACGCCGGAAGACATCGAGATCCGCAAACGCCTGTTCTGGAGCTGCTATACTTGGGACAAAATGCTTTCTCTCTATCTGGGGCGAATGCCTGGGTTCACTCCCGCCACCGAAGAAGTTCCGCTGACGTTCATGGACGACTACAGCGACAGCGACCTTTGGGCGCCTTATTACGGGGAGACACCAACCCCAGAACTTGCAAACACGCCCAATTATCCCCCCTGTCCCGGATACGTGGTTTCATGTTTCCGCCAGTTGTGCAAGCTTTGTGTGATCCTGAACGATCTGATGCAGAGCATATATTCTTCTGAAGCAGCCACCAGAAGGGAAATGGAAGAGGACGAGCACTCGGCGGAAGCCAAGGCAGCAAGCGAAGCTCCTTTTGTGCAGATTGCACGCGACCTGCGCGACTGGCTCATCTCCTTACCGCCGCACCTAAGAATCAATGCGGACCAAATGCCATCTCTGGCCCCACCAGTTCACATCATGTCTCTCAACCTGCTCTACCACACGACCGTTATCCTGCTGCACCGGCCGGTGGTTCTGGGAGCACGCGACATGACCGCTCCCGGACCAGCACGATCGTGGCAGACGTGTATCCAGGCAACAAGCGCCATCCATGATCTCGTCGTGTTACAGGCCAATACATTCGGGCTCACCCACATTTCCTACCTGAACGCTTACAGCGTCTACATCGCGTCCACAATCGCCGTCTTGCGGTTCGAAAGGGATTATCAACCGGGCGAAGACCCGGCAATGGCGGCCCAAAAGAACGGACTAACTTTCCTCTTGGAGGTGCTCCAGAAAACAGCCAACATCATGCCAGCGTTAGAGCGCAGCAACGCCATCATCCGTAAGAGAATGAAAGCCGTCCTGGACTGCCAGAAAGCCCAGCGAGGCGGGCTCCGACGGAGCTACTCGCCCACGCCACCGAACGTCAAATTCAGCATCCCCACGCCAACCAGCCAGCAAATGGACCTTGCTCAGCCGACCGCGATCCAGGCTCTGTCGAACTCATCCCTAGCCCACGCATACACCCAGCCCGATACACCAGGCTCGTTCGTCGCGCCCATGCAGTGGCGGTCAGGCATGCGCAGCAGCCTATACTCGGAACCGACGGCTCACGGCTCGACGGAAGACTTTCTCCCAGCGTTTCCTGGCCAGCGGATCCCCGTCGGCGGATCGGAGCACAGTTTCGGGAGCGCAGAAGTCGATCCGCACGTGAGGACAGCCTTGCTGGGATACAACCTCGACCCGCACCCAAGACTGAACTCAGGAGACATTGATTGGAACTTCTTGGAGAACGCATTCGGGAACGAGGGCCAGACCGTGCACATGTGACTAGCCGGCCAAGCGCTGCAGGTTCAGGATGGCCACTTCTTGACCACAGCGGAAATCTGGACCCCACCGTGTGCGGACTGAATGGAACACTGATATTTGAGTTTGGTGGATACGTCGCGCCCACCGATTGTACAGCATTAGCACTTTGGGCGTTGTGACTCGGCGGCCTTTTGATTCGGGAATAGGGAGCACAACTGACTGGGTCATTTTACTGGGCAAAAGCGCAAGCGAGAACAAAGATTGCATTTTACATTTACATTTTGTGACTCTGGGAGGGAGTGAGGTGGGTGATTCGACAGGGAAGCCATATCCACTGGCTTGATCTGGATTTGCACTGGGCCATGGCTCTGTATGGTTGTGGTTTCGCCACCAAAGCTTTCGTTTGCCATTTCTTGATGAGGCTGGTAACCCAGCAACGAGCATGCCTGGACGATGTGATACATGAGCCCAATGGACAGTATATACTTGTTTACATACTTACATACACGCTATAGACGGGGCGGCGATGGTTGGACATTCCTGAGGAAATATCCTGCCGGCAAGTAACAGAATTCGAGCGAGAAAATACTTAGGATGTACGAACACATCCAATGATTCTAGGCCAGCGAACTGTGCTCATCGAAGTCCATCAGATTGTGGAGCCTCGTACGCGGGGTGGAACGGGATGGTATCACCAGTATCATCATGGGATGAAGCGGGCCACGCACTGAATGCTGCTTCCGACCTAGCTAGACATTAGATGGTGATTGTTACTTCTCAGCACTACCGTATCTCGATGCAGATGTGCTGTGTACGGGACCGCACCACAAGCCAGACTCAACTCCAAAGCATGCGGCTCGGGATGATCAAGCGAGGTGTGCGACTCTTCCAGATCGCGAGGGTCACATTGTCCATATTTAGACTTTGATAACCCCCCGGGTCATTGGATCGCCTGTCTATCTGCAACAGTACTCGTAAGGACATACGTACGTAGCTCGGTATTTAGCACCTACCTATCCTAGTGGGATAGGGAAATAAGAGTGGGGTCAATCGGGAAAGGACGATCAGCACTGGCGGATGGGTGCGTGGCGGCGTGCGTGCGTGCGTGCGTGCGTGCTTGTGGTGCCGGGTGGGAACGGATTCAGCCTTGCTTTCGACTCTCCTGTGTTCTTTACATAGTATCCAGTACGAGGCTGATCTGAGGAGGGGTGAGTTATAGGTACGTATGCAAGAACCCAGCAGGGGTGTAGAGGACGCACGCAGGAGGAAGGAGCAAGGAGCAAGGATTCCGCAGGAAGGCTGGGCTGCGGGATGATACTCTGCCAGTCGTACTGTATGTTCTGTCCGAAACGGAGGTAGGGTGTACGAGTGGGCGATCGTAGGACCGAAAGTGAGATTGGACACGTACGTACAGTATCTGAACTGTGTACTGTGGACTACGAATAGGGCGGCGCTTGCATAGAGGTGGCCAATCGGGCATAACCACCATGGCAGACGTACACTCACTGTAGACTGTCGTCATTCGCTAGTGTGTACAACAGAGTGCTATGCAGCAACATGGCTGACGCCATGTTGAATGACCTCTGGCTCACGGGTCGCGGAAAACCACTCCACTGGGACTTGGTTGAGAAAGGGCAAAGGTCGCGTTGGTGTGTATGGAATGCCTCGACTGATGAAGAAGCATGCTGTCTATCCTCAGCCACCGATATGTGTGCGTCTCGACCGCCCATCCCAGAGTGGTGGTCACATGTAGAGTTGACATGCATCTCTTGTGCGGCCGAGTGCATGTGCAAAGCCATAGCGTTGGATATCGTCACAGTAAAGACGGTTCCTGCCGGTGCAGTAGTAGTCGAGACTGAAAGGGCTGCTGGGATTACCAGAAGCCTCTCCATGGCACTGTGATACGTGGACCATCGTAGGTGGCGCGGTGTTCGCCCGACCTGACTGAGGAGGACTAGGGTCCCTTACAGCAGGAAGAGAATGTCGAAAGCAAAGGAGGCCGCAGTGGAAAAGAGCAGTGGTCAGGAAAAGGGGTCTTTGTTGCTGCGTACCACCCATTTCAGCCTTGCCGATCGCGAAGATGACGACTTCGGCCCATCAGCACGAAAGGGAATCGACCCGAGGATGCGGCTGACGGCATCTATATTTGGTTCAGATACCAAGTGATACGACGAAGCTCTCTTCTTGAGCTCATGTGCCCGGGCTACAAGGGTGTCGATATACAAGACGTCAAACACGGGGCCTTTGTTCAAGGATTGCAGAGCCAGGCGGTGGGGTGACCACGGCCACCTTGTGCGATGTCGTAAGACAGCAGTGCTTGCAAAAGGATGCCATGCACATGCCGAATGGGGGATAGGGTACGACGAACATCCCGAAGGTTGACAATGGGGAATGGAGTCTCCCGGGGAATATGGTAGAAGGGGCAGGTGTGATCAAGCTTTCGGTCAAGACTTGAGGAAGGTCGGTTATTTTTATCCCTGGTGGATCATCGGGCGTGAGATGAAGCGGGAGATTCCATGAATGGAGAGTAATGCCGGGGCAATCCATGTCATCCTGCCTCTGGCACTAGGGTGCAGGAAGGGAAGAACGCCTGACAGGGTAAACGTTTGAGGCCGGGAGGCGCAACGGCGGGGCCTTTGATCGTGGACATGGCAGCAACAGGACGTTCTGTAACAATGGCAGGGATAGTAAGGTACCTATGTTAGATGCCAGCCTTGACTTCTGGGTGACATGACGTGAAAATGGCACCGAGAAAACCAAAGATCTAGTCTTTTATCGGTACCGTGGCTTGGGGGGAGTTAGAGGGGGGACTTAGAGACTCTCTGAAGCTCGGCGTGAAGAGATACAATGCCACCCGTCAGGCGCGTAAGACACTCTGGTCCTCGACCCACGATTGCTCTCATTCCTTGAAAGGCCCAGGTCTTCGAGGCTCAAACGCTGTCTTTCCTCCTCAACTGCTCATCTAGATCAGTTGACCAGGTCAGGTCTTTTCATGCCTCCAAGCCTTTCACTGTGTCCTCGCATACGGAATTAATTATTCCGATATGAGACCATCTCCAGCATAAACCTCATTAGTATCTCTCGGTCGGACTCAACCGGGAAGGGCATCAACAATGACTACAACAATGACTTTGAATCCCTTGTTGATGTCGCGCGGTTGCTCGTTGGCGGTCTGCTCCATCGACTGCTCATCCTTCCGGATAGCGGCAGCTTCATAGTCCGGAATCATATCTTGACTCTTTAGCACGCTTGAAGGGTTAAGAAAGTTGGACCGGAAATAGCAAGGCTCGATCTTGCAGAATTCGAAGCTGAAGTCCGCCAACTCGTAGTACAGTCTTGCTGAAGGCCAGTCACTTCCCGCTTTGATGCGCAGTGGAGACCGACACCGGGGGGTCTCATCCAAGAAACAAACGCTAGAGAAGTTGGGAACAACACTTGCACGTCGTGCTCGCACATGTTGGGCAATTGCGCGGGTCGTCTTCAACAGCCCGAAGACGTTTGTAGTGAATTGTGCCTGAGTGGCCACCGACCTTGTAAGGCCTTTATAGGCACTGACAGTATAGTGACCAGTGGGAACCTACATCAATTTTGCCAGGCCACCGTACTGTTTGTAGCCAGCATATTTTATCAGGTAGTCAACTCTTCCATAGATGGTGTTTGCTTCTGCTACGGCATTCTTCAGCTGGGACAGTGGGTGCAGTGAACTAACACTCAATAAGGGTTGTACCGGCACCCTTGAGAGCTTCAAGCTTGCTGGGGATTGCGAGTCGCGGCGATGACCCTATCACCTCGTTTCAGAGCGAGGAGTGCAAGCTCGCGTCCAAAACCAGATCAGCAGCTCGTGATAAGCCATACTTTTTGGGAAGGCCACGAAACTCGGATATATTTCGATCACGGATGGCAACGAGATGGTACATATGACAAAAGCTAGATAGAGTCCTTGAGCATAATCTGGAGTCGAATGGTAGAAAGGTCCTTTGGGGGATGAGAGGGTTGGGCTTGATCACGTCCTACCTTAGAGTTTCGAGCTGAGGGCCTTGCCATATCTAGGCGGCCCTCATGTTAGCATGTTTGCATGGAGATAGCATTGTTGGAGTGGCAAGTCGATCCATGGGAGAAACGACGGTGACTTCTTACATTCCACAGCGAAGGGCGCAGCTCGGCTGGCTGCCTGGATCACAAGGAGTGGTTTCAGAGAGGTTGTATCGGTTGTACAGACCATGTCGGCGACGATAGAGGACGCAGATCGGTCTGGGAGGTCATCTTCTTCTAGCACCTGAGTCAGATCAGCATAATACGAAGTAGAGAACGTGCCATTGCGGCCGCTTTGCCCGCACTCTGCCAAATGACTAAGGAAGTCAATGGGCGCATGACTGCTTCGTCCGATACATATGTACCTAGATGATTCTGACAGGTGGCACAGAGTTCTCGAGACTGGCAGGCCCGCATCAGCGCATATCCTCTAAGTTATTGCTTTTGCTTGATATCTCCTGTCACCGATGAATGTAGTGCAGGAGCCGTTGTGGGAGATGAGGAGTCTAGCAATGGGGGAAGATCTTGAAACGTGGCTACCGGACAGACCGAGCCAAGACAGGGTCGGGTAAATGATATGATTTGCAAACTCAGGATTGAGTTGTCCTTAAACACCGTGTGGTCGCTTTTCTCAGCCCGTCTTATTGAGATGCAACATGAAGACTACGACGGATGATTGACTGCTTGAGCTTGGCAAGTCCTACCATGGATCCGGGACCCAAGTTCAAGCGACAGCATTGCAAAGGCATAGAGAATTGAAGGCGCCGCGAAGACGGAGTGTAGGTATTCTGTGGCTAGGCGGGGACTCCGCGCTTCGTTGCCTACACAACTTTTTGGTCTTTTATGTCTCTCGCGGCTATACGCCGCCGACGAAGCCACCCGCGAGGGAAGCTCATAACTAATCCTCGTCGTCAAGATCCTCAGTCTCAGCCGTGGCGGCAGCGGTCTTGGACTCAGAGCCCGAAATGACCTTTGTTTTGACATTGGGTTCATCCTCTTCCCCCTCCTGCTCGTCATCATCATCTTCTTCCACATCTTCGGCCTCCTCCTCTTCGAGCTCTTCGCCGTTGTCTTCGGCCTGCTTGGTCTTCTTCGTCGCAGGCTCTGCGTCATCTTCAGGGGCTTTGCGTTTCAACTTCGGAGGGGCTGTGCCACTGCATGTTAGCGGGTGCCTCATCAGATTGTTGCGGGTCATTGGGGACGCATCTTACCTTCGGCGGCTGGCTCCTCGTCATCCTCAGCTTCAACCTCCTCTTCTTCTTCATCGTCTTCGTCGCCTTCCTCGTCCTGCGCATCGTGTCAGCATGCTTGTATTGACGAGACAAACTAGGCTGATCAAGAAGCCATGGACCACGAATGAACAGGGAAACTCACATCTTCGTCCTCGTCCGAAATGTATTCCCTGATAAGGCTGTCAGTAAAGAAGATCAGGTGAAGGGACTTCAATAAAGCTTCGAGGCCACGCGGCAGTAAGTGAGCAGGTGTATCACAGCGTGGGTCTGGCCAGAAGGAGCACCGGTCTGCGATTTGAGATGCGCGCAGACCAGGCGCTGACAGGGACCTAATGGCTGGGGAAGTACAGGGAACCGTGCTGTGCGCGCTCTTCCGATCCCAGGCAGGCAACAAGAACTTGCAAGAGAATGGACGGGCCTGGACACTCACTCTTCTTCCTCGTCGTCTTCGGGCAAGCTCTGCAGCTCTTCTTCCTCTTCGTCTTCCTCTTCGTCACGACGTCTTCTGGGCGGTGCCATTGTATTGAGGGTAGGTCAAGTGGTTGGGTATGTGTAGATCAACGCTAGCTTGATGGGAACGTGGAACGAGTACAAGAGACAAATCGAAGTAGAGATGGACGGCTTGAGGAAACAAAAGGAGAGAGGATGTCGCAAGGACTGTATTCGAGGTAGGGGGAAGCGGCAGACGGCTGAGGTTGGGAGGCTTGGGGAGCTGCTGGCCAAACGTCAGAGCTGGGGCTCAGAATCAGGGCCCAGGTCTAAGCTAGTAAGCAACTCAGGGGGAGGAAATAGAATCGGAACAGCAGCCTGAGAGGCGGAATGAGGCGTTCAGGGCAGGACGGGTAGAAAATAGGGTGCCGAAATGCATCATGATGCAGGAAGACTTGGACCATCAATTGACAGACCCCTTGACTAGAGGCTTGAGAGCGAGCTCCTCTACCTAGGTAGAAGGGCTGGTGGAGAGGCGCATGCTCAGCAGCAGAGGCGAGTGCGAGATGGCTGGACTGACTGGGTGAGGGGCAACTCAGCAGCTTAGCAGTGCGGGTGTCGTGACTGAGGAAAGCGAGGCGCCAGAGCGCGGAGGAAACGAGCAAGGCGAGGTTGGGACAGCTCACAGCTCCTTCCAAGCTCACTGCGACGATCTGTCATGCTTCAACCGCACGCTCTGACTTGCCAGGAAGCTCGACAGCTTAGCCGAAGTTGCTGCTGGCGAATCCACAAGCCCCAGCCTCTGAGAGCGCACAATGACACCAAGCCAGCTGGGATCATTCCCCAAGATGTGTCGGAAGAATGAAAAATCCGATGCCGAGGAGACTGCCGGGCGAGGCAAGGGGCCGTGGCACCATCCTCAGCTGGGAGTCAGGCCATCATCATTTTTCTGTCGCTTTCAAGCAGGTGTCGAGTCTACAGCATCAATGTTTCTCTCCTTTGCTCACCTCCTGGCCAACCGCGAGCGCCGCCTGCGTGTAATTTGGGAAATGTAACGGGATTTATTTCCGCTTCGACTGAGAAAGGGTTTCCTCCTGGACAACCGAATACCTTTCAGCGCGCATTCAAAGTACTTGGCGCCGGCGATCTGCCCACCGTGTTTGATTTCCGGAGCATAGGGAGTACATTAGACAGTACACATCTGAGAGCGCCGACCGCCGCCGGGTCACTTGTCTCTCTGCTGACCAACCTACTCCTGTCTCCCAGTCTGCCCCTTGAATCTACCAACTGCACAATGGGGCTTCCACGGCAGTTTCTGTGAGACAACTCCGACATCAGCATCCCCCAAAATCAGCCGCCTGCCTTGGAAAGGTGACACTGTACGACCACTCGGGGAATTTCTGCTGTACCTGTGTGCGCCCGCCGGCGTCGATCATCAGTTGCCCATCACGTTTGCTGAGCCCACAAACACGACAAGCACCGCTGCGAATGCTGTTGTGGACATGAAGACGTCAGCCCGCCTCTGAGCAATTATATTCATCAGAAAGGAGAAGACCAGGCTCATCATGCTGATGGCAACCAGCCGAGCCCCCATACTCTTGACGCTGAAAAGCACCAGAATGGACGAGGCCGGTATGACGGCTGACAACAGCATGCATATGGCGTTCCCAGCGTGCACCAAAGTCTCCGGGCGGTACTCCCATGTCCGCTCGAACGCCTTTTCTGCCATTGACCGGTGAAGTCTGTAGCCTACGAAGCGGTGGTAAAACGGCACAACCTTCTCGCTGAGGAAGTTGGCTAGTGCGTCTTTGCTTCCGATATTATCGCCCAGAGTCAACATGTCTGCCTCGATGCTCGAGTCGCGGAATATGCCAGCTTCCACGCCATACAAAAACTGATCACCACCACTTTCTTCGTCGTACCATTGCCTGCGAAGCTCGAGGTTTTCTTTCGGGGGCCGATGCAGCGAGTTGATTCTTGCTGTCCGCAACAGTGCTCGATCTACTCCACTATCAGTCAATCATGTCTGGCCACTACTTATGAGACAATGTCTCCTACAATATTGGTCCAGCAGGGTCCTTGACCGCTCAAAAATCCGGCGGATGTCATCCTCGGACATGTTTTCGGGACTGTCAATCCAGATCCGATCGAAGCTGTTCAACTCTGGAATAGCCCTGACTTCATGGATCACCGTTTCCAGATGCTGTAGTTCAGCCTGCATATGCAGAATGTTCTCGACGTTTAGGTTGGAGAACCTTCTGAAGGCCTCGATATTGTTGTTGTTGGCCATCATCGCAGCCAATGCTCCGTAGCCGGTCATCTTGGCACTAAATGGTTTCAGTGGCGGCTTGAGCGTGAAAACAGAGGAGCCAGGGGTATGTCTTTCGGGGAGGACACGAGCGGATATCTGCTTATAATGCGGATTCACAGACACTTATCCAACGCATTGCCACTTTTAAGGCGGTGGAGCGTGGTGACCTGCACCTGCGTTGCTGCCCAAAGAAAATAGTGGCCTCTGAAAGGCTCTCCCTCGACCGCTTCACCAACGGAAAGCTCCCAGTGGAAAGCGTACGGACGGGCAATGTTTTCGGTGTCACTCGTTCGGTCTTTTCCTCTCCACCGCGTTACCGCACGGATGCTTGCCTCCCGGTGGGGAGAGCGTATAATGGTCTCATGAAGCGAGTGCTGAGGTGCAAGTTCGTCCTGAAGCACGTGCTAACCGGGACAGCATGCACATCAGATTCATCGATGCTGGATACCCCTTAGCTATGTCACTTCCGTCGACACCAGAAACGATGCGCCCTCCTGGCGATCTGGTCTATCTACAACATCGCGAGATAGTGTTTCGTTGGAGACTTTACCCTTTATGGGTTTGACAAAGTCTCAGACTTCAAGACGGCAGGCATGATGTAGGACTGCAAGTTCCCTTCCCGAGGTGATCTTGAAATAGTTACTGGCTCTCTTGAGGTTATCAATTTTGGGACTGTGGTGTCACTGTTGCAGAAGACATACTTTCTGCTGTGAGACTGGCCCACGGTATTGGGAGGTGTTTCCGAGACGTCCAAATCTGTTCGCCCTCAGAGAGCAGAGCCAACTATCTATCCACAGGATCCAACATGTCTCAAGCAGCAGGAGGGTAGCGGCCGCAGCCTGGTGTAGGAGGTTAGAGTTCTCACGTTGCTGGGAGGAGTTTGTCACATCTGCAACTCGCCCGAAGGACGGCCCCGTCCTTGTGCGACGACTCTATCCAAGCATAGATCATACCACGCTTACCAGACGCTGAGGGCTCTTCGTCATATTTATAGCAGAGCATCGAATCTGGCCGTTCGACTTACTTACAGCAAAGCGTCGTCGTGCTCCGAAGTCTTGAGGCAGCACTGAAGCGTGAGTCCAAGTTGCCGTCCTTTGGCAGCGAGCTCCGAGAAGCCCAGAAATGTTTGAGGTCCAGGTAAGACGAAGGATTTCAAGACTTATCCCCAGCCGTCACTCTGACCTTTTGTAGAGAACAATGGCGACATCTAGTATCAGGAAGGCCTCTTCAAGCCATCAGTCTTCTCCGAGCTCACATGTCTCGCATCCGCAGACGAGAACAGCGGGCCCTGCTCATGATGTGCGCCAGCCACCTAAGAACGTCAGTTCAGTTCAGAGACAAAATGAAGCGTCGGTCATGCCACAGCCGCTCAATTCCGCGTATTCTGGCACAGCAAACTTGACGGAGGGCAGCAGAAAAGACCTTCACAACATATTCGTGTCATTGATGTTCATTCACCTGCGGCCGGATTCGCCTTGCAAGGCGCCAGCTTTGTCATTGTCCACCACGCCGAGACGCGTACTCTTCGACACCGGGGCAGATTTCAACCTCATCTCACACGGAGCTCGCACTGAGCTCGACTTGAGCCAACAACCATACCACAGCCGGGTACGGTCCATCGGTGGATTCACTGAGCTCAAAAGTGCTGTCGTACTGCAGTGGCATTTCCGGAGTCACGCCTCCAGACCGAGCCAGCCTCCGACCTTTTATCGTTCCTCATTCTATGTCTTGCCCGCAGAATCTAACGCCAAATTCGACTGCATCCTTGGCCGACCATGGATTGAAGAAAACTGGACTGAATTCATTGCTTTGGTTGAGCTCAACAGAAAAAGGGACACGGAGTAAAACATAAGCGACGGCGTTGGTGGTTCCCATTGAGGTGTTTGGTGGTTGCATTACTGCCGTCTTGTGACAGCAGGTCATGCTTTCCAAGAAAAAGCAGACCAACCAGAAGGGACGGGTGTCGGTGCACTCTTATGAAAAGTTTCTTGTTTCGAATGTACGACCAAGGATGGGATACAGAGCATACTATGTGGACGGGGGGCATTGAGTCGGGGGTTCGCGGCAGTAGAGGCTGTATGACACAATCAGAACATAATCTGGATTCAGACCGAGGACGGGGTATCGAGGACGGCAATGTTACACAGCCTGGAGTTAGAGGTTCGCAGTCGCCATCACAACGCCAGAACGGTAGACGAGGGTAATATGTACGAAGACGGACGGTCAACTGGTCACAGCCGGATGGAACGACAGCGGTTCCGACGATAGAATCTTGGATTTGTACCTCGAACGATCCTGTTCAACCTGGCTGTCACTTGCTATCTGTGGCGTCTTCTGGATCGCCGCAACAAGTGACAAATTCTTGTCTGGTCGTCACGCCCATCCCCCCCAAGGTGACTAGAGAGCCGGAGGGCAACAGAATATCATGGTTTTCGAGCATGCGGTCGACAAGGATGTACCCTCAAGACAAGGCTCCGTCTACACGCCTCTGCAAATATATGAAGGGCCAGTTCCCTCCAGTACCATCCTGCCAACACATGCGCATTTGAATCTGGGCTTGGGCGCACGAGATTAGTCCAAGCTGCTCCTCAGAATTCCAGTTGTTGGCTTGATCGCCCCATTTCCGCCTCACTGCGCGGCGGATGTACGCCTCATTGAGGAATGGCGGCAGGGCACAATCGGCCGATCGCGAATCACCACATGCGAGACAATCCTCAGCTCGAGTCTTCATATCGTTCATGGCAAAGTCGTCGTCCTCAACTCTTCCACCATTCCACCAGAGCTGTCCCAATGGTACTCTCCACCCCCTCCGGCTTGCATTCAAGCGAGTCCATCACACTAGCCTTGCTAGCCTTGCTGACATGCGCGAACAGGCTTCGAACACGACGGTATGCATATTCGTCGTCGCCGACGGGCAGGAGCATCCCGTCAAGCTCTCCAACGCGTTCTACGGCTGTGGATTGTCAAAGAGCGTCATCTCGAGGAGTAGAGCCACGGCCAGTCACGGATCTATAAGGTCGATCCCACCAACCAAGATCGCAGACCACACCGGCAGAACCTACAGCTCGACTTCCAAGGTCTCTCTGCGGTGGTACTACGATGGCGGGACGCAGACATTTCCGGAGACTTTCTACATCGCCGATGCAGCCACGACGGACCTTCCCTGGGACGCCATACTATGCGATACCGCCGAATCACCGTCCTCTGCCTTGGTTCCCCAGGCTAACACCATTTTGAGAGCGCCTGGTGGGGCAGACAGTCAACGCGAGAAAGAGCGCAAGGAACGTGAAGAGGTCAACCGAAAGAAATATGAAAGAGAAAGGCGTGAACAGGTCGATAGGATCAGGGAAGCTTTTGCGTCGAAGCAGGCTCGGGCCAAGCATGGGTGATGTTCGGTGGGCATACACATACCGAACAACTGAGGCCACATTGTGCTTTCGACCTCTCACGGCCTATGCATTTCGGGAGCGGACACTGAGATGTCGTTGGCGCGTAGGATGATATTTTTTTGCCTGGCCGTTCGTGACTGCTGTAGGCCACGGCAAAGACCGACCTGATATGACAGCATGATCCATGACCCTAGTATCTGACTACCTATGGTGGAATGCCCGAAGGAGTTGCGCCCGTTGGAAGTCAAACAAGTACCCTAATAGTCCTCATGGCTCCACCAATGGGGTTGAGAAAAGGGGAGGTAATGGCCGCCGACTCATGTTATTCTTGCCAGTGGAGGTGGCCACGTCCCCAGATAGCTACTCTGACAGACTAAAGCTGATATTCGACATGCACGGCGAGCTCTCAATGTATGTTGCTCTGCTGCACTGCGAGTGGAACAAAAAGTAGCTGGCTGCGAAGGACAGAAGAATAGGTATTGCTGCACGATCTTCATCCATGTTAAGGGAATACATTATACATTTCTAATTGCTGGGAAGCGCTCTTCCAACAAGTGCATGAGTCTCTGCTCCTGCCGCGGTGACTGCGTTCACAAATCCAATCTCCACGAGACTAACGTCTTCCCATTGACTTACCCATTCCGAACTTCAGTGACATTACAGCCTCACGCAAGCCCTCCATTAACTCTGAGGGTCTGGCCACTGATCCAGCTGGCGCCATCGCCAACAAGGTACGAGATCGACGCGGCAATCTCTCCGGGCTTCGCGATCCTGTTGGCCGGGTGGAAGCTCGCAATCGTGTCCAACACTTTCTGCGGCTTCCCCTCGAGGAACAAGTCGGTGGCAGTGGGGCCTGGCGCGACGGCGTTGACGCGGATGCCCTTCTTGGCGAGCAGATCCTTGGACAGCAGCCGCGTGAGCTGTTCGATGGCGCCCTTGGTGGCGCAGTACAGCGTGTATGGACTTGAGACAGTTGAGGCGTAGCATTGCGTGGTCGAGATCAGCACGATGGAGCTGCCCCGTGCCATGTAGGGCAGGGCCTTCTGCACGAGGAAGAACGGGCCCTTGACGTTGAGGTTGAACGTGTAGTCGTAGTCTTCTTCGGTGGTGGACTCGATGTCTTTCATCGGGAGGATGCCCGCGTTCGGGATCAGGATGTCGATCTTGCCGAATCTGTCGACGCTGGCTTTGACCAGTTTCTCCACGCCGCTGACGGTGCTGGCGTCGCCTTGGACCGCGTAGGCGTTGTCGGCGCCGAGTTGGGAGATCAGATTCTCGGCGGCGGCGGTGTCGCGGCCGTAGTTGATGACGACTTTGGCTCCCTGGCTGACGAGGAGGGTCGCCGTGGCGGCACCGATGCCCTTGGACCCGCCGGTGATGACGGCGACCTTGCCAGAGAGGGGGACGCTAGACATGTTGGCTGGTCTCCTGCTCGCTTCCGGTTCGCTTGAGGTTGGTGTAGGTGCAACTCAACTGCTCCTGTCTGTGGTGGTGGAGTTACTCTCTGTGATGAAGTTACTGTCTGTTGTGGCGAAGCTGTTCCCTGTGGTAACGATGACTTGGTAGACTTGGGCCTCGAGACGATTACCTGAGCTGTTTCGTGGGGTTGTTGTATGCAGATGGAAGAGTCCTACCTCATCAGGTACCTTAGCCTGCTTATATGCTTTCAACTTCTCGACTGCACCTGGTCTCAAGAACGTTGATTGCATGATGAATTCTGGATGGCTGAATGTTGATGCTAAGTCCTTACGGAAGATCTGAGCAAGCTTGTAATAGCGACGACCGGGATGTTGCCGGCCATAAGAGCTTGTTTTTCGCTCGACCGACCGTGGTGGCCTTGTGAAATACCAACGGCGCTGTGTCGGCTGTCACCCAGGGAAGTACGAGGGTCGGAGTAATGGAGTTTAGTGCAAATGGCCAAGGATTTGCCAAGCTGACGATGCCGCTTATGGAAGTATCTTGCATCTGCAAACCCCGAATCTCCTACCGCCGAACCAGTCGATGGCAGCACTGCACCAACTGAAGGCGACTTCCAGGCGGCCGCATTGATTCTTCAGCCTCGGGGTGCAGTTGCTAACCCTATAGGGCAGCTTAAACGCAGTAAGAGCGTCTGCAGCCACGGCAAAAGCGTGGTAAGATTGGTTGATAAAAACAGGTGGGCAAGCATGGAGGGTTTATCCCGTGGTATTAACTGCGTCCTATGTTCAACGCTGAGGCTATTCGTTAGCCACTGGTAGAGCCGATGACTCAATGCTTCGCCGACTAACTACGCCGTGGTACGGAGTACTCTCGCTGAGTACCCAGTACTGTCAAGAGTAGTACGTACTCGCAAGGAGGACTTCAACTGGAATTTCGAACTCTTGGTGATAACCACGCGGGGAATGGAAATTTTCACGTGCCCAGTAAGGAATGCTAGGAGATAAGATGCTTGAAGGCTGGCCTTTCTGGCTGCACTCACAAGGCTGAGCTTTTGAGCGAGTGACCGTCTACCACGGAACTGAACTCAACCCGACCAGGATCATTGCCGCTCGGCTGAGATATCTCTGATTTCATCGAATACTACCTAGTTGGGGATTTCAAATGACATGAATGAGTAGAAATGGTTTCTCCAAAATCACACAAACCGAGAGCGCAGCACTTTCAGTCCACTCATCCCCCGGAAGGTTAGAGTTCATGCTATGACAAAGAACTTGGTCCATTCTCTTCGGTATCTCGACTGTCGAACCACCGTGAAATGTAGACGATGTGTCGTCATCGCTTTTATACCTAGGTACCTAGGTAACTACACCGTACTCCATTTATTCTGCCCTTCACTTCTAGCATCTAAGATCACCACAAACTGCATTGTTGGTGAAGGCTTCCTGCTTGCCAATCGCCGTCTATGGAGTTGCTTTGTACCAGGCGAGCCTCCCGCAAGGCGCTGTCGGAGCGTATTCTTGAAAGATTATGCAGCCTGGAAGCTCAGGATATGTCTCGCTCGATGCTCCGCGTCCAAGAGCACACATATCTCACCAGCAAACGTTAGATGTCCCATTTGGGTGCCATTCCTGGCGAATTTTTATCATTGTATCCTCCCCGAAATCCCCAGGGTCATACGGCTCGTCATCACTATTTTCGTGGTGTCAGCTTCCCAGCGTTCTGTTTGAGCCTAGTCACCATGTCAGCGAAAGATTGAATAGTAATCATGTATTTCTTGGAGATACCATAAGCTGCAAGCGTTATCCCTATTTATTTCTTGTCTCTACATGTCCGGCGATGTTCTGTGACCCGGTTCTGGTTGCGTTTATTCTTCCAGGGTTCATCCATGGACCGTCCTACTGCACTTAGCAGGAACACCTAGTAATCGTTGAAGAATATAGCACCACACGTCAGATGTTCGGTTGCCCGGCTTTGGGGGATTTTCCGAAGGCCGGCAGGAGGCCAATCATCGGCAGACATAGTTGCAAGAGCTTGTAACAGCGATGGCGTTGATCCAGCCGGGAGCACATAGCTCCATGGACGTCACATTGATGGGTCATCCAGAAGCACGGAACGTCGGGGAGCTTTGGGCTGGCAAGACGAATAGCAAGGAGCGACGGAGACTGCAGAACCGACTGAACAGGCGAGCCTATAGTGAGTTTCCAATCTCACATCCGTGCCTCAACCACTTCTAACTACACAGGGAAACGCCAGGCTGAACAAAAGCTGGTTCGGAAGCGAACCATGGTTCAGGCAGGTATCGAACCAGACGCGAGGATGAACCGAGCCCTTAGCTTGCCCGGAGTTACGGTCTTCTCTGTTGGTGTCAAACATGATCGGGCCCCCGAAGCACCAATCTCTTTAACATCTCTAGTCTCTGGCGTTGGCATGTTCTCTTGGGGAGACGCCGCCGTCGTGTCCTCGTCCCCGCAGCGCCATCTCCGGCTCCTTCAATCATGGTGTCGCAAGTTCGAAGAGACGATGCAGCGAGATGGCCTCATCAGTGTCGAACGTGATGAAGGCAGACTAGCTACCGACTCCGACGCCGTCCAGTTCGAAGAAGTGCTCGTCGAGGTCGGCCACGTTCGCTATCCTGACTTGATATCAAACCCTGAGGATCAGCTCATCAGCCTCGTGTACTACAATGTGTTCCGGGGTCTGGCCAAGAACATCCGCGCATTGAACCTGGACATGCAATCCATGGCATCGTGGGACTATGACTCGCCGTTCATGACTGGGAAAGTGGACGTCTCAACGCTTGCGCCTGACTTCCAGCCGACATACTTACAGCGAACCATATCCCACCACCCGTGCTTCGATGTTTTCCCCGACCCTGTGGTAAGGGATAACGCGATCGTGCATTGGTACATCGAAAAGCATTCGTTGGAGGGAAGGTTGTGTATGGCGTTGGCTGGCAGACACACCTGGCATGAGATTGACCTGGCCTTGAAATGTGGCTGCATCTTGTGGGGTGAGCCGGACGTCGCAGAGAGCTGGGAGGTTACTGAGGGGTTTGCCAGAGACTGGCCTTTCTTGGTGAAAGGAGCTGTTCGGCTTGAGGCGGCGACGAACCGCTACAGAGCTTTTCGAGGGGAGCCACCCATCCTCTTCGCATGACAGTCCCAGAATCTGCACCACCAGGTCCGTGACAGGACTACCATGGGGATGTGATGAGAAGAGGATGTAGGTATTTCCTACTAGGATTTGGGATGGGGGCCACGGGGCCACCAAACAATTTGTAGGCGTGGCAGAAAGTGATGACTGTCCTGGATTCATTGCAGATGAGCGAAAAATGTCCGCAACAGAGGTATACCGGTTGACGCGAGTTGCCGCACCGATTGTTGCACTTCTCCTTCCCAGTCTGGATACCACCTTCACGCCACGAATTCATTGTTGCATCAGCTATTGCTGTCAGTCCTGACCCGCCTGCGGGTGACTAGGAAGGAGCTGTCCGCCATGTTGTATTCTACAGTGGGCACCCCCAGCACTGACTGATTGTTTTGTCGCAGTCTGACTTTTTCTTCATAGTTTCTCGCCGCAGTTCACGTCGCCAGTATCGCCAGTGTCCGTGCCCGCGGTCATTCTCATACCCACTTTCACAAAGTGCGCGGGATCAATGAGGTGTTTGCTCTTGGGGCAAACAACAATCCAGCGGATGTACAAGATGGCACTGGAGCCGGAAGTGATTGGTACACGACCTATTCTGGAGATGGTTCAGCGGCCGCTGGCTGGCCTCTGATGGCACAGTGGGTGTCGTTCGAAGACATGTAAGCGAGGCGGCGAGTTGTCTCTGCAGGCGTTACTGACGTACTAAAGGGTCAATGCCAACAAGGGCGTCATGCGCGTTTCCTGTGTCAATCTAGGATCGGACAACGGACCTGACGATAGCGAAGACGAGATTGATCTAGTCCTGAACGCGGTTCAATATGTTTCCTACCTGACCAACGTCGACCACCGCTTTATCCTGGCGATTGTTCTTCAAGAGTCCAAAGGCTGCGTCCGAGTGCGAACGACTAACAATGGTGTGCAAAACCCAGGCTTGATGCAAGCCCACGACGGCGCATTCTCTTGCAACATGGAAGGAAACCTTCAGACCCCATGCCCAGCTTCTCAGATCTTTGGCATGATCTTTGATGGCGTTGGCGGAACATCAACTGGGGACGGGCTTGCGAAGATACTGAACCAGCTGGCATCGAGCGGCAACGACGCGCAGGCTTATTATCGGGCGGCTCGTCAATACAATACTGGCTCAATTGCGCAGGACGGTGATCTGGATGTGGGTGGACACTCTACAAACTGCTATGCTAGTGACGTTGCCAACCGTTTGACTGGATGGGTCTGGGCTGAAACCGCGTGCTCTTTGTGAGACGTGCACAGGCTGCAGGTTCGTTGAGGACGCACTTGCTTGGTCTTGAAGATGCAATAGATGAAACCAGGGAGTGCAAAGAACGCGGTTTGGCCTCGCTATCAGTGAGATGGTGGCCAGCACGCTCAGCCAACGCATGAGTTTCGGCCCAGGGTGCAGTGAGGTCAGCTAGACTTTGGTTGGAAGAAGATGAGATGCGGTTACTACGTCGGAATGTACTCAGATGATAGGTGGCATCGGAGTTCCCAGAGAGCGATCAATAGGGTAGTCTCGGAACCCCTAACACATCCTTTCACATGGACCAGCGGTAGGCGAGCGGTCTCAGTGGGACTGGAGGTGTTCAAGCGATGCTATGTATCTTCCCCGCGGATAAACTTCGGGGATTGCCCAGAACTTCTGCCACCTGTCGTTCATTCAATGCACAACAGCGCTTCGTGTGAAGTACCTGGCGCCGACAGCCCTGCGGCACGTCAAGGGGTCACCTTTTCCCTACGGATTGCGATTGTAGAGACTTGATCTGTACTCCAGAAAGGTCGACCTGAGATTCGTAACTAGCAATCTGCCACGATGCTGTCATCCCTCTCGCCTTACTTGTCGAACCCTCGGCAGTCACTGTCGCAAGTCCTCAACTTCGCCCTCGTCTTATCGACGGCTTTCATGCTATGGAAGTCACTGTCAGTCATCGCAGACTCACCTTCTCCGATCGTCGTGGTTCTGAGTGGTTCCATGGAGCCTGCGTTTCAACGGGGTGATCTACTGTTTCTCTGGAATCGGGACAAGACTGCAGAAGTGGGAGAAATCGTGGTCTATAATGTGAAGGGGAAGGACATCCCCATCGTGCACCGTGTTGTGCGAAGCCATGCGCCTACAGTCCCTGTCGAGGCTGACATAAGGTATACGAGCCGCTTTTAATCGTCTTTCTGAGCCTCGAGGCTGACACCTCTGCAGTGGAAACCTCGCCCAGTCCTCCCCGAAACTCCTTACAAAAGGTGACAATAACATCGCCGACGATACCGAGCTCTATGCCCGTGGACAGAGCTACTTGGACAGGAATGAAGACATCATCGGCAGTGTACGCGGATACGTGCCCGCAGTCGGATACGTCACGATCATGCTTAGCGAGCATCCGTGGTTGAAGACAGTCATGCTTGGAATCATGGGTCTTATGGTCATCTTGCAAAGAGAATGAAGGATCAGCTGCGGCCACCATTCAAGGCCGGAAAACAATCATCTATTCTCGGCGACGTTTGCTGAACGGATCAAAACAGCACCGGTTTCTTCCCTCAGAAGAACCGGCCGAAGGGCATTGACTCGGCTGACACCTGAGATGTCATTCATCTCTCGAGGCGTGTGCACCACGGACTCGCGGGAAAGGGGAAAGACTCCCAGAGATTCGGTGGTCAATAAGGCCTCCGAGAGGCCTACTTCATCGGCTTGCGGCTGGCGTGACAAAAGTGAGGGACTTGGCCCCAATCTCTGCCATGGCGACGACCTCGCCTCAATACGAAGGCAGACGAGAAGCTATTACTGTGTTACATGGCAGTCTCATTATTGCATGCGGAGATCGATCGGTGCGCGCTGTAGTGCTCGTGCTTACAGGTGCATATGTGCAGGCCCGATAAGGCAAGAGCCGACAAATTCCTGCTCATATAACGAACAAATAAGCGTGCATTAAGCAGCTCGGGGGCCGAGAACGGATACCTTCCTGCTGTCAAAAAGCCATCCAACGGGCATCGAGGATGACGCGGAATCCAGAATCGCGACCCCGTAGCGCCCAGAGGCTCAATGGAAAACCTCCAACCGAACCCCTGGCCTCTGGTGCTTTTGCATGGGATGGGTGGGGGATTCAGCCGCTCTCCCACGACCCTCGTTTGGCGCCATATGGTTCGTTCAAGAAGCCCAGACTCGTGGTGCATCAAGGAGCTGAAAAGATAGCTTGTCCTTTCGTCTCCCGTGTCCAGCGACGAAACCCTTCCTCCTCTTCAACTCTCCGGAGGTCTTTCTCTCGAATTGTGCATCTTCCCTTACACGCCTACTTTTTCAGCATTGGGGCCCAGACCGGGAAGGTGGAGTTCTAGCCATCTCACACGCGGCGCAGCCTTACGGGACAAAGTTTAGCGCCTGCCCTATCTGGCGCCTCTAATCTTCCTCGACCTAAAGTTTGTCTACGTATCTGTCGCCCCCAGACCTTGCGCAACGGTTACGTGCTGTACCTGTCTCCGTCGCTCTAAGGTTCGCTCCCGTATCTTCTCCGTTGGCAGCCCTGGGATACTGTACAACCTAGCCCGGGTCGTCGCCCGTCAGTATCGACAGGACAACGTTTACGGGTATCTATCCGATAACGGACAATCGTGTTCGGAACGCCTCCAGGATAAACGACTTCAATCGCTAGCCACCACTTTTTTATCGACACATTTTGTTCCCATCGGTACTTGACCGCAACTTCGTAGTGACCAACAAGTCCAATAGTCGTGTCAGATATGCGCATCTCAAGTACTGTCCTTTTGACGGCCGTCATGGACCAAAGGTGACTCGCACAAACCAGCACATAGTGACGCGACCCTGTTTCGTAGCGACCAGCATGGACCATGATGGTGACGATTCACGTCAAAGGGCTCTTCCGGGGACCACACTATCAGACGACGTCGAACTTCTCAACCGCAAGGGCTTTTCAGGCACAGTCACGACCACGAGCGCGATGGAACCGACAACCCACTATCGACGACATTCTAGAGGTCATTCTGGGGATGAGGGTTTGGAGTCAATCGACGAAAACGAGAGCGTGCGTGATGAACCCTACGAAGTCGTCGAGCCCCCATCCCCACTGAAGGTTCGCCGATCGAGCGCCGGAGCATCAGCTGCCACGTCGATGCTGCGCCGGTTGACCACCAAAATCAAGCCTATATCTCGGGGTGCGTTCCGATCGACCAAGAGATCGAGGAGACAGGAGTACGCGACCCTGGACGATCGTGAGAATGACCATGGCGCAGTTGTGGATCTATCCTCGTTGGAGGGCATGGGTTGGGAGCTTACGGATCTCTCGAATCCTAACGCGGCTCGTCTGCCGGATGAGGAAACCGAGTATGTCAGTCCAGCCGCCACAAACAGCCGCAAACCGGATTTTCGCTCGTTTGTGGACAAGCGTGCCTCGCTTGGTTACGGTATGAAGAATATTGGCGTTCAGCTCCGGCGCGATCCAACAAGGCTAGCACGGAGAGGCACTGGGGATAGTCGAAGTGCTGCGAGCTCAACACTAGAGCGAAGCAAAACAGTCAAGGACTTCGGCCAAAACCTTGCTCAAGAGAAGAATATGATCGTGGAGGTTGAGGAAGTGGTCGACTTAAGCACTTTTGAAGGCGGACAGCTGGATCACCGCAGGAGCCAGACCTTTGAAAGCATGTCGATGAGGCAGAGTATCATGCCACAAGAAACGAAGAGTTACTTCTTTCCCGAAGATCCCGATATACCGAATTGGAAACCCTGGTCGATGCGAAGCTGGTATATTCTCGCCCTGATGGCACTCGCTGTGGGTTTGGCCGGCTTCCAGGAATTCCTCTGCCAGAAATCGTTCAGGAAAGCTCGGGAGAAAAGTGGTATCCTTGAGTTCAATGCTGTGGCGGACATATCAACATGGGACTTCTTTGCTTGGAAATGTGAGTTGACCACTTTACGAGCCAGTGACTCTGCTCAACGATCCTAGATCTCCCGACCATGATTACGATTGTGTACGCCGTCCTGTTCTCCATCATGGACTTTGACATCCGTCGACTCGAGCCATTCTACCAATTGTCACGACCCCGCGGTGCTTCGGCAGCTGCAAGCCTAAACCTCGACCACTTGACCATGTTTCAATATTTCGTTCCCTTCAAGGCCTTTCGACTCCGACAGTGGGCGCTATTTTTCTCCACGACAGGGAACATCGTCGCATCGATGGTGTCACCTGCATTACAAAACCCCTCAGTCAGATTCGTTACCAATCCTGACGAAAAGTGTTCCGACCGAGGCTGCCCGGGGCCCGACAGCGACGAGAAGCATTATTGGGTTCGCATATCTCCGGTCTGGTCTCGACTACTGTCAGCAAGTTATCTGTTTGTAGCGATTGTGCTTGTCATCCTGTTCCTCCAACTACGCCGCAAGTCCGGGTTACTAAGCGATCCGAAAGGCATAGCCGGCATCGCGTCCATGGCTACCAAGTCGCACATTCTGCAGGACTTCTCTGGATTGGACACTGCACATTCGGGAAAGATCCACAAACGACTCGCCCATCGCCGATACGTCTTGTACAAGTCCTCCATTTGGCAGGGCGAGTGGAGCGCCACAAGCGAACCGCCACAGGACAGCGAGAGGAAGCTTACGAGTCCGCATCCTCTCATGCTCCGGACCGAGGCGGCTCTACCTTTTCTCGCCTTCATGGGATTCTGTCTGATTTCGGTGCCCATCATTACGCTGACAAAGGCCCGGGTTGTACCCAACGCAGCGCCCTGGCTCCCGATCGTTATTGCGACCGCCCTCAAACAGTTCTTCAGCACCTTCGAGGCGGATGTCCGACTCATGGAGCCGTTTTATCAACTTTCAAGAGGCCATGCGAGACCAGAAAACAGCCTGACGCTGGATTACCAGGCGACCGTGTACGGGATCATGCCCTTGAAAGCTCTCTTCAACAAGCATTATCTGCTGACCCTTGTTGGTGTGGCGTCGGTCATGCTGGACATCTTGACGGTGACAGTGTCTTCCTTCTCAGTCAATTCGGAGGACTTCATGCACATCGGAAGCAGCGGCAAAGACAGATCGGATGGGGATGAAACCTTCGTCTCATTCTGGGCGTCACTGATACTCTCCTTAGTCATCCTGGTCTATGTCATCTTTACCACCTGCCTGGTATATCTACGGCGACGACATCCTTTCTTGCCTCGTGAACCATCAACCATCGCGGCAGTGCTAGCGTTTATATACTCGTCCAACATGCTGACGGACTTCATCGACACGGAAAGGCTGAACAACAAGGCCATGGAGACGAGGCTGAAGAATATCGGCAAGAGGTATGCTCTGGGCTGGTTCAAGGGGAGAGACGGCCAGATTCACTGCGCCATCGATGAGGAGCCCATGAGGAGTAAATATGTCCATGGGAAGCCTTACACCATGGCTCAAGCTGTCCCACTTGGGCCTCAAGACACGTTTTATTCTGTATGAGAAGGAATCTGCTCTGGATCATAAGCTGTTTTTTGGGGATATCTTTAGGGTTCGACATATATGGGGAGAAGGCAGAATTATGTGAATGACTTACGGGCATCAGGACATACAGATGGAAATGTAGATAAGACGAATGTTTAGGAGGATTGGCTAGCCAATACGGAGTATTCACTGGTACCTTGTACGTCGGCGCTCGAGGCTGTCGTCGTTGGCGGTGAGGTGCTGTGGTGGTGCCGGCGACCAACTTGTTGGCGACTGGGCATCACTGCAGGTATGTAACCGTCCTGATTTGGAAGCGATAGCATGTGAATAACCGGGAAGGAGCAATCGAGCGAACACGGCGGGGGAACCACGATTGGCGACGATAATCGATTGGTGGTGGGCGACGCAGGCGGGGCAGATGCTCGCGATCATGGCGGGGACTCGCCGTTCGTGGTGCGCGTCTGGCGCAAGCCAATGACGTAGTGTTCAGTCGATGGCAATTGGCATTTCTTCAACAGTCGTAGCTGAGTGACGCCTTCCTCCCTCTCTCCCTTCCGACCTCTGCGTCGTCGCTGCTCCAGTCTTGCCTTCCAAACATGCCTGCGCCAGGCTATGTCTTCCGTGATGGCGGAGCCACACCACCAGCCGAAGAGAATCCCGACTCGGAGTTTCGCCAGAGGATCACGAAGGCCACAAACCCAGTCACTGTCGCGGCAAGTTCCAATGCTCCGCTGGCTCAGAACACAACCACAAGTCATGCGTTAGCAACAGGCGCCCAGGGCGACCATGAGGTCGCAGGTGCTGTGCAGCGAGCCGGTAAGAAGGACACAACCAGCAATCTAGGATGGCAAGCCAACGGTGTGGACACAGATACTTTGGTCGGCGGGCTTCCCAACGAGGAGCTGTGGACGCTAGTTAGGAGGTTCAACAAGGCAAGCAGCGTCCCTTCTTGGCCCCTACACGTGCTAATTACGAGGCCAGCAAATGTACCATGTGAAAGCCATACCCGAACAACCTCCCGGGGGACTGGATCTCAACATCGCAGAAGAGGATGAGTTCTCTCCGGACAAGTTACGGTCAAACATTGAGCGGCTTTATATGACTGTCATCGTCGGATTGATTGCCTTTGGTAAACACATTGCCAGATTGAGGTCGTGGCGGGAACCACGCCGAACCGCTGCCTTTGCCGCCGTCTACTTCACTGCGTGGCTGTTCAATTTCATCGTGCCGACCTTGGTCACCATGATCATCGTCCTCATCACCGTCCCTCAGTCTCGAGAGTTCCTCTTTCCACCTGCACCTCTCGCTCTGGTCAGCCACAAGACGGGCGGTGTGCAGAAACCCAAGGCAGGAGTGTTAGGCAGTCATGATAGTGTCACTGGAGCGCCAGAGAAGCACAAGGGCGAGGCGGTCGAGCAAGAAGCAAGCAACCTGGTTTCCGGGATTGCTTCGGTTGCCATCTCCAGCGCTGCTGGTCGTCACGACCAATCAAGCCCAGATGAACAAGGTGGTAGCAAAACCCTTGATAAGGGAATGCCTGACCCGACCAAGATAGCTACGGCCACGGCCGATGCTTCCTCGGCAGCTCAAGGCAGTGATGCAAACGCTGTACATGACAAGACCAAGCAGCCTATGGAAGAGGCTGTCTGGGGGCAGGTCCGTCCGGTGATGCACGCCCTTGGGGAGGTTTCAGATATGTGGGAGCGTTTCGCCAACGCTTTGTCGCCTACACCGCCCTTCTCGCAGAAAAACCGCCTGCAACTCGGTGCCATCTTTGTGCCCGTCCTGCTGATCTCTCTTGTCACACCCGCACAATGGGTCATGAAGGGTACAACCTTCCTGGTCGGCTTCGGATTCTTCTCGGACCCCTTGATCATGCGCGGCATCCACTGGCTGAACGAGAATATCCCCGACTGGCCGAAATACCTCGAGATCCGGAACACCCTCCTCAGAGGAGTCCCCACCAATGCTCAACTTACCATCACGCTGCTGCGCATTGGCGAGGCAAATCGTGCTCCTCTACCGCCACCACCCAAGTCTCACGAGCCACCGGCAGACAAGCCGGCCGAAATCGACAAGCATGCCATCACGGAAGGCGGCCTGGACGCCTCACATGCTGAGATTGAGGATGTCATCACGGTTGATCAACCCACCGGTACTGAACCTCCTGAACCTCACGACGCGAAGAAGAAAGGCGGTTTCGGGGCTAAGATCCTCGGCGCATTCAAGTCCACCACAGCTGGAGCAGTTGAGACGAAACTCACTACCGACACTGTGAAGGCGACGCTGGGTTCGAAACACGCAGCAGATAAACTGGGTGTCTTGCCCTCTCGGAAGGAACTGAGGAAGAAGCAGCGAGAGGGACCCATCGAGTTCAAAGCGCGGTACAAGGGCCGCAAGGGCGCGGTCTACGTTGACAGCTCGGTCTCGCCGCCTAGTGGCAAGAGACCTGCCTCCCCGTGTGTATACTTTACGACGCACCTCGACGGCGACGAAGTAGTGGAGAGTATGCCTCGCGATCCTGACTGGGCTATCTCCATAGCCGACATTGCGGAAGTCAAGAAGATTGGTGGGTTAGGATGGAAGGGCAAGATTGTGGTCGGATGGGCGACGGACCGAGAAGTCAAAGACGGAATTGAGATTGTGTCCAAGGACGGTGCGAGGTATCGTGCCATGGCGATGAAGGAGCGGGATGAGCTGTTCAACCGTCTCGTGGCAATGGGCCAGCAGATTTGGGCTAGTTATTAGATGGACGCTTTCGACGTTCGTACGTATTTATGTGGGCATTGTTACAAGCGCCTCAAACCGAAATGCAGTACTCAACTACCTACCTAGCAGTACTCAGCACATACTTCCCATACCTGGTGCGCATTATTCCAACGCAACATTGAACGTGAGAACGGCCTCGGGCCTTGCTCGAATCGGACCCTGACTCAATGTCGAACTCAACCTTGATCTCTTTCCCTGTTTCGGTAGGTAATCGAACCCCCCCAACCTATTCGCCTCAGACATTGTGAGCCACCCACCGCCGAACCAGGACCGCAACCCGCCCGCACGTCCAATGGGCCGGCACAAGAATAGGTAGAACGCCGAGGGTCCATACAGATCTGCAAGATCGCCAGTCCCAAAGACAAGAAGAAGGGCTGATTAAAGAAATCACGCACGCTCTTCGTGACGGGGTCGGCGGGACGAGGACGCAGACGAGGATGATCCCGGGAACGTCGCACGTTCGGACCTGGGATTGTGGTGGCGGCACGCTCCTTCTTCCTGGATGCTGCTGCTGCTGCTGCTGCCGCTGCCGAGTCCGGGTTCAACAATTCGTTTGCGCGCGTTCGGGCTGAAGGCCTTGTTGTCTACTAGGTGCTGGAGCAGGCTGTTACATTGGGTTGTTAGGGTGATCCAGTCGAGGGAGGCGTCGGCGATGGTCTGCGCGAGGAAGGGGGCCAACGTGGTGAGAAATGGCACGATCGAGGCGTCGTAAGCGTAAGCTGTGGGTCCTTTTCCGTCTTTCTTGCGATTGGTATTGCTCGCGATGTGCGGTGGTCTTGCCCTTCGTCTTCGCCTTGCTCTCGGTGGTCTCACTGGTGTTGGTATTATCCTTGACTGTGAATGGGACATCCTTGCTCTGGCGCTTCTCTGCCTCGGTCTTGAGAGCATACACTGTACGAAGCATCGTCTCGGTGCCGTCGTAGAGCTTGTCGAAGATGGCCGTCGCCTCCGTCACTTTCAGACCGTCTGGGCTGATTCGCATGGGGTAGGCGTAGCCCGGGCGGTGGAGGGGCACGTCTTCTGGGAACAGACCGCGTCTCATCTGCTCGAACCCGGCGAGCGAAAATTCAGATCGACGAATGTACACTTTGTGGGCCAGGGCAGGGGTGGTCGGAATGGTTCCTATGAAGACGTTGCTCGTCTGCAGGCTCATGGCACGATCTAGGTCCGACCACTCGATCGTCACATAACGCATCTGGTGCATGACGTTGACCATGGTAGCGGCTTGCATGATCGAGAGATGGTTGTTCGCGATTGTAATCCCTGCAGTCTCGATGGCATGCTTGAAGCTCAAGAGTCTTATACCGCAGAGGATGGGGTTATGTTTGGCTAGGAATTCGGGATCCGGGGATGGTGCAATCATGCCCTCCGGTGTCTGCGTGAGCTTACCGCCGTGTGTCTTTTTGATAGCTGCGATGCTCGCCGCATGAGACTTGCGTGCCAGGGCTAGAGCTTGCGGCTTGCTCAGCGCTGCGTCGTCAAGCGCCTTGAACTCGGCCAGGTCTGCTCGACTTCTCAACGGGTTGGCGGTCTTGAGTTTAAGTGTCATTCTGGTCTCACACTTTGAGAGTTCCTTGAATGCTTTCTTCTGGCATGAGCCGAGGATGGAGTTGATGCGCACAACGAGAGACCTTACGAACAGAGCGCAGATCGTGCTGCAGAGTCCTGCGTCGGGATAGTCGACGAACGGTTGGGCCAGGTGCCAGGTCAGCACGTCGCTGGCTTGCGCGCGGCGATGGTACGAAAGCGACTCTGCTGCCTGCACGTCCAGCACTTTCGTGACCTTGTTGGAGCGTTCGCCGCTATAGCACGCAATGTCCTTGGCCTTATTGGCGATGAGAGCGGTCGTAATGACTGCGTCGATGAGAATCTGGCTCAAGAACACGTCCGTCTGCTCCAGTCCATCTGCGTCATCGAACTCGCCCAAAGAGGATCCTTCGTGCATCTCTGCGAGGAATTTCTTGATCGTCGGAACGTTGCGTTGCATGATGGCGGCTTCGTTGGTGGCTCCTCTCGTCTGTTTCGGTTCGTGGCTTTGGCAGAACTTTGCCATGATCATTTCGATGAAATTCAGGAACCCGAAGAACTCTGTGCTATCCTTGGCTTCAGCCCGGATGGACTTCTGTTCCTCAGGAAAGTGGTCTCTCAATTTTCCCCACAGCTTGTTTTCAGATATCCCGAGCGTCTCAGCGATGTGCATTTCTTTCTCTGCAGCAAGCTCAACAGCTGCAGTTGTGAGGATACTGACTGTATCGAGACCAAGCCCCAAGTCACGATACTTCTTCCACAGCTCAGAGACATGCTCTCCGACCTCCTAGAGCTCCTTGAGATAGTCATGCAGAATCACCAGTCTCTCGAGCTGCTGCTCAGACTCATCAATGACCTCGAAAGTCTGCTCGGCCTCTTCCTTGGTATGGTTGCCAGGCGCGTGAACCATGGCCTCGCTGTTGTCATCCTCTTCGACGTCCTCGACCTGCAAGCAGTCGAATCTGTTCGGCGCGGTAGCGATGACAGTGCCAGTCGTGCTTCCTTCCGACGTGGTACTGGGGGATTGCGAGGGTGAGTTTGCAATCAGAGTCTCCAAGCTCTTTTCCAATTCCTTTACAAAATAACTGTGGCTTGAATGGGATGCTTTATTGCCGCTGAGAAGGCCTTGCTGCATTTCTTCGGAGAATAACTTTCGTGTTGCAACAGCTCGCTTGGGGATGGTGACGATACTTGCGGGACTTTGTATACGAGCCGGCTCACCATTTTCCACGATCGACTGTGCCATGTCCGGGATGTGCTTCAATGGAATCTTCAGTGCCTGATTCTGAGGGAGGGACTTTCTGGACCCGCATCGGAAGGAAGCTTGTAACCGCACTGTTTCGCAGTCACCAAGAGCCATGACAGGAACGCAGAGGTGTCAGTCTTGTAGCACCAATATTGGCGGCGGTGGCTCTCAGTCAGCATTTTGAGAGCGACCGAGTAGGCTTTGGCTGCTTTGCGTGGCTCGACTCTGGACTGGGCAAGACACCTCAAGAGAGGATTTGGGTTCGAGATGATGTTGTAAAGCACAGAGAACATCCAGAACAGAGTCAAATCGGGCCCCGTGGCACACAAATCGACCGACAGCAGTTACAGCGTTCCATCCCTTGCCGTGTGGGTGTGGCAACGTGCGATTCAACGACTTGTCTGGCCACGACGCTGACACAATCGCCTTCGTTCACTGGAAAAGCGGATCCACGGAAGACGTGGTTGAGTCCGCGCTCAGCGGAGTATGCCTGATCCCTAGACGGTCAGTAAAATCTCCATCTCGTATTGGTCGTTGGGGAAGAACGAAAAGCACAAGCTTGGATGAGGTTGGGCTTCAACGTGCAAAGGATATGCTAGTCTCTGGATAGATCTAATGTACAGGGTGCTGTAAGACCAGACACGGATTTACAAGACTTCGCAAGACAGCACGTCGCTCACGAAGCAAACAGACTGTCTCCCTCACAATGGTTGCGCATCGATATTCGTTGCCGTGTATAGTCCTTTGAACGAACAAGAACGGGCAAGGGACTGACCTATGCGTACTCCTTTGTCACGTTTTCACACCATTCGAATAGCTTGCTTGCCTGGCCATTCTCCTTGGTCGCCTCATGAGTGAGATCCGCACGCACTGACGCTCTGCGTCCCCATGGGATGATGTATTGGCCCTGGTCCTCCTCGAGCGTCAATTCAGGTGCCAGACCAGAGAAGATCTCGGTGTATGCGCCATATATGGCCGGGTACAGGAGTAACTTCTGCAGGAGCCAGACTGCAATGTGGCCATACTGGTCGCCTGTGTGACGTTGCAGCTCGGATGCAAGGTTGCCAGGATTATAGCACTATTGATGTACGTCAGCTCACAGCCAATAGAATGATCCAGTACGAACGCTGATTCGTAGCGACGCAGGCAGAGAGAGGCACAGGGCTTCACTCACATTGTGTATTACTCCGTCCCTTGTTCCGTATCGCTTTCCGAACTCGGTCGCAAAGAAGTAGTTTGCAGCTTTGCTGACACCATATGCCAACCTGTTGTCGCTTTTGTCGTCCAGGGTGTCTTCGCCCTTTTTATCCTTCTTCCACGCTAAACCGCCCTTGGGACTTTGCAAGTCGACGGCGAGACTTCCCGCCCAGCTGACCCTCACAGTACCCTTCGGTTCCTGCTCCGCCGTACGTTGGAGGATTGGCAATAGCAGCTTGGTGAAGAGAAAAGGTCCGAGAATATTGGTCTGATAGGTTAGATCCATGCCTTGCGAGCCTTTCGACCCTTTGGGCGGCACCATGACGCCGGCGTTGTTATCCAGCCAATGTAGCTTGTCTTCTCGGGACAGGAAGTCTTCGGCGCTGGCTTTGATTGTCGTCAAATCTGACAGGTTCAGGTGCAGGTATTCGAGTTTGCCCTGTGATTCGGGATGTTCCTTCTTGATCGCCTCGATAGCGGCCAGTGCCTTGGATTCAGTCCTGGCGGCAACATAGACTTTGGCGTTGTGGCCGTAGAGGATCCTGGCCACCTGGTAGCCGACGCCAGCATTGCTGCCGGTAATCAAGTATACCTTTCCAGTCTGATCAGGAAGATTCTTCTCGGTGAGTGATGGAGCGGGTAGGCCAAAAGACTGGCTCCAGAGTGCACGGAGCTTGTAGAACATTGTTGCACGAGTCGAGGCGGGTGCCCAATGCTAGGAATTGCGCTCGGGGTCTGAATGCTGATTGTGCTGTGCAGAAGTCGCAAGTATGACAGGAAACTGACAGTCCTCCGTCTTCAAAGTCGAGAGGCAGTGGCAGAAGATATACGAAATGCTGCTCGGCGCCGAACAGTCATGCTGTCCACAACAGCGATTCCATAACCAGCTGTTATGCACGTCACGGAGATAGAAATGCAACCTGGAACCAGCCCCAGGCCTATACATCCACTGCGCGATGCACCAGGCGGACCATGATCGTTTGAAAGAGGAAAAAAGCGATGAAAAGGGAGATGTCAATCGTGTTTTGCAAAGGCAGCTCCTGCTGCAGTAGCAAGAGTCGGAGATAAATCAGCCAATCAACATAGACTTGTCAGTATCGTGCATTAGTTCTGAGCTTGTTTCCGAGCTGTAGCCAGTGCTAGTGGCATCGGAGTGGCTGGGGAGCTCATGCAGCCCCCGGTGATTAGTTTAGCGCTCGCAGGTGCCGACGGTGATTCTCCGTCTAATGCCAGGCCGATGGAGCTGATTGTCAGATTGCCCTTCACCATTAGGACACTTGAAAAGCATCTCCCTGGAACCGAAATCCTGCTGCCTGTTTACTAAGAGGATCCCGCGACCCAAAATTGCAGGTCAACACTCCAAGAAACCCACTCCTCGGCTTAGACCCCTCGCTCGTAGACGGCTGTAACACGTCCGTGACCGGCCGAAACCGGACGTCTCGACGAACACGAAAGCCGGCTGTGACAAGACGTGCTCCTGAGGAGTACGAAGACTTGCTTAGATGTTGTGCGGAAACAGTGACAGCCACCGAGAGACTCGGTAGCAGACGTATCAAGCCACTACCAGAGTCTCTCCGACATCGACCAACGCTATCTCGTCTCCCCATTTCAACCCGGCCTCGTCCGCGGCCATCTTCCAGTGCTTCGCCGGCGTGCGAACATCCTCATAGTACTGTGATAGACCTCCACGGACCGTCCCCCAATGCATGCCGACTGATTTCTTGCTCCGCACGTCCTGATGGATCCGGATTGAGTCCCACGAGTTGGCATGGACATTGGACATGAAGTTTCTGGGCGAGCACAATCCTATCGGTAAGAGTGCCAGGTCAAATGGTCCCAACAGCTCACCGACCTGTTTGAACGTCGGGCAGACGGGCTGGGCGTCCTCTTCCTCTCGCGACAGGTCATTGGCGTGGATCGATCGATACGCTGTATCCCCTGCGAAGTACACATTTTTGCGTGATCCCTGCAGGTCGCGAATGGCGTAGGAGCACCATAGGTCATGGTCTCGATCCCAGATACTGCGCGACGAGAAGTGCTGTGTCGGGGTACACGTGATTTGGACCTTGCCGACGTTTTCGACGTGCACGTCAACGCCGTCCCACCAGTCGAGTTCCGTGATGGAGGACGGGTCAATGCCCAGTGCGTTCAGCCAGCGCGAGTTGTGCAGCCCCACCAGGAAATGAACCTTGGACTCTCTCCTGGCCCAAATTAATTTGAGCGACTCCGCATCCGCATGGTCGTAGTGGTTGTGGCTGATGACGACGATGTCGACTTCCACGGCATCCAGCAGCTCCGGTAGAGTGCAAGGGGTGGGCGTGTATCGCTTGGGCCCGAACCAGGACACTGGGGATGTTCGTTCCGAGAAAACTGGGTCGCACAGGATATTGATGCCTCGCGTAGCGCCCTCGGGTTTAGACGTCTGCATAAGGAAGCTGGCATGTCCGATCCAGGTCACCTTGAACCCGGAGTCTGTGTTCAAGAAGTCGACGTTCCGCACGGGGACGAGCTCTTCGCGGGTGTCAGGAACTGGCGCGAATGCCGGGCGACCCTTGCCAAAGCGCACCTTTAGAAGATTCGCAAGGCTGTGGTGGCCGGGATCGTGCGAAGGCCACGGGTTCTTGAACCCCGTCGGAGGACTGCCAACATGATGGTCCTTGGGCGCGTCAGGGAGCAGAGAAGGACGTCTGTTGACCGAGACCATACTGGCAGTGCAATTGGAGATCAAACACCTGGACCGAGTACCGGTTTTGATCATTTAATGACGGCAGCCTGACATGTACCAAAGACCTGAATGCGACGGGGAATTTACGATGAATCATCGGGATTGTATTGCGCCGCTGTAGGGCGCCACCAACACCAGCCCTCCACCCTCCGTTGACTACCTCTGCCCATGACCACGACTTCCTGCGTCCATTTCTTTCCTGCAAGATAAACATAGAACAAGCTTGAGACGACTGTGAGCCTTTAAAAAGTCCAGCCAGATACGGTTTTCAGTCTGTGGGACGCCCAACCCCCGCATCGAACGATCATGCGTCGAGGTCTGTTGCAGCGCGGGCTATTTATGAGACCAGAACAGCCCTCGTCGTCAATTGACCTCTGAAGAAAATAGACCTTCGTCCGATCACTATTAGGACGAGCCCTCCCAACGGACCGACGACCTCAAAATGGTTCCTCCGCTCATCACTCTGGAAGAACACTTCTTCTCCACCGCCATGCTCACAGGCTCAACAAGCTCCTATTCCGAACAGCTGAAACACGTCCCCGGTCTATCTGAGAAGCTCGCCGACCTAGGTGACCTGCGCCTCGAGTCCATGGAAGCAGGCAAGGTATCTCTCCAGATCATTTCCCACGCTCCCGGCCCAATGTCCGCAGCCCGATGTCGAGCCGCGAACGATCAACTTGCCGAAGCTGTCAAGAACAACCCTGACCGGTTCGTCGGATTTGCTGTCCTCCCCGTCTCGGACCCGGCAGCCTGCCCTGGTGAGTTGTGTCGCTGTATCAAGGAACTCGGCTTCGTCGGCGCGTTAATCGACAACCACGCCATCAAAGACGGCAGCGCCTCGCCCGTATACTATGACAACTCGGAATACTTCCCCTTGTGGCAGGCGGCCCAGCACCTCGACGTGCCAATCTACCTCCACCCGACCTGGCCGACCGACTCGATGCTCGATCTGCTCTACACAGGGCCAGACATCCCGCTCGCAGCCTCGAAATCCATCTCCTCGTCCGGCTTCGGCTGGCACTCCGACGTGGCGACGCACATCCTGCGACTATTCGCGGCAGGGCTCTTCGACCGCCTTCCCCGCTTGAAGGTCATCATCGGCCACATGGGCGAGATGCTCCCTTTCATGCTCGAGCGCGTCTACCAGCTCTCGCCGCGCTGGGGGCCCCGCCAACGGCCGTTCAAGCAAGTCTGGGATGAGAACGTGTGGATCACGACGAGTGGCGACTGGAGCATCAACCCCATGGCTTGTATCCTGCGGAACACCCGCGTGGACCGCGTGCTGTATAGCGTGGACTACCCGTTCGCGCGGAACGAGGACGGCTTGAAATTCATGCACGAGCTGGAGGCCAGCGGACTGGTCACGCCGGATCAATTGGAAATGATTGCCTATCGGAATGCCGAGAAGCTGTTGGGTGTCAAGCACAAAAGGCGGTGGGGTTGAGTGGAGAGCGAGGCTGTTCTTCCCGTTGGAATCATGCAACTCCCGAGTCTATGTACCGGGGTTCCACGCCATCATGGACAGCGAAGAGGTGGAACCACCTATGCTACCCGGCTGATGCCCATCGGTGTGGCTTGCTCGGGTTACTCCCTGCCTGAGAACACACCAGACCATCATGAGGATCCCGACCTGAACAAAGAGACGAAAGCAGGACTTTCAGGGCTGTGTATGCTCAAGTGACCGCCTGCCCTCAAGGCATTGCACATTGCCACTGTCGGCGTGGTGCGTTCGCCGTCAGTTCTCGTAATCGACAATCTCGTATGCTATTACATGCAACCAGAATGCAATTGCCTGGGACCTGGGCGCAAGACGATGAATGGGGGGCTTCCCCAGTTCCGTACTTAGAAGAAAGTGGCGGAAAAGTAGAACGTGTCCAACATGGAAAATTGGTTTAAGACATAGCGACAGCTGCTACAATGCTCACCACATAGTTATACACGGTACGGAGTACAGAGTAGAGAGGATGGAATCTCGCCGCACGAGGCGAACAACAGCTTGCAGGAGTAGCGAACACGAAATGACATGTTCAGTACGCCGTAGTGTGGGTTGTATCATGAGAGGGTGGTAGATATTTTATTTCCAAATATCCCAGATCGTACTGTATGTGGCTCAAATGGCGGCTCTCACCTACTAGGAGACTCAAATACTTGCCCAACCTGGTTGTCCTCTCACGGCTGTACGCCGTCACATTACCCCGTTACCCGGTTGCCAGCAAAATCGTACGCAAGCCATCCAACTCCGGCGCTGGAAATCAGATACGGCACAATTTCATCGACTCATTGCTTCCGCTCATCGCCGCCGTCCCAGTTTTCTCATTGGGGCTCCCCCACCGCCAAACTCTGCGGGATCTACCGTCCGATACCCGCTCCTTCCGCTAGGTTTCCTAGGTGGCCGCCTCTCGGGGGAATGCTCCTCAATGACCTCGACGATATCATCGCCCACGGTACTAGGCGGATCGACGTGTTCTTCCACGATGACTGTTTCTTCTTCTCTCACGATCCGTTCCCTCCGTGGGGAGCTTGCTGCGGATATCACGCGGCTGGCGCTCCGAGATGTGCGAGAAGCGCTCCGTGAAGGACGTCGGCGGTGCGAATGACGGATGATTTTCTCCTCGACCACTTGGCCGTTCCCGCCGCCACGTAGACGAAACAGCGATAGTATAATGTAGAGGATCAAGATGAAGCCGGTGATCGAGCCAACAACGATTCCCACCAGTGCCCCAGGTTGGGGACCGGAGTTTAGGCCTGCGTAGGTGGTCGGGATAGCAAGGATCTGGACCTGGCGCTTAGAGAGCTCGTGGGAGGAGATCTCGATGGAGGGTGTGCGGGGGGCGAGGAAGACGGGTTGAACCAGATTGCGGCGGGAGGGTGAGGAGAGGAGGCTCTGTTTTGTGAATTGGACGGCCTCGCGGAGGATGAGGGCGAAAAGGGACGCGACGGGTGTTTTCGATATCAGGGTGGTATCTTTGGAGCTTGACAGGGCGGTGAATGTTGAGGATACGGACCGTGAGAAGGATCGCACGTGTTGGCCAGAAGAGCTGATGCTCCTGGGAGCTATTGCTGGCGCCATTGGGAAATACGAGATGGACGACGTGCCCTCACAGAAGGAGAGAGATGTTGTTGTTGACACGAGCGTACTCCTATTCTCGAACAGGTCGGTCTTTTCGGGTGCTTTGCCTTTTCTCTCTTCTCGCTTGCTTTGCTGCCCAAATGCACGGGCAGCTGCGCTGTCTTCTTAGAGGTGGATAGGTGCGTGGTGCGGGGTCCAGTCGAGGCTCACCGGAAGGTCTGCTGAGCGAGTAGAACTGACTTCGAAGAGAGGAAGGAAAGTGCGTGCGACAACGAGCGACGACGAAAGAGAATGTACCAGACGCAACAGAACACCCAGTGAAAGGCTCTGACAGAAGGAGAGGGAAGAGTGAACTGAGAAAGTGGTGAGAGTGTCCTGGGTGACGGTGCTGGCGGTGGTTGCGAGTCAGGAAATGTCCAGATCCCAGCCACCAGTGAGCGTCATGGGCCGGACCGCGAGGCTCCACTTAAAAGCTCTAGGGGGCATCCCAGCACCAATCGGCGCGCAGGACACACTTGTAGGCTCGCCACGGTCATAAAAATGCTGGTGGTTGGAGTCTGACGATTGAAATCTCATTCCTTGCTCTCAAATTGACAATTTCGTCACCGACCAGCTTAAGCTCAGTCTGCTTCATTCAACGTGTCTGACGCGCCGTAAGAAGGCGAAGTGCACTGATGCCCGGAAAATGTGCTCCCACGAAATGCCATCTGTCATGCTGGCAGCTGCCGTTCAACATCTTCCCTGCAAGGTCGCGGTGACTAACACGGCTCTCTGCCTCAGAAATACCAAGTCTACATGTACGGAGTACAGGAACGACCGCTACGCCGGCATGTGCTCGCTAACCACAAATGATTCCCAATGCAGTCCTCAAAAGTCGTCGGGGTCGCCCAAGTCCCACTTCCTCGTCGTCAATTTGCGCTGCTTCTTGACGGGCACAGGCTCCTCGTGAATATTCGACGCCGACACCCGCGTCACACTCGAACTCCTCAATGACAGCTTTCGCGGGGACACATCGCATACATTGAGATCGTCTTCGCTCTTCTTTGCCTTGATCGTCGCGTCACTGTCTCGTGCCGAGGCCCTTAGCGAAGCCAGGAACGGGTTTGTGGCAACGTTGATGTTGGCAGACTCCTGCAGGACCAGGCCTTTCACGGGCGACTTGGATCCAGCACTTCCTCGAAACTTCTTTGTTGGACTCTTATGCTGCAGCTCTTGCTCAAGGGCTCGTAGCTGGGCTCGGAGGCGCTCGTTTTCGTGTTGTAGCTGTTCCAGCTGTCCAGTGGCGGTGGCATCTTCGTAAATGGTCAAGTTGGCTGTTTTCTCCATAAGCTCGAGTTTGCCGTCCACGAATTCCTCGCTTTTAACTCTCTCTTGCTCCCATGCTGTCCTCCATCTTTCTCTCTCCTCGTCGAGCCGCTCCTCCATCTCTCTCCAGCATTCCTCGCGGATCTCTTGCTCCATCACCTGTGCCTTCTCTGTCGCTGCCTGCAGCTTCAACTCGGCTTCGGTGCGCTTGATTTCTTCCTCGGCGAGCCTGACAACAAGCAGATCGCATTCCTCCGCTAGTCTTGCAGCTTCGTGAGTGGCCTGTTCCAATTCTTTCGCTGCGAAGTAAGGATTAACAGCGTCGTGTGGAGTCGTGCGGCCACTGGGCAACGCTTTGCCTTGACCTCCACCGGCTAATATTGTGCTGGTCACACTAGGTACTCTGGGCACCGTCACCTCTCTTGCCATGGCCGAGTATCGCAGGATCTGGCTCGTGGCGTTGAAGTCTCCTTGAGGATCTGCTGTGACGATCATAACACCCTTCTGTGGTTGACGATATGCCGAACCGTGATTGGCAGACGGGAAAGAGTTCGAAAATAACAGCTCCGTAAGTTTACACTGGCGGAATGGCACAATGGGCTTGCTGCCTTCTTGCTGGCAGTCGTTCATGACTTGCAGACATTGGCCCAGATACATCAGGCTTTCGTTGATTTTTCCGGCTTCGGCCAGAGTTGAGCCTGTAGTTTTGGCATTTCGAGCACGCTCAGAGCCAGCGAGATCGCAGATCGTCATAGTGCCACCAGTCCACAAAAAGGAATGAGCCATCACATATCCACTGTACTGTGGCCTGCTTCGCCTCTTGACTTCGACGCAGAAGAAGCCATGGCTCCTGGAGCTCACACTGTTGCTGCCAGTCCCTGCCACTCTTCTTTCAGTCAAGCCGGTTTCGAGGACCATCATCGCTTCATCATAGCTCCCGCACACAATTTTGCGAAGACCTGCCACGACTTTGACGTCCGGAGACATCTCAGTGTTCTTGAACAACAGTGGGCGACGCATCAAGCCTTTCTGTAATGCTGCCCCTTGCCTGGTTGCCGTCATGGGGGCATTCGGCAAAGAAGGATTCGAGAGGAGGTCAAAGATACGATCGTTGTACACCTCGTACATTGAGACGAGTACCACATATTCGGCTTGCTGATCGATGTCGGCGGCAAATGATGTTACATCAGGATGTTGTGGGAGAGTGGACGGTGGAGGTAGCGGTGGCCTTCGAGTAGAATGACCCATGGATTCCTTCACAAGCATGAGTTTAGCAGGTGACTTTTTCAAGTTTCTCAAGCGGTTCATGAAAGGGACTTTGGATGGAGGCCGCCATGGTTCCTTCTCGAACGAAGGATCTTGCTCGGTCCCACACGAAAGCATCAGCACTGTCGACGCCGTGGAGTGATTGGAGACCGATGTCACCGAAGGACGTGCCGTCCTACTTGAAGGGGAAACGGGGAATGAGCCGGGAAGCTCGTGGGTGCTACTGCGTACCATGGGTGTTTGGGCTCTTGACATAGGTGTCTGAGCTCGGGACAGTCTCGCTCGGTCGCCATCTCCATACATTGATTCGAGGAAGGTCGTGGCGGACAAGATATGGGCTTCTGAGGGGTCAGATGCCTGAAGGGAGGACAGAAGGGCGGTATCCGTGGGCAGATCTGGATGATGAGGACGCCGAATGTGCTCTCCAATGGATCTGAAGAGGACGTCGAGGGTCATCTGCGTCAGTCCTCGTTCGGACTTTGATCCGAGAATTGTATGGCTCTATCTTGCTCGTCAGCTATTGCTGGAGGCACATTTGGTTGCATATACTTTTCCGCTCCCCGTGACCCCCAATGTCGCGACTAGACCGTCTCTGCCCGTTTGAAGCAAGCTCCTGATTGTGTCTGCTGCACCTGTCTCATCGAATATGTCGAGCTGTCTAGCCTCCTGCCGAAAGATCTTTGTAAATCCAAATCTTTCAATCGCTCGCTTTCTCGAATCATTGGGCGGCTGCAAAGTGATATGCGTGGAAGAAGGGTCGTTTATGGCATCGGTTTGCTCAGTCGGCGAGCTCGGAGGTTCGACAATGAGCCATGGTTCTGTCGCTTGCCTGGGTAAAGCTGGTTGAATCGGAGGCCTCAAGCGAAGGTAGACTTGGAAGAGCGAAGCTTGCGGCGCCATCTTGTTGGAGGTATCCATGGTGCAAAGACAGGAGGATCCAAGCATGAGATTATTGATTCTTGGAGAGGTCAACTTGACGGTCAACGCAAGGCGGGCAGTGCGGTCAAGTGTACCTAGGTAATTAGAAGTGACTCGGAGTCTCTCGGGATTTTGTGGCGTTTGTTGTTGGCCGCCTAAAACGGAAAGGGCGAGTCGCGCTTATTGCTACAGCAGCAAGAGCAGCAGCCGCTCCGCTACGGCCACGCATATCCTTCTCAAGCGCATTTACGTGCCAGAGGTCAAAGTGATCTTCCAAAAGTCTCTTGCTAATCTTCATTGACGATGTGTGACAGAAAGGTCATTTGTGTTCATCAGACGTTACGCGTATCGCTGCTTACATGAATAATGATGAAAAGCATACCTTCACCGAACGAAGGCAGGATACTCCGAACCCACGAACGAATCTTCGTACAGCACCCTTTCTGGGCGATTTCTTATGCGAAAAAGCTGCTGCATGCGAATGCTTCAACTTTGACAGGCTTCACGGGCTGGAGGAGCACAAGAGCCCCGGTCACTAACCGTACGGGGTGCGAGATACGATCATCGATAGCGAAGCTCGTTTGAAGCTCTGGCTCGAATGTCTGGTCGATGAACGCTTGAGGTCTGATCAACAAAACAACCTCTGGCAGAACACGCCTACGAGTGGTTGAATTCAGACAAAGAGGTACGAGTTGGCAAGGGGCGGGTGCAGGGAATGAATGCAAAAACTGCGATGCTTGGTCACCATTCGGCCGACACCTAAGTGACACACACGACACAGTACATAGGTGAGGTGAAACACCGTGGACGATGAATGCGTCAGCCAAGGCCTGACTCGGACTCAAAAGAGCCCGAACCACGGCGACTGACAAAGAAAGCTGTCGACGGCCTTTACCTTCCAGTACCTTCCAGACCTTCTCACTGGGTGCTCACGAGGGGCGGTCATGCCTTACCTAATCCCGTCCTTCATGCCCACCAGCTAGGCGCTGATAGAGGCCGTCACCCCGAGTTCATGTGAACTGTAGACGAGTCGCCTTGCCCTGGGCGCAGGTGGGATGACCACCTGTCCCATCAGCAAATAGGATGAGTGAAGGCCGAAGCGCGAATATGACTAAACTCGTACCTCGTCACCCCAAAACTTTATTGCGTCCGTGAATGGTAAACGGCCTGGTTACATAATGGAGTGAAGCACATGTAGCGCATGAAGGGAATCGCTCCTGCAAACAACAGCAATTTCTATGCTCGCTCTTTGAGCTGCTAATCTATATAAAGAAGCCCGCCTTGAACCAGACCAGAAACCAATACATCACCCCAACGTACGTGCATAAAACTTCTATTCACCGAAGCGGATTGGGCATATCTCAATTCTATCTCTGCAACACCACTCTCAAATCTCTCTAAACCTGGGCCTTAGGAACATCTCCAAAATGTCTCAAAGGATCATAACTGTGTTCGGCGCAACAGGCAACCAAGGTGGGAGCACAGCCAGTGCGATTTTCAACAACTCCAACTTGGCTTCCAAGTACAAAGTCCGGGCCATCACTCGGGACCCCTCCAAGCCAGCGGCACAAGCTCTTGCATCAAAGGGAGCTGAGCTTGCCCAAGCCGACATCAACGACATCGAGAGCGTCAAGGCGGCTGTGGCAGGTGCCTACGGTGTTTTCGCGGTCACCAATTACTGGGAAACCCAGGACAAGAACGCCGAAATCAAGCAAGGGAAGAATGTCGTTGACGCGTGCAAGGCAGAGGGCGTGAAACATCTCATCTGGTCAACATTGCCGCACACGGGCAAATTAACCAACGGCGAGCTAAGCAAGATTGAGCACTTCGAGTCAAAGGCTGAGGTTGCCGAGTACGCTGAGCAGGTCAAAGGTGACATGCTCGTCTCGTACTTTATGCCAGGCTACTTCATGTCGAACTTGACAAAACAATTCAAGCCGGACGACTCGGGGATCCCCACATTGAGTTTGCCATGGAACGCAAAGACTACGTGGGTGCCTATGCTCGATATTCAGAAGGATACCGGGTTGTTCACCATGGGTCTCCTCGAGGCTGGTACAGCTGCGAACGGTGTCTACGTCCAAGGTGTCAGCGAATGGCTTCACCCACAAGAATTCGTTGATCAACTCGCGACGGTCAACGGCAAGGATATCAGATTCCAGGAGGTGCCAGCTAGTGTTGAGTCGATAGCCAAGATCGGCAACAAGGTCGCAGAAGAACTTCAGGAGAACATGCTCCTCATCCGAGACTGGAGCTACTATGGCAAGGGCGCTGAGAAGAGTCAGGCCGAGAGCGACAAGTTCCTGCTCCCAGGCTCGAAAAAGGTCACATGGAAGGAGTTTGCTGAGAATAACCAGTGGCCATTTTGAAGGAAGATACAGTCGTGCATAGGCGGGCCGCGATCGCCAATGGAGCTGCAATCATCAGAGAGTGCACTCCTCACAACATGTAGTAGCTTAAGTGACTTCAGTCTCGACGAAGCAGATAACAATGAATAAAGACACCTCAGTCACGACTTTGCCATCACGCACCATTTGTTCTCGTCCCTCCTCACACAATGTGCCTTGCATCTGCGCACCCAGGTGCTGCGCTTCCCGCCACGTTAATTTGTCACCATCCACTAAAACGACGTCGACGAATCACAGTCCGCGGCTGGCTGGCGTCGGGTCTTATTCGCCGGCCACAAGCCAAATCCATCTCGCTTAGTTAGGCCATTCAAGCCATCGCAGCCAGAAACGAGCTGATGCGTTAGTTTGGCTGCTAACAGGTCGTTCAATTTGAGCTCTTCCTGCCCCCTTCTATGCGCTCTAAAAAGAAGCTTCTTGCGTCCAAGATGTCATCCGTCCAGAGCTCAACCCACCCTGGTGACGGGCTCGTCCTTCCTAGCCGCATCACAGAAAGCTTGGGTCTCAATCCGACTGCCCATCATGGACCCAAGCGCCCACGAGACAGTAGATGAGAGAGGGGAAGCCAGTCATGCATCGGCATCAACACCACCACAACCTCAAACAGCACCTGCAGGCACGCATGACGGTGTAGGGCAGCTTTCTCAGCAGCAGCGCGAGACGCGTGCAACTCATCGAACAACTCAGACTGCTCCGCAATCAGTTGAGCCTACCTTTTTCGGAGAAATTGCAGGGACAGGTAAGCCCAGGCCAGAACCCCTGCATCCTTGGTTAATCCGTAATGACAACTTGCAGATGGCCCTTCTCCGTATGAGTCGTTGCATTTGCGCGTGACCAGGGCGTATGAGAGACATACGTACCAGTACTGGTTCGTGGCCACACTGTCAAATTCCCTGCTCTTTGTCCAGATCGTCATTGCGGCCAGTCTTACTGTACTGGGTGCATTCAATGATCGCAGAGCTCGGACTGCAACAATCTTCCTCGGTGCTTCCAACACAGTGATCGCTGGTCTCTTGACTTACTTCAAGAGCCGCAATCAACCCAACCGGGCCAGACAGTTCCGCAACGATCTCGCCGCAGTCGTCGACCAGCTCAACGATACGGAGGCGAATTTCAGAAACCCCAACTGGCAGGGTGATGAGTCTGCAGAGTTGCAGAAGATCAGAGACGCCTACAAGCAGGCCCGGCTCGACGCTCAAGCGAACTACCCCGACCTCTGGGTAAAGGGGACGAGTCCGTATAATCCTAATTATACGCCGCCACTCGACACGGATCCAATAACAGGTGTCTCGGGGCTCCCGTCGCAACTCCATCGTCATCGTGGGCAGGTCTTTTCACCACCAGGTCCGTCAGCTCCACAGGGGTGAAGACCTAGATGAAGCTTATCGATGAAGGTTCGGAGATTCGAGGTTGCTTCACTTAACACGGACTGGAACGGACTGCACAAGACCCTGCTGGACTGGACCTTGGACATACAATATCGCAGATATCCTACTCTCCTCGCTTTAACTACTCCGAAACGCGCTCCGCCGCGCATACCGCGGACTGTTCATGGCACGATATGGGAATGGGGAAGACACTTGCATCAACAACTCTTAACCTCGTCACTTCCAGCACGCGACAATGACTGTCCACCACTTTTCCCATCGGGGAAATCCCCATCGGGTAATCCAAACTAAGACCTAAGTCCGCAATACGCTAATCAAGTTCTTCGTCGGTCGCGTCTGCCACCGGAACATGGGTTTCTGGTGGAACCTCATGTGGAACGAGAGGCTTCCCGGCCTCGGTTCCGAGTAATATCGACGCCGCTCTCCTGAGGTTCTCCCCGACTTCCGGATCCGACGATCGCCTTGGTGCCGTGTTTCTCCAGCTCGGCCCGATCGCCTATGCCCGACAGCTTGAAAATTTCATTACATTTCACTCCACCTTCGCAGCCCCAGCAGCCAGCGAGTGGACAGAAAGGGTGGAAGGTGGAGGGGTGGGTGGGGGGTCGGAAGGGGGGAAAGGAAAGGATGTCGCAAACTGGAAACCCCCAGATCCAGTAGAGTGATACTCAAATCGGAGGAGACGTGAGCCCTTCCGTGGTGCAAGAGTCTGACTACAGTAATCAGGCGACCTGCTCATCCTGCTTAGATTCCGGCGGTACCATGGGTGACAAGTACTTCGTAGTAAACGGATTGTGTAGTGGGTCAGTTGGCGGTCGTTTTTGGTCATGCTACTGGTGATGCGGGTAGGTCAGGGTGAGGACCACTCGCCGGATCACGTGAAATCGAGCTCAAAAGGTGGTACCCGTGGGAGATGTATCGAATGCAACGGGCTCATAGATTCCAAAACTGTACCCATGCTGCTTGCGCCCCCTTTCCTAGAGGGATGTGGCATATATGGGCTTTGAGGTCCCGTGTTGGTCGCGCATCCACTTCTATAGGACTGTCCCAGATACACTACGGACTGTTCATTGACACGTGTTGGAATGGCGTTTACTACAGATATGCTTCGTAGGTCTACACAGTACGGTGTACCTACAGGGTACTGTAACAGAGTATGGTAATACTGCTCAGACGAGCGTAATGACACGAGACCTGTCGAAGTGTGATTAGACCGGAGCACTGGCTTGGTCGCATGGTCTCGAGGTTGTGTTTGACAAGTGACAAATTTCCAGGCTGCATCCGCATTGCCGCGGCGTGGTATCATAGGTACAAAAGGTCACTAACAAGTTCGACGAGGCGCCCCCAACTCCTTTATACATACTCGATATCGGTTCGACGTCAGAATGGACAGCAATGGCCGTGCTGTGGCTCACACCTAGAGACTTCAACATCGCGTGTGGTCGTCGAAAAATGCGCTTGCGTCCCAAGGAACGAAGGAATCCTCGATCAACCGCATTGACAGCAGCCTTGCTTGTTTGTCCAGAAATTCAGGCAGCTAAGAAAACTCTAGTCAGCACGCAGAGCAGAGCACAGAGACGAGGCATGTTGGCTTGAGCATCACCTACCCGCCACCTGTTGCCTCGAAAAGCAGACATCCGTCTCGGGACTTGTAGTTCATGCTGCGATAACAAAATGGTCAGTGATCCCTGAGACACTTGAAGCAGTCAACGATTAGTAAAGTGTCTGGTGACTGCAATCCGCTCGAGCGTAGCCTGCAAGGGCGTGCGACAAGGGACACGATTGAGGACTTCGAGGATGGCCATGGTAGAACGTGGTTGTCTTGGATGATCATCGGCCCATCTACGATCTGACCCTCGTCGACAGAGCGGGCATAGTGACGGGACAGACGTACCATCCACTGGTGTTATCGCCATAATTCATACAACCTTCTGCGTTCTTTCCAACGACCATACACCCTGATGCGCCTTCGCCGAATGTCATACAACCTTCCTCGGTCCGTCTCTTGCGGTCCTGGTGGTCCGCTTCTGGTGCGCGCTGCTGTTCCGTTGGTTGCGACTGCGTTAGGGCCGTCGACTGCGTATTCTGTTGCTGGGAGGGTGTTGATTCTCGTGCTTGTAGTGGGTCAAGGCTATGCGCGGAGGACGACCGCGAGGATGCTGCCTCATAGGGCGGTGGAGGGTCCATGCGTGGAAAGGCCCTGGGTGCGCTTCGGCTGGGAGGAGTGGTGGGACTTCTGAGCTTGCCCATCGTTTATGGTCACTGTGAAGACAGATGTTGGAGAACTCTGCCTATGTCGACGGTGGAATGCCGGCCGTCTTTGTAAAGCGAGTCTATCCGTCTATCCGTCTGTCAGTGTATCAGAAGATGCTCACAATATAGATACTGTTAAATGAGGTTGTCTCGCGGAATGAAATCATCACCCGCACAGCGATCTTATAAGTCATTCAATGCATTCCTACGAGTACCATCGAACCATGGAAGCTAAATGATGGACTGATGCCAGCATCATTGGCTGGTGCTCCGAATACGACACTGCAATTGGCTTGTTTGGTGGTTGCCTGAGGATTGGAGAAGCGAGAGAAGCTCGCTAGATGAGGCTGGACAAGTGTGGCTGAAGCAACGAGCTCGACTATTCGCTGCATCTCATCAGTTACGGTGCAGCCTGAATGAGGTCGTTGAAAGATCCAAAACTTGGAATGTTTTGGAATGGCAATGGGATGCACGTCGATCAGGAGAAAGGTGAGGTAGCTCTGCTTGGTTGTTGTGAGGGTCAGAACGTGGGTAGGGAGGGTTTCCCACCCGGTGTTCATACGTTGCACGAGGTCGTCATGTTGAAACTCCCGGGTACACATACTGTTGGACAAGGCGTGAAAGGGTTCTAGAAGTAAATAAAGTCAATGTCGCGCCGTAAGTCGAAGAATATACGGAGTAAGGCGTCGCGAATTGTCATGTTGAAGAACACCCAACACCCTCCGTTGACCCGTGACAAGAACAAATATAGCATATGACGCGATCGGAGGCCGTGCCACAGCGCATCGGCGATAGGCCAGGTTTAAGCTGAGCGATTTCACCTCCGGACAGACATCAGCGCATACGCTTACTGGAATGTATCACCGTACCTGGTAGGATTGCGGATTACTGTGTGCTTCCACACATCATGCCACAAGGGCATGTCCACAGTACACTCCGTACACAGTACTGGGTCAGGAGCAATGGTACCATCAGGTGATTGCAAGAAGGATCAGTTATCGATAGAGCAATTTCGACGCAATGTTCTAGTAGGGCGCACGGGCCAGGAGTCGAAGACAGTTCACGCGTGGCAATTGGGCGACGGGGCTCTGGCCACTGGGGCGCGCTGGGGGCTTGCTGTTAAACTTGCCGTTGGAGGCTCGGCGTGTTGCCCCTGATGCTTGTCTAGCAGTCGCTGGGGTGGGCGCAGCCGAGAAGCGCAGGGTTGACAGGCTCTTGAAAACAGCGCCCATCCCCTCCAACAGCATCGCATCTCCTCTCCACCAACCGCTCAGCTGTTAATTCCCTACCATCGCACGCCCCGACACCTTGCAACAAAGTTGCATCGGCGACATCCACACTCGTTTTGATTCTATCCCCGCAAACGCCTTGCTCATCCTCGATTGATCCCGCGATCCGTCTCTCGCTGTGTGTCCCCGCGGATTCTGACCTCGGAGTTGGCACGTCTCGGTGAGGTTCCGGCTGGGCCTGGATCACAACAATGGGCTACAATAATCACTACCGATCGGTTTCGACCAACGATGCGGCCTTTGCTGCGCTCCCTGAGAAAGGCCCGGTGAGAGCCGGTTGGGGTAAACAGTCCATCTTCCTGTCAATCGCGACGGGCACGCTTTTCATTGCCATCGTGGCCGCCGTCCTCTCCATGATCTCATCCGTCTTCGTTTCTCACGACACCTCCTCCCAAGCAGTCGCCAGCTCGACCGCCAGTGCCGCCGCCGTTGTCGCCAGCACATCTCTTACCTCAGCGACCCCCGTTGCGACTCCCATTGTCGACGACGATTCATTAAAGACCGTCGAGGACTCGAAAACGCCTGAGGCCCCGATACAGAATTGCGGAAATACCCCCGATGAAGCAAGAGCAAATGGCTGCGTCTTTGATGTCATGATGCAACTCTGGACGCCTGCCGACTGTTTCGACGAAGTCCTGTCAAACCGGTTCCTCGAGGTCGGCAACTGGACCTGGTATGCCGATCCCGGCGCCAGTCACATTTACACCCTGGAGGAAATGAGAAAGGGCGAACACGACGCGGTCTACGTCGCGCAGGACTATCACGTCACCCATTGCATTTACGCGTGGGAGAAGCTGGTCCGTGCCATGCGCAACCAGGAACCGCTCATCACCGAACTCATCTCCTACGACCATGTCATCCACTGCCGCCACAAGACTCTCCAGAGACAAGACGGAGGCGCCTCAATCCGTGGCGTCCGCGCACCAACTGGATGGACACAATGCGCCCCATACGCCACATGGATCAATCACCTGCCTCCCAACGAGCATTCTTCAGTCGACTGAAGAACCGGACCGTTCCGTCCCTGGCGTTGTGGGGAGTTGGGAGTTGGGCAAATGACCTGGAGTCTCTGTTCTACATATAATGGCCGAAATACCGAGAGCGACCGCTTTGGCCCTTGAAAAGGTGGCGCAGTGCAAAGAAAAACTGGCAGTAGCGATTTACTGGGGGCGTCTTGAACCCGTGGGTCTGGCCTTGCGGCCCTCGCTTCTATCCATACCAGTTCCACCGGTGCCAAAAAAGCGAGGAAACACTCCTATGCGAGGCAGAGCGAGGGAAAGAGACCCTCGATTCGGGGTTCGCCGGAGCTGGAAGACCCGACATACGGACACAAGAAGACAATTTAGTGCGGGTCTTTGGTTACCTTAGTTGACGAGACGAGACCCTACAATAACTCTTTCATTTTTTGTCGATAGTACACTGAATGCTATATGCCACAATATCGCCCGAGACGTTTACAACATGGGGCCTCCGATCCCGTTTTGTCATCAGGGGCTAAACGCGGAGGATCAATAAAGCACATTTCAGGAACCTGTTGATCCTCTTCCCTTTGCAAGTCGTACCGAAAATCAAACCAAGTCGAAGAGGGCTAATATGGAACACAGAAGCGAATTGAGACTCTAGTCGGCGACTCTCCTTTCTTCTAGTGGCGTGGGATGAGGTTGATTCAGCCTCGTTGGTGGCTCAGACCATATCCAAGATCCACGAGCTCTGTCCTCCTGCGCTGCTCAAGCTCACCCCTGCCATGTTCCTGCTCAAGGCCTCGGCAGGCTTTTGTCCTATCCAAACAGCTTCACTTCGATCCAGCCCTTCCTGAATATCCCAACAGTCGGAGCCCGCGGCATATATCACACGCCCGTGGAGATGCTTTTCCCTCATGCCCCTTTCATGGCCTTTCTCGTACCATATACCTCCCCCGTTTGTGATTCCACCTCCGGCTGAACTGTCTTGCCCGTTGATATCTGGTGTGGTAGAATTCGTTGCAACCACTCCCACCACGACGCGAGCCACATCCTCTGGTCTGTCGGGCGGCAGTTGCACAGACATGCTCCTACCCCCGGCTTGTGCAACGGCCCGCGGAATCATTACATTCGTGACGACCGCATTGATCCTCACGCCATCTCGCTCTGGATCCGGATCGATTCCTGTCCGTAGGCTGCGGACCAGACCCAAGATCGAATGCTGCGTCATCTGATATATGGGCAGTTGTGGAGTCTCCTTGAAGGCCGAGGTAGACGTCATGAAAGTCAAGCTTCGGTCATTCGTCCCAGTCGATGTGGGTGGTTCAGCCTGCGCCGTTGAATAGGGGTTGACAAACTTCTTGTTATTCTTGGCCTTCGGCGAGTACTTTAGATATGCCATCGCAATGCGAGCGAAGCGAACACTGGCGGTGAGTATGTCTCCTAAACCCCCAGGCTCCGTCGCAACTTCATCATAGGCCATCTTGGCGGTCTTGTTGATTCCTGGTCGATCTTCGAACCAACCTTTCTCCCCACCACCCACTGTACTAGCCTGACCACCATCCTCGCCAACGCCGAATATGGCGTGGTCGACGCGACCGTACATTGTCACTGCTAATTTGAAAAGCTCCAGCATATCGGAATATCTGGTCAGATCGCATTTGTTGAAATGGACCACATGAGGAGGACCCAGCGATGAAATGAACTTGCGAGCTTGATCCGGGTTTGTGTCCCCAAAGAGAACGCGGCATCCGGCAGCATGGAAATGACGAATCATGGCTTGACCGACCTGGCTGGCACCGTGCGTGAGCACAATGACTTTGCCGTGAAATGCTTCCTTCGGCAGGACTGGCGGAGTAAAGCGACACGGATTGGAGGTGAAGACTTGAGGAACGGACGACAGGGATTGAGATTTCTTGGCCCGCTGAGTGCTGAATGGGTTCACTGGTGCGGGCGTCGAGGACGTGCCTTGTTTTGGGGATGCCGGCGAGATTGCTACCGACGGAGGAGCGGGTTGAGTTGGTGTCGCTGGTGGAGCTGTAGCGGACGGCGTCTTAGGGGAGGCGATCGGGCTCGTTGTCTGGACCACTGATGGCACAGGATTTACCACGGCCGTAGTCCCCGTGAGTTCCGAAGGAGCAGCTTGAGATACAGAGACCCGTTTCTTCTTTTTGAGAACCGGGGCCTGGACATCTTGTTTGGGTGGCTCAGTCGGAGGGGGCTGTTCCTTCGGTTTGACTGCTATTAAATCTGCTTCGAGTTCAAATGTATGGGGCGTCTTGGTGACAGTCTTCCTTCGACGAGCTGGTTTCGCCTCTTCGCTGGCATTGTCACCGTTTGTGCCAGGGACCTCTAGTTGCTGAGTGGGAGCTGGGGATGTCTCGTAAAATGTTTCGTTTTCCTCCCTGGTAGCGGTCGACATGATGCTCCGGATGGGGGAGATGGTGTCGGAAGTCCTCGAAGTCTTGGAGACCTGGCGCGAGATAGTTTCACCATTCGTGGTCGAAGAGGCTTCGCTAGCCCACGGATTGGGAGACACCGAGTCGCTGGACTGGGAAGTCACGTCGAGCTGAGAAGCGGCCTCGAGCTCGCTTCCAGATCCCCTCTTTGTCAGCTTCTTCCGCAGAGTGTCCTTCATCCTGGAAGATGCACACTACCGAAAAGCCTTCCGCCGCATCTCGAAGGACGGAGGGAAGAAGGCGTGGCCTGATAAGACAGTACTATGAACAGCGTAGCAGTGGAGAGTGAAATGGAACTGATTGTGGGGTTCCAACGGCGGCAACTGATGCCGACGGCAGTGACGCCGCTGGTTGCAAGGGAAGGAACAAGTCAGGCCAGGTGCTTTTGGAAGAAGGCAACTGAGGCGGCCAAGGAAGTCACGTTGAACTGAAAATCCAGTTGGTCAGTCAGTCTACAGTCCTTACATGGTCACAGCTGACAGAACAGCGACGAAGACCACATGGTGTTGTCCTCGTGCGTTCACCATGTTCTAGACTTTTGCCAATCGTGGCGGCCTATTTTTCGATAGGGGTTTGGTAATGCCTGAGGAAGCGCTGAGAAGGGAGCGGAAGAAGTCTTCATCACCGCCCCGATTTGCTCGTTTGCATGGCGCTTGTGCTCGGATGTACGACATGGCGTCTTCATTGTGCGACGGTCCTCCACGTGGGCAGCACAAGACTCGGTCCATGCGCAAGCGACGTACATCTCCGCCGAGCATCGGAAACCAACTGTCGCTGTCGCAATGGGACGGTCGGTTTGTTTTTTGGCATTACAGTCTTGTCGAGTTTATCGCCCCTACTTCAGCCAGATCGGACACGCCGGGAAACATACAAATATTGCCGCTGCTGACTTAGCAAGTATCAAGGATACGGTCATTCCGCGGCTCCTGTTTGAGTTGCCAGATCGATATTAACTACATTCTGACTAAGGCGGACTGCCTGGACTCTTGATATATCAGCAAGGAGACGACTTCACTTGGCACCTGCGACTGCCTCGGTCGCTCAGACAGTTAAGTATATATACGTAAGGGGAACCTTCAATCGTGGTTCAAGGAAAAAGGAACGACAACACTAGAGATCGACAACATGGGCGAAGACGCAGAGTCCTCTCCGCGTGCTCACTCTTCCTCCTTCCGCCCAACCTATACTCGCGAACAACTCGCCACCTATGTCTCGAAGCACATAGCTCCTTCACCATCGTACTCACTCGAAACACTCGAGGCCGAGATTCAAGCCGATCCGCTTGCCGCGCTTGGGACTCTTCAACTCCGCCAAATGGCATTCAACCCCTGGGGCAACCTCGCGCTACATTACTCCTGGCACCGCACCATAACCCTGGACTCCGACGCTTTGTACCACAAGATTGTAGAGAGGGGCCTAGGGGGGTATTGTATGGAGAACAATGCGTTCTTCTCAACCATCTTGAGAAGCCTGGGGTATCAGCTCTATGTTACTGGAGCGAGAGTCAGTCACTCCCTGGACGGAGACAAGGACGACCCGGGGTTCGCGGGATGGCAGCACGAAGTCATCATCGTGACCATTGACGGTCAGAAGTACTTGGTCGACGTCGGTTTCGGCTCTACCTCTCCGCTGCACCCCATTCCGCTGGACCACAAGTCAAACAAGGTCTACAACTCCGTCCCTGGTGCCGAGATCCGACTGGTGTACCGCCCGATAGCGTCGAGTAAGTCGAACACAACCGCCATTCCACCTTGGTTTTCAAGTGGCTAACAAAGCTCCAGACACGGACCAATCCCAACACCTCTGGGTTCTCGAGTCCCGTAACAAATCCTACCCTCAATGGCAAGGCTGTTACTGCTTCAACACCCTAGAATGGCTCCCCTCTGACTTCGAGATAATAAACTATCGCACGTCACAGGATCCTGCTTCCTGGTTCACCCATCGTCTCGTCATGGTGAAGATCCTCGTTGACGACGAAACGAGAACGAAAGCCACAGGGACGGTCATTTTGGGTGGCGAGAAGATCGAGCGGAGGTTGGGAGAGGCTCCGAAAGAGGTTGTGGTGGAGGCCAAGAGTGAAAGTGAGAGAGTGGAGGGGTTAAAGACCTGGTTCGGCATTGCTCTGAACCCGGACGAGGTGAGAGGTATAAGGGGCACGGCGACGGAGATTAGGAAGCCGCCCACTGTATGATTTTTCGTTTCTGGAGGTTAATGAACGATGTACGTGCGGCGTTCCGAGTTTGATTCTGCCGCGTAGCCTTGACATGTTCATCGTCATGAGGGCCAAGGCTCCTTGCAGCTGATCTATCTTCGTCTGAAGTCTTCCACATGGCGTCCAGTAGGGTATGTGCCCGTCCTATTTTGGCGCTTGTCTCCTCGCACAGCCATGTGGCCAGAGGGCTTCGAATGCAGGTGCTGCGCAATGTTGCGTATGAGAGTCAATGACATGCGTGATCATGATAGGAGACGGAGAGCGAATGCAGGTTAAGCCAGCAACACAAAACAGATCATGCCGACTGTTCGGCCCGGTTGACTTACTGTCTTGATAGGCTTGCGGCAGCCAGTGACGACGTATGAAACAGGGTCCTCGTAGCACCACCGATTTGACATGTCTGGGGAGGCAGAGGTATGTGTAATGTCACCGCTGTGTCATATTCCACCCATTGCCGTTGCGAGGGCTCGGGGATCGACCTGTACACAGTATACGCCACATGCCCTTGATGTCTCAAATGGGATTTGGGCTCGTGGGGAATGTGGATGGATCCAACGAGGCTGTGTTTTGGGCGGCGCCCGCGCGCGGGGGGGGGGGGGGGGGGGGGGTGGGGGTTTGTGGTTTTATGCCGCAGTAGTCCTCCATTTCCTGGTATGCGACAAAGTGAATGAGATTGGCTGGCATGGCCGTACGGCAACCAGCTAATCTCCCCTTGCGCTGGGCTCCACATTCGGCCGCAGTGTCGAGTTGTGGGATCAGACAACATATATCGTACGAAGATCTAGCTATTCGTAAGGGGCGAGGCAGACTGTTCTCCCAGGTTCTCAATTGAGGAATCGAGAAGTACAAATGAAGTGGAAACTGGCATCGATCACACAGAGTCCGGAGAGACTGACAACATTGTGCTTGTTTCCTGGATGATAATGACAACTTCAGCATATGAGTTCCTGCGGTCGAGTTATGTCGGCACTGGATATCAGCCGAAGCAGGATGAAGTAAAATTTGCCAAATGCAAGTCAACCAAAGTCGTTAAGAGCGAAAGATGCTGCTGGAGGAGATTCGGGGCACGACTGGAAGGGTCTCTTGAGCTGAGCGTACGGCATTGTCTACTGTTGTAGGCCGACATGAAGCCTGGAATAGCTGTGGCTATAACTTGCGCTACTGCTCTGCGAAGCTTAATTGCGGTTCCCAGGAGACACCGCTATCCGCCCAACACCACCGACCTGGTGCTTGGCCTCTGAGCCGGTCATGAACATTGAATGGTAGTGGTCCAGAATTCGTGGCGTGTATCGCCCAGAAGTCCGTTCGATGACTACTGGCTCTTGTTGTTTTTGGGCAGCTTTTGCGGGATTCTGGATAGCCCATGTCGCAGCAAACCGGCGAACTCGTGCCGTATTCAGTCAATCTGATACCCCATGCTGTACGGAGTAGGTAGATGGCGGAATGCCCCTCGGCGGCTCGACCCTTGTATCTCCCGATGTTTTTTGTAAGTAGTCTTTGCTATCGGCTTTAGCGAGAAGACGTATTGGAGCAGTCCGACTGCATCTTGATTCTACTTTTAGTAGTTCCGTTCTGTTAGCTCTCAAGGAGGTCAGTACGAATACGCCAGCGTGTGAGAGCCCAACTGTATCGACGACATCAAGAGACAGAGAGAGTGACGAGAAGCGAACCTATGATGTCAATTTGAGGAGCCGTTAGAATTCCACTTGCGAAAGACGAGCTTCAACCTTATCGAAGCGAAGGAGATGTACGAGGTAGGCTAGCTCAGCGGCTGGGCAACCGGGAGGGTTGATATTTTTGGTGTCCTCCAGAGTCCCAGTCCCGAGACAATACGATCTCTTGGTGACTAGCTGCTAATGGGAATACTCTCGAAGGTCTCCGGGCATCATTCTTAATATCAGTCGTCCAGACGGCTTTTGGGGATCCGCCGTGACGTGGCGGATCAACCGATCGCACGGAGTACTGTGTAGAAGGCAGATTCTTGAAAGGAGAGGTGTAGGTCATGTGCGCCAAATACAGCTCCTGTGATGGCGTTCAGGAAGCGGCGGCATTGTGGAATGAATCCGGTCAGTAATCGGGCAGACTCTTGTTCCAGAGCAAAGGCGACTGCTCCTGGACCGCAGGATCCGGAGACCACGGACCGCAGCAAACGGAACGGTTCTGTGTGGATATCGGAATAGGGACAACATCTCGCTTGGATATTACCCCAGCCACGAAGGATCTCATCGCCAAGGCAAGGCTCACTCGTAGCTGGCAGTGTCAAGGCTACTCGTAGGGCGATGAATACAGGGCGGCCGACAATAACCCGCCCTCCTAAGAGAGGCAACTTTGGCATAGGGACTCACACTCGTGTCCGTATTCCGATATGAGCATCGTTGACGGCAGCTGTGGTGTGTGATTGCGCGTCCAACCAAGACCGCTCGATAACGGTCTCGACGCATAGACGGGAGTATTCTGCATGCTAAGCTTTCTTACCGAAGGAGTGTGTGGGGTGCACTGGCAGGGGACGTCCTTCGTGGCCGCGGAGTGGTAACGCTCCAGTCGGATATGCGGCAGACAGAGAACCGCGGAGAGAATGTGCCGTCTCAGGAATGCAGGTATCCAAGGATGAGCAGCTTGTGAGCGAATCACCGCAGGCCCAAGGCAGACTGGCAAGAAGGAAGGCGTAATGGACTGGGTGCTCAGGTGGAGAACGCGTCGAAGTCGGATTGGCGTGATATTTGCACTGCCTCGTCACATGTTGCTTTTGAGAGGTCGACAGACTGTTGCAGGAGACAGGAGGAGAGTCGCCTGATGGGGGATGATGGATCAAGCTGCCTCGGCCATGTTCGTACGAGGTATGGGACGATCCTTCTCCCTGGGATCTCCTTCATGCCGCAGAGACCCCAGGACGCTATTCCATGATCCTCTCGCATGCGAATACGACAGTGTCAACAGCTCTGGTCACTTTCCAGGCGCGCTCAGTGGCTCTACCGCCACGAACATGGCCACTGCAATAGCGCCCGGGGTCGAAAAGGCCTCGTCCATCTCAGCTAGAGCAGTAGCAGGCTGACTTCAGTATCTCGAGTGCAGGCGGTGTCGCGTGGACAGACATCTTGACGCCCCGTGACAGAAGGAAGATTGATGGATCTGATCGCCATGAAAAGAGTAACCCGTGCTTCCAGAAATAGCGTGCTTCAGGACTGGTTTTAGGCGACGGAGCAGTTAAACTTCTTTAACTAATGAGTGACTGGGCTGCCCACGGGAATGGGACACTCCACACCCATAGTGCAGCTGCAGGGCCTTAGCCGCTCGCCCAATCACACAGCCGGCGGGGGGCGCAAGTCTTACGGCTCGTTCTCCTCTTGCGCTTCTTCGCTTCTCCGCCTCCAGCAGTCCTTACTGTGTACATAAATCAACCCGCCTTCCATGACGACTTAGATCTATTGAACTTGTTGCCTCACGCCTCTTGCAGCCATTACTTGTTTGTCGCATTTTCCGGAGCGCAAACAGAAAATATATCGCAGCACCGCATCCCTCACCTGCCCCTCCATACTGACTCTGATATCAACAGCAGCCCATCCTGTCGTCCATTCGCCGCCTGGTTTCTGAATCGGAATCGTCGACAATGGACTCTCCCCGCGGATCTGGCCTTGACAGTGGCAAGAGCACCGGTGCCAATGCCCCGCCCGTCGGTTTCCGTCCTCAGAACGGTGGCTTGATCAAAGTGCAGCCACCTCGACGTGAGGACTTGCAACCATCCTATGCGCAGACGCTTCAAGGCGATGAGGAACAGAATCACGGCTGGTACGGGTCTATGAGTATGTACATCACAACGTACGCTTCGGGCGACGGAGCTAACACCGGGTGCAGTCAACACTCTCGGAAGCTGCGTCGGCTTCTTGGGTGCCATTCCCTGCTGCATCATCTGCCCCAATCCCTACAAGCCGGTCTCCCAAGGAAACGTCGGTCTCGTCACCAAGTTCGGTCGCTTTTCGCGCGCGGTCGACCCTGGCCTGGTCAAGGTCAACCCGCTCTCCGAGCGACTTATTCAGGTCGATGTCAAGATCCAGATCGTGGAGGTCCCGCGTCAAGTCTGCATGACTAAAGACAATGTCACGTTGAATCTGACGTCTGTCATCTACTATCACATCACTTCGCCCCACAAGGCCGCTTTCGGTATCTCGAACATTCGTCAGGCCTTGGTTGAACGGACGCAGACCACGCTCCGCCACGTTGTCGGCGCGCGTGTCCTCCAAGACGTGATTGAGCGTCGTGAAGAGATCGCGCAGTCGATCGGAGAGATCATCGAAGAGGTCGCTGCAGGGTGGGGTGTTCAAGTCGAGTCCATGCTCATCAAAGACATCATCTTCAGCAACGATCTTCAAGACTCGCTCTCGATGGCTGCCCAGTCCAAGAGAATCGGTGAATCCAAGGTCATTGCTGCACGCGCCGAAGTTGAGTCGGCCAAACTCATGAGACAAGCCGCCGATATCTTGAGCTCAGCTCCTGCCATGCAAATCAGGTACCTGGAAGCCATGCAAGCCATGGCCAAGACGGCGAACAGCAAAGTCATCTTCTTGCCTGCTGCCAACCAGACCATGCCGACTGATATGAGTGCTACATTCCAAAATCAGAACAATGGAGGCGAAGCTAGTGGCTACAACTCGAGGCAAAACACCGGCAATGCTTTCAACATGGATAGCGGCGATGGCTTTCAACAGGCAATGAATGCCCGAGTCATTGAGAACATCTGAGCTATACCGGTTACGGTATGGGCTGGATGAAGGAACAAACAGAAACAGGTTGCACTGGGTATTGAGATGAATTCACCGCCAGCCACTGCTCGCTGGAAAAGCGGAATGCTCGGTGGTGCTTTATGCTTTCGGCTTGGGAAAATCGACGTCTTCGTTTTTGAGATACCCCATGAGTATCAACAGCATTCGCTTTGTTTTCATGTATCATAATGATTTCTCCTATCCGCCGATTTCGTTTCAAGCTGAGCCACAAATTAATGATTGAAATGAACGAGATTTCTTACCTTAGTAACGTCCTTACGCGCGACTGTTCATGTTTTCATCATTGGTGATGTTCCATACTCCGTACACGGTAACCCAACGGATTACGGACGAACCCAGCAGCAGGTGGCTGACCCATGGCGCGCTGCTTGAGTAAAGTCCGAGAATGATTTTGGTTCGGAGGGAGGCCTTGACCGTTGCGAAACTCGACTGTGATTCGAATGATTGACGAGGCCCATCGCTCTTTCCGCTATTTCCTTCCTGTGGCTGTTGCGGGACCCGGAACAATCGTAGATCCGGGCAATGCGGATCATTTTTGTCCGCGTTCAGCCGGTACGCTTTGGACAGATTCTCTCCTTTTCGAGAGACCTACGGCGCCCACTCCACTTGCACCTGAACAAATGAATCAGAAACATCTTCCAGGACCGGCTAGGAGCATGAGAGCACGCACGGATTTGACTATCCGGACTGTTCGCTCAAGGCAACGTAGCATCAGGGGAGGAGCAAGATGTTGCTCCATTCCAAAGCCGCTTTAAAGCCGACATGTATGCAGGAAAGGCATTGCATGGAGATATGGCTTCCGCCGTGGTCGGCAGAGATGCACAGGTAGGGTGTATGACTATTTAAACAGGCGTTAATCTTCATCTTTTCAAGAGCAGCAGCAAACTGAACTGCCATAATCTGCAAGACACGACATCGCGCCCCCTTCCTTTCTACGTCGGAGAAGAACAGTTCGAATTCAAGCACCGATTGCCAAACCCAACAGGATGGCTACATTTACCGGCAAGACTACTGGCGCCGATGTCGTCAGAGAATTCAGCGACAGAGTCAAAGGCAAAACGAGTCAGTGCTCACACGCTGCCAATGTGGTAACCCTTCAGGACTGACAAACAGAGCAGTTGTGGTTACAGGCGCCAGTGAGAAGGGCCTGGGAGGCGAGACAGCAGTCGCGCTTGCCTATGGCCATCCCGAGCATCTGATTCTTCTCGCTCGATCCCAGCCGCGCGTCGAGTCGATCATTGCCCGCATCAACGGGATCGACTCCTCCATTAAAGTGGACTTCGTCCCTGTCTCTCTCAACGACTTTGATTCCGTTCGCGCTGCCGCCGCCACGATCAACGGCAAGATCTCCAAGCTCGACATTCTCATCAACAATGCCGGAATTATGGCCATTCAAGAATACACGACCAACAAGAACGGAATTGAGATTCAGTTTGCAACCAACCATCTGGGTCACTTCCTATTCACCAAGCTCCTCTTTCCCAAGATTCTCGCGGCCGGCTCCGGGTCCAGGATCGTGAACCTGACGAGTCTTGGTCACAAGATTGGGCCCGTGCGATTCGATGATTACAACTTCTTAGAGGGGAAAGAATACGACCCGTGGTCTGGCTACGGCCAATCTAAAACCGCCAACATTCTCTTCTCACTCTATCTGGCTAACAAGCTCCGTGATCACGGTATCCAGAGCTACGGTGTTCACCCTGGCTCCATCTATGAGACCCAACTCGGGAACCATCTAACCGACATTGCTGTCGCGCTTGCTGCCATCGAAAGTGTTGCGCAGAAAAACACGGGCAAACATTTTCCACTCGAAGGTGAAGTCCGGAAGAGCATGGCTGAGGGCATTGCCACGACAGTTGTGGCAGCCCTGGATCCCAGGATCGAACCGCAGAGTGGAATGTATATGGCAGACTGTCAGCCTCAGAAGACGTATGAGTATGCAGAAAGTCTCGAGGCGGCCGAGAAATTGTGGAAGTTGAGTGAGGAACTGGTTGGTGAGAAATTTGACATCTAGGGCTGCTGGAAGATAGGAGTACCGACATGGCACACGACCAATAATTGTACTCTACCCTTTGAAGCTCGTGGCATATGAAGGCTATTGAATCCTTGGTCCTGATATCAAGAACAGAGTTCAGAGCGTACTCTCTCACGATTCTCCCTGTCACGTTACTCTCATCTCACTGTGACTCTCACCCTGATCATTCGGCCTGATGCCTGTGACGTAAGGGCTTGGCGAGACATTTTTCTTCTGCTCCTTTGAGTCTCCTATACCTCGACTCGCCGTCTTCCGCAGAGCCTCCAAGCTGATCTCTAAGTGGCCATATATCCTTGACGCATGGTTAGACTGTCCCAGACGCGGAGCATAGACAGTGGACTGGCCAGGCCGACGTGAACTGGGGATACTCCGCAAACTTTCCACGAAGGGGCCTATGTGGGGTTGGAATATCAACGTGCCACTGCCGACGCTGATGGGGGTTTTCCGATGGAGAGAGTCTTTCGCGGGGCTCCTGCAACAACTGTCGCCATTTGCCATCCGAAGGCATTTACTCCGCAGTGGCCGTGACTCTCCAATCAGAGGGGGCCCAATACCGCTTTAACGAGCTCTCTCAAGACCAAGCGGACTGAGAAGGCGGTACAATTGGACAAACGGTCAAAAAGCGGGCATGATATCACAAGGCAGCGCGCCAAGCGCTCTGGATCTGGAGAGAAATCGTCGGCAATGCATTTAATGAGCACCATTGGGCGGGGAACGACGCCTATAGATATAGCTGGCGATGGGCTCATCCCTGCGACAACTCCTCCTCTTCTGACGTCTGCTCTTTGTCACCGTGTCAGGATCGCATTCACGAGGTCAAGCTGTCAATATGAAGGTCGTCGACACTTCGTCGTCGACGGAGAAAACCTCACTTGTCGCACAGATTGTCGCCTTTGTGACCAGCAATTTCCTGCTTGTTGCGGTTCTCGCGCTCGTCGGCAGATGTCTGTACAAGAAATACGCGTCGCCCCTAAGAAATGTGCCCGGCCCATGGCTTGCCTCGGTATCTAGATTATGGAAAGGTATCAGATCTTCCTTCTGTTGTTGCCGGGCCCTGCTGACAATCAATTTCCAGTGTGGAGTACTTACAATGGTCACACCGAGCTCGATCATATAGCTCTACATAAGAAATATGGTAAGCCCAGATTGGTAGACCATGATGAATCAGGTCATTCTCACACGGAGAAAAGGACCCGTCGTTCGGACAGCACCAAATGAAGTCTCCTTCGGCACTTGCAACGCCGCCAAGGACATCTTTGCTGTGGGCAAAGGTTTCCACAAGACCATGTTCTACAGCGTCTTCCCACCAAAGGTAGATACCAGCTCGAGCCCTATGTCGCGACATTGCGACGACAGCTTCGTCAGGGAAAGCTGACTTGTCCGAACAGCACGCACCTGATATCTTCACCGAAGTCCGAGAATGGAAGCACGCACAGATGAAACGCTACGCGGTGGTACCATACAGTCTGCCTCAGATGCAGAAGCGTTCCGAGCCCATTGAAGGCATGATCAAGCTCTTGATGGAGCATCTTGAGAAGTATGCCACGGACAACAAACGGGTGTGCAACTTGGGTAATTTATTGCATTATTTCGCCTTCGACGTATGCACCTCCTTCCCCCGCTTGTGTTCGGTTATCTGATGTCGCTGTTAGGTGCTCGGTGAAGTCGCATTCTCCCGTCAATTTGGGTTTCTCGAGCAAGAGTATGATGTTGAGGGTTCGATAAAGAACATTGATGATGTGCAGTGGTATGACGGCATCGTCGGCCACATCGCCGAATTCGATATCTTCCTTCGAAACAACCCAATCCGAAAATACTTGCCCGGGAGGTTCCAGATGCAGCCCACCACCATGACGAAAATTGCTGTCGCTGAGCTAGAGAAACGTAAGCAGAAAGACGGCAACTATGACTCTCAGGGCATCGATCTTCTAGCGGAGCTGTTGAGGGCTCATGAGGGCAACTCTGAAAAGTTCTCGATCAACGATGTGTTCAGTATCGCTCATGGCGCAGTGTGAGTGCTGTCGATTCTAACCATTGGAAAGTTATGCTGACCGCCATTACAGCTTCGCGGGGTCCGACTCGACCGCTTCAACAATGCAATCGTTCTTCTACCTCGTCTTGAATGCTCCGAAAGTGTATGACAAGCTCACAAAAGAAATCAACGAAGCCCAAGAAGCTGGCAAGCTTTCCGAGATCGTCACCTATGCCGAAGCCCAGGCTCTGCCTTATTTCCAGGCCTGTCTGAAAGAAGCCATGCGAGTACGCCCCGCCGTCGGGCTGGGCATCTATCGCAGGACACCCCCTGAAGGTGTGGAGATTGATGGTAAATACTACCCCGGTGGTGTCGAGGTTGCGGTGAATGGATGGGTGCTTCACCGCGATGCTGCGATTTTCGGAGACGATGTCGAGGAGTACAGGCCGGAGCGGTGGTTTGAGAGAGATGCGAAATTGATGGGTTCACATCTGTATCAGGTACGTTTTTCACTCTACTATATGACTGGCGTGATACATTTGCTAACCCCTGCCTTGCGTATAGTTTGGAGGCGGCTCCCACCTCTGCATCGGTCGCAACCTTGCCTTGTTCGAGATGAACAAGACCCTTATCCAGATTCTCAGGGAATACGATGTGACGCTTGTGCATCCCGGTCGGCCGTTGCAGTATCATTCGACATTCTTCGTGGTGCAGGAGGGACTGGAGGTCTATCTGCGGAAGAGGAGCGATAAGGCTCAATAGACGGTTACTGCTGTACTGTTCTGCTCGGAAATGGACGACATCGGGTCAGATGGGTCGAGACTGGAGTGGACTGGGCCGCAGCGAGATGGGGATGCAGGGCTGTGTCTTGAACAAGTCAGTGCGCTGCTACTACGCAGGAATCGGTGGCGAGTTTCGGCAGATTTTGTTACGCCTCGATATACCAATTTCCCACATCAATTCATCCCCATTCTGAGACATAGCCAGTGTGTACAGCCTCGTCTCGCGTCACCTTCCTGGATAAAGGTCTGATTGTTCCCCGCCGCAGCCTTGTGCCGCAGTTGTGTGAGTGTTGATTGTTTCGCCCACCGCCCACTCCCGACGCTTCTTCCTCGCGACCAGTCGACTTGATCACGCTGACGTCGTGCCGGACCGATGAGACCGCTTGAAGTCTCCGATCATGTCGTGCTGAAACAAGATCTCAGCCTCTATGGCTTCGTACTGCGCACCCACAACGACTCATACGATCCGCTCGAGGACGACTTGATCATCGCCCATGCCGAGGTCCCGCCTGATGTCTTGAATCACTTCCTCACGAGTGGTGTGCCGCCGACAGGCTATGTATTCGTGCAATTCGCTAATCCAGCGACTGGGAGCTCTCTCCTGCACCAGAATGATCTCGTCTTGCTCAGTCGTTCGTTCCGGCTAGGCGACTCCGTCAGGCGAGATGGAAGTCCTCTGACAGGCGCAGTCATCGATGTGCAGGAATCCTACATCCTCGCCCCAGTATTCGCAAATATCACAGCGAATGGTCTACCACTGCCACCATACCCAAAGTGTACGCCGGAGTGCTCGTCGAATTTTCCTCCGCATTTCTCGCACCCGAATCCCCACACGCTCCTCTACGATATACCCGCGCGAGAGATCCAAAGAGCGCAGGATGTGGCACGAGACGATTACATCATCACCTCTGGAGGCTGGGTAGGATTAGTTGACGAGGTGGAATATACTGTTGTCATCTTGCTCCAAGATGGAGGCATAGTGGCTATCAACGGGCCTTACGGTTTACATATCCCTGTGCCTGACTATGGCAAACCACTCGTGGCTCTGCCGGAACCGGATGGTTTCAAACGACCCGACATGCTCGGGGCTACACAAGAATGGGCACGACTCCTACCAATCGCGCAGACCCGCCCCGGCGAGTTTGTGATTATTGATCGCCATCAATTGCGGAACGGGAGGTGGATTTCTGGGTCATATGACCCCACGGCCCCAGCCCAGGGCATTGTTCTTGATGCTCGAGCATGTGATGTTTCAGTCGACTGGGTGTCCAGCATTAATATCCGGGACCCACGACCAGTCTTTCACAGGTCGCCCGGGGACGATATCCAGGTCTACGAGAACATCGGGAGTTTTCGTGACACTGCTAGCTTACGGCAGAAGAAGAATATAACATTGTACGATCCCGGAAAGATGCCGGTTAGGAACAAAAGCGCGGCTCAGCAGCCAAGAGGAAGTTGGGAGGATGATTCCACGCACAAACAAGTCTCAGCTGCCCATGATATTTATTCGGGACAAGAGCTCGGGATTGGTATGCGTGTCAAATTTAGAGACATCTCCGCTGCTGCGCTCAAATACCAAGCCATGAATGGAGTCTCGCATGGCAAATTTGTTCGGATCCCTTCGCACTTATCTCACGGCTGGGATATCAACGAGTTCGAAATCGTCTATATGCAACAGCATGCGACTGTCCTATGGCAAGATGGCACCACCACTACGACTAACTCAACTTCACTGACAGGGTTTGCCCTCTTTGAAGCCGAAATGGCACCCACGGATATTGTCCTGAAGCGAGAAGGCATGCGGCAGAGACCGGTCAATCACAAAGGACAGGCGAATGGGGGAACTAGAGATTTTAATGAGATGATGTTTTTCGAGCGTCCCCATGACCTGCTTCCAGCCAGTGTGGGCGTCGTTCAGTCAGTCGACCCTACTGAAAGAGTCGCTCGTGTCCGCTGGTATAAAGACCCTCGAGTCGAACTACGGGCTTCAGGACAAGTTCTTAGTACGGATTCACGATTCGGGCCCATCGGAGATGTCATCGAAGATGTCTCACTCTACGAGATCATGTCGTTTCCTTCGTTACTAAGACAAAGAAGCGACATGTGCGTGATATCAGATCCAGGGGAGACAAAGACCGAACCAAGAAAGCAACAGATAACAGCCACTGCAGACACTGAGAACCCGGCCGACGAGGTAGCAATTCAATCCGAGACCAGCACAAGCACATCGATCCAGCAACAAGGTGCTCGTTCTCCGTCCAGCACTCCAAGATCGACTAGCAGAGATGGCTCTTGGAAAGGCCCCGATTGGGTTGGCCAGATTGTTGCAATAAACCTTGATGGCTCGATCACCGTCCGATTGGGAGCCTTGCAACAGTGTCAAGATGTGTCGGTTGATGCCGACTCCATCCTTGCAACCATTGACGACCGTGGGGATCTAGAGGAGATGCCCGGCAGCATGATGGATCTTGATTCCTGGATGGACAGCGAGTCCGAATGGTCTGAGCAGAGCCCTGAACCTATTGCCGAAACAGTCGAGTACGAGGGCGGACAACGTCTCGATAACGACAGCGGAGACGAAAATTGGGTATCAGACCAGGATGAAATCTTCGAAGATGCTGAGGGAGAACTGCCGGGCACAGATGGAGATGTGGAAATGTCAGGGGACAGGCCAAAGCGCGGCACCACGCCCTCTACCAAACCAGAACGATCTCTCCTTCAACTGCAAACGGTGCTTGGTCCCCATCCCCCGCCTCAATTCCTCGTCCTCGACTGCGAGCCTCCCACGGACCAGTTCGGCCTTCGTTCAGCCCCGACCGCACACGCATCCCTGAAGCGAATTGCCAAAGAGCACAAGATTCTGGCTACGTCACTGCCCGAAGGCGAGATCTACGTTCGCACCTACGAGAGCCGACTGGATCTCCTGCGGTGTCTGATTATCGGACCCAAAGACACGCCATACGAGAATGCACCATTCTTGATCGACCTCTACCTGCCGGAGCGATTCCCCGACGAACCTCCAACTGCTCACTTCCATAGTTGGACAAGTGGCCTGGGTCGCATCAACCCGAACCTGTACGAGGAAGGGAAGATCTGTCTGAGCTTACTAGGGACGTGGTCGGGAAAGAATGAAAGCGAGAAGTGGAGCGACAAGGCCACGATCCTTCAACTTCTGGTGTCATTGCAAGGCTTGGTTTTCGTGAAAAGGCCCTTCTACAACGAGGCAGGGTTCGAGGGGTACGAGAATGACAGGGCGTACACGAGGGAATCTGAACAATATAGCGAAAAGGCCTTTGTGATGGCTCGAGGCTTTGTCAAGCACGCATTGCTCCGTCCCCCAGGCGGCATGGAAGACGTGCTCGCCTGGCTGTATCTGGCCCCGTCGAAGAGCCTGCTCGGCACAATCATCGAGAGGGGAAAGCTGCTGGTGGAAAGATCTGAACAGGCACGCTCGGCGCAAGACGATTCGCTGCTCGACTCGGCAGGAGAGAAAGACGACGCCACAAAGGTCTTTCTGAAGCCACTGAGCCGCGGTGCCAGCGTCATGCTGAGGCGATCGATTAGTGAGCTGCAGGCTCAGCTGGATCAGCTTGCGTCTGAGATGCGCCAAGTGGACAAAGCAGGGGCATAGAACTGCACGACGCGTCATGACTTGATACCCAGCATTAGCGAGGTTCGGTGGCAGACTCGGGTGGTATATAGACTTGGCTACTCCGTAGAACTGAGGATAGCGTGGATACCGTTAGTTGCAACAACGAGTAAGGAAAGCTCCGGTAGATGCTGATGATAGACGTGGTAGACGTCAGATTTATTCAGTCCAGCCAGGCAGATCTCCAGATCATCCAGTCGGGACATGAGCGCTCGGAGCTGGTCCGATTTTAGTTGCAGGGTCACAAGTAGAGGTTATGATTATCACTCCGAGCGGAGCGGAACTCTTCCTGGTCGTCGTCGAAGTTATACATATGTATCCGACCGACCGACTGACCCACCGACCATCAGGGATCGGATCCTTTGCGCCAAACTCGCCTCGATTTTTTCCGCGCCACGAACCGCGTCTTGAGTCCTGGTTCGGGTATCATGACCGAGTCCTCTTCATTCCTCGGAGATTTGGGCAATCACACGTGGCACACACATGTCGAGATTACACGGTCGCGTCGACCGACGAGCTTCGTTCGGCAGGAGCTCGCATCCATCATCATCCAAATCCTCCGTTGGACCCTTGGTTAATGGGGCCGTCGATACCTTGAGGGTCCTTACGCCGCGCTCGTATATACCTCGATAACTCATCTTGGTTCGTGATCACGGTCGCGATGCATAATTGGTCTTGGCCATTGCAAGTTCTGTCTTTTCATCACAGCAGGTCGCGCTCAGTTCGGATAGAGCCGCCTTCGGGGGGGGGGAAAGGTGGGCACGTAATCATGCACGCCGAGTGCGCATCTATTTCCTCGGCGCAGGCTTCTTCCTTGCCGTGCCGAAGACGAGGTTCGCCCTGCGTTGGGGAGTAGAGTACAGCCATTCCTTCACTGGCCCATACGTACTGCGGGTTTGGGACGGCGTGGGATCATGACGGGGAGGCCTGGCAGCAACAACACCGTACACGGCAGAAGAGGTACTTGTGGCTGGCCCCCGGCGAGTATCCGCCTTTTCCGAATCCGCCCTCAAACATGTGCCTTGTCAGGCTCCTCCCCCTTTGCTTCGAGCTGTTTCTCGTCCTCGTCCAACTGCTTCACCAACATCTGCTCCCTCTTCAGCGCATCCTCGTCAATATCCGTCCATCCGACCTCCCTCAAAATCGTCCCCGTCAGATGCATGTACCTCAAATGCCCCGCGACCTGCTCGCTCATGTCGTAGTTCTCCACGCCATACACGCCCTCAATGTCCTGTAGGCCGGCAATACTCAGCTGCGCAGCGGTGGTCCGGTACAGAAACGCCAGGATGTAATCCTGCGTGCTGTACACGTTGATCAAGCGGCCAGACACAACGCTGCGCATGGCGCGCCACTGCGCGGCGTCACTGGGCACGGGCGCGCCCATCAGCACGACGTTGTCCACCACGCCAAAGGCGCCCCGTTTCGCCAGGGTCAAGAGGCACGAATACACGACCCGTGCCCCCAAGCTCTGCCCGACCAAGCTGACCGGCCGTTCTCCCTGGACCTTGTTGATCAGTGCATCGGCGAGCACTTCGCCAGCCTTGACGGCCAGGTTTTTTGCGTTCCCGAACGGCGAATCCACGACTTTGATGGCCTTGCGGATGGCCAGGGGCGCGAGCAACGCCGACCACACGGCCGCGAAGATGGTGCGGCTGATGATTTCCTTCCGGATGCGGCTCCACGCTTGGCTCACCACAAAATCCTTGAGCGCGGATCCCAGGGTGAGCAGAGCGCCCAATTCCCACCTGAGCGCGAACGGTTCGCCGCCGGCACCCAGCACGCGCCACGGCAGCGTGACTTGGCCCTCCTCGGTCAACCAGCCCGTGACGCCGACAGTGAGGCGCAGCCGGCGGCGCTGCTTCTGCACGTCTTCGGGATCATCCTCGCTCCCTCGGACGGGCAGGAACGCGAAGTCGTCGATCTCCTTGGCGTACCGCTCCATGCTTCGCGACGTCATGCGCGCGCCGTACGCGCCGAACAGGCCCCCAACCAGCACGGAACTGCCCGCCAACGCGCCTAGGTATCCTGCCGCAGCAGTAGCTCCTAGACCCAGACCGCCCATCAGCGTGCCTACGCCTGCCGCGAGTATCGGGGCTGCCAGACCGCCAGTGATGCCTATCAAGGCCGCACCAGCCACGCCCGCGACACCGATCTTCCACTTCCGCGCCATGGACGACTTTTCCTGTGCTTTGGCCGTGGATTCCGAGGCGTCCATCTTTGCCGCTGCCGTCAGGAGCCCCCATGCCGTGTCTTGTTCCATCTTCGTAAGTTCGGCGACGGAGGCGCCCAGCGAGATGGCCAGGCGGATCATGAGCGTGCGGGAGTGCGCGCGGTAGGATTCGAGCGAGAGGAGAAGCAGAAGGAGGGCATTGACGATGGTGCTTCGCTCTCCAGAGCTGAGCGACGCTAGGGATGTCTGAATAGGCGGGTAGATCTGGGAGAGTCTCATATCGACTTCTCGCTCGCGGTCTGTCGGTTGGAACTGCTGTTTTGACGACTCGGAGGCGAGTTTCCGGGCGGCGTCCGGATTGCGGGACTGTGAGGCGTGGTTGTTCTCCGGGTCGCGAGAGTTGACGACCTCGCCGACCCGGAGGATCACGGACTCGGCCCAGGCGTCGAAGAACGCGAGGGCTGCTTGTTGCAGGGCCTTGGATTCAGGTGTGGCCGAGGTGAGTAGGGCGTCTGGTTCGGGTTCTGACTGAAGCGAGTCGTCTTCACTTGGGCCACGTGCTGGTTGTTGTGCGTGGACGTTTTGGTCTTTCTCAGATAGACTCAGCTCGGACATCTCTGGCACTCCTTGTCCCGGAGATGTTATCTGAGCTTGAGCCTCATTCTGCACAGGAGCTCCCGTTTGAGGTTGAGAGGCCTCATTCTTGGCTTTCGCAACCGGCCGCCGCTCCTCAAACACCCTGACTAGACTTCTTCTCATCTCCTCTGTAGTCTGCGAGATCAGCACGCTCAGTTCAGCGCGCTGCTCGCGGCTGAGGATCGTCGCGAGGGACTGGTCATCTTCCGCTGCGGAGTCTGTCCCATTGCCACTGCCACTGCCAGTGCTGGGACGTTGGGAGATGGTATCGTTGAGGCGGTCTTTGAGCGAAGAGAAAGTAGGCATCTTTCCCCAAGGACGACCGTGAAGAAGTCGGACGTTTGAATGTTTTCGATCTTGACTGGGCCTTGGGGTGGTGACTTTGGATTCAGGGAGAACTGAGACCGTCGTGATAACTAAGCTACAGGTAATTAGTGAGGAGACATTCACGTCAACCAAGTATGGTGAAGTCCATCTGTAAGCTGACGTCATCTTGTGCTCATCTTCGGTTTGATGAACATGTGAAGATACATGTTCAATACAATGATTACAGTGTGGCCAGAAGGTAGTCAACTTGGCCAGCTCAGATGCAAGCTGTTGCTCAGTTCGGTGCCGCTGCCGGTTCAGATACATGTTGCGGCCGCCGTAGACACTCCGGCCAGGCTGCTACCCATATTTGTGAAGCTCGTAATCAATCTTCGGTGGCTCTTCTTCGCCCTCGTTGAACAGATACCGGCAGATCGTCGACACTCACTGTGACCACTTTGTGGCTCACATATTTTATTCCTCCTCGCTAACCTCACTCTCGTCCTCTTGTACATTGCCATTCGCCATGCCAATCCCCAGTCCGACACCGGTACTCTGATTCCCACTTTCTTCCTCCAGCGCAGCCTCCAACGCCGCTTCAAGCAGATCTTCATCGTCCTCGTCATAGGCGGTGGCTGGGGCGGGCGGTGTCGGTGGCGCCTGGCGACGACTTTCGGCCTGTTCGTGGTCGTCCGATTCATCCCTCGAGACTTCGCCTCGTCGAGGCGCACTGCTCTTTCCCCTCGGACTGCCCAGCTCGAATTCTTCAACATCGTCGTCTTCATCTTCCTCGGAGGCGGCTTCGATATCTTTCATCCGAACGTCTCCATCTCTCCCCCTGCCGTGGCGACGAGCGGGCTCGTCCACCACCGGCGTCCTTGAGATGGGTCTACTCGTCGACCTGAAATTCGAACTCAACCCGCCGATGGGCGTGCCCGTGTGACTCCTGAACGCCTCCGGGTCGACTCTGCCGCGTTTACGACATCGTTCATCCTCCGGGAGCGGACTGCCCATGTCGATTTCGAGGCCGCCGTCGTCGTCGTTGATGATGATATGTGGTGAACTGCCAATGTTGGCCGAGATATTGCGTGTATGCCCTTTTGCACCGAGTGGTCTGGACTGCTTGGTGGATGTTGACTTTGACGCCGGTGCAGGTGCAGGTGCTCGTGCGACGTTGACGGTCTCATCCCCGGAACCGTCCGAGTCGGAGATGGTGGCTTTGCTGAGTGGTTGATCTTTCTTTGTGGTATCTCGCTTCGCAGCTGGTCTCGTCGCGGCATTGGTGCTTCGTGACCCTGTCGTCTCGGCCTTGTTCTTCCGCTGTTCTGTAGGCTTTGATGTGGTCTTTGTCTGCGATGGTCGGAATTGCGGTGTTGTGGGCAAAAAGCGGTTTCCGCCTGGTGCGGGCGTAGATGTTCCACTTAATGGGGTCCGACTTCCTGGCATGGGCGTGTGAGCTCCTGGAGCTTGTGTTGACTTGCCTACATTTTCGCGCGCTTCGGCTAGGAAATGGCGGAAATCGTAGGGATTGGACGCATCGGGAGTCTCGTCATCAGCTGAAGTGCACGCATGCCCAATCGCGTGTGACTCTTTCTTGCTCGTTTGCTGATCCTTGTGGAGCTGTGGTAGATCTCGAGCAGCTTCCCTGGACATGCCGGGCCCGGTTTTGAGATTCATATCCAAAGTCGCAGAGATGGCTTCAAGGACAAAGACGGACTTGGATTCGTCGAAAATGAGCATCAAAGGTCTTGTTCCCCCCTCAGATGTTCCAGATTGGTCTTGGGCCGCCAGGGTCACATATTGGTAACTCCCGGTGCCGTTGTTCGACACATCAAGATGCCACCGGTCTCCCGATCTCCTCATTCTACTTTCGCGACCGTCTAGAAAGCCGGATTTTGGTTGCCAGTTGTAGCGGATGTTCACAAAGGCGTCCTTGGATTTGGTGTCTTCAGCCAAGCTGTCTCCTAGGACAATAGGGTATTCGCCCTCTTGCTGAGGATCAAATAAACCGACAGGCCTGCTGGGGCGTATTGCGGGAGATGCCATTGCTTTTTACCAAGGTTCTTGATTTTAATAAAGGTAAAGATGTTGAAAGTAGGACAATCCCCAGTGGACGGAAGCGCGAGTGGAACGACGTAAAGGAGCTCTCAAAGTTTGTGACGAATGACCGAATCTAGTGACACCAAACGAGTGACAGGACGCAGGACAAGAGGCACTATGAGCTGGATTTCAACAACAGCGGCGGTACATATTGAAGGCCGGGCTGATGACAATGAGGATAAATCGAGAACAAAGAGGACCTGGTTGTCGCCGAGTCGCGGTTCCAGGCTCGGCGCTTCTTCGGCTAATTGCCCCGTACTCCCCCGTCAATGTTGGTGCCCCCAGCGCTCATCGCCCACCAACACCCACCAACACCCACCAGCGTCCGTCAGTGCACGTGGAGTACGGAGTACGGTGGGTTACAGTGATCTTCCCCGCCACCTCTGTTAAGGGCGGCTGCAACCGCTGCAAACTACGTCTTCGCTTCTCATGCAACGTTGCGAGGCAGAATGTATCAGTCTTTGCCACAAGTGTGTCACTCGTCCAGGCAATATCTCATAGTAATATCACACAGTCGAAACCCAGCTAATGGCAACACCCCACGGTCAATGGCCAAGCTATATCCACCGCCAGCCTCAGAATCCGAAGCTGTCTAACAGGCTATTCGCACTCGGCTCCACAAATTGCGTGGGAGGCGGCTTCTTCTTCTGTGCCTGCACCACCATTTGCGGGCTCCCCTCTCTACCCTCCTCTTCCTCCTCTTTCTCCAGGTCATAGAATGTCTTTCGTCTCTGAAGGAGGCGATTCGGCGCCGAACGATCGTTTGTTACGGCTGTCTCTGTGCGTTCTGCGATGAACTCCCAGTCGCGGACCAGAGCTAATGCCAGCACATCGCACCCCATAAGCTGATATTCCCTCACACACCTCATGACAAAAGACCACTCGTCTTTCGCCGTGACGACCTGGTCTCTCCATGCGTTTTGTTTGACAAGTTGAGCGCGGAGTTGCGTGTACAGTAATGTTAGCAGAGGGTCATTTGCTGCGTAGCTCGTCGAGTCGACCGTCTCATGTCCTTCGGTTCTGTTGAGCGGGAGTCGACCGACAACTTTCTGGACAGGGTGTACGATGACTTGAGCTGCTAGGTCTTTCCGGTCGAGGATGATAGAGTATGCCCAGCTTGCCATCCACCGTCCTTGCTCGCTCTCTATCGCGGATGGGAGAATTGCTTGTTCTACCAATCGCGTCAACACGGCTGACTGCTTGTCGCTTTCATATACTCGCGCAATGGCAATCGCAAGCTGCAGGTCCTTCAGTTGGTGCGTACACACGTTCACTGCGTCCCAGAGACTGTCCCCAAGCAGGAAAAAGGCCGCTGCATATTGAAAACGTCGTTTGCTTAGCAAAGCATACGCGTTCTTCAAGGCGGAAGCCTTCCATCGAGGGTCGCTGAAGTTGTTGGCCAGCAGTTTCATGGTGTTCTCCTTCTCTCGTATTCCGATCGACATCCTCCACAGACCAAGCAGCACGGTCTTTTTGTGCAGTGCAAGATAATACAGTGAACAGTCAATCGGATTGCGGTCCTCACCCTTCGTGAACTCTGTGCGACCAACATTTTCCATTTGCTGCCGGATAGCATCGTAGTCTGTAAGCCAGCAGAACAAGCCAGATTTTCGCGCAGCTTCCCATGTGAGCTTGCCACCGTAGTGGTGAATGACCGAGTCGACTAGAACTTCTTGCGAGGTGCTTAGGGATGCGAAGGCAATGGCGCTCCACGGCACGCCTTCGTCGCCCAATGAGAAAAGTGCTTGTAGATAGCGCTGGCCATTAAAGTCCACTGATTGCTCCTGCTTCTCTAACTCCGAAGTCACCGCGACCTGCTTGATCAGTAGTGACTGCTCATCTTGGGTGAGTTGCCAGAGTCGGTGTTTCTGGAGGGCTTCCTGTAGTGCTTCCACAGAGGCTGAAACAGGTTCTTGTTCGTCATGGCCAGTGACATCGCCGTCGATGCTATAGTATGACTTTTCGTGGGGCCCCCCAGTTTCAGGCTGTGGCACAATGTGCCCAATGGGCAAATCAAGGAAGCTCGGTAGCTCATCACCCTCGCTGAAGAATTTCAGCTTTCTGTTCAAGCGGTTCAGGACATTGCTGGCTGCCTTTGGCCCACTAAGAGCCGTCAGTAATAAGATGAAGGTCGGATGAAAGACCGGCACGAGTGCATTGAGCATTGCCATGATGGCAAACGTCTCATCGGTCTTGATCTTTCGACGCACATCTTGCAAAGCTCTCGCATTTTCATTGTGGTGGCTGGTTGCGTATCCCTCGAAAACGAAGAACTGGATGCCACTGCCAACGACGAGGTCACCACTTTTCAGCCAACAGAGGTCCCCAATCGAGTGGGTAGTGTAGTCTCTAATTCTGATATGCCGAAGGTCAACCCAAGCTGATCCACATGCGGGATAAGTGTACCGTATCTGCCCCAGGATCACGATATGATAGTCAAAGCAGATGGCCAGAAGAGCAGATCCCTGTGGCGAGACTGCCCATGCGAACGTCTTGATAGTATCACTTCCATCCAGCTCGTATTCATACTCACGAGAACCTGTTCTGGCGTCCCAAATTGTGAGACTGGTGCTGTTTCCGTTCACCACGACAACTTTGCCATACCCGCTAGCACTAATGACTCTAGGATGTAGAATGTTGGTGTCAATAAGGCCCGCAGATATCAGGTGCGGCTTTGTAGAGTCTGGCTGCTCCTGCGACTTGACCACCTCCAATGTACCGCCCTTTGCTAGTACTGTAGCATATCCGAGGGCACTCGATTGCGCCGGCACGCCGGGACGGAGGTCGATACTCATATTGTCACATATCGAGACCAAAGAATCGTATCGATTCTGGACGTGCAGCTTCACGTGCCCCAACGAACGTATAAGCTCATGATACCCGTTAGCTGCCGTGGGGTCGTTGGCTGGGAGTAAGAACTCCCAAGCTTCCACGCTGTGATTCGGATGGTAGCCAAGAATGACGCGACTGGTCAGAGCCCTTGAGCTTGCAATACGGCTCTGCGTGATCCGATCCGGGACTTGATCGGCCTCGAGTTCCCTAACAGCAAGTCTTCTGGCCGTTGCTTCGCGAATATCCCACAGTTCTAGACCACGGGTGCTCAGTATGGCTGCATATCTACCGCGGGAGAGGATGACAACATCCTTGATGTCAACTCCCACGTTGAATGTACTTCGTCGAAGCAATGGAGCACTAGACAGGTCTGCTCCATGCTGCCAGACACTGGCGTAGCCTCCATCGGCTGTCGAAATGATAACGTTGGCGGCAACATTGCGAACAAGCCTCTCTATAGGAGCACCGGCCCCTGCCAGAGAGGTTATCAGCCGCGCCCGACCGTGTCGGTTGGCAGTGTCAAAGAGATGAGTGGCCTGGCTGTCGTACCAATCAATGTCGCCTGCAAAAGAATGCAGAAGAATCGACAAGGACGACGGCGTGGCACCATCGGCGAAGATACAGAACTGAACATAGTCGTGCAGAGGATCACTCAGCTGTGGCACCGAGATACTCATGCCGTCCACATGGGAGATGTGGAATACAGAAGGAGGAATCTTGTTCTTGTAGCCGGCATTTTCCAGTCCCCAAATAGACATGTGGCCCAGTCCATCGAGGACAATACAGATCTCGGGGCTCCGATTGGCGATTTCAATAAGATGCTCAAGAGCATGATCGGCAACCCTACCATTGGAGCTTTGTACAGCCTTCTCGGTGGCGGTCGAGAAGTCTCGACTGTCGATGATGAACGAATAGCGCCGCGTGCTCACCGAGTTGGCACTGAGTCTCCGCGGCTCTATCGAAGCGCTCATGTCGATGTCTCCAGCCTGCTGGAGGACAGTGAGGGCATGCGGGTCGGAGGCGGTCCATGCTCGGACATGGTTGTCGGAACAAAAAGTATAGAGTAGGTTATCCAAGTTTTGTTCCAGGTGCCACGGCTTGCGCCAGTGTAGATTCGTGACAGTTGAAGGATGTGGTAGGTATGAAACATCGAACCTGGTACTGTCGACCTCATACGAGAGTCTCCTCCAAATCTTGACCAGTCTATCATGCTGTCCGATAGAAGCGATCAGGCTGCTGTCGGGCGAGAGGTAAGCGAGCGCAGTAGGATACGACAGTGCTTGGTTCCATGTGATTATTGGTACAGTCGAGGGTGGAATGAACCAGAGAATCAGTCTTGACCCGCCCAGCAACAACTCTTCAGCTGAGCCCCAAGACAGAGAGGACACGGCGACTCCATTCGGATTCCTCAGTTCATGTATTTGGCTCCACCTCAACACGCCTTCGTCTCGGCCGAGGGGTCTGTAGATGTAGACGTGGCTCTTATCGCCGAGTGCGATCCGCCCGGTGGTCTCTTCGATGGTTATCGCCGTGAGGGCCTCGACTGTATCGACATAGATGGTCTGCAGAATAGTCTGCGGACCCGTGAGGATGACGGCCGCATTGCCAGAGATATATGCCTGGAGGTTCGGTCAAGATCGCCCAAGACTGAAGTAACAGGACACTCACGACGATCCGTAGACCATCCCAATGTGCAGTGCACAGTGCCTGCCGCTTCGATCGGGGTCGCCCGGGGAGGATGGCTCGCATGGAGCAGAAGCAGGTGCTGGAAGTTGCAGCGCAGTGTTCAGGCTCTCATCTCATTCATACTCAAGTGGGATGGAAATACTCGAGCACTCACGTTCACATTCGGCTCTGTAGGGCTGAATGACGCGCTTTAAGCACAACTTCTCCGCGTCGAGATGATTTACCCCGAATTCAAACCCGAATCTCAGGTCAGGCTTGGGTACGTCACGCGAGGCTGCCTTGAAGACTAGGTAGGTGAGAGGATACTGGTCTGCCACTTCTTATTGACTCTAGGATCTCCTTGCTTTATCCTGCAGAATCACTGCAACACCACAGGCAGAGCAGTGTGAGAGCAATACCCAAGATGGCACAAAAGACATTCATTCCGCTAGGTAGGGCGCCTGGCGATATCGCAAGACGGAGCACACAAACTGACAAGCCTTCTTGCCCGTATTCCACAGAAAACAACCCTGAGGTTATGACCAACCTGGCACACCGTTTAGGGCTCTCTCCAGCTCTGTCCTTCCACGATGCCTATAGCCTGACTGAGGCTGACTTGATCGCCCTCGTACCCCGACCTGCCAGCGCTCTTTTGATCACCTACCCTGGATCATCAACAGCAGAATCTTATTATGCCAAAATCAATGATACCGAGCCTGACTATGCAGGCTTTGGCCCCGACGAACCCGTCATGTTCTATCATCAAGTCATTAACAACGCCTGCGGCCTCATCGGGCTCCTTCATTGCACCACCAATGGCACTGCTGCGGACTTCATCCAGGAGGGAAGTGACCTCGACAAATTGGTCAAGGATACCATCCCACTGAGACCCAAAGAGAGAGCTCAGTTCCTTCATGATTCGGACATGCTTGAGAAGGCGCATGCTGCAGCTGCCGAGTCTGGCGACAGCACAGTTCCTCCTCTCGGCGAAGAGCCAGATCATGCTTTCATCGCCTTCGTTAAGGGGAAGGATGGCCACTTGTGGGAGCTGGAAGGGAGGAGAAAAGGCCCGGTCGACCTTGGTGTCCTCGGGGATGATGAAGACGCGCTGAGCGAAACGGCATTGAGGCTGGGCCCGCTGCCATTCCTGAAGCGTGAGGAAGCCGGCGGCAGTGGTGATGTCCGGTTCAGCTGCACAGTACTCGCCCCAACTATGGAATACTGACAAGGAAGCGCTGCCGATGGGCATTCAATCTGCGAGAAGAAATTCCGGACTCTTGAGGTCAACCCAGCCAAGATTCGGCTCACTCTGTTTCCAACCGAGTCGCTCTTGTACGATTTTCGAGTATGTCTTGACCTCCTCGATGGGGTACGACAAGAACGAGACTTCTTCCTGTCGATGCACGCCTGTGCAGGAAAACATGGCGTGGACTGTTCTGCTCTCTCTTGTCCCTTCTTTTGGAACACCAAGTGGCTCCTCATACGCGCCGCCTCCGTGATAAAGACTCCCAAGCATAATGAATGCTTCGCCCATCCGTAACTCTGCGTCGACTACGCCACGCTTCCCGTCCTTGCCAAAGTTAGGAATCTCATCCCCCCACAAATGGCTGCCCGGGACAACTCTTGTAGCACCGTTGGCCTTTGTCGTGTCGCATGCTGGAACAAACAAGCCCAGCAGAATATCGCGGCCTTTCTGATATGACTCTGCGTGGCTGTGACGAGCGTGGTGATTCTTGTCGTCGCGGTGCAACCCCTGAGCAGGTGTACCGGGAGGGATATCGAAGGTAATAGAGATCGAGAGCAGCGGGTGACTCGTGGTGGTCAAAGGCTTGTCGCCGTACCAATGCGTCGTCTCCAACGACAGGAAATGCTCGCACAGATCTTGGTAAAGAGGATCCGCGAAGAACTTCTCTCGAACAGTGGCGCTCTTGCCAATGAGGCGGGTGACTGTTCTGGTCTTTCCTTGAAGAGCTGAAGCTGATCAGTATGCTGCGATGGCCCTGAGGAGGGGGGGTGGTTATACCGCCGACTTTGGCTCCCTCTCCTTGCTGCTCTAGATGTGGACGGACTTCATGATCGGCTTTTGCTAATGTGGCTTCGTCTGTGAAGTCCTTTACTATAACGCAGCCATCTGCCTCCAACACCTCGATAAACAAGGACAAAGGAGCTGTTCGAGAGACTCTTCTGATTTGGCGTACAGGCGCGTGGTCCGCCTTGCGAGTGTCGTACGCGACCCGACGTGCGTGCTGCAGAAACGATGCCATTAATTCAATTGCTTGGCTGGTGGTTCAGGTCACCAGAGCCGCAATCAATGCTGCAGCTTAGCGATACAGTGGAAATCTAGGCAGTGGTACTCAACATATAAGGGCGCCAACAACGGCCTCAATGAGCTCGCCAAATAGTTTCTCCAAAACTTACCGCTACAAGGTCTCCCATGATGTATGACTAGGATTCTGTGGCGCCAAAGAGCCTTGCACAGCCAATCCACTCGTGAGAGCGAAGTAAATGCAACACATCAAGTGAACGATTTCCCGTACGAAACGCCCAAAAAGCCCTGCAAAAGGCCAAAGGCATGAGTAGAGTTCGCAAAGGCTGACGACGACCCTTATCGGAATCGAGTATGGCGGTATCCTCCGTCCTGCTTGGCATCGAGGTTGGTCATATTGCTATCACAGATTTCCCGTGCCAGTCTGCCAAAAAAGTGTCATTCCGATTCTGCGAACGATGAACCGCACACTTGCATGTGTTGATTTGTTGCCATAGGCGGGTAGGATCTACCCTCGTGTCTTGGCTCATGTCGTTGTTCGGATAAGTCGGCTGAATCGGTAATTGAAGAGCTTCGTGAGATCAGAACGTTCTGGTGTGGCCATCTCCGCCACCATGACGGCCGTGGAAAGGGCCGGAGGCAGGCGAATAACTAATGAAGCTTTGAATGCGTTTCCGCAAGCTGAGTCAAAAGAAACCGAATCGCTTACTGTAGGTGCAGAGGGGTATTTCTGCCGGTCATATCCGACTCATGTCGCCGAACCCAGGTCGTCGACTCACAGGGTTTTGTTTTTCTGTTCCTTGTCTGGGACTGCTGAGCACCATTTCGTGGCGGAATAACCCCAGACTTGGTTCAAGTTACGATACCGAAGAGCTTCCCAGCGACCGGATCCCATTCGGAGCTCCATCGGCGCTGGCTCTCATGTCTGGCTCCATGTTTGAGTTGACCAAGCTTCTTCGACGCCGGGTCGAAGAGTTCGCGAAGGATATCTGCTAATTCCTCTGAGCTGCCGAAACCTTTACCGTTAACGTTCTCCGTGACCAACTCAGGCCATGCTCGAAACTTGCTCCAGCCGGCGACGGGAAGACCGGCACCAAACATATCAACGACCTTCATGGGCAAATCGACTCCACTACTGCTTGTATGAAGCGATACGCCGAGATCAGCGGAGCCTAGCAAAAGGGCATAGTCTTCAAAACTGAGCCAGTCGGTGTAGATCGGCACCATCTCCAGAGCGTCCGTCGCGTGGAGCTCCTTGATCTTGTCGAGGTAGCGCTGCTTCTGTGGCCCTTTACCGGTGATCACGACAATCAACTCTGGAAGCTGCGGATGGGAAGAGGTGGCACTAGCGGAGTAGCTACAGAGTGCATCGAGAAGGATACCAAAGTCTTCATCAGGTGTCCAAGAAGTCGAAGAGACGAGTAGCCTGGCCTTGCCGTCCACCAATGCATTGAAGTGTGCGGTTACCGGTGGGTAGCGTTGTAAAAATGATAGCCGCTGCATATCAGTGAGTGGCTGGTACAAGTCCGCAGGACGATCATGTAGGGTTAAGACAGGAGCTGTGATGCCGTAGTCGGATTTTAGGACCTTTGCCATCGCATCTGTCACGGTGAAGTTCGCATAAGCGACCCTTGACAGCGCAGTTTCGTAGAGTTTGGACATTCTGACTAGAGGATGACCTTCACCCAGTTTGAGGGCAAGAATAGAATAGCCAAAGTTATGCCAATCCACAACGAGCCTAGTACGTCTGAAGAAAGCAACCATAGACACTAGGAGCAGAGTCGGTATTGACGGTGGGTTCTACGCAGAGAGTCGTCAGTGAGCAGGCCAAAGGCGAATGAGAAGCGCATACCTGAACCAGCATCCACTTGCAAGCAGGAGTAGAATAGCTCAGAGCCTGCCAGAGGGTCCATGCCTGTACCAACACCTTCAATGGCCCAAAAAGCAGGAACAGAACCTTGTTGCTTGTTTGCAACCAGTTGGGGGCTCGTGACAAAGGGACAATCACCACGTTCGGGTGAGACAGCAGCTCTGGTAGAGGATTGGTTTCTGGCGAATAGAGGTTAGGCGAATATCAGCTAGAATGACCGGTGCTCACCCCGGTAGCCAATAAGCTGAACGTGGCCTCCATGTGTAGCAATGCTCCAGGCATGGTACTGCATGCGAGGACTTCGACCCAAGTCACCGAGAACTACGACTTGGACAGAACACCGCTTGTCCGAGGCGTTCCTGAGAGACGGCAACAACAACAGCAGGACGGTGAAGATGGTGGAAGCGACCACCAATAAAGTCAATATCATCTTCCGCACTGCTTTACAATGCTCTTCCTGGTGGTGAGGGAGAAGCAGAGGAGGATGAGAATGATGTCTTCATTCCTTCTTCCACATTCGGTTTAGACTCGCAGCGACCGAAAAAGGGGCTCGACTGCGCGTCTGCCAATGGAAGATGCAAGTGAAGTTGAGGAATCCTTGTCCACGCCCTCAGCTCTCCTGGTATGCAGTGCTTGCTACTGCCACCGACACATGTACAGAAGCCAGGAGCAGGCAATTGCAATTTCTCCTCCTGCACTGTCACCGGTTCACCATCATTCTCTGGCGGCTGAGTCGATGACCAGGACGACGGCAATCTGCCACCCCAACCGGTCCAACGTCCTGAGGGGACCATGAGCGCAACCTTTACCTTGCCCGTTGCTTCCACCGACAGTCGCAGGCATGGGCACCCTCATGGTCCTTCCCACACCTACACCCACGCGCACGCACATTCTCACTCCCACGTACAGTCGAATGCGAGTATAGATGCACGGTCGCACCAGAGAAGTCGCACGGGGAGTCGGCTCACAGCACCGTTCCCCCTGATGCGAATACCCTCCGAGTCTCTTGTTCACCAAAATGAGGCCAGTGTGGACTCGAACCAGTTGCCTCCCATCGACACGCACTCTCACCGACACCACCGCGTCAGTCCCGCCCCATCTCTCGATCTTTCTGGGATGCAGTTTGGAGCGAAGAGACGGGACAATGAGAAGACAGCCTATCCCTCCCCAGCTGCCCCTCCGAGGCCGGCTTTTAGGCGGCATCACTCAACGCCGACTCGGTTCCTCTTGAAAAGCACCGAGAACTACTCCCTGCTTCACGGCATCCTAGAGGATGACGAGTCGAGGCGCATATTCTATTTCATGATCCTGAACTTGTGCTTCATGGTGGTCCAATCGACGTATGGCATTCTGACAGGGTCGTTGGGCTTGATCAGCGACAGCATTCACATGTTCTTCGATTGTGTGGCGCTCTTGGTCGGTGTTTGTGCTGCAGTCATGAGCAAGTGGCCTCCGAGCCTCAAATTCCCATACGGTTACGGAAAGATCGATACCTTGGCTGGACTAGGGAATGGCATTTTCTTGATGCTCATTAGCATTGAGATTATCTATGAAGCAGTCGAGCGACTCTTCATTGGCGCCGATGTCAGTCGAACTACCGAGCTACTTGTGGTGAGCACCCTAGGGCTGTTGGTCAATCTGGTAGGCATTTTTGCCTTCCATGGAGCCCACGACCACGGACATGGGCATGGACATAGCCATAGCCATGGCCATTCTGATCACGATCACGACCATGAGCACAAGCACGACCATGAGCACAAGCACGACCATGATCACAAGCATGCCCACAGCCACGACGAGGAACCAATGACCGCCTCGGCATCTCCTATGAAACACAAACAGGGCGGGGCAGGCGACCATCACCACCACCATCACTCTGGCGGAGAAAATATGCAAGGTATCTATCTGCACATCATGGCCGACGCGCTCGGGTCTCTCGCCGTTGTCGGGTCGACCCTCCTCGTCCGGTGGACTGGCTGGAGTGGCTTCGACCCCCTGGCCTCGTGCATTATCGCCGTCCTCATCTTCGCATCTACAATCCCTCTGGTCATGTCGACAACAAAGATTCTTCTGCTATCCCTCAACTCCGACATCGAGTATAACCTTCGCGGCATCCTAAGCGGAGTGGCCGAGATCCGCGGCGTAGTGGGCTACACCGTCCCCAAGTTCTGGCTCGAAGACATGAAGAAAGAGCCAGGCCACCACCACCACGGCCATGATCATGGACATTCCCACTCCCACACCCATGCTCGCAAATCGAGCGAGGGCAAGAAATGTGACCATGATCACGCCCACGACCACGCCCACCGTCATCATCATGACCACCACGACCAACCAGCCGATGATCCCACAGTCCTGGGTGTAATCCACGTCATTGCCTCGCAGACGGCCGATCTAGAAGACGTAAGGGAACGGGTGGACCTGTACCTCCGCCAGAGGAAGATGGACGTGGTGGTCCAAGTGGAACGCGAAGGCGAGTTGCGGTGTTGGTGTGGCGGCAACGGGATCAAGAGTCCTACTTGAATCTAAGGGGCCACCCAAGCATTGGTGACTTGGTTGGCGTTTTCGGTGGGTGGTTAGGTTAAGGTAGTTGGGGCATACCACGCACAATACAGGGAATGGGCAAGACAGGACATGCGGACACGATATCACACGACATGACACACTGGAAAGTCATGCACGGTACACGAGTACCATCTGGGTCACGAGTGTAGCGCTCCAGCAGAGCTAGAGCTTCAATACGGAATGAAAACGGGTCAATCAAACAAAATGATGTGGGCGAAAAAAGGTTCCATTGAACAAACGATGTGAGAGCAGACGAGGACCGGGACGACACAGCCGACGACTGACAATAAGGTATACCGCGCTTCATGTCTGTCACGAAGCATTTACACCCTGTAAAATTTGGGTTCTGGTGATTGATTCTCTTACTACCGTAAATCTAGTGGGTGGTGGCCGGTGACTGGGTCTTGCTTGCTTGCTCAGATTTCAGAAGTCGGCGGCCCCTGGTACGGGGGACTCGTGTGCATTGCAGGGAGGGAGGAGGGCTTGGTACATACACTACGGGGGCATGGGATTTTCATCTGGCTGGGTGAATGCAGCAGATGAGGAGAGAAAGAGTGTACTCCGTACCGTAGACGTGATTTGGTCCCTATGAAGATATACATATATATATGTATACATATATATAAATGTATGTATATCCAGCATCATCCAAATATGTCTCCATCCGTGCTGTTGGAATCAGAGGTCATAAGGGGAGAATGAAGATGAGGTCGGTTATAGATAGTGACAGACAGTCATGGTCATTCTTGCTGGAACCGACAAACCTCAAGATACAAATCAGCACCGACGTTGATCCCTCCGATTAAGAACGAATGTACATTCCCCATTTTCTGCCTTGCCAACCTGATCACAGTACCTTGGACGAGAACAACACGCAACCCTTTTTCTTTTCCTTTCGTCAGACCAGCCAGCCTGCCTCAATTTCTCTTTCCACTCGCGGGAGGTTTAATGCCTGACACTCCCCTGTGAACTCAATTCCGCCGGCGGCCTGTGTTCGCCCGTCACAGCCGTGGTCGAGGTACCTTGGCTCTGCGTGTCGCTCATGCCGGCGGTGCTCTGGCGATTTACGGGGACAGCGAAGGGGTGCACAACGTCCCCGGCAACCTCTGCCGGTGGCTTATAATGTCCCTGATCGTATATTGTACCACCAGAAGCATAGAAGGGTGGTGGTGGAGATTGGGATTGCGGGTAGGGATTCATGTTGCCAGGATATCCCATATGACCTACGGGTTGAATTCCGTAAGGGCTGCCGTACTGGTCGTGTTGGTGGACCATGGCGGGTTGCATTTGCGGCGCGCCGTATCCGAAGGCCGGGCTGAAGCCGTGCTGTGACGGAGTGCCATATAATTGTTGCTGCTGCATCATTGGGCTTTCGATACCCGTCGTCGCTACAGACATGTGCTTGGAATCTGCTTGTGCAGCAGCGTATGCGCCAGACTCGGGCCGGATTGGTCCTCCAGCTGCGGTGTTGGCCGCTTGAAGAGCCTTCATCTTCTTGCGGCGGCGGTGTCGCACGGCGAGGCAAGCCCAGAGAAAGCCGATGATGAGGAGGCCAGCAACGCCGACACCAGCACCAATTCCGGCTTTCGCGCCCGTGCTTAGATGGGTGTGGTTGTGGTGCTCTTCCTCTTCCACTTCCTCTGCACATGGGAGCCCGAGGGCGAAGACCCTGTCCAACTGTCAGTGTGAACCAACGAGACGGGGGAATAGAAAGGGAGTCTAGAATAAGGCTGGAACAGGATGCAACTGACTGAGTGACTACGACACTGACTGTCGGTACAGCTGTTGTGGTTGTAGATGCCGTTGCCAAAGATGCTATCACAGCTGACGTGATGGATGCAAGCACTTCCGAATCGGGCGTGATGGCCGTTGTAAGAATGCTCACACATGGCGGATAATTGCCGACCAAGACCTGACCATATACCTGGAAACCTGACGGGCTGGTGAAGCCGGTCAGCAATGAGACACAGCAGAGTGCAACATAGATGGTTGGAATGACAGGGCATACCAGCAAACAGGGTCAATGTCGACCATGTCACTATTCTCGAAATTAGGTCATGTGCCCAAAGTGAAGTTAGTGATTGGGAATACCTTGGGCAAACAGTAAGCGGGGCCTTGCTCAGCATCGAGACCACGCCCGTTGGGGTCGGACTAGGAGTTGTGCCTGTCCACGATGTCGTAGCCTCTTCATGTTCTTCCTCGTCACTCGATTCTGTGGCAGATGGTGAGGCAGAACCGGTCTCTTCAGGCACGGGGTTCGTGAAGTTGAGCGACGGACAGCATTCTGGGCGATCATCGGAACAACCCACCAAGGGAACTTCGATGGAGCCGCCATCGGGAAAGGTCAACATTGTAAATCGAGCAATCGCACACCTAGTCAATCATCAGCAGTTGTTTTCGCGCTTGGTAGAGTGTCAACGTGCGTTCCGACGAGTAAAGCCTGACCTGTGTACGGTACAGTCTGGATGGCGGGGATACTAGTTGATGCCGGAGGATACGCCGTGGTCGTCGCACCATCGTTTGTGCTGCCCGTGGTGTACGAGGTGTAAATGGTGGTGTTTCCATAGGCTGTGGTTGTGGTCGAGTCTGTTGCTGTGATGGTCGCTGTATCCCCTGAGAGCGACTGACCGTGGGCGAAGAAGGGGAACACAAGCAGGAACAAACTCAGTCTAGAAGGCGTTCCCATGATTGCAACCACGTATAGCCAAACTTGGAGGTGAGAGATCTCGAGCCCAGAAAACAGCTTCAGACTGGGTTGGGGAGCAGCGGAGGAGAAGCAAGAAACATTCTCAGCCCTGCGGCGACCGACTTCGTTATAGCGATCCGGTTCATGATGTGATTAGACCTACCGTAGTAGAGGCTTGAGAGTCTTGCCGTGGCCAGGAAAGTGCCTCGAGGGGTCGTCCGATGCCCAAGACCACAGTCTCGTAAGGGCATTGGTAAGAGTTGGTTGAACACGAAGTCACTAGGTCTGGATCCGTCCTCAGCCCTCCAAAGCTCGAGGATTAAGCGACATCAAGACAGTCGTGAAGTCTAAAGCTTGGCTTCAGCGGCTGGGCGCGATGGGCAGGATTGGCCCATGCACAGCTGGACCCCAGTTGACACGATGCTGAACACGAGCCGCGCTTCCTACTGGTCGATTCGCCGTGTCGCGGTGGAATATTGGTCATGTATTGCAGCCTCCTCTTCCCCAATGAAATAGATTTACCTTTGGAAGTCAGGACAGACAGCCGGAACGCCAGTGGGACGAAGTCATTGTTTGGGTTGTGGAAAGCCACTGCTGCGGCAGCGGCCTGACAAAGGGCACACAAGCGGGAGCCACTTAGCCGGCCGATGCTGGGAATTCCTCGCCTGGGAGGCTCGCATGCTGTCGTAATTCTCGTAACACCGGCCCAAAGGCAAGATTTCGAAGAAAGAGCAAAGCGTCTATAAGCTCAATGGCGGAAGGTGGAAAGCTTCGACGTCTACAGTAGGACGCCGACCCCAGACCCAAGGTTCAGCTGCCAAGACGCCAAGAGGGTTGGCATCTCGGCTTGCATGCTTCACGAAAGTCACCGAGTCTAGAGTCTAGAGTCGGTGTCCGCCAGCGGAAGCACGTCTGGTGCACATCAGCTCTCAATCCTGGCCTTTCATGCGCCATGTCCTGCGGCTGATGCTGCTGCTCCCGGGGCGTAACTGCCCGCCGCTCGTTGTTCCGCACACCACTGGGTGGTGTGTAATCCCCCTGTTCTTTGGGCCTCTACAAAGACAATGGGAAGCGTAAAGTGTTTCCCCTGTGGAAAAGAGATACGAGACCACACTGAGGACGAGCAGCAGAATGCAGAGTACGAAGGCGACTGCATTGGATTCCGTGTTTAGCAAGAGTTGCAGATATGGTATGTCGGCCTCGATGGCGTTGTCCAAAAAGCCGATGCAGAAGAGCCTCATGACGAGAATGACAGTTCCCATTGAGACGTTGAGGAGGAAGCTCCACCGCATTGAACGGAGGACGTTCAACGCAGCGTCTGCGACTTCCTCCGAAATGTGACAAGCACTATCTGAGCCTGCACAGGGAATATCAGCTTAGGAAGTGGTCGGGTGCCCGATGCCCAGCTTATCGAGATCACAGTATAGCACAGACACCTGCGACACAAGGTCTACAGTGCCCATGTTGTTCCAACCGCCCTTATCCGCCAAGGTCGCAAAGACCTCTTTGCCGCTGTTTGCCGGACACATGACTGTTGATTTGAGAAGCGCACAAATGGTCAGTCGGTCCATTGTGCATGGCCAGCAGCCCTGTGGGACGCTGGGAGGACGCACCCGAGAGTGGTATGATCGTTACCGTACACCCAAAAATGTGGCCGAACAAGCCTATGGTCTTCGATCAAACATTGGTAGGCTAATAGATCGTAAGCGTGGCTGGACTCTCGCTCAGCGGGTACCAGTCCGAGAGGTTACGTTGTCGCAATCCAGGTCTTGGGAATGATGGTGATCGCTAGAAGCGCAATACTAATGAGAGTATAATTGCCATTTTAGAAACACGAAATCCGCGTTCGAGACCTCGCTCAAGACCTCGATCAATGTGCTGCCAGACATAGATGCCGGAAGGAGAAATTGCCAACCATCCCAGCGTGGACATCCGGCCAGCAGAGTAGCTGAGGAATTCCTGATACCGAGGAGCGAATTCTGATACCCCAGTGTTGCTTCCCGCCAGTTGTCGGCGCGATTGGTTCCATTCCTGCCAGGCTTGCAACCACTGTCGAATAATTAGCAGAGCAAGGGGCCGATGATGTCCAGAACAAGCCAGCAAACGCACCGTCAACAAGACCCACACCGAGGAAGAACAACGCAGATCCCTATGTCACCATGTAAGTGGATGGCGAGCATCGGTGTTGGTCCCGTCGGAAGCAGGACCTTGGATCTATTTTGTGTGTGGAAAGGAGCTCGTCACGCATATGGAGATAAACCCAGGGCTCGAGATCAACGACAAGTTGCGGCCGATTTCTTGACACTTGACGCGGCGAAACATGACTTAGATGTCCTGCATGGTATCGCCAGACAAATCATGGCGAGCCTCCTCGAGCCTGTTATCGAACGGACACTCCTCCACGGGTGTCGTTGAGGACAATTTGGGCTGCGCCATCTTCTCGTCGCTGTAAACCTTTTCATTCGCCATACTGAGACGACGGTAGTTCCACTTCCTCATGCACACCCATGGTGGTCGCTCGGGCCGCTCTGCTCTTATCGTTCCCGGAATGAGCCGTGTGTGTCCCAAGCCGTGATATGTAGTACCGGTATGTCCAGTCTACGTCTTGTTCCGTGGTAACCCAGGAAAAGGACCGTCTCGGTGGAATGTCCAGGTGTCACACCCCCCGTCCTGAGACATGGCATTGCTGTGTACGAGGTCTAATATGCAAGGAGGTCCGAGAAGGTAGTACCAGCGAAAAGAAATTCGAGTCTTCAGGTTCTGTGTAAATTACATGTCATCATAGTGATTCTACTTAAGATCATAAGAATAATGTGACCCCAGCTTAAGAATGTCTGCCTCCCGTGACGGACGCTCTCGCCGTACCTGTACACTTTCGCGGGAGTTCCGTCATTTTCATCAAGCACTGCAGCACGAAGAGGAGCTGAAGTACGGAGTATCCAACTCTGCCATAGACCCGGCATATCCAGCAACGCCTTGCGTATAATCAAGAGGGGCCTGCGTGATCGCCGAAGCGAATAATGGGTTGTGCAGGCGCAAATTATAACAACACCGCTCTTCACAAACCAGCCGCAATCTTGCCAGCGGCCTCATCAGCCACGCTCTCCTCGTACCAAGCCTTGATGCGAGCGGCTTTCTCAGGGCTCCGGACCTTGACATCCATCTTGAAGGGAAGGGGACCTCCGATCAGATTGGGGGTGAAAGCAAGGGAGTCTGGCCACATGGGTTGTCCGTTTGCGTCCTTTTCCGGAAGGAGTTCGAAGCAGCCGACAATGGAGCCGCAAGCAACGAGCAGTTCCGCCTCAGTAACCTCGATACCCGGGCACATGCGGCGGCCCATGCCAAAACCGTGGTGACCCATAAGTCTGGGGTGTTCCGTAAGAGGTTCCTTGTAGGTTGGGTAATCCTTCTCAAGCCATCTCTCAGGCTTGAAGGTTTCGGCGTCGGGGTAGAGCTCGGGGTTGCGGGCAAGGGCCAGGTCGACAGCGTGAATAACGGCGCCCTTGGGGAGGTAGTAGCCGTTCCATTCGTCATCTTCCTCAAGGAGACGGGGAACACCCAAGGGGACTGGTGGTCGCCATCTGACGCACTCCTTGATCGCAGCGCGGAGGATAGGCAGGTTTGGAGCGTCAGACACCTCAACAACGCGGTCACCGATGACCTCGTCGTATTCTTTGCGGACCTTCTCTTGCCACTCCGGGTGAAGAACCATAGCAAGGAAGAAGCAGTAGAGCGGACCACCAATTGTGAAGATAGCGACGGTCACCAGCATGCCAACAGCGTAAGCGGCCTCGTGGTCGTCGAAGCCGAAAGATCGGCTGCCGGCTTCCGCCTCCTTGCGCTCAAAGTAGGTTCTGGCGTAGCTGATAGGAGCAATACCCTGGTCCATTTCCATACGAACTTGCTTCATCAAACCCTTCCACAGCTTCTCCTCCTTTTCACGTCGCTCACGGACCTTGCGGATTGATGGATTGATCCATTCTGGGAGGCTACCGAGGAAAGGCAAGAGGTTGGTGATGGGGCCAGAGGGCGAAATCTGAGGAATGAATTCTCCGGCGTTTTTGCAGTGGGCGGCAGCAGACGCAGGGCTGCCATAACCAAGACGAGCGCTGATGCGGCCGCAGAAGCGATCGGTCAGGGCGAAGTGGTCCTTAGGATCCACGAGGAGCTTGTACATGAATCGCTTGCATTCGTGGCTGACATAACCATAGTACTTCTGGTTGAAGCCCTGGGTCAGGACAGTGTGGGCGAACTTGCGCTGGTTGCGCCAGTGGTCTGCGCTGGTTAGTCGTAGTCCCTTGTTTCGTGGACTTGTCAGATCAACTTACCATCGTGGGCCAAAAGAGGGAGGTACTGGCCCTGAGAGTCGCTGCCAGGGACAGCAGGGACCATAGGGCGGGAAGAGTAAATCCGGGCCTTCTTGCAGAGAAGATCATAGGCGATGTTGGCATCACCAACCCAAATGTGCATCTCTCCGCAGATTGTGGAGCGGAAGATTCCGTTGTACTGATCGCAGAACTTCTTCATTGCAAACCAAGGGGCATTTGGGTCGACATCGTGGATGCGTCCGATGTAGGGGATCGTGCTCGTCGGGCCCGGGATGAGCTTGAGGCCTGGCGGAGGTCTGTCTCGGAGGGAGTATTTGATTATTTGAATTGCAGTAACGAGGACGAAAATGCTGGTACCAATGAACCATTTGTAGGTTCCAATGGCATCGAAGGCCTGCTGTGACTGGAAAAGAGCGTCGGAGGTCTCATTGGTGTTGAGATAGCTGGATAGCTGGGTCATAATGACCGACGGCGAGATGGAGGCCGCCATCACGATCGAAGTGCCCTGCAACAATAATTGCAGAAGGACTCGACCCAAACGAAGGGAAGGATAAGGATTGATATGGGAACGATCGAAAGGGGTTGGGGATTTGGGGCCCCTAGGGAGCTGGTCATATATCAGGCCAGCAGCAGCCACACGCAGGATGGAGATGACTTTTCTGGCTGGGCAGGCCTCGAGGACGCCGCGTCTGGGGACATTGTCACGGAGTACCGGCAGGGAGCAAGCTGATAGGCGCGTGCGAGGGCGCAGTTGTAATCAGAATTGGATTTCGCGTCCAGGAGCGTCAGACTTGTCCGTGGCTAACACGTTGTTTTGCAAGTGCTACCAACGGTCTAGAGGCTCATTACGGGGGCTGCGCATTAGGCATTCGCTAGTGACACTCCCCCACCCCACCGCCTGGCCCAATGGAGGCTTAGGCTCCACTACATGCCCCTAATTTTGGAACATGAGCTTTACAGCCACGGCCTCTTGGCAGTGTTGCCCTGATACAGCCCCTGAAACCACTTGCCTAAGATTGGCATGTCCGTAGCGCGAGGCGCCGCTCATTTACTCTGTAGGCACTGGGCTCGTATTGTCGGATGCGAAGCACCATGTTTTGGACACCGCAACCGATACCCGACGCTAACATGCGACCAATGATGACGGCACAGTTGTGAAACATCTCAACATCCAGACATCATCGTCGATGGCTTCTACCACACTGGGAAGAATAAATCGTGGTACTCCCGTACGGAGTACATAAATTGCTTGCTCCGTTTGTATAGGAATTTAAAATGCTCCTGAACTCCCAGGGCTCCACACGAACTCCCCGATTTTTGCCTCTGAAGGATCAGATTGATGACTTTCAGCAGGGGGAACGACGGAGGAAGTCTGCTGGGGATGTTGCCTGGCGCCCCTAACTTGGTCCTCTGATTACATTGCAGTGTTCTGGCCGCTCAAGCACGCTCCCCTGGAACCTTCTTGCACGATAAGTCTGACTCGAGCGGCTGTGAAGCTCAGTATACAGTACTGCGTACTCATCGAATACAAGTAGCGACGCGCTCACTTGAGGTCACGGACAAAGGAGGTGAGATGAGCGCTACGAGTGTGGCACTGGTGGTAGCGAGGCAATCAACTCACTCCACACTGAGGCTGTGATACATTTCCGAGCAGTTGTATAATGCTTACTGCGCATGGTCAAGCATTGCTCGATCTCGGCTATCTTGACAAGCTGTCGTTACTCCGTACTCTGTAAAAAAACCATCCACCACACGAGTGTTGAGGGCCTTTTTACGATACCATGTGGTAATCAGTGCACTCCTTTTATCTCCGGGCAACCCCTTTCGTCATCGCCAGGACATGTTCAGGGCACCCCGTGAGCTTGGACGACACGTTGTCCATCCTTCTATGCTTGTAAGCCTCTGCTCACCTAGAGGATCAAACTGTATCCAGTCGTCAGGCCTTATGTTCCACATGAGCGACGTAATTCATACGGAGTACACCACGCCATGTTTCTCTGTGCACCAGTCTCTCGGTTGAAAACTTGGCCTCTGATTGTTGACGCCGGAAATTTGCACAGCAAACATCTCAGCCTTGCGCTCCAGACTGTGACATGGACAAGGCTGCACTTCTTGGCGCTCGTTGTGGGTTTCTCGACTCAAAAGATGTCCAAAGTCACACCGCTACGCTCTTGCAAGGCAACCCTGCACAAAGTGAGAACGGGAAACCCTGGCGCTATGCTACCTGGGCCATTTCTAGCTGCACTAGAGTTTTTGGATTCGAGCTACAGCTCACGCAGCAGGGAAATTCTAGCTTAAACTCGGTATCAACGAGTCTCCGAAACTGCAGTTGACCAGTCCGCGAAGCCTGCAGAATCCTGCTAGGAGCAGCCCCATCCAAGTGCATCTCACCGCGTGACCTGACTCCTCTACTATCCATCTTCTGATTGCTTCAATGCACAATCTAACCAGTGACATTGAGCCTGTCTCTCTGCCTATCTGGCCAACATGCAAAAACGCACTGACCTGGTCGGCCGAGGCCCTGGCGGTTGCGGCAGGTGAAGCCGTGCATATCCTAACGCCTCGCGATTCGTCCGCATCCACAGAAAACCCCGGTAACAAGCAATGGCACATTCATACCGTCCGTGTCAACCAGTTCGATCCCAGCGAATGGCCGCCCCAAGCCCTCGCTACGGTCACTCAGTTTTCACTCGGAGAAGAACTATCTGAATCGACTATCGTCTCCATCGCTTGGTCTCCTGCGGGGCTAGGTGTCTACAGAAGAAGTGTTCTGACCATTTTGACATCTAATCTCGTCTTGTCGCTATGGGAGACTACCGGAAGATTTGGGGTGTGGCAGCGCACAGCCGTCGTCAATCAGCATCTGTCCATGCACAATATCAACGAGACTGGGGACAATACAAGATGCCAACACAGAGTCCGTGCCTTTGCTTGGCTGCCCAGCTTCCCATCTGTTGCAGAATCCATGTGGGGACGGCAACTTCTCGCCGTGGCTGACGATAGCTATACCATATCGGTCTATCATGTGTCGAAGAGAGGTGCTGTTGATGGGCAGTGGTCCTTCCGACTTCTGACACAGTACATGATCCCAGGCACGCAGCGCCTTAAGTCCAACACAACACGAATGCAGAGCCTCAGGACCATTTTAACCCAATCGTCGCCTATCTCGAGCCTCGAGGCGACGGCGTGGCAAGGAGAGGGGGATCTAGGTGATGATGAAACGAAAAGTCTCGGTGTCAAGGTGAGTCGCGGTCAGTGCTGTACTCCCACGTTTCTGCGTGTGCTGGTCCGCGGCTCCAACGCAGCTCCAGTCGAGGATGGAGGAGACTTGGAAGCCTCGATCATCCCCATCTCATCGTTGCCTGGTCTCACTTTTCCTGTGCCACCTTCCAAAGACGTCTTCGCACCGGTTGTTGAGGAGTCTTGTTCAGAGTTCGTTCAAAAACATGGACTTCGTGGGAAAGTTCGTGTCAATCACTGGGGCACCGCGTTGTCTCCTGGTCACGAAATCGCAGCAGCTTGTGTGTCGCTACACCCTTCAGACATGATTGAATATGTCATACCTTCGGCTCAGCGCGTCACCCTTCACTTCATACGCGTACAAGAGTCTTTGGTTGAGGAATTTGCCATGGAAGATCCCGTCAAAGTGCAAAAACGTATATTTGAATTCATGCTAGAGTCATCGGAAGGCCAGATACACATCGACTTTGACCGGAAGATTATCAGAAATACTGCTGCTCTTATGAAGCTGAATTTCAAAGATTCAATCGATGTGGCCGACTTGGTAGGTGCGTGGTTAGCACGGCATCAAAGCTCTGTGTCGAAAGAAAAGCCCGTTGGAGGTGACGTGCAAGAACAAGACACAGAAGAACAGCAGGAAGAGCAGATGAACCTGGACCGCCCGGGAACGGGCAGGGAGCATGCTAGAGCTGAAGAGCTCTGCGAGTTCTGTGACGAGCCTATTCCGTTCACGTCAGACTTCGCCCATGCCAGATGCAATCGGGGCCACCAATTCAGCCGGTGTTGGCTCTCCTTCGTTGCTATCCAAGAGCCTGGAATTTCCAAGTACTGTTCTAAATGTGGAAGGCAATTCCTCGATCTCGGGAAGATGGAATTCCAAGGCGATGGTCCGAGCTTGGGTCAAGCGCTGTTCGACCGGTTTGATGCCTGCCCGTACTGCCAAGGCAAATATCGAGGGTGAGACTGGAATGCGGCTCGACGTCGGAGATAGTCCATCTTGTGTCACCACCACGAAATTGAGGCTGCGAACAGGGGCTTCCAAAGCTTCAGACGCGATGACGAAAACCCATCTTTGTTCCGTCCGAAAGGGCGAAACGATCCCTACTTCGCCGGATTTGAGGTTGTCGTCGACTATCGACGTCTTCTGATCGCAGCATTACCGCAAACGGAAAAAGTTCTTTCAAGGCCAGCACGATCCGAAAACGAACGCCTCAAGATGGCGATGCTTGAAATATACTTCCAGCAGGATGCTAATTGCGACTTCTTTGAACCGTTTTGTTGTGATTGTTCAAGTCAATGGTCTTCCACCCTACGAGTCCAATCCGAGTCTTTGCACGGAAGGAAGTCGTTGTCCAGCATCGTCATACGATCTCAAAAGGAAGCGCCATCTCCGGCAAGGACGAGAACATCATGTCTCCTACACAGATGCCAGGGTTTGCGTCGGCGTCAAGCTGGCGCGGTCGCCTTATGCCGCGAAGACAGAGTCAGGATAAACAAGCTGGCCCCAAGGAGATTAGTCGATGGTCGAAAACCACCACGGAGTCAGAACTGTCTGAAGCCCGGCTAGCACCGGTCTCGAAGAGGAGGAGCTTCCTTAAGAAGAAACAGAATCAGAAAGAGAATTCCAAAGAAGTCGACAACAACAGTCCGACAGACCCTTTCTACGACCCTGTCACGAAGCAACTCCAACCCTATGGAGGAGACATCCCTCGCATCACTGCCAGTCGACCAGACGCCACAGGGGAGCCTCAAACATTCCTTGATGATGCATCAGACAATGGGACCATGGACAGCCCAACGAGCCCTGTCATCCAGCGAGCCAGCAGTGTCCGAGTGAGCAGGCCTCAAGTCATTCAGCACAGTAACAGCTCGACTCCATCAGTGCCAAAACTGTGTCCTCCACAGAAAACCCCTTCTTCGGTGCACGACACGTCATCTTTGTCAAAGCCTCCACAAACTCTAGGTGAAGATCTGAGCAACCGTTCAACACCAACGGTGGAGAGACATGACAACGATAATGCCCCGGGTGGACCGATCGACGCCCTGAGAGCACTAGAAGGCAACGACAACAACCAGACAGATGGCGACATCACTGCCTTGCCACAGATACCCGCCCAAGGCAGCCTCGAGCCCCGCGAGTCGTTGAGAGAAACCATCGTCTCATGGCCCGACACCCCATCTCGACTTGAAGCACTCGACACGATGCCCACGCCGATGGGTGGATTCGGGTCCATGCGCATCCTTCGCGCTTCAAACGGCACTTTTTCGACAGATAGCGCAGCTACTTATGTGTCGCCCTCGTCCATTATAACCGACGGCCTACGTTCCAACCCTCCCACTGAGACGGACAAGAAGCTCTCCCGTGCCATTTCCGCCCCTGTGCGTAGTTCCCGACGCGTGATGATCCGTCCCGCAGACTTGGTCATCAACAAAGGGGGCCACGATCATAAGCTGTTCCGGGAGAATATCGTCAGCACGCCCTACCCGGCAAGAAAAAGTAGCCACGTGGAGATTGATGGCATACTTGGGGTCTCAGCTTCGCATTCTCCGCAAAAGGAGGGAAACAATGGCAAGAAGACGTCGAAGCTGAGGCGATCGAGGCCTCTGTCGCATACTGCTGAAAGATCCGAACCGGACGACGAGACGGCTGATATTGCGGATCCCTTTGATACGAGCTCCGCGAACGAGAAAGCGCCAAAGATCCCCTTTTCCACTAAACCCACACCCCTACTAAGCGCGACAGCACCCGTGACTGCCCAATCCGACCGCTTCCCCTCGCCCTCTGCGCCAGAGACCGTCTTCGTGGAGCTCCGACTCGCTCGCCACCCTTCCGCGCGCGTGACCGTAGAGATCGAGGTGACGGACAAAGCGACCTTTGACGACGAACAACTCTTCACCGTCCTGCGAGAGCACTACATCAACAAACTTCTGGGGAAAGCACGATGGTGGTTCTGCGCCAGAACCATCGAGGATGCGAGCCTGGCCTGGGGCAGAGACCTAGAGGATTCCGCAACGTTGAGCTCTAACTCTCCAAGAACGTCCGGACTCTGGCACACCCACCACAACGCCGCCAGCAGTGGCACGAATCGGGACTTTGATCCCGCCGACTTCGTCCGCCATCTCCGCACACCGCGCCTTGGCCGCCGGCGAAAGGTGTGGCTTCTCTGGCTCCGCAACGCCCAACAGCACGGATACACCGCTGGGACGGGATCGAGTCGAGGTCGTCGATCCTATCTTCCCGCGACGGTGGGCGTCGGTTTCAGCAATAGTCCAAGCACTAGTACGGGCAACAGCACCAACACCAACCACAGCCCGCAGGACGAAAATTCGTCCACAAGCCCGGTCTTTTCGTTCACGCACTCGCGCCAGAACAGCGCGGCGAACCAAGCCCAGCTTCAGCCGCAGCACCTCCACATCCACCTCGACCAAGTGGCACAGGCAGACAAGTCGCCGACGCAGGAATACCGCGGCGTGGTGTCGAAACAGCCGAGCCTCTCCCTAGGTCGGATGCCGTTTAGTCCACCTGACACCCGCTGGCAATCCCACCCGCAAACTCCCTCCTTCCCAACGTCATTCAACCGCTCGAGAACCCTTGCCATGTCGTCTTCCTATCGACCATCTGCATACTCACCGGCATACCCACATCATCCTGAAAGTCACCTGGTGGCCTCCTCCCCACCATCAATCTCCCTGCACCACAGAATTTCGGTCAAGGCCACCGCGCTCTTCATGTGCCTCGTGCTCTTCCTCGCCCTCCTCACGACCATCCTCTGGATCCTCTTCGGCTACCCCGGCCGGAGCGCCACGCAGGGCAACGGCACGACGATGGTCGCGGGCGAGGAGTTTGATGTCCCCTGGCGGAGGGACGCTCAGGCGCGCGTTGGCGTCGGGTTGGTCATGGGAGTCATGGTCGTGCTTGTGGGCGCGGTGCTTGAGGGCGGGTGGGTCTGGGCGAGTTGGGTGCTTGTGTAGGGTATACACTTACGCAGAGATACATTCTACCGAGCAGATCAACAAGTAGTGGAGGGGCCAAACGATGGGTCGGTTGGTCGACAGATGCGTCGTTTCCGTTTCATGAAGCATAGATGTATGCATCTGGTGCATGCATGATGCGTATTGCACGGATCTCCTAGGAGACGGGGTGAGGTGGAATGGGAATGCATGGATCTCCTAGGAGACGTGGTGAGGTGGAATCGGAATGAATGGGAATGCATGGATCTGGATCTCCCGGAAGAGAAGTGGGAGGGAGGTCAACAAACGAGCGCAAATCATGCATGCTTCGCATGCCGTGTATGTGGCACTGGTATAATAATGGAGACTCTCAGACTGCAATCTTCAACCTTGACCCTAGTTACGGGGTGTTCGACCTGCTTGCGGCGATCAACCCCAGTTGATTGACCAGGTAATTAATTCATGTAACGCATGTGGTAATGAACGGTTGATGGAGGGACAAGAGACCCCCCCGGCTCGAGCTCGTGTTGAGATATCCAGAATAAACAGGGGATGAGGGATCAACTCATTCGAATATGTCAGTCAGGCCATGCATGCATGCCATGCGCGTCGTCTACGAGAATAATTTCAACTTTCATCTCTCCATCTTCAATCTTCGATCTTCAATCTTCCATCTCGCCATCTTCAATTTTCGATCTTCAATCTTCAATCTTCGATTCTCGACCTGCTGACGGCGGCGTGGCGTTCGACCTACAGTAGTCAGATCAACCATATCCCTTGGACGTATGGTATATCCCTTGGACGCATGGCATATCCCTTGGACGCATGGCATATCCCTTGGATGCATGGGGTTGGGGTACGGTATGGTTCATAGGGAAATCCGAGGCGTGGCTGCAGCTTACAGTACTGTCTGTTGAAACCCCTGAACGAACCGGAGATATACAGTAGACTAACAGGAGCGCGGGCTAGATTCTTCAAGAGTACTATTAATCTACCACGGTGCGCATGCATGTGCTCTCGTCAGATCAGTCTCACGGATTGTCTAGTTTAATTACTTGTATCGTCGGAATATATTCCATTTACATTAAATCGCCCTCGAACAAGAAACGCCCTTTGCGTGATCTCATCTCCCGTCTCCCGCTTGCAATTCCTTTCTACAGTATTCATGCCTTCGGACCCATCCAATCCATGACGGCGCTCCCCTCTATCGACAGAATACATAGTATATAATGTAGATTGTACTCGAGATAACGAACGGCCTTTGCGTGACCTCGTCTCCTGCTCGCATCAGGCCTTCGCACCCATCCGTCCTGGAAGCGCCGACTTCCTCTTCCCCGTCACTTTGCCCACGGGATCCTTGCCCTTCTCCTTCTCCCTCTCCCTCTCCGCCACGTCGATCGCGCTGCGCATGCTCTCAAAGCTGAATTTCGGGCGCAGGGACAGGCCCGTCGCGTTGGTGCTGCCGAATTTCGGCCGCAACGACAAATCCACTGCATTGGTGCCGCCCAGCGAGGCGGAAAGTTCTTGCTCCCACGGAGTCGCCACCGAGGTTGCCGCGGCCGTGGTAGTGGTGGTGGTAGCTGAAGTCGGCGTGATGATTGTCACTGTGGTGGTCGTGGTCGTGGAAGTCGGACCCTCCGTGATGCATACCGGAGTACGGCCCTCCTTTTCTAGTACGGCTGATTCGTGGCTGACAAGCGGCAGCCGCTCTGCCAGAGGTTGATCAACGGTGGAAGCCCAGTGCACAGACTGACTGACATCCTGACGAGGTCGCTGATTTTCGTCTGCAAGCGCTTTCGCTTGCGCAGGTATAGCGAATTTATCCGAATGGCCTACCGCAAGAGTATTTTCATGCCAGAGGGCGTCCATAAGACCAGTCGTCATGAGTTGCATGTCGTTGACACTCGGTAAAGACTCGACAATGGCTCGAGCTGCCGAAGACACCGGAAGGTCAGGTCGGTCTACCGCAGTCCTGTTGGCTACCGTCGCAAAATCCCTGGTCTGTATGGTGGAGTCCTCCATATCAGCATGCTCGGTCATCAATGGCTGATTTTCGTCGACCTCTTTCTCTCCCTCTTCGTCTTCTTCGAAAATTGGCCCAGTGTCTCCATTCCGCTTTCCGTGTAGACTCGCAAATCTGACGAAGCCGGGAGGCACTGAGTTCCTCTTGAGTTTTATTGGGCTCGCGTTTTTCTGCCGGAGGGGCTGCCGCACCGGACTTGATGCGGCAATTTCCATCTCCATCTCACCAGTGTGCTGCGGGTGTTCGGGTTGAGACTCGGACGGCGCATTGTAGGGCTCGATACGGGCTTGACGGGTCTCATCCTGGCCCACTTGCATGGGTATGATAGGGATGAATCTGTCGCGGCTCGCGTCAGAACTTCTTCTGGCAGATGAGCCGGATGTCCGCTCTATTTCAAAGCTGAAGTTCGTCCTCAAATTTTCATTCTCCAGCACTGGGCTCAGCTCGCTGTTAAATCCGTGGGGCCGTTTCAACCTCCCGCAGCATGAGCAACGACCGTAGACCGGCGCAGAAGTGATTTCCTTTTCTTTGCCTTTGGGCGCATCTGGGATCACCAAGGACAGTGGCCGAACGACGGGGTGTGCCGAGAAACCGCCATTTTCGTCTGTCGCACCACCCGCAGGCGTCTCCGCAGACGGTACGGTCTGTACAGATTCCGGCTTCGATGGTTCTGCTGGAACTTCATCCTGTGGCAAAGACAGGGTCCTTCGTCTCAGTTTCTTCAATTTCTTCTCCGGACTTTCGTGGTTAAGTTTGTCTCCCCCGAAGAGTGCTGCATGTATCGTGAATCGCCTCTGCTTGTCTTTCTCCTTCTTCGGGGATTCCGGGGCAGGATCATCCTTAGGCTCCGGATCAGATACAGCGAGTGTAACATTGGGCAAGCTGTCGACAACCGCAGGTTCTGGTTCAACCTGAGCATCTTGTTCACCATTCTGCATCTTTGGCTGGTTATGCGGATCATCTGCAGTATCGAATGCCGGGAACTTGTGGGTGCCATCCGCGATGATCGAGACTGGAGAGTCGGTCAATCTAGGTGGACTGGGCTGTCGCGATGACGGTGCGCTGACGTTGGGCAGAGAATCGGTGCGTGTGTTTTGCAGACTTTGCGCCCGGCCGATGCTATGGTCACCCGATCCACGTTTCGCCAGTTCCGGCGACGTGCTGACCTGGCTCTGCCTTGGTCTGGAGAAGTATGAAAGGGGATTGTTGACAATCTGGTGAGAAGGGTATTGGAGCATGTTTACGGAGCCCGTGCGCGTCACTTCAGGGCCTCGATATGTCGGAAGACCGCGATACGTCGAGGACCCAGAGCTTGATGGGCGGGATGAAAGACCGTTACCGGATATGAAAGCAGCCTGTACTGACCCACGAGGTCGGGGAGCGTGAATGACTCCGTTCGCGTGGCCATGAGAAGAGCCGTGACCATGATGGTGATGACCATGAGTGCTGGATTGCGATGCGCGTCGGTGTCCATTGGGAGAGTGTGGGGGAGTTGGGATGTTAAAACTGTTGTTTCGCGAGACGGAGTTTCTGTGCGCCTGTGGGTGGTATGCGGGAGGTTCGTCCGGAGTTGCTGGGGGTGTGGCATTGGTGGATCGCCGCTGAGACGAAGTTGATTTGATACTGGACTGACTCTGGGTTCTGGAGGCCAGGGCACCGTTATTAAGCGACCGGATTTCGGCTGGCGTCAACTTGGCGACATGGGCACTGTTGCGGACGGCATGTCGTTGTCGTTGCTTCAGCGTCTTTTGCAGCTTGGCCATGTCGAAGTCGTCTGCGTCAAGTCAGTACAGGTCGGACAGAGCAAGGATGAAGGCAGAAATTTCAACGCTTGGAAATTCATGGGCAGGACGTTGGGATGGGGTCCGAGCGACAAGTACTCCGTGTCGGGTGTTGATGTCAATGGTCAGCCAAGGAGAAATGGCCGTCTGCAAGGTAAGCTTTCGACTGGGACAGGAAACGCGACTCACCCGACGGATGTGCAGTGGGTGCCATGGTGGGCTTGGGTCGGACGAGGAATAGTCCCTGCCCTTGTGCGAATAGGTTATTGCCGTCCAAACCCGCCCCAGGATATCCGGTCAGCAGGAGGTGGTACAGTCGTGGGTCGAGTCAGGCCAAGCTCCCCAGGTACCAGGGACGATCAGGCGTTTCAGGCACGCAACAATGATGGCGGTGCAGGGTGAATTTCCTGAACAGCGCCGTCAACGAAGTCGGAGCTGACTTGCAGGATGACTAGCGCTACGAGTTGAGACAGAAACGAGCGACGGTGTCCGGGCTGCCGGTTGGAAAATTCATGGAATACAGAGTCGAATAGGTGATGCGATCGTCATTCCCAATGCGGCCGATTTGGCTGGGGGCTGGCGTGTCAGATGCGTGGTTGAGCGAGTGTCGGAATTGAAAGCTGCGGGCGACCGTGACCGACTGGGAATCGCAACAAGGGTATGCGCGCAAGATGGTGCAAAGACGCAATTGCCGGGTAGGATCCAGGTTCTGTGTACTGTGCGTGAAACGAGTGACTGGAAGGAGGAAGGATGATTCCACGGCTTCAGGTGAAGAAGTTTAGCGGTGACAGCAAGGGAGGGGCAGTCGACTTCGCACGGTGTCGGGGAACCGTGATCGAGCCGGGTTTGGGTCGCTAACGCTGACGCTGGAGCTTGAGCTGTCGCAGGAGCAAGCAGCTGGTACGTATCGTGAGCCTGGGGATGATGGCTGGATTGACAATGGTGTCCGTGTCAGTGGTGCGCGAAGAGAGGACGAGCATGACCACCACACTTTGTCTGCCTGGCCTTCCCTGTTATCCTCTCTTTCTTGTAGGTCCCGCTCTTCTCTGATAAAAACCCATGCCGGCGGATGGGTGCCATCGCAGGGGGGAGTTTGCCCAGATTAAGCATGGGCTCGGTTCCTGGATGGGGGTATGCGAGGGTGTCTCGGTGCATGAGGCTTGATCCGCTTGCGAAGTCGTTGGCTGGGTTTTGGCAACTGTCTGACTTCGGGAGGCTCGTCTTCCAATGAAATGCCGCCCAGGACTTGGAGATTGACGACCGAACGCCATTGATGAGGCGCCTGCGGAGCCCGACTGTAGGATCACGATCCACAAAGGCTCAAAAATCACGAGGCACATGGACGCCGAAACCAGCAGACACGAGTCTCAGGCAGCCTTGTTCCACTGGCCTTTGCCTGTTTCGCAGCATCGACTTTTTGACAGCTCGACACTATTAGTATCGGCTTGACCAGCTTACGCGTGTCTGGGAGTTCGGCAAAAGGAAGATTTCGCGCCCTACGCTGAGCCGCATCCCGGGAGATAACCTGATCGGGTCCAGGTACCAGGGACCAGGGACAAGGCACTGCGATGGGAACCAATTTCGCCTGGCTGACACGCTGACGTGTCGGGTTTCGAACCTCTATTGAATTCTTGTTATCAGAGTCAAGACCTTGGCTCTTGATACTGGTGTACTCCGTACACAGTGCCACAGTAGAGATACAGGCACATCTTGGGAGGTGCATTCCCAGGGCGTCAACACCGAGTACCGGGGAACGCTTGCAGGCAGTGCGTGGCCTTCCCATACGCTCACTACTATTTACTGATTATACCCAAATGCGCAACTTTTGTCCCTCGTCCGCTGTTGGTATCTTCCATCCTAATTGACCATTTCCTTCGTCCCGTCATAAAAGTAGACATTCATGAGCGTCCTCGCAGGAGCATCGCAACTTGGGGTATATTAACATATGCTGTGAAGGTGATCAAATGATCATGGACTTGGCGTCGGGCTGTTCGCTCTGATCATCCCTGATCATACATGGCGGCAGCCGAAGTGCGAGTCTCACTTATGCTCACAACGCCAGGCCCGTTCCATCGCCAGTCCACCGGTACAACGCGAGTACCTCTCGCCGCCAGTGCTGTTGCTCAGCCAGGTCTTCGGGGATACGACCACGAACTTGCTGAAGAGCTGAACGCATGACTTTTCGGAAATTGCGCTACGGGCATGTTAGCTCTTTCCCGCGGTGGTGTGTAAGACTCAAACGTACCTGGTATTGCGTGTCTAGAGTGGCCACGCATGCTTCGTGGGCCCGAACAATCGTCTCACATGCCTTGACAACATCTGGGCTCACATCGCCCTGAAGTTTGTCGGCAAACAGCAGCAGTAAGAAACTGCCCTGGAGAAGATACACTCCGAAGAAGAAGGGCATGAAACTCAAGTCAGGGTCGTCCTCGATGATTTCCGCCACCGCCTCGGCAGCAGATACGGCATGTCCTGTGGCCGTTACGAAGGATTGCGACGATATCCACAGGTCGTTGTCATCCAACAGTGCGATGGGATCCCATTTGCCGGTCAAGAGAATGTGCAAGACGTGCATGATATGAGTCCCGTACGCCACGACTGTCTTCGTCTGCAAAGCGAGCTCCGAAGCACTGTGCGACTCGTTCGTGCCCTGGGAAACCACTGACGGCGTGACCACATCGTTGTGGCTCGTGTCCTGGAAGTGTCCTCCTGCCGCCTCGAAGTCTTTCAGACTCTGCCCATAAGCCTCCAGCTGCAGCGTGATTTCGTCGGTGTGCTCGTCCCAGTTCTTGGCTTTGTTTGCGCGGGGCCCGAACCGTGGCCTGTTTCGCGCGTGGTTGAGATCCAAGATCTCACCCAAAATGACCATCAGGGGCAAGAAATACCCGAACACACTGTGCGACGTGCATTCAATGTTCAGTCCCCTCCGTCTAACCGTCGGATCAGACGCCCGGTCAAACCGCCCAGCTTGAAACATCTCGTCGTCCAATGGTTGCAAAAGGCCTTCGCACTCCTTGTTGAGGAAGAACATCGGCCGGTTGTAGCACAAAGCTAGATGCCGATCCTGCATATAGAGCAGCCACCAGGTTCGCCGGCGTTCCTCCCTTTCCTCCTCCGATACATATCCTATGGAGTTGCGCCGAGCATCATCCACCGAGTTCCTGCGGTTGTCTCCCGAATGGCCATCGGTGTTGTTACTCGTTTGATTGTTCTCTTCGCCGTCCTGCTCAGGCGGATTTGGAGGCAGTTCTCGGCCAAGTCGAATCTCTCGAGCGAGCGACCACGCCGCATTCCACCATCTCAAACTGGCTGCTTTTCGCTCGCTTGCCGAAACCACCGTAGCCAAGTGAATGTAAGTCGCCAGATTGTCTATCTGAGCTCGATCCACTCCTTGGCCGCCCGAATGTGTCGGCACAACCAGAGCACCCAGTCCTCCATCATTAGCGGTCATCTGTGGATAGTTCGGATTGGGAGTCTGCACCGAGCTATTGGGATGGCTGTGAACAAGTGGTTTCAGCATGTTAATTGTGAGTTCCAACAACCTCTGACATATGCGAGCTCGGGCATCCAGTTGCGCGGTCAGAAAGGCAGCGTCACTGGTTTGTGCCGCGATCCATAACATGCTAGCCAGGAGCGCTGGAGTACATGGACGAGGGTCCGTGGGATGCAGGATAGATTTCTTCCTGAAGATGTAGCCCAGAATATATGCGTTTGCCGGTCTGAGGTACGCCGAGGTCGAGCTCGTGAAGTATTGCTCGAGCAGGTCGCACGCCAATGCTTGAGGAATGATTGACTCGATGTGCGGCAGGAGAGGACGTAGGACTGGATATCTCAAAGTGTCTGTGATGCGCGGCTGGGCGGGGAGTGGCTCGTTGACGAATATCGGCGAGGTGAGTGCGAGCCAATCCGGCGACTCGACCATGGGAGCTTTGCCCATGAAGGCGACCGAATAATCGTCGCCCAGAGGAAATCCAAATGCTTGTGTCGCGCCTTGCACGTGCATGGTGTCGAGGGTGGACGGCGCATATGCCTGGTTGGGGACGGGGAATTCGATGGCCTGCGTCTGAGCAATGGATGGTATCATGGTCTGTTCCATTTCATGCATTGGATGCGCCCCGGTCATCCCTACTCCTGACGAAGGATCGAAACCGCCGAAGAAGGCATTCTGGTGAGGGTTGGGGTCGAACCCTGCGCTCGGAGGAGTGGTGTTCGAGGGTAAGGGATTGGCATCGACCAGGCCATCGCGACCGGCAAACGAGGTACTGGAATACTTCCTCGGGCCTGCGGACTGACGCACAGCGGACTGATGGTTGGTGGGCGGCTGAGCAGTGGATGCGTAGTTCGCTTCATCCTGTCCATCCGTCTCTTTCTTTGGTGCTCGGCCTCGCTTTTTATGAGCACGAGCATACTCGCAGATGAGAGAGTTCTCGGTGCAGTGCGCGCAGGGTTGTTTGCCGTCACATTTGGTACGCAGTTGATTGCACTGGTCACATGCTCGACTTATTCGCCGGCGAATGGCCGCCGCATCGTTGGACTCGTTGTTCCCCTCCAGCTCCGACTCTCGTCTCTTGCGACCGGCCTGAAGGTTGTCATTTTCGTATTTCGGCTGCGCGTGCAGGACGGAGGTGAGCTGTTGCGGTTGGGGAGTGATCATGTCGGATCTCTGGGCATAGTCGTGGTATTCGGAGTAGCTGTGTTGGGTTTGTGGGGGAATGCGGGAGAGCATATCGGCGGAATTTGAGGGTGAGAGCAGCACAGGGCCGTTGTCATAGTCCCTCAAACCTCGCTCGAGCGTCGTCAAGGGTTGACGGACAGGCAACAGGAAGCTGTTCGTTTGATGAAGGTTGTGGTCGACGACCGGTCAAGCACTGAGGAGACAGCTTCAGCTTCTGCCCTAACGGGGATAAAAGCGGTGGAAGCAGTCGCAACAACGTAGCACAATCTGAGCAGTGGCAGTTTTGGTGTGGTGTGGAGACTTTTTCTGCTCACATGAGATGCTGGAGGATCGATCATGGAGTCGAAGCGGGCACGCAGTGGAGGGCACGAGTCAAAAGTCGAGATTTGGTCGCCTCGCCCACCATGCGCATGAGAAGGAAAAACATGGGATCATGAGCAAGGCTCATGCAGCACGCGAGCCCAATTGGCGGCAACGGTGCTTGTACGCGAGACCGCGAGACGTATGGGGAAAGCTGCCGGCAAAAGCACCAAAAGCAGGGTCTTTTTGAATTGCGAAAGGCATGGTAACTCACCGGGGGCATGTTGCTTGCCCTGGCACGCCTGGCTAATGGGCGTGGGAAGCTGGGGGCCCGCCCACCCAAGTCAGTTAGGCAAGCTGGGGTTAAGTGAAGGATCACGTTCCGCCTTCTTCATTGGCACCATGGTCGGCTGCCCAAAGGCTGGTTCAGTCGTACAGGGATGGTGGTCCGGTGGTCGCGATGAGAGGGCGGGGCTGGCCGGACATCTTTTCTGGCACCCATCTCTGCTCACGTCCTCGCATTCCGAGGCCGGAATGCCCATCTACTCTGTACTGTGCAGAGACGCCGTGCAGGCGACACATGCAATTCCGACAACCATCTTGATCGACCAGACGCTCCTTGGTGGGAGACGAGTGAGACAATCATTAACAAAGTGGCGGTCTCTCCAGCGTAATCGAGCCTTGAGTTTGGATCCACTGGGGAATTCCATCTCTTCTCGCAGCTTCCTTGTGGGGGAAAGGCGCGAGATGCGGGGCACGCTTATGCGCTGTGTTTGGCTAGATGTGCCCACCTGGGTGGCACCCCGAACATCGAGCCGCGGCTGCTCGATGACTGCAGGCGCCGAAAAAGCTCGTGCGCACCACGCTTGAAGGTTGGCTTTCCACTGGACCGGCCGCTTCTCTGCTTGTTCCAATGGTGACACCATCAAGACTTCGAAGCTCCTCTGCGCGAGCGACCACAGTCTTATTGCTGCACACTATGGTGTCGCATTCTCGTGGGCCTGATGCTACGCAGAAGGTGCTAAAGCTTCGCATAGTCCTGCACATGCTTTTATTCAAGTGCCGGCATCTAGGCATTGCGCAGCACCCTCCGTCATACTGTGATTTTCATGCTTGCACATTCCTCGTATTGAGAGCGAGAGCCACTAGGTATTTCTTGCCATAGCTCTCCCGAACAACAGTCACATTGGTAGCTTTCTGTGATGGCGTGGACTGACTTGCAGGGCGATAAATGTCCTATGGGCACACAGCTGCACTAGATCCGGATTTTTTACCCTTACCCATCAAATCTAATTTGGAAGACACCCATCTTGAGACTATTGCTCTGAGCTTGCGACAACCATGTCACAATGCTGCCGTTTCGGGAATGTCTGCAATGTATTGACTTGGGTTCCTGGCGAACTGCACGGCCGTCCTCTTTTCAACGCGCTGTCCTCCTTGTTCTGTGGGTCATCATACCGCGCCGGAATGGTTTCCATTTCCACTCATCTCAGTTGTCACCGAGATGCGTACCGTTTCTTCGTGTTATGTGCAACGGCTTTGATTCTATGAGGTTCAGTGAGACCGTTGCGGGCTCTCCAGATTCGCATGCCGGCAGAAGTTTAGACACTGGTGTTTCAGCAACGAGTGTTGCTCGATCGTAGTCCAACGTTGAGCAGTCAGAGGGAATGGTAGACTCGGGCGCAGCTGCACCTCCCAGAGCTCGACTTGCCGAGGCCGCTGATGGTGGAGAGCATTCCCTGTAGGGATCGGCGCTTCATCGAGGAGCATGCTGGCTCAAAATCTTGTTCAGCCCTTCTCGTTGCACGCATTCTTCAAAATGAAAACTGTGTGCCAGTTCATTCAACTCTTTGAAATCCATTCCCTCGAATTGTTTCGCGAACTCGTCGGAAAATTGCGCGCTCAACCACGTCTGGATCACGGCGCGCATGACGTGCCTTTCAGTCTGCCACGGGCCTGGGTAAGCGTCTTTCGCGGTTGGGCAAATCTTATCGATCCACTCGACCAGAGGATTGAGTGCAGCCTCAGCTTCAGCCGAGTGGTGTACTCCCCAAGCATCCAATCGATGTTGCTTTTTCTTGTCCAGGAAGGGCTGTATAGTGCGATTCCACTTCGAGTTTCTGTTCGTATGCATCATTCCTTGCACGCCGATGTCCTTGTACAGCCAGATACTCCAACTGATCTTATACTTGTCGTAGACGTCCAATTGCTGGCCGAGCATGTTATATCGGTCATGGTTGATGCCTTCTGCGTCCTCGTCCTCCGCTGGGTCGGCGTACACTGGACCGAATTCACCATTCCAGATGGGGCATTTGTGCTTGAGCATGAACTCGGCCTTTCGTAGGAACTGTCTTTCCAGCTTGCTGTTCTGGTCTTCTGTGCCCTTGTAGCGGTCACCAGTAGGGAAGCCCATCATCTGCATTCAATTAGCGGAACACGTAGGTTTAACATGTACCTGCAAGACATACGGAGTAGTCGTGTAAGGCGTACACGCAATTAGGTAACACGTCGTCGAAGCCGATCCACTCCATCGAGAAGGTGTTGCCGTCTAACCACAGGATGTGGTGAGGGTCAACGGCACGAATAGCCGGTTCCAACCGTTTATAGAAAGCTGGAAGGCGGATGTGCTCAGGGTCGCAGGGTTCGTTGATGGGATTGTAGCCCGCCACCCATTTGTTGTCCTTGTATCTCTTTGCAATCTCTTGCCACAACCAAATGGTTCTGTCTTGGTGGTCCTTGTAATCCCAGAACGCGGAATAGTTGGTCGGATTGTCGGAGTGCCAGTCTGGATTTTGACCTCCCGGCACCGTATGCATGTCAAGAATCGTATAGATCTGGTGCTTCGCACACTAGAAGAGTGTCAGACTTGCTCGCTCCTACCTCAATTTGCCTGCATCTCACTCACGATATCGATGACTCTGTCGAGATGTTTAAAGCCCGACTCCTTCAACACTCGTGGGTTCATGTCGTCTTCAAGATGTCGGTAGTTGAAGGGCAGTCGAATGCAGTTCAGCTTCAGGCTTGCGAAAAAGCGGGCGTCTGCCTCGGTGAAGTGGTATTCGAGCCATTTGTCGAAGAAATAGTCCGCCTTCTCCTCTCCAAGCACCTTTCTCATTGAGGCTCTGTGTTGAAACTCGTGTCCGGGATACCCTGTGATGAAGTTCTCCATGCTACGAAGATGTGAGCTCGAGTTCTGTTATGGAAAAAGCAGCCTTACTTCATCCATCCTCCAATTGCTGCACCACGAAGCACCACCTGCTGGCCTTTTCCGTCCACAACCTTGTCGCCATCGACCTTGAGGTAGCCTGACGCCATATTTGCTTTACTTTGTTGTGAGTTGCTTGGGAGAGAATGAAGGAAGACACTCACGGCTACAGCACGAACAGTCTTACCTTCTGGCTTCCGGATATTTAGGAAGGGTGGAGGGTTGGCCACAGAGCGTGTTTGTAGTAGTCTTCAGCATTGGCTGGATGGATCCGTCGCTCTCGCAGGCGGCGTGTCCGACCGACGGAAAGCATGCCGGTCGAGGTTCTGAGATACGGATCAGTGGCGGGGAGTCTCTATCTCAATCTCTCGATCTTGAGGAAGTCCACATGATAGCCTCTTCGGCTAAAAGATTTGGTTATACCGCCTGATATACGCGAGAAGGAGCTTGGAGACGAATGGTGGATGGCGGATGGTGAATGGAGGGTAGAATGGCGTGCATAGCGGAAGCTGCAGTCTTTTAGCCGTGAAGATCTTGGCGAGAGACAGTGGGCACGAATGGTGAGAACGGACAACAGCTATCCAGCTCAATTTTAGCTCGCCGTAGCCTCGAGTTGAACTTCAGCTTTCCAAGTCAGGGTTGCTGTACTGGCGATTGTCAGTCATTTGACTGTAGGGATGCTAGTAAAAGGCAATGGTGATAAAGTCACCAAAAATACATCGCGATCCCAATCAGTTGCGGTTCACCGATGCCTCAAATCAAAGTTCGGTTGGTGGAAGCGACAAAGTCGTACGCTGCCCAGAATCTCAGATAATCGTCTTCAGCCCTGCTTCACGATTCAGTCCAGCCCTGGCTTTGCCACCTTCACTAGGTACTTGCGCGACGACTGTCGAGTTCGACTCAAACCGATGTTCTTGTACCCTTGAGTAGACCTCGGAAAGGATATGGCCAGCCGGGGAATTGCGGTGACGATATTTACTATAGCTTGTGGCTCGTCCCTGGGGTGTGCTGTTTGAGCTCTCCTCTCTTGGGTAATCCGACCAGGTCTTGCTCTCCAAAGCTTTGGCCCAGTCCGGAGGAAGTCCCTGGCGATACTTTCAACGGGAAGTAATGTTCTGATCAAGTTAGACTCACAGCGTATCTGCCATATAGCACGTTGTATCCGACGTGCGTGACATGCATAACATTCTTCGGACGGGAGATGTTTACTCCATGAGGCAGTCTCGAGAGTGTGGACCGCTTGGGGAACTTCAGTCGAGTGATCTGACTATATCTCTCCGGGGAGGTGCCCGTCTGGGCTCTTCGCATCAAAGAGCGGAGCGTTGTCTTTATACGCCTTCGCTTGTAAAACTTCAGCGTCAAAGGAGAAGTTTGTAGAGAACTTCGAAGTCCCGGTGGTGGTCCTGGTACGTTGGGTGTCAAAGGACGCGGAGTCGCGCACGACGATCAGGGACGTCGAATCATCCCTGACCTGATTGAAGACTCTCCTCAGCTCCTTCTCTTCCAGGAACTCTTGTTGCTTTGCGGGGTTTTGACATTTAAATACTGTAATAAGCAGATTGAGTGCGTTAGTCTGCCGATCCAGCCGAGTAAGGCAGTCTCCCGTCCCTCTGCTCTCGAGCATCAGGGTAACTTTGCTGATAAAACGTGACTTCATTCATGTCACCATACTGAAGCCTGGCAATTTGCTCGTCAAGGAGCCGGAGAAGGAGGTTGCAGCAGCCGATCGCTGCGTCGAGGTCCAGAGTCAGCTGATAGTATTGTCCATCTTGCGAGAGAGATTCGGCAATCTGGAGGTTGATTTGGCTGAGAACTGCTCTTACGGTGATCAGCTGGCCCGAGAGCGTTTCGACTGTGACATTCGATTCCTTGAACCGCTTACGCATATCTGCGAGGGGAGATATACATCGTGTGCGATTTCGATGATTCCGAGGAGGGAGCCGACCGCCCCGATCGCCTCCATGGCAGTAGAATGCGTCTTCGCTATACGCAGGAACGACTGCTACTGTCAAAATATGGCCGCCTAGCCTTGGAATAGAATGGACAGCAAGAACGACAGTTAGTGCAGAAAAGCTAGAGGCGGTGCCTCGCTTCCCCGTGGGAGACTTCGTTAGGGCCAGCGTGGCAGATGAAACATTTTGGTTCCTGGCAGCTCCGAATACCTGTTGCACCGCGGCGGAGACAATCGTGGCGGAGCTTCTGTCCAGATAGGTTGAGAACCACCTACGTCGCACTCCCTCGGCGTGTATCTGTCAGTCATGGTCAGTCCAAGACGTGAATGATAATGCTCTGTAAACTGGATTCAGGATCACTTGCGCATAGCAAGGCCCACGGGATAAAAGCCGAGCCAGATAAAAATAGTATTCATCCTAGGTATGACGCTACATCTGCCAGAGTCACCGCATCCACCCAGCGATGTACACGGCTACGCTCACTGATCGAGATAATAGCTGATGCTATAGTTCAACCACGCACATTGAGGGAGGTCAACAAAGGTCCCAGTCGAAGCTGGATAGTCCAAATGCTTGATGGGACCAGTAGAGTTCGACACTTTAGGCCAAGGACCAGAAGCCTGGACACCCTGTAGAGTCTTCATATAGCCTCTGGCTTGGAGGTAATTGATCGGGATATTCGGCTGCCCGGTCTTGACGAATTCGGCAAAGTAGCCACTGACGAGCTGCACAGAGTACAAGTCGTTGGCATCTCTGAGAGGAACATAGAAGTTGCCGAACGCCCAGTCCATGTCGGCCCCATGTAGTTTGAAGTAAGGGAGGTTCGGATTTCCGTTCGGATAGCCAGGCGTGACAGGGGCTCCGGCAACATCCTCTGGGTTATAGCCATTGATCGTGCGGTCCATCTGATAATAGTACGTAGCAGGGAATGTACCTGTTTCGGCACCGGCGTAGACTGTTGCTTGATCGATGCAGCGGAAGGTGGTATCAGTCGCAACACGCTGCGATACATTGAAGGCATCAAGGGTCTTGTTCCCGGAATTGTAATAGGGAAACAAGCCAGACTGGATAATTGCTTGTGCATAAGACGCGTTGATACCTAAGCCTGTCACCAAGCCCTCGGTCTCGTTCTGCACTGGTGTCGGAGACAACGTCGAGAAGGATGCGCCGTCGTTTGCGGCAATGCCGAATATGATGGGCACATACGCGCTGCCAGCATTCTTCTTTGTGACTTCGAGCTGGGATGAGTTGACAATTGTTCCATCCTGGACCACGTACCTTGCAACCGTCTGCAGGTTGACCAGGGCAGTGGCATTGACAGTCTTCAAGCAAGCAATCTTCCCGCTTAGAGTTGACTGGGTACAGTTCGATGCGTTGAAAATCTGAGGTCCCGCCACAGTATATGACTCGTTCAAGGTATAATATGACGAGTACGTGGTTCCATAATTACTCTCAAGGCCCAAAGTCTCTCCGCCGCCCAAGTTGGACATGGCAATGGCGCCTTGGAACAAGCCGGTGGCGGGCGGGCTTCCGAGAAGAGTTCGAACCGAGCCAGCCCCGGCGGACTCACCCATGATTGTAATCTTCTTCGGGTCTCCACCGAACTTGGCAATATTTTGGACCGTCCAGTTCAAAGCCACGATCTGGTCTCCGATACCATAGTTACCTTTGATGTTTGTGCCAGGGATAGCAAGAAAGCCCAAGGTCGATAGTCGGTAGTTGATATTTACCACGACAATGTCTTCCCGCGAAGCCAGGTTACCGCCATCGCTGAGTGGATCGGCGCCGCTGCCACCAGTAAAACCACCACCATGGATCCAGACTGACCAAGTTAGCAGCGCTCGATTGCTAAGCGATAGGTAGGTGAGAATGCTTACATAAGACAGGTCTTAATGCTTTCGTCGAGCCAGCCTTGGGAATGTATGGGGTCTGGATATTGAGGAACAAGCAGTCCTCACTCGTACCGTTCTGGTATGGCTGAGAACATTGAGAGCCATACGCGGTCGCGTTCACTGTTTGGCCCTTTTTACTGTATAGGTGCGAGTAGACCCAGCGTAGCGGGGGGTCAGCATATCTGATGCCAAGAAAACGGAATGACTTCTGGTTGCGATAGCCGACATACGTGTTGCCCGCCGCCGCCACGGTCACCTTGTTTGAGTCGCGCGCGGTCGAATTCGGAGGCTGGCTGGCGTTACTTGATTGCGTGCAGAGAACTGGCAGCGCACTGTTGCCTTGGGGTGTACTTGGGAAAGACAGTTGCGCTTGAGCGGAGACCTCTAGGTTCCCGCCTGCGATGTGGTACTGCTGGTTGGGCGACACTCTTCCGGAGAATGCCAAGTACGACAACGCGGAAGAGAAGTCGCTGCTGTAGTTCTGAATGGTTGCCTGGGTCAGGAGAGTCTCGCTCAAAGCTTGGCACGCCGCTTGCCCAGCAGATGCTGGCATGGGGTCGAGAAGAATAGCGCCGACATGATTGACATCGTCCGAGGCATTCAGGTTGTTCTGGAACACATAGGTCAAGGAGCTCCCAGAATTGGACACAGAAACAGGTGCTCTTCGCTCTGCATCATGCGGGTGTCCCAGGGCAGTCACAGCGAGCACGGCAAGTAGGAGAGCGATTCGAATCATCGAAGACATCGTCAGGGGATTGCGATTCCACTCAAGCAGTAGCTAGTAAAGGGTAGAAATGCCCAGAAGTCCTGGGCAGATATTCTTACCATTATCACACTCAATTCTACCACAACATACTCCGTCATTGTCTGCATGATCATGTCCGCACATACGGAGTACGTGGTGTCATAGAATTCATGCTATTTCTCGTCTCAGCTGACCCAGAGGACAAATGCCGGGAGAGAAGCGCAGCTGTTGAGATGCCATTCCAAGACAGGCAGGTACTTGTCCCTCGTATAACTTTTCTGCCAGTGTCAGAATGCGGAGATGCTTCGCGTCGATGCCGGGTGAATATGCAGAACAAGGCCATGGTAGCTCGGCTGCGGCACTGCGGTTTGAAAGGCAATCTAGCATTATAGCCGCGAAAGTGGTCCATCTCGCAGAAGAACAGTCAATGACGGCGACAACTGCAGGTCGGAAAACCTAACTGTGGTAGGTCGATCCTCTACTGTGTTACAGAGGAACCCATCTTGCAAGTGGAAGGTCGGAGCCGTGGATATTCAGGCTGAATTGAGATGATACCTGATTGGCTGCGACTTGGGCTCGGTCATTTGCCAAAAGCGGCTTAACGCACAAACATTTTTGAGAGCCGAGTCTTGGCATTACTCCGGCTCAACTTGCACCCCTGACGTTCACCTTGCATTTGACCTGCAGCTATCCCCGGCTTTATTCTCATCTCCGCACTTTTCATCAGAGTATAATTGGCTAAATAACTTCACGGAAGATATGGCGAGGCTGGTGGTGTCGTAAAGGATGCTCGCGGGTGATCGCACGTTGCTCCGCTTTGAATGTCCATGGCACAGCGATCAATGTCACCTCCGCCAGGAACATCACTGAGCTTCTTGAATGAGAGAGGAAGGTGCAGCATCCTCCAAGTCCCACAGCAGACTATGTGATGCTGAGCTTGGTTGGTTTATATCAGAGGTAAGTCGCGTTCGTGCTGGCGAGACATCAAACGCGTGTGACACTCGTTCTATCATGGCCGCCTTTTGCGCCGTTTTGTTCTTGTTCTGCTTTAGCTGGGCAACTCAAGCACAGCAGAGTCTGATTGCTTTCAATCAATCCGCTGGTGCACTTCTGCTCGCAGATTCGTCCACAGCGCCCGTGATACTGGTCAGCAACGATGAATGGACGGGGTGAGTACCCTCAAGAAGCTAGCCTGCCTGATGCAATACGAGTCTTTGGTGCTGACAATGCCATAGTGTGCAACGAGCGGCGGGTGACCTAGCTCAGGATGTTGGACGCATAACCGGCATCAATGGGACTGTCCTCACATATAACTCCAGTTTTGCTGCCCAGTCCACTGCACCGATCGTCATTGCAGGGACAGTAGGAAAGTCCAGTTTGATCCGGTCGCTCGTCCAATCCGGGAAGATCAATGTCGACAACGTACGAGGCCAATGGGAGAGCTATCAGATACAGCTGGTTTCGAACCCATTGGAAGGCGTAAGCAGCGCACTCGTCGTTGCTGGCGCGGACAAAAGAGGATCGATTTACGGCATCTACGACATTTCCGAACAAATGGGTGTATCGCCTTGGTATTGGTGGGCTGATGTGCCGGCCATGCCGCAGCAGTCCATCTATGTTCAAAATGTCACAAAAGTGCAGCCATCGCCTTCGGTCAAGTACCGCGGGTTCTTCCTCAATGACGAGCAGCCCGCTCTGACCAACTGGTTAAACACCCGCTACCCGCCTGGTGAATATGGACCTGGCTTCAACCATCTCTTCTACTCGACGGTCTTTGAGCTCCTGCTCCGCCTCAGAGCCAATTATATGTGGCCTGCGCAATGGGGTATGTATTCATCTCGCCTTGGGCAAGCCTCCCTTCTAATGCTCTCACAGGTAGCATGTTCTACGTGGACGACCCGCTAAATCCTGCGACCGCGGACGAGTACGGAATCGTTATGGGAACTAGTCACACTGAGCCCATGGCTCGAAACACCAATGAACAATCGAACTTCCTGAATGGTACATGGGGCTGGTCGGTCAATCGTGCAAATGTCACAGAATTCATGAGGCAAGGTGTGGAAAGAGCGCAACCATATGAGACTCTCTACACCATGGGTATGCGGGGACTTGGAGACGTGGCTTCGCCCACACTCAATGCAAGCAGTCTCGAGCAGATCGTCAATGTCCAGCAAGACCTCATACGAGAGGTGTACAACACCAGCAATGATTCAGTCGTGCCCCAAATGTGGTGTCTGTATAAAGAGGTGGGAGGCTACTTCGCCGATGGTCTTGAGGTGCCGGATGACGTAACGCTGCTCTGGAGCGACGACAACTGGGCCAATATGCAACGGTTGCCCCTGGCAAACGAGACCGGTCGAGCTGGCGGCGCAGGGATATACTACCACGCAGACTACGTCGGCGACCCAAGGGACTACAAATGGATCGACACCATCTCTCTTCAGAAGTACTGGAGTGAATTGCAACAGGCGTACGACCGAGAAGCACGGCAGATCTGGATTCTCAATGTTGGCGACCTGAAGCCGCTTGAGTTACCGTGAGTTTGGCCAATTCCTTTCCCGTCGGGACCAAACACTGCTGACTTTGCGTCTTCCAATCTACAGGATCAGCTATTTCTTCGCTTCTGCATACAATACCCCTGCTCTCTCCTCGCCTAACAGCACACAAGCTTGGCTAAGTCAATGGGTTGCGCGTCAATTTGGGACCCAAGTCGCCGATGCGACAGCGGCCATCTTGCTCAATTACTCCGTGCTCGCGGGCATGCGAAAGTACGAGCTCGTCGATCCCACCACGTATAGCATTATCAACTACAACGAAGCCGACAACGTTCTTCAACAATGGCAGAACTTGGTCAGCGCAGCCAGTGCGATCTACAACCAACTCGATCCTTCCCTCCAATCCTCGTACTTCGAGCTGGTGCTGCACAAGTGCCTTGCCGGCTTTACGGTGTATGCGATACACATCAATGCCGCGAAGAACAATTTATACTCTGAACAAGGACGGACCAGTACAAATACAATGGCGCAGACGGTCATGAATTACTTTGCACAAGATCATGCCTTGACCCAGCAATACCACAATTTGCTGAATGGCAAGTGGAATCACATGCTGGATCAAACCCACCTTGGATATCAATACTGGCAGCAGCCAATGCGAAACAGCATGCCTGCGGTCTCGATGGTTCAGCAGCGTGAAGTTTCTCTGGCCGGCCAACTCGGCGTGACCTGCGACGGCAATAACGGAACGGTTCCTGGAGACGATATGTACCACAGTCTCTCGTCCAACGTTCTCACTCTACCGCCCATGGATCCTTACGGGCCGTCACGATGGATTGATGTCTTCTCAAGAGGCACCGACGCAGTCAACTTCAATGTGTCGAGCGAACCTCACGTCCTTGTTAGCCCCTCAAGTGGTATTCTCCAAGCAACAGGAAACAACACGGACCTGCGCCTCACCGTGTCTATTGACTGGGCGAATGCCCCTAATGGAAGCACAATCTCAGTCATCAACATCACGACCACTACACCAACTGGTGTCTACAACAATGGCACATATCCCTACGGTAACTTCGGGAGGCCGCAAGTCCAAGTTCCTGTCAATAACACAGCTGTACCTGCATCATTCCACGGCTTTGTCGAGTCCGACCGGACCATCTCCATTGAGCCTAAACACTTCTCGTCAAACACGTCCAACACTTCTACGGCATACTACGAGGTCATTCCTGCTTACGGCAGGACGTTGTCGGGCGTGACTCTGCTCCCGTTCACAGGCCCGTCTCAATCGCCCAGCTCGGCCTCGACGCCCAAGCTCACATACAATTTCTACACCTTCACGCCGAATATCACAAACGCAAACCTGACACTTTACGCCGGGACGGCCATGAACACCGACCCCACGCGACCTCTCAGATATGCTGTCAGCATCGACAACTCGATGGCACAGATCATCCAACCGAATCCGTTGACTCATCTTTGGCCCCTTCCTGCGATGTGGAACGGCATGGTTGCGAACGCCGCAATGACGAACACGACGATGCATAACATTACACGGACCGGAGCACACACGCTGAACCTCTGGCTTTTAGAACCAGGCCTGGTTGTGCAGAAATTGGTGCTTGATTTAGGCGGAGTGAGGCGCAGTTACCTTGGGCCTCCTGAGAGCATGATCGTCTGAAGTCCAGAAACAGCGTGCCCGAGATGCCAAGGGACGATGGATTCAAGGTCTACAGTAAGAGCTAATATATATATATATATATAGTTGTCGTTGGCAGGTTGTGCACGCAGCCGACCGACATGGAGTGAGTGAACTTTGCAAACTTCTACCGACTCGCCAGCTGCGCAATGCCGCGTGGCATGATAAACGCCTATATCACGCCCAAGCATGCCCTTTGCTCCCTCCTTCTCCTCTAATCGGAGATGCACTTTTCGCTCAGAAAATCTTACCAACAACAAGGTCCAGCTGTATGGAAAAGCCGCGCTTCCCTCCCCTCCACACTCCATACTTCCGGTCCGTGCCTGTCTCGAACCACTCACCACCGAGGCGTTGGCCAACGGACAAAGAGACGCAACCCACCGTGGTGGCTGGCCGCTCGAAAAGCTTGTCTAGACGGTCGCCACGATCAGAATGGCTCTGAGGCTCAAACTCAGGCCCAGGCTCAATCTCACACTCCCAAGGCTTCGGAGTACCGGGTCTGGCTGAATTCAGGCAAAAATCAAATTGTGTATCCGTACCCCGTAGACAGGTGCGTGACTAGTTCGAGCCCACCCCGGCCCCCTCGCTTGAGATCGAGAACCGCCCTTGGTGCCCTCAGCCCCTGACATGCCATCACATGGGCCCCAACGCCGCACTCCACCCACCCCAGAGCACACGCCCGGCACAGTCCAGAGCAGAGCACATGAAGGCTCGGACTCGACCTTTGCGGTGCCATGAACTCGACCCCAGGCCACCCCGTCGTTAGCACGAGCAGCTCCAGACCCTCGGACTTGCGCCTTTTTCTTTCGAGCTGGAATGTCTTGCAGTTTCTGTTTGCATGGCTGGCTTGTAAGGTTTAGTGCGCGCATTGGTGCTGGCTCGCGGGACGCCATGCAATGCCATGATGCCATGTATGGTATGCCATGCCATGCCATACCATACGTGCGGTATGCTAAGTATGCCACCCCATGCCAGAATCGGGTAGTGCGCCCGCTTCCAATACCCACGCGTCGTCGCCACTCCGGCATACGAGCATTGACATCACAGCCTTGTCGTGCTCCCGCCTTCTGTCTGAGGGGTCACTGTGGTTGTCCTAATGTGTGGTTCAATCGATCGGCTGCTTATGCTCGTTGTCTTGTTGTTCGATCAGAAATCTTCGATCTTCCCCGCGAAACAGTTGGCCACCCACCCATGCTCGTAACATGCCATGTCATGTCCTGTCACGACGTGACACACCCGAAGAACTCGCTGGGGAGCGGAGAAGCCGGGGTCGACCTGATCACCACGTACCTGGACGAGTATGAGGATTATGACCTACATCGATCGCGTGCTCATCTGAGGGGGTTCGGCGTGTCCATTCGTCTTGCGGGTTGGCGTGTGTGCAAACGGTACGTGCCTGCTGCGCAATCCTGGTGACGAGGAAGTTGCTAGGTACTTTCCTGTAGCGTCGCTGTTGAGTACACTGAAGGATCGTAGGATCCAAGGCTTACGGCTTGGCTGAACTTCGGCTGTCAGCCTCGATCAATTCACGTAACCGATTACCCGCGATTCAGGCGGGTGTGCGAGCGAAGCCACGAGCCCAGGTACGAACATACTTACTTTTAGGTAGCCTTGCTAGAGAGCCTTGGATCGCCCCGTCTCCTGCCATACCCAGCAATGACAGGTGCGGGTAGGCCAACACATGGTATGAGAAGCTGCGACACGGCCTGTTTTCACTGGACAGGAAACAATCCAAGCACAATCAACAGCGAGCACTCGACCTAGCACAGTAACAGTGACGCAACGTGAATTAGAAATTAATACCCCTACGAGTAGTCTGCATGTCTGTACAGCCCACAGCCGACAGGAGAAAGCTCTCGTAATATTCCACCCCGACCTTTTGAATGCTCGTCCATCATAAGCCCTATTCGCTTAGCCGTATCCGTGATTCAAGCAAGGGGACCCAGTTCAACCATCTGTGTCAAGAAGAATGAGAAGTCAAAGGCGAGCCAATCACCACCACCTGCAGTCGTGCCTAGTGTAGATCAGGCGGAACAAACTGAGCACGGGACACCCTGCAGGGCGTCTCCCACGGCATAGTATGCAGGTTTGCGCTGCGTCATCGGTCAGTATCGAGGACGGCACAGAACAGAACAAGACAAAACAGATCAGAACAGGACACAACGGCGGTCCATGACATATGCCACGCAGATCAAGGGTCAAACTTACAGTAAAGTCGGCGTTGTACAGAGTGGCAGCACCTTCGCCAGGGAAGGTCGAGGGAATCCAGCTGTTACGGCATCGTCAGTTGTAGGCAAGCGCGACGGATCTTCAAAGCACATACCTGTATTGGTCGTCGAAATCCCAGACGGTGATGCCAACACAGCCGTCGACTTCCATGCAGCTCTCCACGGTGTCGTAGTAGTCCTGCGCCTGCTGGGCGAATCCCGTCGAGTTGGTCGCGTTGGCCTGCGTGAATCTGATGTCCAGCTCGGTGATGACCACCTCGACTCCCAGGGCCACGTATGCTTCCTTCTGCGCGATCTGGTCCTCGAGCGAGGGCGTGCCGCCGACTTCAAAGTGGGACTCGAGCCCCACACCGTCGATGCGGATGTTGCGCGCCTGCAGTTCCTTGACCAGGTTCTCCGTGGCCGTGGACTTGTTGCCCGGCGCCTCGATGCCATAGTCGTTGTAGTACAGCTTGGGCTTGGGCGTGCCGGCGGGCAGAGCGTCGACGGCTTCCTGCGCGAACTGGAAGGCCAGGTAGAAGTACTCCGGGCCGATGGTGTCGTACCAGACGCTGGGCGAGAAGGTGCCGTTGGAGTTGAGCGCCTCGTTGACCACGTCCCACGAGTAGCAGGCGCCGCCGAAGTGGGCGACCACGTTGGAAATGTGGTTCTGCATGATGGCCGTGAGCTCGTCGGCGCTCCAATTGCCGTCGAGGACAAAGTCGCTGATCTGGGTGGCCCAGACCAGGTTGTGGCAGCGTAGGTATTTGCCGTGGTCCTGCGCGATGGCCACGTCGATGTCGCCGCCCGTGTAGTTGAAGACGTTCTGCTCCGGCTCGGTCGAGACGAACTTCATGGCGTTGGCCGGCGTGATCTGCCCGAAGATGTGCGTGTTGTTGAGGATGGTTTGGTACAGGATGTTGGTATCCTCTCCCGTGCCTGGCTGGTCTGTTGCCGTGCCGAACCACAGCTTGCCGGCTGCCTGAGCCAGGTCATTGAGGTACGGGGCTGCCAGCGGCTCGAAGTAGCCTTGGCACGATGAAGACGGCGCCGATGGTCCCGACGAAGTGGTGCTGGGTGTGCTGGGAGCCGATGAAGTCGTGGCGGGTGCCAACGAGCTCGTCGCCGGCTTGCCAGGGCCTGATCCAGGCTGGCCCCAAGGCGGCGATGGATGGTTCCCACCTGGCGGTCCTTGTGGTGGTCCTTGGGGAGGGCCCCATGCCACAGGGGTCGCAAGGCCGACAGCCGCAAGGGCCGAGACTGCGGTAAGTGTGAAGAATGAAGGCATCGTGGATGAAGCTACCAAAAAAGGAGTGACAGGAAAGATACAGTCGCCAGCACGCTCTTGCGCTTCTCGACGGCCACGCTCCCAGCTTTATATCTCCATCCCGGTTATATTCGCAGCAGCACTCACCAGGATCTAAGATTTGCACTGTCATACACATTGTCGGTGTGTACTCACGACGTCCAGTGTTGTGCACTGCCGGCCACCAGACAATCTCAATATTCATCCGGAACCCCGCAAAGCAGCTGTGATATTGACCAGCATCAAGCATAGGCGAGAATGAGAGGCCAGAGACCTTCCTTGTTGAGCGACGACAAATGCACCAAGTTGTACCTGACACGCACATTAACAGATTCGGGCAGGTCGGGCATGAGGCATGAAGCAGCTAGGTGCTATGCTCCATGTTCCCCCGTGTGTATCCCAAGGACAGGGTCACGAGCATCTAATCTGCCCCAGCATAGCGTGTGGAGTTAGCGAGAGTAGATTCCTGCACTTCAATAATTTACCCTGGTGACTGGTGCCTGGGGGTTGCAGAACGACAGCCTTGTTTAGCCCAAGGCTGGCGACACGCTTCCCACCCACAGACACCGCGACAGCGTACACGTTAACTCGACTGTGAGCTAGAGCTGCTGGAGGCGACACTCGTGGTGCTTTCCCGGAAGAAAAACTTGAGATGATGTCAAGTGGTAGATCGACTGTTCCGAGCTTCTGTTTGGAGATCGTGGCAATCACCAAAGGCGGGTGATTTCGAGGCCAAGATTCTGATCGACTCCCGCAGCCGTGGTGGCGACGAGCGTGTCCGGGTAATAGGATAAATCGTCAATTTGCCTGTCCGGTGTCCAGAGACTCCTGTGCAAAGTCCTCGGAGTCTGTGGACAACCCTCCACCAGCCGCAAGAAGCATGGCGGCTCCATCGCAGCATTGTCCCATCGTGCCTCGTGCCCATGTCCCATCAGTCCCATCCGCCGCCATGGGGTGTTTGTTCTCTCCAGCGGAGCTCCACGACTCGCTCCCTCACTCCCACCTGCGATCGTCTCCCTCGTCCGATCACTTCCTCAATGGGGGCTCCGTCGACTCCCTGCGTCTGCTTCTGCCGGCCGCTGCATTCAGGCGATCGAATTCTTCCATGCGCCTGATCGCGATGGCACGCGTCCTGTGATACCGTCCGGTAAAACAAGCTGGTACGAGTACCGTCTTTCCACCTCCCTCATCCGTTGCTGATTGCCTTGATTCAAGCTTCTTAGGGCCGCCACTTTACCCTGGCCATCGTCTCGGAATGACCGTCCAATCCAGACCAGGCCGTCCACACCGGGCCATCAGATCCACCCATTCTGGCAACATTTCGGCGCCACCTTTGCCCATGATTGGCTCTGTGAATCCTGGCCAGCGGTGGATGCAGGCTTTCTAGAACGCTACACCGAAAAAACACGCGGTGGTATTTACACGGCTGTCTGGGCAAGATAAAACTGCCCGGCGAGGGTCGCTCTGTATAAAACACCTGCCTTGGTCCACGTCTTGTGTGTTCTCTTCTCTCCATCAAGCTTCACGTAGACCAAGTCTTCTGCGTTTCTTGTCTCATTGGTCCCTTGCACACCTCGCATCATCGACAACACCGCCCAGTATGTCGAAGGGATACTTCGAGCTGGCTGGTCGCCAGTTCCCCAGGAAGACATGGTATAGGGATCCTGCTCTAAGGAGGACATACATCTGCCTCATGTTCGTCGTCCTCACCAGTGCCACCAATGGCTACGACGGTTCCATGATGAACGGTCTTCAGTCTCTTCAGCCATGGCAGGAGCATTTCAACCATCCCAAGGGTGGCAAGATCGGGATCCTGAACGCCATCATGTCCATCGGTTCTCTGGCCGCCATCCCCTTTGTCCCCTACGCCGCCGATTACCTCGGCCGCCGCATGGCTATCTTGACCGGCTGCATCATCATGATGGTCGGTGTCGTCCTGCAATCCATCTCGGCCGGCTTTGGCATGTTCTTGGGCGCCCGGTTCCTCCTCGGTTTCGGCGTCGCCATTGCCCACGGTGCTTCGCCTCTGCTTATCACCGAGTTGGTGCACCCTCAACACCGTGCCATCTTCACCACCATCTACAACACGACCTGGTATGCCGGATCCATTGTTGCCGCCTGGTTGACCTACGGAACCGACCACATCAACAACAACTGGTCATGGCGCATCCCGACCATCGTCCAGGCAGCTCCCTCCATCATCCAGGTGGTTTTCATCTGGTTCGTCCCTGAATCGCCTCGCTGGTTCATCGCACACGGCAAGGAAGAGAAAGGTCTCAACATCCTTTTCGACGTCCATGCCAACGGCGACCGCAACGACGAGATGGTCCAGCTCGAGTTCGTTGAGATCCGCGACACCCTCACGCTCGAGAAGGAGATCGAGGGCAACCAATGGCTCGAACTCATCAAGACCAAGGGCAACCGCCGCAGACTCATCATTTTGTTGTCTGCCGGTCTCTTCTCGCAATGGTCTGGCAACGGCCTGGTCTCGTACTACATCACCAAAATCCTCACCAACATCGGCTACACGGACACGCTGACCCAGAACCTGATCAACGGCGTTCTCCAGATCTTCAACCTCCTCATCGCCGTCGGCGCCTGCTTCTTCGTCGACAAGGTCGGTCGCCGCAGGCTCTTCCTCATCTCCACCACGGGCATGTTGGTGACCTTCATCGTGTGGACCATCTGCTCGGCGCGCTACGCCATCAACGGCTCCCGAGGCGCCGCCAACGCCGTCGTCGGCATGATCTACATTTACTACTTCTGGTACAACATTGCCTGGTCCGGCATGTTGGTCGGCTACTGCGCGGAAATCCTGCCCTACAACATCCGCGCCAAGGGTCTGACCGTCATGTTCTTGATGGTCGACGTGGCGCTCTTCTTCAACCAGTACATCAACCCCATCGCTCTGGACGGCATCGGCTGGAAGTACTACATCTTCTACTGCGTGTGGCTCGGCTTCGAGCTCGCCATCGTCTACTTCTTCTACGTCGAGACCCGCAACACGCCCCTCGAGGAAATCGCCAAGCACTTCGACGGCGACCAGGCCTTGGTTGCCGGCGCCGCTGCCTCCAACAAGGGGCTCACCTTGGCCGCTGAGATGGGCTTGGACGCCACAGTCACCCAGCGCCACGAGCTCGAGGAGAAGCGAAACTCTGTGCAGGTGGAGAACGCTGCCCGTACCAAGAGCGAGCTGTAGAGTAACGTCATTTGTGTGGAATGAGAGCATGAGTGATTTTCTGCTGTTTGGACCCAGACCTGGTGTATAGATTAGATGGCAATGCAATTGTGGCTGGAAAAAAGGCTCAGCTGAGTATGGGCGGTATTGACTAGTACAATAATACAATGACATCAAATTACCTGTATCGCGCCTTGATCCATGTCGATGCATCCTCAATGCTTCATGCTTGCATCGTAGGATATGAATTGGAAGGAGATCGCGACGCAACTGATCAACTCACCTTCGCATCACGACATAAATGCTCACCCGCCCTCGCATCGCAACGCGAATGATCACACACCTTCCACATCGTCATGGCGATCAGAGGTCTTCTATCCATGCATCCTGGCATTTGAGCCGTGTGTAGGCATTCTCCATACCTCATGCTTGTGGTGTGAGGATATGAATTGGAAAGAGATCGCGACGCGAACGATCACCCGCGTTCGCATCGTCATGGTGGATCAGACGTCGTCTGGCGAGCCGTTCTGGGGTTGATTCGACGCGGCACAGATAGCCGCGCTGGGAGGCGGCTTCTTGCATCTGCAGACAGTTGATGCCCGAGCCCATGGGGAGCTCATACATTACCCCAGGATCTGCAACGCAGACCGTGTGTGGGTCGCCGCCGTAGCGGTGATAGCTGTGATCTCACTCGTGTGACATGTCCCATGTCCCATGTCCGCATTTCCCCAGGTCTGCCACCACTGTCGTAATTGTGCTCGCTAAAGAAGCATCCTCACTCGCCAACTCCCCGCACGACCATGGACCGGCCATGTGCGACGGACTCCCATGTCGGTTACCGTTGTTCCACAACTTCTGCATGGCGAAATCGCATGACGATCTGTGCCCCGAGAGTTCGCCATCGGAGGTGCCATGGGTATCTGTCTGATATTGGGTGCGTAGAGAGGAAGACTTCTGTACGTCACCTCTCGCGTCGGTGTCGGTGACATCAGGCATATGAGGCTTCTACTTGGGCTGCAGCAGAGGCTAGGCCTCTCGTGAGTCTGGTCTCGGTACCATATTGGTATGCGGCCTGGGTGGAGCATACATGTTGCGAAGTGGAAAGAGGAAAAGTCTGTCGATGCTAGAGTGACGCGGGTAGCGGGATCAAGGCGAGCAGAAAACTCACAGAGTCATGTCTGAGTCCGGCTGTTCCGAATGCGAGTCAGGTAGAGCAGAGAATCAGCCGGAGCGCAGCCTTGCGCCCGAGGCTGTCGAGGATCCCGATAAGATAAGATTGATCCACAAAATTTTGTCTGCGGATTTCTGGTAGATGTGTATGGCGTTGAACTTTGACCACCGCCACCAGAGTCGGCTCGCTTTCGTCCATCGCACCAATGCCGCCTCTCAAGAAACGCAAACTAAGCCATGGCGAGTCCTCTGACGACGAGTCCGTCGTCTCAGCAGTCCACTCCGAAGCCAGCGATGGTGGCGACGAGGTGCCAACGACAGAACCGTCAAAACCAAAGACATTTAAAGAGCTAGGAATCATAGAGTCTCTGTGTGAGGCCTGCGAATCACTCAATTACAAGACACCTACGCCCATCCAAGCCGAAGCGATCCCGCTGGCCTTACAAGGACGAGATCTTATCGGGCTGGCAGAGACCGGCAGCGGCAAGACGGCAGCGTTTGTGCTTCCAATCTTACAGGCTCTCATGGATAAGCCGCAGCAGCTGCATTCACTCATCTTGGCACCTACGAGAGAACTGGCATACCAGATCAACGATGCGGTGGTTGCGTTGGGCTCGGTGATTGCAGTTCGCTGTGCTGTTCTGGTTGGTGGAATGGATATGATTCAACAAGCGATCGCCTTGGGCAAGAAACCGCATGTTGTTGTTGCAACGCCTGGGCGGCTACTGGATCATCTCGAGAACACAAAAGGTTTCTCTCTGCGCCAACTCAAGTATCTGGTCATGGACGAGGCCGATCGACTACTGGACCTGGACTTCGGCCCCATCCTGGACAAGATCCTGAAGATCCTCCCAAGAGAAGGAAGAAAGACATATCTTTTCTCGGCCACCATGTCGAGCAAAGTCGAGTCCTTGCAACGAGCATCGTTGTCAAACCCCTTGCGGGTGGCCGTCTCTCAGGACAAATACCAGACGGTGTCAACACTGATACAATCATACCTGTTCATCCCGCACAAGCATAAAGATCTGTATCTCATCCATGTCTTGAACGAGTATGCTGGCCAGACGGGCATCATCTTCACACGAACGGTCAACGAGGCGCAACGCATATCCATCCTTCTGCGGACGCTCGGCTTCTCGGCAATTCCTATTCACGGCCAATTGTCCCAGCAAGCTCGACTGGCGGCGCTGAACAAATTTCGCGCAAAGTCTCGCAATATTTTGGTTGCTTCTGACGTGGCGTCACGGGGCCTGGATATTCCTTCAGTCGACCTCGTGATCAATTATGATCTCCCCCACGACAGCAAGACGTATATCCATCGGGTTGGGCGTACGGCGCGAGCGGGCAAAAGTGGCAAGGCTATTTCTTTTGTCACGCAGTATGACGTGGAGTTGTGGATGAGGATTGAAGGAGCGCTGGGCAAGAAGTTGAACGAGCATGAGACGGTCAAGGAGGAGGTTATGGTGCTGGCTGAGAGAGTCGGCGACGCGCAGCGGGCAGCCGTCCTGGAGATGAAGGAACTACATGAGAACCGAGGCAAGAAGGGGGCGACGCTGAGGCACAAGCGGACTGTGAAGGGCGGCGGGAAGAGAGGGCGAGACGACATGGACCAGGACGAAGGGTAGACTCGCGCGGATAGAAGTGCACGTTTACGATATATGTCCACGCTTCTAGGCAACCACAGCCGTGGGGAATCAAAAGGCCTTGGTTTGTTCTGTTCGGGCGCCTAATTGCGTACGAGGAATAGTATTCCGTACTAGAGCAGCCTCGGCGATGCAGAACGTAACTCCGGCACGAGGCTATCTTGCGCTAGATGTCAGAGGATACCACCCATTTTCGCGAGCACGAGTCTGAAAAGACTCGGGTGCCTCCCACCCCCAGAGACAGACAGTAGATCTCGCGGGATGCTAAGCATGTGGTGATGAAGGCTGTGATTCTAGAATGACGCGCGTCGGCGAATGAGAGGCGCCAATTCGGCCATTGTCGAAGTTTTCAGGATGACGTCTTCAAGGTACCGCGGCTTCATTGGTCGACGCCGCCAGGTGCGTGGCAGGGCTTGCCACAAACTACTCAACAGAAAACACCTGTTCGGTGCTTGGAAGGGCATCCGATAGCCGAGTCCGAGCGGCGAGAATCATATTTCATCTGGATCTGTGTCGCCTCTGAGATGGGCACTGCTCCACGTTAACCAGGTCCATGACCTCCACGCCCACCATGCCCATCATCGATACCACCAAGGACCTGTCGGCCCTGTTCCGACAGCAGGTCCAGGCCTCGCCCAGTGCCGTTGCCCTTGAGGACGACACGTCGACATACACCTATGCGGAGCTCGACCGGACCGTCCAGACGCTGGCCTGTCGTCTGCGAAAGCACCGAGTGGGGCGAGACAGCCTCGTGGGAGTGCTGCTGCCGCGGAGTGCCGACTACGTGATTGCATGTCTCGCAGCACTTCGCGCAGGCGGCGCCTTCCTCGTCCTTGAATTAGCGTATCCTCCCGAGCTGCTGGCAGATGTCATCGAGGATGCCAACCCGGCTGTAGTCGTCACGTACAGATCCGAGGTCGGCAAGATCAAGGACGGCGTTCCTCTCGTGGTCCTCGACGAGGAGCACCCAGACACCAACGGAGAAACGAATGGAGAAATTGACGGAGCAGCCAGCGACTCACCTCCTCTTCCCGCAGAGGATGACCTGGACAGGCTAGCCTTCGTCGCCTATTCCTCGGGAACCACAGGCAAGCCCAAGGGCATCGCCAACCCCCATCGCGCACCTGTGCTCTCGTACGATTTGCGGTTTGGGGTTCGAGACCTCCAACCAGGGGACCGCGTTGCCTGCAATGTCTTCTTCGTTTGGGAGATTCTTCGGCCACTTCTGCGAGGAGCGACCGTCGTCGCAGTGCCTGACGAGGCGAGCTACGACCCGCCCGCACTGGTCGACTTCATGTCCTCCAAGAAAATCACCGAGACTCTGATGACGCCAACTCTGTTGGCTGCGGTCCTCGCCCGGCACCCGAAGATAGGTTCACGGCTCCCCAACCTGCGCACCTTGTGGCTGAATGGCGAAGTCGTAACGACTGATTTGGCCCGTCGAGCTATGAAAGCTCTGCCCAAGGTTGCGCTGCTCAATTGCTACAGCGCCTGCGAAACCCATGAAATCGCTTGCGGTGACATTGGAAAAATGCTGGACAATGAGGCGAACTACTGTCCAGTAGGCCCGCCTCTAGACCCAGAGCACACGTACATCTTGAACGAGAGCGGCCAAAAGGTGGAGCATGGTGCTAGCGGAGAACTCTTCGTCGGTGGTCAGATGCTCGCTCGTGGTTATATCAACCGCCCCGAGACAACCGCTCAGGCATTTACACCAGATCCGTTCGATTCAACGCCAGGAGCGCGCATGTATAGGACTGGAGACGGTGCTCGGATACTGCCGTCAGGACTGCTGGAGATCACGGGTCGCGTTGGGTCCATGATCAAGCTTCGCGGGTATTCTGTCGTCCCTGGGAAGGTCGAGAGTGAGATTACCCAACACCTTGCTGTTCGGCATTGTGCTGTTGTAGCACACGGCGAGGCCCTCGAACGACAGCTTGTTGCGTACGTTGTCCGAGACAAGGAGGCTTCGGCGGATCGTCCAGCCCTGGAAGTCGATGAGATCGGTCACAGTCCTGCGGCGAGAAAGACTCTCTCACCCTACCTTGCTCACTACATGATTCCCGCTCTCTGGGTTGAAGTCGACGAGCTACCCACTCATGCCGTGTCCGGCAAGGTCGATCTCAAGCGCCTGCCACCTCCCCCCAAGCCAAAATCCCCTGTCGCCAATGGCAGCCCTGCGCCGCAGCTGAACGGGCATACTAAAGGCGACCAGGACCCCATCACGAGTGAAGCGATCGCCGAGATTTGGGCCGCGACACTCAAGATATCCCGCAGCTCGATACAGCCAGAACACAGCTTCTTCGATCTTGGTGGCCACTCATTGACCCTTGCGGACTTGTCGGCAAGAATCTCTAGAGTACTCGGGGTCAAAGTGCCCATTGCACGCCTTGTTGACCCCGCCACTCTGAATGGCCACCTGGAGACGATACGCTCCGTGAGAGACGGCCACACCGCCGAGGTGCAAGCAAATTTGCCTGACGTCCTGCGCAAAGACTCCATCCTCGATGACAACATACAGCCGTCAAACAAGACGATCATCCCTGCAAGTAAGGCCGAGACAATCCTCTTGACAGGTGTTACTGGTTTCTTGGGCCCTTTCCTCCTCAACGATCTGTTGGAGAACACATCGGCCAAAATCCTGTGTCTTGTGCGGTTCACAGATCCGTCAGAGGCCGATTTGCCCGCGGGAATCGCCAGACTGCGAAGACAATTGCTCGACCTTGGACTGTGGCACGATTCAATTATGGAACGTGTGGAAATCCTGCCTGGCAATCTGTCTCGCCCCCGACTCGGACTTTCACCCGATGCATTCGAAGCACTGGCTCGCCGTGTCGACGTTATTTTCCATGCTGCGGCCAACGTCAATCTCGTCTATCCGTATGCTGCCTTGCGCGACGCCAATGTGGGCGGGACGAGAGAAATGCTGCGTCTGGCGGCTCGTGCTGGCGCAACAGTACAATACATTTCCACAAACGGCGTACTCCCGCCCTCACAATATGGGTGGAGGGAAGAGGCCATGCTGGAAGTCGACGCAGTTCCGGAGAAACTGGCGGACGGATATGGCCAAACAAAGTGGGTGGCCGAGAAACTGGTGCAGGAAGCTGGCCGTCGCGGCATACCCGTGAAAATCCATCGACTAGGCACAATCAGCGGCCACAGTGCGACCGGCGCAAGCAACGTTTCGGATCTGCTCAATGCAATCATCGTGGAGTCGATCCGACTCGGCTACGCCCCCGATGTTGCAGGCTGGCGAGCCGAAATGACACCGGTGGATTTCGTGAGCAGAGCCATCGTCCACCTCGCCAACCAGACGCAGACCTCGCAAACCGTCTTCCATCTTGGCGATCCGGATCCCGTCTACGCTCCCTCGGTTTTCCGAGACCTGGAAGAGCTTGGATACCCCACACAACCACTCGCATGGGACGATTGGGTTGCAATGTGGAACGAGAAGCGCGGCGTCCTCAGGGGCGGAGATGGTGCCTTCACCATCGATATTCTGCGCAGTGGCATGCCGAACGTCGAATTCTTGAGGGGCGTGGTTGTCCTGGACAATGCCGTGACCAGACCATTGCGAGCAGGGGTTCAACGACCCAAGGTTGACAGTGTGCTGCTTGAGACCTACACTCGACATTGGTTTGCTCGAGGATGGCTCCTGCATCCGCCTACGCGGCAACATGCTCTCGGTGGCGCTGCAGCTCTGCCACGTAGAGGACCACTGACGGGGAAGGTGGCCGTCATCACCGGAGCTTCGTCGGGCATTGGCGCTGCAGTCGCTGCCGCTCTAGCTCGCGAAGGGGCTCATCTCGCTCTGGGTGCTCGACGCACCGACGCCCTCGAAGCCATCAAGAGAAAACTGGTGATCCGCGACGGGAAGATCATCTTCCGAAAAACGGACGTCACCGACCGACGACAGGTCGAAGAGCTGATCCATGCAGCCAACGAGGAGCTGGGTCCGGTCGACATCCTGGTGTCTTGCGCTGGCGTCATGTATTGGACGCTGATGGCCAACGCACATGTCGACGACTGGGATCGCACAGTCGATGTCAACTGCAAAGGATTGCTCCACTGTCTCGGTTCCGTGGTTCCATCCATGGTCAAGCGCGGTAGTGGGCATGTCGTGGCCATCTCGTCAGATGCTGGCCGCAAGGTCTTCCCCGGTCTGGGGGTCTACTCTGCCAGCAAATTCTTTGTGGAGGCGACGCTGCAGAGCTTGCGGCTGGAGACAGCGGGGACTGGTCTGCGTGTGACGAGCGTACAGCCTGGAAATACGCAGACCGACCTCCTGACCATGTCGACGGATACGGAGGCGGTCAAGAAGTATGGTGAGCCTTCCGGGGCTCAGATACTGGACCCGGAGGATATAGCGAACTCGATTGTGTATGCGTTGAGGCAGCCGTCGCATGTCGCTGTTAATGAGGTTTTGATCGAGCCTCGGGAGGAGCCGATATGAACAGGCTGCGAGGGCTTTTAGGCCGATATGAACAGGCCGCGAGGACTTTTGCTTTTTCAGTTGCTTTGGAGGGTTTTCGTGTATATAATACTGCCTAGGGCTTCGTCGACGTACACTTTGCAAGAGACGGAGAGGGGATCCAAGCTTGGAGACATTGTCAACAGACATACATAGCATTGCTATTGTAGCATCTTGCCCTTCTTCCGAGTGCCGGTTGTGCTCGACCACCACCAAGCTGCACTGGTACACACGACATCACACTGCCAACAAGACCTACCGATACCTACCTGTGTATGAAAATTTTGTAAGGCCGAGTTACTTCCTGTGACGACGCAAAGAGCAGTCAACTATCAATCTGTCCTCGGCTGTCGGTGTGCTTTAAGGACGGTTGGCTCAAAGTGCAAGCCTGAGGGAGGGCGAAATACGGCGGATCACATGACACTTGATGTCAAGCCGCTAGCGCAGCCTCGTTGCAAAAAGTTGGAGATTCACATCGGCCAAAATATCAAACGAAGTACAACTAGAAGACGGCCTACTGACATCCGCAGCCCACTAACTTGCGTTGCGGTCCAGGCTCTTTCTTGTTCCAATTCTGCACGGCAGCCTTTTCTGACCTCCCACGATCCATCTGAATTAGCCCTGTCGAAAGTTTGGCCTGAGACTCAGGCGAGATGCAGGCTCCCGTGGTGGTGATGAGTGAGTGAAGCCGTGCATGGCCCCTCCAGGCCTCCTCGTAGCAGTGCTGACCCTTGCTACCACACAGACACGGCGCAAGGCGAGAGACAGGTCGGCAGAAAAGCACAGATATCCAACATTACGGCTGCGAAAACGTGAGTATTTCGTTCCCCTCCATCCCACATTACACATTGTACGCACACTGACCGATACGGGCACGCAGAGTCGCCGACATCATTCGATCATGTCTCGGTCCCAAGGCCATGTTGAAGATGCTGCTCGATCCTATGGGCGGTATTGTCCTGACTAATGACGGCCACGCCATTCTGCGGGAGATTGAAGTCGCGCACCCGGCTGCGAAGAGTATGATTGAGTTGAGCAGGACGCAGGATGAGGAGGTCGGAGATGGGACCACGACGGTTATTATATTAGGTGCGCATGTCACCATTCAGATTGCACTGCCGGACTAACGTGGCACAGCCGGAGAAATCCTTGCGCAGGCACTCCCTCAGCTCGAACGAAACATCCACCCCGTCGTGATCATCCAAGCATTCAAAAAGGCCCTCGCTGACGCGCTGGCAATCGTGGAAGAGATATCAATACCCGTGGACACGTCAAGTGACAAGGCCATGATCTCGCTGATTGAATCGTCCATTGGCACCAAGACCATCTCGAGACACTCGGAGCTTTACTGCGCACTTGCGCTCAAAGCAGTCCGCACGGTCTCACAGGACCAATCCGCCGTCTCGAATGCCCCGCAAACCAACGGCGCCAAATCGCCCCAGCCAGCGCCCTCGAAGCCCGTCGAAATCGACATCAAACGCTACGCCCGGGTGGAGAAGATTCCTGGTGGAGAAATCGAAGACTCGCGGGTCCTCGACGGAGTCATGCTTAACAAGGACATCACACACGCGTCCATGCGCCGGAGGATAGAGAACCCCCGCATCGTCTTGCTAGATTGCACGCTCGAGTACAAGAAAGGCGAGTCCCAGACCAACGTGGAGATCACGGACGAAGATTCGTGGAACAAGATCTTGCAGATCGAGGAGGAGCAAGTCAAGAAGATGTGCGACGCCATCCTGGCGGTGAAGCCGGATCTGGTCATCACGGAAAAGGGCGTCAGCGACCTGGCGCAGCACTATCTGCAAAAGGCGAACGTCACGGCGTTGAGACGGGTACGAAAGACGGACAACAACCGTATCGCAAGGGCCGTGGGCGCGACCATTGTCAACCGCGTCGACGATCTCGTCGATTCAGACGTGGGGACTGGCTGCGGCTTGTTCGAGATTGAAAAGATCGGCGACGAGTATTTCACGTTCCTCACAAAGTGCAAGAATCCCAAGGCGTGCACCATCCTCCTCCGTGGCCCGTCAAAGGATATCCTCAACGAAGTCGAGCGCAATCTGCAGGATGCGATGTCCGTGGCGAGGAATGTCATGTTCCATCCCCGTCTGTCCCCTGGTGGCGGTGCTACCGAGATGGCGGTCTCGGTGCGGCTGGCCCAGAAGTCCAAGTCCGTCGAGGGAGTCATGCAGTGGCCATACCGCGCCGTCGCCGAGGCCATGGAAGTCATCCCCCGCACGCTGATTCAGAACGCCGGCGCCTCACCGATCCGGATATTGACTCAATTGCGGGCGAAACAGGCGGAGGGGAAGTCCAGCTTTGGCGTGGACGGCGACACCGGTGCGGTGGTCGACATGAAGGATTATGGTGTGTGGGAGCCGCAGGCCGTGAAGATGCAGAGTATCAAGACGGCGGTGGAGAGTGCTTGTTTGCTGTTAAGAGTCGATGACATTTGTGGGGCGAAGAGCGCGAAACAGGTCGGTGGGAGCGGACTGGCTGGAGGGGGAGGGGAAGATTAGAGTCACGACAGGCAATATTGATGGTCATGCATGAGTCAATGAGCCCTCCGAAACACGGAAGCGAGTGACGGTATGATGCAGCGATTGCAGTGATGTTTGAACATGACCGTCCGTGAAGACGAAGACGGGACAAGGATATGAATGACTTGGCCGGTTGGTGCGTGCATCATCGCCGCTGCGAAGCGAAAGGGCAGTCACGGTATGTACTGCACTGCACTGCACGACTGAATTCAGCCTTCGAAACTGAATATCTGACCGTGACATTGATCAGGTACTGGAGATGACTTAACGCCGCCCGCCTTCACGTCCTGCCTGTCCCCAGCTTGTTACTTTCTAGCCTTCCCGTCCATGACTCAAGTCCCCCAGGTTTGACTCGATTGATCGATGTCACGTATGGGAAGGAATTCACGCAGAGAAGGCACTCAGAACCGGCGGCCAAGGGCGATCGATCGGTCCGCGTCACTGTGCTCTGGGAAAGTATAAGTATAGGTTTCTGTCCCTGCTTCCTTCCTTCCTCCCTCCTCTCATGTCTTCCTGGCTTTGGTTTTCTTCTTCTCGATGTTCTTCATCTGTTCGCAACGGCATGGTGTTTCTTTCCTGGGTCTGATATATATCTACACATCTTTACCTGTTTCCTCTGTGGAGAGGGCCGTGGAGGTCGACCCCGAAGTCTCGGCGTTTCAGGCGTCGTGCTCGGTTTGTTGATCATTGATTTGGGCCTTCGAATACGAATTACGCTACAAGCGACAGGCGGATCATCGACCACGCAACAAATGACGGATCATCATCGAACAAATGATGGACCATCGATCATGCATTTGTAGGATACAAGCAACTCAGGCAGCGCCACGCGTCCGTTCGCGAGCGCTGCACGCGAACAATGCACGCTAGGCTTTCGGCTTTCTGTCTCTCGAGCATACGATCAGCTGACGAGGAAGCTCAGGCCAGAGTACAGGACCGACTGCTCGTCGACGGAGCTACGGATCTCGGACAACGGGTCACTCGCGTCGAGGCCGTCAAGCTCAGAGGTCGCGGCCCGTGAGGCACCGTGTGGCCGAGAAAGCTCTCCACATATCGTGGTCCTTGCACCCACAGCTCTCTCTCATCGAGATCATCAACTGTATACTGTATATGGATGGACACATCCGACGAGCCGGGCCGTCGGTTCAAACACGTCAAGCCGCGAAAGGAAGAACGGCACAGTTGTCGGCGCATGTCTATCATGCCTTGCGCTACATGTGTTGAAAGACCAGTACGGAATACGGATTCTCAGACGGGCGAACATTTTGATTTGGATATGCGCAATAGTCGATACAGGGACGCTGTGTCGCTGCCATGGTGAAACATGATGGCATCAACACCAGAGCGAGCGGTTTACATGGATTCGCGAAATATGGGGCATTGCATGCCCACCAAGAAGATTGCCAGCATGCCCAGCATGGATCCAACCGCGCCGACCGCCGACCACCGGTACCGCGCTTTACCTCCATACACCTCGTTGGTTCAGCATGCTGATGGGTCGAAGCAGCACCCCGAAAGAGTCTTCTGATATGCCCCTACAGGACTGCTCTCAAAAGACATCGGCTTCGACCACAAGGGCGCTATCGTGCTCACTGCTGTCCTGTCTCGCCGCATATGAATACAACAAGGGACGAGGATCTAGAGGGATATACCAGAATATATTTGACCAGGACACGGAATCATCAGAGAAGTTTCCTATCCTCACCGGGAACGAGATTATGGATGAGATGGTTCTGTGTCTGCAGTTCAATGAAGCAACTTGATTGATGAAGCCATTCGACTGGGCTTCAGCCCGACAGACGCGACCAGGCCTTGCTCGAACTGATCGCCGGTGCGCCTTCGGACTATCGGAGAATTCTGGCAGCATGCGAGGACACTGGAATGCAGGCTCTAAACTCCCTTTGGCCGTACGCAGATCCCGGACGATATGCAACAACCCGTCGCCTTCGGATCCAACACAACGGCGGAGTCACTGCCGGAGTGCGAAAAGCCTTCGACAGTGCCTCGCAAAGGTGCGCATACCTCATACTTGAGCCACGATTGAATCGTCCTCTACGCAAGTTCTGGCCCCCCTCTGCTTGGAGGCGGTACCGGATGACTACGGAGGGTCTCCCACGAGTCCTGGACGTGTCGACTGGCTCGATCCCAATGGCAACCTTCAATTTCTCAATCCGAATGACTGCTTCTCCTGTCGCAACCGTCGTACCCGAGCTGAGCTTCAGCGGCAGAGCCCCGGCCCTATGGGGATGAAGCCGTGCTAATCCAGATCAAAGGTGACGAGGATGCTCGAAGTGAGTTAGTGCCCTTTCGAACCCGTTCTTGACTGACTGTTTCCTTGAGCGTGTGAAATGCACGGCTGGCAAAGAAAATCCTTGAATACATCTCGGTCCCTGGTGTGGGTCGCGGAGGTGAGTATCTCCAGTCGTAGCTGGTTCGTAACTAACGGTGTCATCCTATCCCAAGGATGTTGCGTCTATCAGTCCCAGGAGTTGTCTATCTCCACGAGATCGAGTGTTAGTTCCTGTCCCCTCGCAACGTGTCGTAATCTGCTGACCCCAATAGCGATGAACGCTGAAGATGCGGCTCGAGTTGCACAGGCCATTGCGGAAACCTGCGCTTCGCGTGCGGGCTCAGATCCTTATACCCAGTGTCTGTCGTGGTGGCGAATGTTTCCAAGCCTGTCCAGTGGTCGAGGGATCTTCGCAACTGTCATTCCTGGCCTGGTATCCTCCAGAGTGGTACCTGAGCAGTTGTTCTCGGCGATTGCTGCATTCCCATCAGAATGTCATCTCCCGCACCCTTAACAACATCTGTGTTGGTGATACCACTTCCCACCGCGCACGATATGCGATGTCTCACTCGACTTCAGCAAAGCCACGATCTACAATGTCGTCAGCGACACGGACTACCGCAAAGAAGGTCCTGGATTCAGCCTCCATCATCCAACTCAATACCGACATCTTCAACATGATGGGACTCAATCCGGAGGTTCTACGGTCGAACAGGCCAGAGATAGAGTAGGCCTCATCAGTCTAGGTCTCCACGCTGACAGATTGACCTATCTAGCGCTCCGTGATGACTCGAAGTCAATCGGCATCAGTCAAGCAGTGTTCAACAACATTCTTCAAGCTGTCAATGGCTTTTACGCCCGGCCAGGTGCTGCTGAATTGTGGTCAGTAATCCCCGAGATCATGAGCCTCGTCACGCATTACTGGCGCAGGTAGCGTACGGAAGCCGCGCCTGCAAGTCGACGAAATTCGATTGCTATTCGATCTCCGAGGCTAAGTCCAGGCGATCTGTCGTGTCCGCTCCAAACAACTCTATGTTACCCCGTGCGCAGAACCGTATCTCAGGACGCGAGGTTTGCCAGGCAGAGATCAACAGGGCAGGAAGGGACTGAAGTCTCAAGCGGCCATCCTGGATACATCTCGTGCTTTGACGACTCGTTCTACACAAAGGTTCGTAACAGCAAGGCACGGAGTGGTGGCCCAGAATGTCGACACGGACACACCTCTCGTGGAACGGGCCTGCCTCTCCCTACAGTGTACACCCCTGTACGCTCCAAAAAAAGAGCGACCCATCCGGCTGAATGATATCGGTCAAGTCACCAACAGCTCCCTTCGATACGGTCACCCTAGATTTCAATACGGCACTCCCGAAACCCACCGACAAGGACACAGCCTTGACGAAAATCGACCAGTTTACGAAACAAGTACTGTTGATTGCCTGAAAGGACTCTGACGACGCGATGACTCGGGGAGAGGCCCTCCTAGATCGACTGAAAGGGCAAGAGTCAATACCGCTGCAAAGAACACGGAGGGATCGTCTTACACTATAGACACTCTAGTGCAGGACCCCAAGGATCAGGACGCCCCAACATCTCTGCGTGGCCAGTTGCGTGGACTCCCCAGCGTATTCAACATGCGAATACTGGTGCACGGAGCTGGGTTCGTCCTCGTCTTGCGGGCGAATCGCCTGTGGGAAGCCAACGCCGCCTGTGCGATTGGTGAGGTGGGCGCTCCCACTATCGCCGATATTAAGGAAGAAGCAGATGACATCGACGCTGAGCTTGCGTTAGCCGAGACCCGTGCTGCCCGCCGCACCCCCGGTGGTGCCGCACCGGTGGTCGCGTGCGTGCCTAACGAACAACCTTTCGCCAGTGTGATGGGTTCCGTCGTCTGCCTGCCCGGCTTCTCCACCAGACCAGAGAAAGTCACCTCCATGATGTACTTTCAGCACGAGACGAAGGCCGTCGGTCTCGCTTCCGTGTCCCTTGCCTCTCTGCGAAGAGGTCTTTCCTTACTGATCTTGTGCTGACTTGTGTTGCAGCAATTCGCAAATTCAACAGTGAGTCAAGATGTTGGCCGCACACGACTCGCATGCTGATCACGTGATAGTCATGGCCGACACTGCTGTGATGATTCCTCCCTCCGGCGGTCCGCCCCACAAGCCACCAGGTGGCAACAAGAGAAGTACACATACACACACGGCTTGCATAGGACTCGCATCTGACACGCATGCAGACCTGGCCGACGAGTTCCCACCACAATTGAAGAAGTGCTGTTTTTTTCAAAAGGAAGCATAAGCAGCACCTTCGCCGATACCAATGCAAGGTCGGGACGATCTTAGAACAACGATATATATGCTTATATACAATCTGCCTTCCACGGTACCGACTCTGTCGTTCCGGTCCGGCCGGTGGCCTGTCCGCTTTTGGACGAAGATGCAATCGAACGGGCATCTGCCGAAAGGGCTTGCAAGTTCATGGCCGCATATACTCGGTCGCTGAAGCTTACGACCTGCGATTAACCTGAGCATATCCGACATGCTCGGTTACGCACAGCGAACGAAGCGATCTTTAGCATCGTTCCGGTTGAGTTCCTCGCGGCGCCTTGCCCCTTCTCGAGCAAGCCAGTTTCTAGACGAGCTCCGGGCAGCTGGTTTGTTCAGTTATCGAGCCAGTATGAAACCCCGACCAAGAATAGCCGTGACCTCCCTCATTGACCGTATCCAGAGCCAACTCGGAGCGTCGTTTGCCCACCACCACGAGGAATGTCCCTTTTATAAGGGTGGATCCACAGACATGGTCCATAACGGGAACCGTTACCAGCCGGATACAATGTACCTCGATATACCACGCGCGCTGCAGCCAGCCGGGCATCGTCCTTGAAGTCGCTAACACGCAGTAACACGCAGACTTCGAATGGCACGGCGGTAAAGGCAGAGCGGTACGTCACGAGTACCCGGGGCAACACCCGTTTTGTGGTTGGTCTGAAATTACATGAGGACTCACAGGTGGTGGGTCTCATGATCTCGACGCCGAGAGTCGTGCTTAAGAAGGGAAGTCGGTCCTGAAAGCAGACACAATTTACCAGGGACGACTTCGGGAAGACTTTGAAGCAACCTGAAAAAATTTGTGGAGAAGAGAGAAGCCTACATGAGCAATCCAGCCTTCTAAGCAGCTTTCAGGGCCCATGGTCTTGGGCTTTGCGGTAGACTTTACTGGAAGCCTTCTCGACTACAAAGCACCGCCCCACTACGATGAGCTTTGCGCCGCTAAAGGAGTTGGCCCTGTCGCTGTTGAGATTCAGTCAACGCCTGAATTGATGCAGTCGTCAAGTCGAAGGGAAGAAGCGCTACCAGAGCCCGAAACTCCCACCCCCGGACCTCGAGCGATCGACCGGATTTCTACTCCTGCCAGATCCAGCGGAGTCGGATAAACGCAGTCAGGATTTCTCGTCGTGAGCGTGAGCGGCTCGGAGGTACCGCTGCTTCTCCTTACGGGACAGGAGGGGCGGTCCATGAGGAAGACCTCCCCGAACCTGCTCGTACTTGGAGTCGGCTGGCATCCACCTACTTGTGCATCTCGAAAGTGGACGAACATCAAAATGACGAAGGTTCGTGGCCGCTGTCGCAGACTCCGTGTCCAGGAGCAAATCCCTGACGACAACATCATTTCCGGGAGACGGATACAAGCAGCCAGCGTGCTGGTCGACAGCTCCGGGGATTATTGAGTCATGACCAACCTCAAGTGCCTGCCTTTGTCGCGGAGCACCAGCTAGTTGCCGAATCGACCTGCCTAATGTCCATGACCCCCCCCCCCTCCCCCACCCCCCCAAACTGCCATCAAAGACGATTCATAACAGACTCGTCTAGATTAAAATCAACTGCCCACGCACATGGCTTCGATGGAAGTGTCCGGCGACGAGAACATCCGTCTCTCCGGCTCTCCGCTTTGGACGTGTCGCGCAGGGAGGAAAGTCGAGCTGCTCGCCGCATGAGCTCGGAGTGCTGGGTCCATCAACAACGCACACGACGGCGTTCCAAAACACAGCAGAAGCTCTGCCCGTCAACAAGTTTCCCCGAGCAGGGCGATGATTCTTTAGAACACCAACTGGCACTGAGTCCGATCGAAAAGGCTAAACAGGATGGACATCCCTTTTGCCTTGGCGCTGGCAACGAGGCAATTGAGCATTTGCGACAGATTTCAGTTTGCTCAGCCATGGTGGGTCTCGCTGTCCTGGCCTCTTCGAAATGATCTCCGGTGTTCCGTACTGGATGCCAGGGGAACTAATGGAGGGCGTGAAAGACTTCGCTGGCTAGCAAGAAGACCTGACAACTGGATGCCCGCGCGAGTCGACTTGTGCAAATTCTCGACACTTGGTACATGAATGCACACCAACAACATGCGCAATTGGGAGTTCTTGGAAGCTCAGACTGGATTATCCACAATCTAGGGGCCTTGAGCTAAGGGCGTCGTGTTCGGACGTCTTTACGAATGTATGTTAGCCTTCCCACGACACGTCCCGAGACTTCGACGATGCAGTCCTTGAGATGGGACGAGGCGAGCGAGCAACAACTTCTTTCTGTCATCTTCTCGAAGCCAAAGTACACGCACGCTCCAGTCAAAGCTACCGGAGGTTCCACCATTCAGCATTGTCCCTCCTGTGACTGGTCCAAAACCACGTATTAAGCCCAGTATAAGGTCTCCAGGACCTTAGCTTCAGCTCCTCACCGCGTCCGCATAACAACATCCAATATGATTTGGGAGTGGCTCCTGACAATGGTCAACGACGTTGTTGTGTTCTTCCAAGTTGACATGGCTGTTGGTGAGTGAACCAATATCACGAAGCATTCTATAGCCTTGAAACCGCCCAGGCCGGCCTCAGCTACAGTCGAGATGGCCTTGAGAAAGGCAAGAGCAACCAACCCGAAACACACGTGGTTTGGAGCAGTAGCCCTCGATTTATTCAAAGCTCCTGGTGTCGCGCTACTCTTGTCGAAGGGACCGCCAAAGACCTGTTACCTGACGCAGACAGTTCTTCGACATATCCCAGCGAAATGCTCCCACATAGTGGATGTCTCTTCCCCACTGGCCTACCTTCGATCGCATGGTAGCTTGGCCTTCGCGTACAATATATATATATACCACACAACTTCGATGAGCTTGACAGATTCAGCTGGCGCCCGGTATGACGCAGGCGACTCGTTGGTCAAACCCTGGTAGCACTTGAACAAAATCGACGTTCTCGTCTTGCTTGCCGTTTGGCCATCGAAACGTACCGACACATGGGCCTGGAGGCGCGCGTCAAAATCGGCCTCGAGCATCCGAAGTGCTTGACTGTCCAGGCTTTGCCGGTACTGGAGCTCGTCTTAGTCTGGACACGAGAGAAATATCTAGGTCTACCTTTGATGAGGCCTGTGCGGAACAGTACCAAACAATTCCGTACACGGCACCCAGATTGGTTCGTCCGGACTTTGAGCGCCAGAGAAAGCACGGCTATCCGGAGCCTCTGCAGAGAAGCCGAGACCAAGAACTTCCAAGAGTCGAACGACTATAAATATATATACACTGGCATTCACCAAAACCACGGTCTTGGGTGGATGGACGAGGGACGCAGGCCCCAGGGGGTGCGGCTGCTGCTCTTCCCAGTGGCCAATCAAGAAATTTGTCGCCACCAAGAAGTTGTCAGCCTACAGGCCTCGACTCATCAAACCCATCCGGGGAATCGTAAATTTCCGAACGACTGCACAGCTACGGCGCTGTCCGGCTGTATGCTAACCGCAGAAGGCGGTTCCGCGTGTCAGGCGGCACCAATGGCTCACACACCGAGAAACCCAGATGACGGAGTTTCTTTGTCCGCTTCGCACGGTGGGATATCAGCTCCAAGTGTCTCCAGGTATATCCGGGGGATCTGTGGTCGCTATATCCCGTACCTTCGCAACACAGCCGCAATCTTTTTCCATGGGAACAACCTCTTGCATGACTCTGCTGGCTTGACACCCTGTTCCGGCCTATTCCGAGCAATCCAAAACACGACCCCCGTGACATTAGCTTGAGAATCAGCAAATGCTGCGTGTGTACTGATATGTCGCACAGTGGGGATGGGCCTGAAACTGGCTGACTTAGAGGCGCAATGGATGCCGGTTCGATCTTGGTTGCAAGAGAGAAAGAGGCACGAGCAAGTTCGTTTAAAGCCTTCGGTACCATTACGATTGCTAAAGGGGAGGACACACGTTGGTTTGTCCCTCCTGGCCGGCAGATGACCCAGTAGAGCGAGCGAAGCGATCAATTACAAAAGAGGGCAGAACTGTCCAAGCGAGGGAGACACCGAAGCGCCCGGGCAAAGCTGTTGGCGACCAACCAGTCAATTTCTACTATCCTGGCTCCGGGCCATGGTGACCCACTCAACACCGACCAAGGGCATAGTGGTTCGCCCGTTCGATCAAGCCTGGAACAGCAATCATCTGATCTTCAAGTAGACCGATTACCTCGCCACGTCGCTTGCGCTTCCAAGTGCAATCGGCTGGATCGACGACCAGGACTTACGAGAGCACTTCCAACTGCCATCCATGACAGACCGTGCCGAATTTGCTTTGGCGACTACAGGTGATGGTCCTATCATCGTCGTGTTGTTCTTGGATAAAGTTGTTCTTGGATGAAGTTGTTCGAGGGTACTTGCAGTTGATCTTGATCAAATCACTTGGGGATCTCAAAGCCGTCGCTCGGCGCGGCGCTACCAAGGCTGTGCGCCCTCGGAAAGAGCTCTTTAAAGAACTTCAGAGTAAGAGCAAAGACTTCATCCCAGGCATCCACGTCATGGAGCCCAAGGTGCCTCTCAGCACGGGATCCTGCCTTCAATGCGGTCTTGGTTGGCAAATACGAAGAGAGCTGGTTAGTACCGCTTTTGAAGCACCAGAGGCAAGGTCTCGTCAGGCCATGTCGGTGGTCAGCTGGTACGGAAATTCTCGAATTCTGTGCGGCCTTGCGGGTTGCCGCGTGATTGCTAAGCGGCAACACACGATCGGCGTATGTT